TCTTAGAAATCCAAAACATAATTTTAAATTAATCCTAGACTGTCATTCCAAGCTCTTTTAGGGAATTTCTAGAATCCTTCTTATTAGAATAATCTTGCAGAATGATTAACAAAGACTTTGCTGAATGCTAAAGGTGAAGCTTTATATAATTCCTCAACTAATTCAACTTCAGCTGATGAATCTCCTTCAAAGTAATCCTTGTATTAAAGGACTAAATAAATAATTTAATAAATTTACATCCTTCTTTAGCTGCAAGATTATAATAATTCTTTTCAGCTTATAAGATTGCAAATTCATTTTCAGAATTAACAGCAGTTTATAGATTCTTGAAAACAGCAATATATTCTGGGTCTTTAGTCATTCTTGCCAAATGTCTTTCAATCAATCTTCTTTCTCTAACTTAATAATCTTTAGTGCAATCAAATGCTAATCTATATTTGAATCTCCATAATTTCTTTTCAAGAAGTGAAGTTTAATCTTCTTCAGGATTATGAGTATATGCTTCTTAAAAGTCAAATCTGAGAGGACTATACTTAGGATCAACTTAAGCAACAGCCTCATCAATTCTTTATTCAACTTATTCATCATCTTTATATAATTCTTAATCAGTTTCAAAGTAATCATTATATAATTATTCTTCTTCTGTAAGACCTCCATAGAAATAAGTGTAATTGTTTTCCCATCTTTCCTTTTATCTCAATCTCATTCTTCTTTCTCTTCTAGCATGATTAGCAAAATCAAGATATTCTCTAACATGGAATCTATTCACTTTTCTTTCTAATCTTTCTTAGATTGCCAAGACCTTCTCTGCTTCAATGACAGCTGCATATGTTGCCTTTTACATTGGTAATTTGTATTTAGGATTTCTATAGACTCTTTCTTCATTATAACCTGCTTATTTCAATTATTAATCAATGTATTTTAATTTATCTTCACCATGTTAAAATCTCCACATTCTATAAGCTGGATCAACAAGTAATCTATCATGTACATCGTTATCCATTGTTACCATAATATTTTATTCATATAATGCACTTTCAAATAATGAAGCCTCTCTGTGAGTCCACATTTTGAGCATATTGATTGATTAAACATTTTCATTCTAAAATAATTGATTGATTAATTTACATCCAATTCAAAAATATCAATAGGATGGAATGAATCTCTATAGTAGGACATTTCTTCATCCTCTTATTATCTTAATCTAACCAATTTGAAAACTTGACCACACATTGGGCATCTCTACAAAGGACCTTCTCTTAACATAAAGAGATGGATTTCGTGTTGTTCATAATCATCTTCATTCTGTAAACCAGTGCATCCAACATATCTAAAGGGAGTATCAGCAGTAAAAATAACACAGGGATTGTCTACTGTACCAAAGTTGACTGTTTAGATATTATCTAAGTTATTGTAAACTTGTAAATGGAAAGGATTTCCAGAATAGGCAGCATAATATTCATGAAGCACTTCATCAAATGCCTGATAAGTCAAATTTGGTGTCATTGAACTGTGCACACCATCTTATCGTACATATGACCTTATATGTCTTATTGGGGCTGTAATCTTTCCATAGATTTTAGTATATTACCACACTTTTTAGAGTCTTGAATGTATCCAACACATTAAATGTAGAGGAGAATGACTTCTTACTCACTAACCTCAGCATATTTAAATCTTTATTTTATTAATAATTATATCCAAATATCATGCTTTAAATAGATATTACATAAATAAAGTACATCTCACACTCTTAAGTTTATTTCAATCTATCATTTTGAGTTATTTCTTTATTTTTAAGTTTGTTAAAATTTGTATTGAATCAAATTGTCAAAAATAAATTAGAAATTTTTGAATAGTTATAACAACATAGTATTAAAAATAGAAAAGATCTATAATTTATAATTTTTGAATATTTATTAGCCAATAAGCTATTCTAAGTTTTACTCATTATATCCTTTTTATTGATAGATGCATTTTTTATAATTATTATATCAATTAAAATGGGAAGTTGTTCTGGGTTATGTTCAAAATTTACTGTTGAAAAACCAATTATACTTAATGTTTCAGAGATTGAAGTTGTTGAAGGGGCCCTTAGTGATGAATATTATCATCTGTCAGCTTAGATGTCTTAACAAGTGGAGGATAAACAGATTTTAAGATTAGAGACAGGTGCAATATATGAGGGAGAATTATTGAATGGAGTAAGACATGGCAGAGGAAAACAAATATGGCCTGATGGTAAATAATTTAATGAAAAAAGGATCATATTATATAGGAGATTTTGTTAATGATAAGGCTTAAGGTCATGGTAAATTAGTGAATATAAGTGGTAATATATATGAAGGATCATGGATGGATGATAAGGCAAACGGAGTTGGAAAATTTATGAGTACGGATGGATCATATTATGAAGGTGAATGGTTGAATGATAAATAACATGGATTTGGAAAAGAATAATGTTCAAGTAAATTTAGAAAGCAATTATTATGTAGATGGCTCTTTTTATGAAGGAGAATTTTATAAGGGTGCTAGACATGGCAAGGGAAAACTAGTTACTAAAGATGGATGTCAGTATGTAGGAACTTTTGAAAATGGAGTAATCAGTGGAAAAGGTATATATGTATATCCAACTGAGATAAGGTACATATAAATGGGCAGATGGGAAAACCTATGAAGGAGATTTCAAACATGGACAATTATGGGGTAAAGGAGTTATGAGATGGGAGGATGATCGAGAATATATAGGAGAGTTTAAAGAGGATAAAAGACATGGGTTTGGAACCTACAAGTGGAATGGAAGAAAATATATGGGAGAATGGTTAAATGGATAATAGCATGGAAAAGGTGTATATATTAGAGAAGATGGATAACAAAGAGAAGGAATCTGGCAATATGGAATTAGAGTAAGGTGGAATGATAAGATATAAACCTAATAAGAATAGGAAACTACTCAAAATTGAAGTACTTATTATCTTTCTATAAATTAATCTCAAAGTTGTTTGCTATCACATAAATTTCAAAATATTTTATTATATAATAATCATTTGTTTGCTGGTGTGACAAAAGTCTTTGAAATACGTAATAAATCACACTCTTTTCTTGTGGTTTCTTATATTATATTAAAGAATGTATTTTCCATTATTAAATCAGTTAATTCGATGAATTCTTCCTCTAAAAACATAGTCTTATAATCTTTATAGTCTCTTGGGATTGTCCTAAATTATATATATATTTATATTTACAAATCCTCCACTTATATATCTTCTCCTTCCTTTGGTTGTTATTCAGGTTAATAAAGTGTTATAGGTTATTAATCTAATGCTCTAAGAATTTAGTCAGTATGAGAGTCAGTCAAAACTTCTGTAATAATCTAACCTAGTAATTATTAGAAAGGATGGGCCATTGCATTATGTATAGGAGGAGGAGGCTGTTTAAATGAGTTAACTAATTCTACATTCAAACTTGATTTCTTCTTTATTCTTAAAAACAAAGTTTCTTTATCTACTGTTATTGCTTGAGAATTTTAACTTATCTAAGAAGTATTCACTTATTAATTTTTATTTTCCCAACTTATTGTACATTCACATTCTCCTTCATAAACTGAAGGAGTAGAGGCTGCAGTCAATGTTAATTTCAATTCTATAAATGCCTAAGCTTCGAGTTCTCCCTATATAGGTTCTATCAAAAATTCATCCCCACAACATAGTCCTGGTCTATTATTTGAAAGTGTGAATTATGAAATACCAAAATCAAATGTAAATTTACGATCTGTAGATTGATTGTATAGAATTATCATTCTATGTGCAGATTTTAATGGTAATAATTCTCCAAAATCTATTTCTTCCAAAGAAAAGAATACTTTTGAACCTATAGGAGATTGATGTGATCTTTATCTTGGAATTTCTATTGTTTATTTTTAAATCTAATTTTTAGGTTTATTAGCATATCCTCTTCCTTGAATAGCTAACTTAACTGGTTAAATTACTTTGACCATATCAGAAACCTCAACCAATAATTCAAAATAGTATATTTTCTATTCTAATGGTTTAAAAAGGCAATACAAATATTATTTCTCATTTGGTAAGAGTGATCCTTAAGGATTCTGAATATCAAATACATTAAACTAAGAATCAATGATCTATCCATCAATATCCATTTCTTATATAAGTGTTTTATAGGACACTTTTGAACTTCCTACATTTTAAATTTCTATTGGATATTTAACAGGTTACAATAATCCAACTGGAGTTTCTGGCAATTCAAATGAATTTTTCTTTACTGCTAATCTTCCTTCTAATGGAGCTAGTGTTGTTCCTTTTAAATTTAAAACTAATGGTTTTCCATTCAAAATCTATAATACAACCCTTAGAAAATGACTTTCATTTGAAATTCCCTTTGTTTTGAGTTCTTCATCTAAATTACAAGGAGTATAGATTAGTTCTATATCTTTAAAACATTTTGGAGCTATTACACCACCTTTAGGTCTAATTTAAAATATGTTCTTTTCTAAAATGGCTTTTTCAAATGTATCTTCTTCAGTAGGTTCTCCTGGATCAGCCCAAGGTTCTAATTCTATTTAATGATCAGATGGTAATTTAAATTGCCACTCTAAATCAGTACCTCCAATGTTTTAAATTGTTATAACAATTTTTCTAGATTTTACTTATGGTTTAGATGGTAAATATCCGAAATTCCAGTCATAACTTCTTAATCTCTTTTATAATTATTAAGCTTGATCAAATGTCAATTATTCGATTTTCAAAAATTTCTATTCATCTTCATTTAAATCTTTGGCTAATTCTGTATTAATTTAATTAATTTAGAAATTTTCCCATAATGTGGCAACACTTATAGAATCATTTCTTACATCAGCAATTTTCAATAAAGGATAATTTCCTTTAGCCTTAATTTCTAATTTGCATTTCTAAGATACTATTTTCCTATTTTAATAATTAGGACCTTTAGGTGCTTTTGGATTCTTTTCAGTAGCAATAACATCTAAAACTAAATCAAATTCACAAACTTCAATTGGATTAAACATAATTCCAATATCTAATTTTGAATTGGCAGCAATAATCCCATTTTATAAATCTAAAGTAAAAGATCTATTAATAAGACTAATTATTTAATGATCAATTTTATCTTTATCCTTACTTTTTGGTCTAAGAACTAATTCAATATAAAATGTGCAATCTGAATTATTAATTAAGGTAGCATATTTTTTTGTATTGAAATTAACTTTTATAATATTGAAATCGATTTATTTAACATTAAGTTCTAGTTCACCATCTGTACCTTTTCCAAATATTTCAAATTGATATGATAATTCAATAGGTTTTCTTTGCTCAAGAGGAAAGTCTAAATTTCCTGATCCTGGAATATGATACCCAATAAGATTTTAGTTATCTGCAAGAATTTCTGTAGCAGTCATAGGTACTTTAATTCTATATTCTTTATTCTTTTTATAAGGAATAAATTGACAATCTAAATGAATTACTTCATTAGGTTTTATTTATCCAGATGAAGGTTCAATATATAATTCAGTTTAGTATTTCTCTGGAACATCTATTGAATAACTCATTGGTACTCTTGATTCATTATGAACTGTAAATTTTTATCTTGAGTAAACTCCAACAAATGAGGGAGGGAAGAATACTTTACCATCATTCTACAATTTAAGTGAAGGAGTAGAACAATATCCTATAGCTTAAAGAGTTATTTAATTAGAAGATTAATGATTCATATGACAAACTAGAGTTTAATTGTATGCCTTATTTTCAACTGGCACAAATTCAACAATAATCATTTATGATGATTTACCAAAAATTAAACCTTAATTAGGAAATACTCTAAAAGTTCTTGTTGGATCTGGACTAAAATTAAAATAGATTGGAGTATCTGATTTATTAACAAATTCTACTGTTTAATAGACAGATTCTTCAATTGTACAAGGAGGAAAATATAATTTGTTAGATGGTCTAAGTTCTATTATAGGAATATATGGTTAAGAATTAATTCCAAAAGAATGTCCAACACATCCAATTTATCCACTAAAAGTAGGAATCATTTCTTTAGAAGTAAAATCTATAGTATTTTTTTGATTAGTAATTCCAGTTTAAGATAATTTTAGATTTGCATTATTTCCAAATGATTCATTCAAAATAGATCCTTTGTTATTTTTAACTGAATCTAATATTTTTTTTGTTAGTTTTGGATTATATTTAATTGCAAAGAATTAAATATATTAAAAATAGTAGTAAGATGATTTTGTAGGTCTAAAACTAATTGAAAATTTGCATTTAGAATTTGCATTAGCTGATTATGTTTCTGGAGAAACTGTAAAAACTGGCACTTTTTCTCCATTAATAGTAGGATGAGTTTAGATTGTCCAAAATATAGTCAATTTACAATTAAGTCTATTATGTAATTCCAATTCCCTTGCTCCACTTTATGAATAACATTCTACATAACCAAAATCTATAAAATCTTCAGAAAATTTAATTAATCTATAATCTGATGATGGAGGAAGCATTAATTCTTTATATTAAACAGTTTAATTAGGATTTTCTTGCCATTCTCCTTAAAGGTTGCTTGTATTTTATTAATTTATTTTCATCAAATAAGAATTTTCCATATATTTGAAATCAACTTCACTTAATTTTCCTTAAATTACTCTTCTTCTAAAATTATCAATATGCTATTAGAGTAATGGTATAGGTTTGATTAAAAGGTCATAACATGTACCAATTAAATCAACAAATTTAATTTAATTACTGGCAACACAATATACTCTTTCATAATAATTAATTGTATGTTTAGGTGTAAAAGTGACTATGATACGATCAAAGCTTTTTCCTTAAATTAAACCTCTTATTTTATTGAAACTAAAAATGTTATTCATATCAGTATAAAATTAATATGAAGTGGCTAGATCAGAATCATTATGGATTGTTAATAATTTAGTTGCCTGATTACCAATTTTAATCTCCCCAAAATTAATTGACTTTTCACTTAAATATACAGCATGTTCCACTGTTGATCCAACACACTCAAAAGTTAATTCATTTCCTCCTTAACATATCACTTTAAATCTAATAACAGAAACATTAAGTATTTTAGGTTAATATGTAACTTTAATTAAAAATGTGCTTTTTTGAGGAATTACACCTGAATAATAGTCTAATGAAAATGCATTATCTTTGAACTCATCATCTATCATTTTTGTGATTTAAAATTAGGCTGTAACTTCTGATGAATTCTTAATAGTGATTTCTTTTGTTACTGTTTTACCTATCAATAAAGTTTCAAAATTGAGTTTTTTAGTATTCAATTATAAAAAGGGATATTTGCCAATTCCTGATACTTTAATTACTCTAGGTTATTCATATTAAATATGCATGATAATTGATGCAACAATTACTTCTGCTTATTAAGGGGAATATGTCAATGTAAAATTGATTTTTGATCCAGGAGCTAATTATCCCCTAAATTATTATCACTGTTTAATACCTATCTGGAGTGATCTTAAATCTCTCAAATTCAAAATGAAACTATACAGGATAGTCATTTGGATTTTCAAGCATGAATACCAAATTAGATACAGATGTTACAGCTGTAAATCCAATATCAAGTGCTGAAGGAATGTTTGTCAATATCATTCGATGTTCCACTTATTTTTTTTTCATTATATTAAATTTATTTTTTATTAATAATAACTCATCCTAACTTTTTATATTCTTATCCTTTTGGAGGTGATGGTCTATCCTTCTTTTCATAATCTTTAGATTTAACTTCATCCCAATTTGTTGATCTAAATAATAATTAAATTCAATTTATTACAATACTGTTCCTTATGAAGTTTACATTGATTTTATCATAGCTCTTCTAGTATTCTCATCTCCATTTTAATAAATTTGTTTAAATAAACTATTCAAAGGATCTTCACCATATTCTTCCTTATGTTTATTGATGTCCTCTTCAATCTCTTTGTCTATTTTACTCCAATCCTTCTTTACTTTTGATGAAGTTGGATATGCTGCTTATTCAATTATTGGTATTTATTATTTATCTTCAACTTTTTTCTACAATGTATTCCAATTCAATGTTTTATCCTTCTTATCCATAATAATTTCAATTGAATTCAATCCTACCTTTGCTTTGCTGGTTTCAGGAATAATTTCAGCAAATAAATCTAAATCAAGTTCAAAATTATTAGCTTATTCAATAGGAAATGATAATTGTAATCTAAATATGGCTTTATTGAATACCTTTATTTTTCAAACTAATATTTTAAGTCTGCACTATTTGGTAATGCATGATGTATTTCTATGCCAACTTTCAAATCTGTTTGATACCACTTATACATCTATTTGCCTGATGCTGAATAAATATCTTTTCTTTGAGCTCCACAATTTTAAGGGACTTCTTTTTATTACTATATTAGTCTAAAAATGAAATGATGCTTTACTTTTCTTAAGTTGTTTAGACAAGTTTATTATTCTTGAGTTCTAATTCACATTTCGAAAGCTATTGTTAGGTTTCCTTATGGTTTGGATTTAGTACAAGACTTTTTTATAAATCTAACTATGCTTATTAGATCTTTCCACATATGAAGTTGATCAATCCTAAATATATTTCTACATAATACCCTTTCTATAATATGCTTCAAATCTGTCAGTACTTAATTAGATAGCTTTGTCTAATGTTGATAATGCATCATCATATTTGCCAAGATGATATTATGCTAATGATTTGGTTACAAGTGTCTCGTAATCATCATTAACCAATAATTGAAGAGCTTGGTCATATTAATGGTGAAGAATTAGAAAATAAGGATTTGAACTCATAATTATTTATTAATATTTTTCAATACTAAGAAATCTCTGCGTGTTGGACCGTACATATTTGCCAATCCTAATTAAATCTTACCACTATTTAATTCTAAATTAAAATTTAGAATAAGGTAAACAAGCAAGGTCTTCATTTCTAAAGTTGCTAAATGTTATCCAATACAATTTCTAGGGCCAGCTGAAAATGGAGTAAAAGAATATGTATCTAATAATGGTGAATTCCATCTATCAATATCAAACTTAAGTGGGTTTTTAAAAATAGATGGATCAAAATGACTCATCATCATATTTAAATCCATACTCTATCCTTTTTAGATAACAAATTCTTCTAATTTAATATCTTTAATAGCTATCCTATTGAACAATGAAGGAACTGCAGTATAATGTCTATATGATTCATTAATAAAGTTATCTAATAATTTAAGTTGGCTTAATTATTATGGTTTTAGATCATCAAATTATTTAATAATACTTTTAATTTCATTTCTAAGTCTATTTTATATTTCTGGATATAAACCTAAGGCATAACAAAAATTTTTAACAACATGACTAGTTGAATCTATGCCAGCTATTAAAAGTGTGAAATATTAATGAATAGCTTCTTCTTTAGTAATATTATTATTAATTATTTCTTTACACATAGTCATTAATATATTATCTTATACAATTTAATTCTCTTTGATTTTTTTAATTCCTTGATCAATTTCAGATGTGATTCTTTATTTTTAATCTTACAGTTCTCTAAGAAATGCTTTTTCTCCAGATGATAATAAAAATGAAGGAGTTGTAGTCTTATTTAATTTCAATGCAAAACATCTCAATACAATTAAAGGATTTAAAAAGAATAACATCATCTTTTCCATATTTTTATTAACCTCAACACCCAAATCTGATATATCATTATTTTCACTTCCAAAAAATGTTTTTGTAATAGTTGTACTAGTTAACTATTTCAATAATGACAATATATCAATAGGACCATCTTGTAATTGAAGTTTATTGCATTCCTATTTTAATGTTTCTACCATTACTAATAGATCTTGATATGTAAAATGTTTGGTTAACATTGTTCTTGATTTATGCCAACTCTGTCCATTCTAGAAAAGTAATCCTTAATCTACAAATGTGTCTGCAAAAGGCATGCCTTCCATTTTCTTATAAGATTCTTAATCAAAAAACACTAACTTCTTAAGCTTTGGATCAATCAAGGAGAAATGAACTCCACCTTTTAAATCATTAGATATATGTAATTTGAGTTTTTTATTCTTTATTAAATATCTTTTTTAGGAATAGAAAGCATCTTGTCTAAATATCAAATCTATTATGATTTGACCTAATAATCCAATAATTGGAAAATAGTATATATCTACTGCAGATCCATACTTAATCTTATAGTACAATAACTTTGGAATTGGTGCAATTACAAGATAGGCTATTAGGACTAAGATTGTGTAGCCTAAATATGTTAAAATTAGCAAATTCATAAATTCTTAATTAATTATAAATTAATAACTTGGTTTTTGATATTTAATTTATAAATTTTATGGAAAAATGTATATTATATATAAGAATTTTGCAGTATTTATTATAAAATAAAAATAAATATTGTACTAATTGTTATCATCTAATATCTAGATTAATTTATTTAATGAAAGAAATACTCAACTAAATTGACCTTTGAATATAGATATTCTAATTTTAAGAGATTCCTACTAATCTTCTTACATATAACATTGATCTATGTAAATATATATATATTAACAGATAATATTTATTAAAATATAATTATAATTATTTAATGGAAATAATAAAAAAATTTAATGTCTAATCCTAAAATTATAAATATGAAATTTATTAAATCACAAGATTAAAGGTATTTAACTTTATCTGTGTAAATTAATTCCTTCATTTTTAAAAAACCAAATATTATAACATAAGATCTATTGTATTATCTTTTTCAAAATCCTTATCCTTATCTTACTCTATCTTCAGGAATTATTGTTTTTGTTAGATGATCAATTGCATAAAATATTAATGAAGCCTATAAAACTTACTTTTTTTAATTATCTTATCTTAGACTTCTCTATACTACTCTTTTAGTTGTGAAAAGAATTACAATCCTCCTGTTTTATTCACACCAATAAAATAATAATTTAAGATCTATACTTCTTCATTATATTATAATAATAAATATATATACTATTTATATGTTAATTATAAATCTACAGGGTATTTAGTAATTAAATGAATATAGAATAATCATTTTGATCAAACATCATATATTTTTTTAAATTGATTATTATTTCATATAAAAAATAATATAGAATATCTTTAAAACAATTATACGTATAAATCTATTTTTATCTATATACAAATAAAATTAAAATAACAGTTAAATGCATAGATAAAAATACTTTTCTCTTTATTATTTTATAACAAAATATTATTAATTAAATGATGCCTAATCAAAAAATTATGAAATTTAATATAGAAAAGATTTATGAAATTATTTTTTATTTAAACTGATCATTTAGACATTTCAACTGTTGTTGACAGATGATTATATTTATTAAATTATTTTAGTAATTGAGAAATCATTTATTGTAAATGTTTTGTTGAAATAGATATCTAACTAGTTAATTAGGTTTTAGTACACTCACATAATAATTCAACTTGGATGGATTAGATTGTTTTTTTTTAATATTAATATTTTTCTATTTATTTGCAAATATTTCCTTTTTATTATTAATTTTTAGTTAAGATATCACTGAAATTAATTATTTAAAGTTCTAAGTTATTGAAAATACTATTGCCATCCTTCTTTTTATTCATTAACTTAAATATTTCCTTATCCAAATTATTACCCATTTTTTTAATGTACATTTTGGCTGCAATCATGACTCTAAGAATAGGGCGAAAAATGAAAATAACAATAATCATTGAAATCGAAATTAAAGAGCAAGATATAATTATTTAGATATAAAAAGCTCTTTCATTCACCTATTAAACCATATGTTCAAGCTCTAAGAAATTTTTTTATAATAATTGTTCAAAGCTCGAATTAGTAAACCTAATAATTAAATTCATATTTACATCATTAATGTGAAATTGCCAGGAATTTGATTAGCTACTATCTTAATAGGTTTTTTATAAATCGAATTGTATCTACATAAGATTTATTTTTCATTCAATTAACAATTAGAAATGCTTGGATTTTAATTAGCAAAATTTAAAATTTCAATCCAATCTGTTTTATTGAATCCAGTTTTACTTTCTTCATATATAAAATTCAATTCTGTAACAGGTAGATTTAAATTGACATTTCTATATATTATTTGACCTTATTCATTTAATAAATAAGTGTTTGCTTAAATTAATTTCATATCTGGGTCCTCTGCATCTATATCAGTACCTGCTATTGCATCTAAGCTTTTAGTATATTGATTTTCTAAAGAATAAGAAATTGTTTATTTATAAATAAATTGAGTGCCAGAAAAGTAAAGTTATGAGTAAAAATATTTTTAATCTTTTTCGTATTAATATTTATCCAAATGATTTACAAACCAATTTTTTTATTATGGTGAGAAAGACCAATCGTAAATAACTTAAGGAAAAATAAATGCAACTTCTATATCTCCAGTTGCCACATAGAAAATTCTGTTATTTTATGTTGTATCAAATAAAAGAATATATTCAGATAGTAATCTGGAGAATTTTTATAAATCTTGATATTTTTGCATTGAAGGTAATTTATTACCTTCTTTACATAGATAACAATTTGAACAAGGTTCTGGAAGTAAAAATAAAAAATTTTTCTCTTCTAAAGTTTAACATTTAAGTGCATCTTTATATTATTCAGATACCTGAAAATTATCCAATTATTAATAAAGAGAACCTAAACTTTTTAAAAGCTATACTCCTAAAAAATATAATAAATTAATACTTTGATGCTATTTGGAAATGAGATAATAATTTAGTTATGGAAGAAAGAGGTTAAGCGCATCTCTATCTTAACGTTACAAAACTATAGTAGAAGAGTTTTCATATATTCCAATGATTACATTTTTCTAAACTATATAAAATGATCCAATCAATATAAAACTGATTAAAAAAGCAGATATCTTAACCAAAAAAATCTAGTCTCTCATTTTTAGGTTTTGAAACTGTTTTCTAAAGGCTTACCAAATTGTCATTTATTAATCTTATTTAATTTTATTTCAAATTTACAACTTTATAATTATTTGACAATATAAAATAAAAATATCGATCAAGTATTACAATTAATAAATTAAAACATAATTCTTAATTCTTCTATTTATTCTCTAATGTAATAATATAATAAGTAACTATTGTCTTATACCTATATATGTATATATATAAGAAATATTAATGATATATATTTATATATTATATAATATTAAATGAGTGATAAATCAAAATCACCTCCAACTAAGAAATTAATCAAAAATAAAATGAAGAAGCAATTCTCAAATGAGAAATTCTCAACTAAAAACTACCAACCTTCAAGATTTGTTGTTGCAGAACGATTATAACCAATAACGTATATGAATTAGTTTCATTATTGATATAGATATAAAGCCTAAGAAATTCTTAGTGAATTTTAAACAAAAATAGAAGATGCTTTCTTTTCTTAACCAAATCAATTAAAAAGTATGTAGCCTAGTTAATAGAGAGTGCTATAAGTATAAATTTCTTAGAATATTAAATAGCCTAAAGAATATAAAAAGAAACCGCTAAGAAGATAAGAGAACGATATGCAAATGTATAAAGACATCTTTGTGTAACCTAAGGCTGATGCATTGTAAGAGCTAAAAGAAAAAGAAAAAGATTTTGAAGCTCTCTTTCATAAAGGTTAAGCAAAACAATATGACAAAATTCTAAATATTAAAGATGATGAAGAAAAACCAGTAAAAAATTTATTGGGATCATTATTAAATGAATAACTAATGAAATCTACAGCCCCAATTGATAATATTGATTTGAAAAAAGAAATTGATAAAGTGGCTTAAATGGATTTACCAGTTCAACCAGAAACTAACTTTTAGTTCTTTGATTAATAGATTTCTGTTCAACCACCTGATTTACCAAATGCTAGTATAGCATCTCCATTAACACCTGGAAATGGTTATGCTCCATCTATACCTTATACACATAATGTTAAGGAAAACAATAGAACTAGTATTAAGGATTTACTAGTAAGAGCTAAAGCTGGTATGTAAGCAGGGGATATTTAGAAGGAAGCTCATTTATCATTTTATTTAGGAATGGTTTATGAAAGTAGCAAAAATCATAATGAAGCTGTTAGATTTTATAAGAAATTTGTGGCATGTGCTAAATTAATGGAAGATAAAATAGGAATGGCATTAGGAACTAATAGAGTAGCATTTAATTATTATAATGCTGGTAATTTTACAAAATCAATTGAATTTCATAAATAAAATATATAGTACTCAGATTAAGAGAATATGTTTACAGGATTTTATAATTTGGGTTTAGCTCATAGAAGACTTAAGAATTATGAAGATTCTATTGATTATTTTTCGAATGCTTTAGAATGGGCACAAAAAAGAGATGAAGCAGAATCATCATGTATCTCTTATGGTTAATTGGGTATTGTATTTTTAGAAGTCAAACAATATGATTAAGCATTTGAAAATTTTTAAGTAATTTATATAATAATAAAATATTTAATAGAATTGTTATGAGTTGGCCAGAAGATTGAAAAATCATAAATTACAATTAGAGTGCTTATTGAATCTAATTAAAATATCAGGATATCTATAAACCTCAACTGAAGTGTAAACATAAATTTTAAAAAATGCCATTTTAGTAAATTTAGATTATATTATTTAAGTGTGCAAACCATTTAAATGAAAAATCAATTGCAACTTTATGTCTATGCAACTTAGGTGTTCTTGAATCAAAACCTCCTTAACCAAATTAAAATTATGACGATTTAGAATATGAATAATTTTGATAAAAAACAATATTTTTATTATAATAAAATGAATTCGACTTAATAAAAAATTTAGTTGAAAAGACCATAATAATATTTAAATGAATAATCAATTAATAAGTTATTAGATGATATAGAGATGCTAAAATAGAATTTTCTTAATAAAAAAAATAAATAAACTTATATAAATATGGCCTCTATTCAAGAATTAGATTGGTAGAGTTAAAATTAAGAAAAATATTTTAGTTAAAATAAAAGCCATCCATTATGAAAGATAAAAATATAATAATGATTAGACTAAAAACAATAATTGAAATTTTGAAGATGTCACAAGACACATCAAAAATCTTAATTTTAATAAAATCCATTCTTAGAAATTTTTAAAAGACATTTTCTATCTATGTATTACTAAATAATGAACATTAATTTTTAATTTTTAATATTTTCACTTTTTCACAATTAAGGAAATCTAAGTTTGAATAAACTCATAGCAACATTAGAAATTTCTTTTGCTCTGTCATTCAACCAATCCATTTAATCTTAAGTTTATGCTACTTCTGCAAACTTTCTTGAAAATCTGATTTTTGTGAATGATTCAATTTCATTAAATTTAGCCTACATTACTATTTCAATTACCAAATCTTCATAATAATGATAGATATCTTAGGCTGTATAATTATTTGGAAGTACATGATCAAATCTCTTAATTGGACTCACATATTTTTTAATAATTTCATCAAATTTCATTTTATATATTAAAAATATAATAATTTTGAGGAATGTTATAACATATATAAGAAAAAATTAAATTAAGATAAGATAAGGAAAGTTAATTTTCAGAAAATACTTATATCAATTTTCATGAATTAATGAAATAATATTTTTATATAAATTAATTCATATGCAATAAGAAGATGGAAAATAAGTGACTGTATATACAGCTTATTAAAATAAATAACTTAAAGTATGTTACGATTTAGAAACAAGTAATAGTATGAAGATTTTAAGAAGTATTAAAAAAGTAACAACTATTGCAAATATTTGTGAAGATAATTTATCAAATTTGAATATGTTTATAGATAGAACGGAGATTGATATTTATGTAAAAGAGATATAAAATTAAAGGTAAATAAAACCTACTTTATAATAATTATTAAATGAATTACAGATTAGAATGACTGAATTATAAAACTTAGCTTAAATGGAATAGGAATAAAATTAAAGTGATAATAGTGATGATTGGTAACCTGATGATGAGTAAGATGATGAAGACGATTCTTCATAATAATAGTGATATTTAATTAAATCAATTTAATACATTTTTAGGATACTTTCTTTTCATTTAACTTATACATTTTACTATATTTTCTTTTGGCTTAACATTCTTTTTTAACATTGCTTCATAGGTTTTTAATTCTTAATCCTTCAAATCATTATACCATGATTTTATAAGTATTCCATTTTCTAATTATAAATCAAATTAAATACGTGGATTTAATGACATTCCAGATGAAGAATTATCAATAATAAAGGTTTTATCCAAATTTGAATTAATTTTTGTTAAATCTTTATAAAATACTCCATCTTTCTTAGTACAACTCTAAAAAATTATAATTAATTTTGTTACATCTCTATAGTATCTTCTCTTGATGAATCCACTTGGATCTAAATAATCAATTACTTTGTCTGCATATTCCTTTAGAGCTGCTGTAAAAATAACCAATTCAAAATATTTAGATAAAGCTTTCAAGAAATCTCTTGCAAATGGTCTAATTTTGACATAATATTTTTCTATCGTGTTCCCTATTTTCACAAGGATTTCTTCATCAAGAAATGAAGTTCTTTCCATATCAGAGTGTATTAAAGTTTCATCTAAATCTAATACAAGAGTAAACTCTTTTTCTGTCTATTTTGCAGTTATTTTATCTTTGTAATCATTATCAAAATCTAAACCCTTAACTGAGATAGGAGATCCCATCATTATTAAGATTGAACCTAACATTTCCCAACTCCATGAGATGATTTTCTTACATCTTTCAGTTGTTGAAGCATTTACTAAAGTATTTCCTACCATTTTAGCAATATTTGATTTAGAAATGTATTCCATTATTAAATTAATTAAAACGGGGAAGTGTATATTAATATTTATAAATGTAAAATAATATTATTGAATAAAATAAAATAGTTGTCAGAGTTAAGGATCCAACAATTAATTAAAATCAAGAGGAATTTGTAATTTATAATATAGAAGGATAAGATAATACAGGGAATTTTTAGATTTAACATCGTTTTAGTGAATTTTATTAATTAAGATCCTTACTTGCATTAAAATGGTAATACTGTTATATACCTGCATTACCTCCAAAAGTTATATAAGTAAAGTAATTGCAATTTAAATATAGGGAAATATGAGTCTATAAGTAATTTATTAAAGATTAATAATGTTAAACCATTTCATGAAATAATTATCTCATTTTTCATTTTTGTGGTATTCTCAAGAAGTTTAAACATTTTTAAGATAACAATATATAAAGGAAAGTAATTCTAATGAATAGTAAGAGAACTATGCTAATTTATTGATTTCTATTTTTCCAGATTTTGCTGAAAATATAATTGATTAAGAAATAGAAACAAAAATAAACTAATTTTATCTTTTTATTTAAAATGCTACTCCAATCCTTCAGAATTATAAAATTTTAATGAAGAATCAAATAAATGTTAGGTAAGATTATTAAAATAAGTAGTAAATATTATTTTGAATAAATAAATATTTTTTAAACCTATTTTATACCAGAATATGAGAAAATATTAGAGATAAATGTTGAAAACTTTAGATCTCGTTAAACAAGCAAGATATTTTAAAATGATCAGAATAATTGCATTTTAAATGACACTGATAAGTAATTCTATATCATGTATATTTAGATTAAAATTGAATTAAATGAATTTTAAGTAAAAATATCATTAAATTTAATAGGTTTTAATTGAGTTAATTCAAAAAAGAGATTAATTAAAATTATAGATATAAACTTTAAATGAATAACTCAAAAAATAAGTTAACTATGTATCTGAAATTTAAAATAATGGCTTAAATATAATTAAATAATTATTAACTACAAAAGAAAATGAAATTGAAAAATCATTATCTAATTTAAAATAAGTGATTTATTTTAATACTATTGTAGCTAGAAAAAGAATTGACAATGAAAGTTTCTCTCTTTTCCCTTATTACAAATAAATTAGGTTCAGATATTAAGTTTTTGAAAAGGAATTTTTCAGAAAATTATTATTTTGTAGTCAGAGAAATGAGTAAATTTTTTAAATAAAATGCGTAAAAAGTATATATACAATTTAGTATTAGAATATTACATATTACTAGAATCTATTATAATAAATAGAGAAATAAGAATTTTGAAATTAACTTGTAATTATATTTTATAATTATTTATATTTATTCCTATTTCTCATCTTAAATATTAATCTAAAATTACTACTTTATACTCTTTATTGATAAAATTTATATTAATATTATCAATAATGTATAAATTATTTGTTATTTAAGAGTATATTATAAAGTATTCAGATAAAAATCTTAAGAATCTTAAATTTCTTTAACTTTATTGAATTTAATTTAAAGAGGAAGGACTGGAGAATTAATTAAAAGATTAGTCATAAACATTAATAAATATTTTGTATAATAAAAATTAGAAAAATAGGGACCATAGTATAGATTATTATAAAATAAAGTAAATCAATAATTAAATATCATTTATTTTTAAAAGATATGTTTGAATATAATTAATTATTTTTCTATTAACTTAATTATTAAGATATAAAGAAATAAAAGAATCAATGAAACATTTTACTTCCAAGAAAAAAGAATAAAAATCTATATTAATATTAATTTCATAAATTTTAATACAATCAATTATAATAGGAATAAGAATTAATAAATTATCATTTAATTAATAATTTAAATTCGAATACTATAACCGGTAAGGTTTTTTAATTTAGTAAAATAAGAACTAGTATCTAATTTAAAATTTAATTTAAAAAAAAAATCTTAATAAATATTATATTTTTACTTTAAAAAGATGTTTTTTTGTTTGATTTTCATTTTAATTATATAGAAAACTTCAAAAAGGAAATGAGAACAAATAAATTAAAATATATCAGATTATTCATATTATAATTTGATTAATTACATATAATAAAAATATATTATAATTTAATATATGAAATAATCACTTTAAGTCTGTAGAAATTCATAAAACAAGTCCCATCGAAATTATTCTGTTAGACCTACTTCTTCTATGGCAGAAGAAAATTAAGTAAGGAATTTCAGATTGTTTTCTTAAACTTAAGGATGTTCAATAACAACTAACTAACCACAAAGAATAGAACTACCCTGTTTTTTTAATACTCCAGCTAGATTTAAGAACATGAATGTATTATTTAATAATAGCTAAAGAGAAAAATAAAATTCAATTGTCAGAAAAATAAAACGATCCAAAAAGTCTCTAAACTCCTGAATTATGTATATATCTATAGGCTCAAAGAAGATTGAAAGATTATGAAATGTTGGCATTTGCTTGTAAAAGAGCAGGTAAGATCAAAGATGAAGGAAGAGCTTACTATAGTATGGGAGTATTATTGGACAATATGGGTAAATGGAGTTAAGCTATATAATAATATGAGAGATTTTTATAAATATGCACTAAAATAGATGATTAGCATGGATGTGGTTTAGCTTATAATTGTATAGGAGCAGACTATTAGTTAATGGCTGAATCAAATCCAAAGTTTATAGAAAAAGCAATTGAATTCCATAAGAAACATGAAGAGATATCTGATAGTAATGGTAAATTCTTGGCATCAATAAATCTGGGTTTATGTTATGATGCTAATACTTAGTTATCTATGTTTTACTTTTAGTAAGCTCTAAAGCATGCAATGAATATGTCAAGCAAATTAGGATAAACAATTGCTATTGCCAATATTGGTAGAATAGGACAAAAAGGTTTATATGATAATGCTGAAAAAATGAAAGTATAAATTTAATCATGTTTTAGTTATTCATAGAGAAGTTTTTATTATTAGCAAATGAGTTAAAAGATACAGAAAGTATTATAAAAGGACATATGAAACTAGGAGCTGTATCTGCTTAAATGGGATCATATAATGAAGGAAAGAATAGTTTTTTGAAGGCTTTAGAAATGGTTGAGAATGATCGTTATTTATATTAAGAGGCTAAATGTGGATTTGCTATTTCGAATGCAGAAATAAATATGGAATAATATTTGAGAGAATAAGCATAATTATTAAAATAATGATACTAATTCGATATTATAATTTATTATTATCTAATGACATATGTTGTATAAGGTAAATATTAAAGAAATTATAGATTATTATATATATATATATATTTACTAATTTTAATGTGTGATATGATTGTTTTATTATATCATATTCTCCAAAAGTTAATAATACCATTAACATCACTTGTAGATATTAAGCTATCACTAACTTTATTAATACAAGTGATGGCTGTTTAATGTCCAAATTTATCATCTTCTGTTTTTTATCCTATAATAATAATAAATATCATTTTGTACCTTTTCCAGAAAACATTTACTTTGCAGCAGCAATACTTCCAGATTTCTATACTTCTCCTTCTGCAGCTAAACATTTTTCAATAATTGATGTAAATTTTAAAGTAGGTTCACTACTCAATAAAACTGGTTTCCTATCATATCCTACTCCTACTAAAGTGGAATCATTTAAATATATTATTTTATTAAATGGTTTTGTCTCCTTTATATAAGTTGCCTAATATTTATATATATATATATAATTTACATTTTTATCTTCATTATCAACAATTAAACTACCATCTTCATTAAATGAATATTATTTAATTAATCCTGTATGTGCTGCAACAGCAAATTTATTACCTGATTAAGTAAAATCAATAGAATTAATCCATCCATTTAAATTTATAGTTACAAGGATTTCTCCAAATGTTCTAATATCCTTAAAAAGACCATTATATGATTAATCTTCAAAATTCATATTTTCTTATATCACACATGAAACTAATTTAAATGTTTGATCAGTTGATCCTAATCCTAATACTCTTCCACTTGGATGAAATCTGCATGCAGTTACACTTGAATAAAAACAATTGATCTATTAATTATGCCACCAATTATTTTTTTCTTCAAAAAATAAAACAAAAGCTTTATGACATGCAGTTCCAACTACACATTTTTATCCATTTGGAGCCCATTCTCCTGATAAAATAGCCTTCTCATTTGTGATAATGACTAAATCTTTGTTCCATTAATTATTTATATTTCTATATACAAAAACCTATCATCATCTTAAAATTTACGCTTCTATCATCACTTCCAATTAATATTTTGTTATCTATTGACCAAGATAACACATTAATTTATTATGATGCATCCTTCAACGTAGATACTTTTTACCATGTTCCAATCTTCTCTAATTAACCAATTTTATAAATATCTGCATTGCTGGTATTCTTAATAGAAAGAGCAACAAATTAGCCATCTGGTGACCAAGTATGAGTTACCAACTTTTATTATTTCAGATAGGATTCAGTCATTTTTTATTAATAATAATATTTATATTCTAAAATATAATTGAAATCCATAATTTAATAGGAAAATCAATTAAACTAATAACTATGAATAAATAAATTAATGTCATTGTTAATTCTATATTTTTCATTTATAAATTTTATATTATATATAATAAACTCTTAATTAAGTAATATTTTAACTAAAAGTTCACTTCACTTTTTATAATATATATTTACAATCCATGAGTTAATTTAATATGATAAATATCATATGTCATTAATTAAAGCTCCTTAATCTCCTTAAATAATCAATCATTTTAAAGATCAATCAAAGAATAATAAGAATAATAATAAAATCTCATAGTCAGTTAAAGTAGAAAAATCAAGAAACTCTATTATTGATAAATAAGATGAATAAGCGACTGTAATCAAATATAAAACCAGTTAAGGAGACTTTTTGTAATTTGATAATTCTATCTAATAAAAAGGGTCTCCTAATGAAACCAATATATTAATAAATAATAATGATTAATCAAATTCATTATAAATCAGAAACCAAACTGACGATGCTATGATATCTATTTCACCAAAAGGTTGCTGTTTTTGTGGAAATATATAAAATGTATTTCCTATTTGTTAATGTTCTCAAGCTCATCAAAAATGTGCTGATTAATACCTTTAATAAGGTCCTTATTTAGAACAAATCTAATGCAAAAATTGTAATTAATATAGACATGTCAATGGTGTTGTTAATTTTGATTTTAGTTAATGGAAACAAAGTAAATCTTCTTTATTATTGGAATGTTTATTTTTATTTATAACTCTAACTATTTTTGGAGTTTTAACATACTTTTCCTTTTTTGAATTGTATGATGAAATTGCCAAAGATAGATTATTAATCTCTTGTTTAGTATTTTCATATACTGTATGGTTTATTTTACTTATATGTTTGATATCTAAGATACTTAGTCATTTTAAAAAAGTAAAGTTACTTATTAAAAGATTTGATCCAAAAAATGTTTCATATAATTAGAATTATGTGAATTTAATAATGAAATTATGAAGTTATTGATTATATGACATCATTATTAAACAAATCAATCAATTTTCCTTATTTAATTAAAATATTATTTATATTAATGATTTTTGAGATTTCAAATTACTGTAAAGATATCAGTAATTGTTTTATATCCTCTAATATCAATTCATGTTAGAATGGAGCATTTTTGCTTGAAAAAATCCAAACCTTACAAGTATTGTGACTAATAATATTATTTGATAGGATAGCTTGAAAGAGTTTGATTTTTGGTTTAAAACTTAATTCAATAATGAAGAACTTTTGGTTAATTACATTTACACTGAATTACTAGAAGTTAGAAAAATTAATAAAGTTGTGTAATTTAAAAAAATTGATGAAAAATCATCAGAAATCAAAGGCTTAAGTATTGATTCATAGAAGAGTGCAGAAACTTAATCCAGCATTTGTAGTGCAATGTAGTATAATTAAACATAGCTTTAGAACTAATTATAGACAATACTCTAAAAAATTATAGAAAAAAGGATAATTATTGATGGAACTTCTTAATAATAACAAAGAAGAACAAATAAATTAATCAAATCTCTAAACTCCTCCAAAATCTTATTCACTTGATAAAATATATTATGTGATTAATTTTGAAATTAATTGTTTGAAACAGTATGAAATAAGTGGAGAAGAAGAAATTTAATTGTAAAAGATCTAAGACAAAGAAATATTAAAGTGGATACTTGAAACAGTCTAAGCAAAAAATCATTACAAATAAATTTTATAATGTTTAATAAACTCTGCATAAGATTTAGCAAATTATTAGATGGAAGATTATACTTAAGCTATTGAAAAATTAAACTTTTAGGGATCCTCATTTACTAATGAAGAATATAAACGATCTATTAGCAACTAATCTTTTTAGATGAATTAAGATGCTTTTAAATAATTGATAGTAGATAAAATAAAATAAAGTATGTTAGAATAAAATTAAAAAAAATAAAAAAAGAGAATTTCATCCAATAAATATGATAGTACAGATTCAAAAGTCTGTATGTGTTCAATATTTTGATAAACATAATGATTTTTTAATTTGTTTATTGTTACGTAACAAAAGATTCAATTTTATTTTATCATATTAATTTTATTGAAAGCATTGAATTAAATAATAATTTTTGTTTCATTTAATTTATTATTAGAGTCTGATAATATTTAATAAAAAAATAACCTTGTTTTCTTTGTCTTAAACAAAAATTTTCTCATAACTATCTGTAATGTTCTACATATCATAATTTTTATTGTTTAAAGTATATATACTAAAATTATTTTGAATCAAATATATTATATTTTTATCGCTAATTAATTGTTTACTTTTAAACTAAATCATAACTATCTTCGGGATTCATTCATATATATTAAAATATCTGACATATTAATAGCAAAATTAAGATCTTTTCTCAAACTTTAACTTAGAATTTCTTTTAAATGTAAACTTTAAAAAAATTCTATTTAAGATAGGTGATGTTAAGTTTGTAAAAATGAAAAAATGAAGTCAATTATCTTTCTAATAAATTAATTAAATATTATTATTAGAGATGTAAAAAAACATTAATATTCTATTATTTTACAGATATAATATAATATATAGTGCAATTATTAAATTAAGTAAATATTATTATTAAATACTTATAGTGAAATAAGTCAAAGAAAGATTTTACTCAAAACAAAAAATAGAATCAGGAATAAGTAATTTAGATTTGTAAATTATAATTTATTTATTAAGAATATAGGATTCCAAACAAAATTTAAGTCAGTAATTTAATATTTAAATTAAAAAGAGATCAAAATAATTGATAATTAAATGTTGTAAATTAATAAGGGCTATATGAATTTAGTTGTATTATCAGCAAATATTTTTCAGTAAAATATTTTATTGTAAGTTGAAAATATATTTTTATTTAATTCATTTGTTTGAAATATATACATTATGGGTAATGTATGTTGTAGAGATGATTCAAGATAATAAAGAGGTTATCTTTTCTATAATATTTTAGATGAGTTAGATACTTCACCAAATCCTGAGGCTTCAAAGCCTCCAGAATAAAAAGCCTTACTTTCTTAGTAAGGTAGCAAAAATGCACAAATTGAAGAAATTCAAGCATTAATTGAAAATTAAAAATGTGAATACAGTGAAGTACATTAGGAACCTGAATAATTATAAGCTGTTGTTATGAAAGAAGAATAATATAAAAATCCTGAAATATTTCAATCATAAAAAATAACAAATGAAAAAAGTAGAAATAAGTTACTAATATTTAGTAAAAATTGAATTAATGAAAAGTAGTTAGGAAGCAGATTCAAAATCTAAAAAAAGAATAAAGTTAGGGTTTGATATATTTGTTAAAGAGAAAGAGGGATCAATAGGATAACATTATATTTTTGGTAAGGTGTTGGGTTAAGGTGCTTTTGGTAAGGTATGGAAGGTCACTCATAAAACTACTGGGTTGGTTAGAGCTATAAAATAAATTAAAAAAAGTTCATTAATTAAAGAAGAAGAATAAAGATTGTTCTCTGAAATGAATATTCTAAGAAATTTAGATCATCCTCATATAGTGAAATTATTTGAACTATATTAAGATGAGAATAATTATTATTTAGTTACTGAGTAATTTTATTAGAATATATAGATATTTATCAGGAGGAGAACTATTTGATCGAATAAAGAAGATGTCTTCATTTAGTGAGAGTATAGCTGCTGATTATATTCGATAAATATTATTGGCTACTTTACATTGTCATGAATAAAATATAGTACATAGAGATTTGAAACCTGAAAATATTATATTTATAAGTGAAGATCCATAATCTTAATTAAAAGTAATAGATTTTGGTACATCTCGTAAATTTGACAATTAAAAAGTAATGAGTAAAAGGTTAGGAACGGTATTTCAAAAAATCATTCTTATTTATAGCCATATTATATAGCACCTGAAGTTCTTGGACATTCTTATACTGAAAAATGTGATATTTGGTCTTGTGGAGTGATATTGTATATATTATTATGTGGATATCCACCATTTGTTGGAAAAACAGAAAATCAAATATTAGATAGAGTTAAATTGGGTAAATTTACTTTTGATCGTAAATTTAAATTACATAATTAAAATAGCCGAGGATTGGGAAACTGTTTCTAAAGAAGCTAAAGAATTCATAACAAAATTACTTAGAATGGATCCTAATAAAAGATTATCTGCTAAATAAGCTCTAGATGATCCATGGCTAGTAAAGTATGCTCCATCTACTTAAGTAAATAAAAAAGCTTTAAATAATCTAAGATAATTTTAAGTATTTTTAACAATATTTTTTTTGATAGGCAGAGACTATCTTAAAGTAAGCATTAATGTCTTATATGATTACATAAATGTCAACTCAAAAGGAGTTATAAGATTTACAAGAGGAATTTCAGAGATTAGATGAAAATAATGATGGTTTTTTATCTAAAGAAGAATTATTGAAGGGATATCTACAAATCTAAACAGATCATAAATTAGTAGAAGATGAAGTTGAAAGAATATTATAGATAATTGACATAAACTAATCAGGTTAGATTGATTTTTCAGAATTTTGTATGGCAGCTATGAATTAAGAGAAATTATTATCAGTTTAAAGAGTTGAATAAGCATTTAAGATTTTTGATTAAGTTAATTATTTTCATAATATAGAATGGAGATGGTTTTATATCAAAAAAAGAATTAGAAGCAGTTATGGGTGATTTGGGTGATGATGTTTGGAATCAGATATTAACTGATTGTGATAATAATGGAGATGGATAAATATCTTATGAAGAATTTGTTAAAATGCTAAAGAATAAAAAACTTTGATTTTAATATATATTATTATTATTATATTAATCTATAATTTATAGATGCAATAAACAGTAGTCACAATAGATCCATCTGTAATTCTTAATTTATTATTAAGGTCTGTCATGCAAAATTGAAGAGTGATAAAACATTATGTGGCTTAGCCTACTTTGATGATTAAAAATCTTAAAGAGGAATAGTCTTGGAATCTTTAGAATATTTCAGGTTGATGACATTCTTTAAAAATTACAATTATGAAGGTTTTAAATTAATATAATTACTAGGACCTTCTGATATTTTATTAATATATTTATGGGTAGTGTGTGCACATATGATAAAAATTATAGAAAATGACCAAGATTAATAGGTTGCTGCTAAAAAGCTTGATGAAATTGCCAGAGAAGCCATTCCAACTAGAAGTGGAGATAGAAAAAACTTTCTTGGAGGACTTCTCAAAGAAACTCCAGGTGAAACAGATAAAATATAAGCATATTTGAAGGGACTTAAAGATATTCTTGCAAAAGAATTAATAGCTAAGTAAGTATTATTCTAAATTCATTTAAGATTCTTTAAAGATGGCAAAAGAACATTTGATGCTAAGTTTTGGAGTGGTATTGCAAAAAGAAAGTTTATGGGATTGAGTTATACAGGATTATGAATTGAATTTATATTAATATATATAGAATTGATTAATATGAAATATTTATAAATAATATAGTATTATCATTCCGCTCAAATTTATTATTAAATTATTTAATTAAGAATGAGGAAATATATAGGTTTATTCACACTTGAATATCCAATCAATCATTGTGATGTAGCTTTATAATTAAGTAAATAAATTGTTCAAATTTAAAGATTAAAAATTAATTTTGCATAGTGATACTTTAGTATTTGATGAAAGAATATCTAATGGTGGATAATTAAATATAAAGCTTATGCCCACTAATATAATCTCTTATTTATACACAGAAGATGGATAGTATGTAAAAAAATATAAATATTGTTTAAGTGTACAAAATTATATCATTTCTATTAAGAAATTTGGTCATTTTTATTAAATTATGATTATGTTTCTTTGAACATATAAGTATTAGATATAACACAGTATAACTATATAGTTCAATTTAAAGTTTATTTACTTGAAAAATCATTTAAAGAATAAGAAAAGATAATTAGTTAAATTAAAAAAGTTGATTAAAATGAAAAAGATTCAAAAAAAGAGAAAGCTAAATAGAAATTAGTACATTAATATGCAAAAGAATCATTTATTATTTTATTTGAAATTCTAAATCTTAAAATTTCATAGAGAGCATCTTTAAGACCTAATGAAGAAACATAATATTTAGATTAATTTTTAGTTGAAAAATTTGGTAATCTCGAATTTTATGAGTATACATATCTTTCTAAGAATCTCCTTATTCCACGTAATCTCAACAAAAATTAAGTTAATGTTACTAAAGAGAAAATAATAAAAATTAAAAAATAAGTAAAACCAGATGATGAAGAAGGATAAATTTAAATTGAATAATAAGAAAATGATACTAATTTATTTAGTGTTAATGAATAATAATCATATTAATTTACTTTATGTAAATAACCAGAAGATTTAAAAAATATATTATTTAATTATTAAGCTTAAGCAATTTAATGGATGTTATATCGTGAACACAGAATTAGTGCTTAAACATTAAATTTACAGAATTAATAATAGAGTTTAAATAAAATGTGGAGTGAAATATAAATTAGTGATGATATTAATATTTATTTCAACGAATTTACTGGTCAATTTTCAGAAAAAGTTGTAGCTTACAAAGATGTAAAAGGTGGTATTTTAGCAGATGCAATGGGTCTAGGAAAAACTATTTGTTCTATAGCTTTAATATTATTGGTAAAGGAAATGAAATAATAATAATTGAATGATAATAATTAAGAACCATAAGGAAAAAAAGTAAAATTAGAAAAATAGAATGGTAATACACTTTTGGTTGTTGAATTAAGTGTATTTGAACATTGGATAGAAGAGATTGAGAGACATACTAAATAAAATAAATTAGAAGTTTATTAATATTATAAACCTTAATCTAGAGTAAAAGAAATTCAATTAGAAGTTTATGATATAGTAATTACAACATATGGAGTACTTAAAAAAGATTGTACTAAAAATGGATTATTATACAAGTATGAATGGGAAAGAATCATTTTGGATGAAGCACATGTGATTAAAAGTAAAAGTACAGCTTGTGCAAAAGCTGCATCTTCTATATAAGCTAAATGTAGATGGTGTCTAACAGGAACTCCAATTTAAAATCATTTAGAAGATTTATATAGTCTTTTTCATTTTTTATAAGTTGAAACTTTCTCAGATTATTATTGGTTCAATCATTATATCAATAAATAATAAGATAAAGCAGCCAAATTCAATTTATTACATGAAATTCTTAAGCCTCTTTTATTAAGAAGAACTAAATAATCAGAATCAATTAAATCTTCATTAAATTTACCAAGTAAGCAACATTTCATTTTTAGAGTAAAAATGTCAAAACAAGAACAAAAATGTATTTTTTATTATAAATAATTAAGTTTATGATACCTTATATTTAAATACTTGTAAATATATAAAAGAATATTTTGGGATTGGATTGGAATAGAAAAAAAAGAAGATTCGATATATGCATGCATTTTAATTGCTTTCTTCACTTAGATAATGTTGTGATCATGTAGGACTAATAGCAAATAAACTTAGAAATAAGGCTATGCAAAAGATAGTAGCAACAAAATAAAAATCTGAGTAATTAATTAAATAATTTATTGAAAATGCTCAATAAAATTTGGAAAAAAGTTTAAAAGCTTAAATTCTATAATTATAATAGAAACAAGAAACAGCTGCTAATCAAAATTAAATAGAAGAAATTGAAGAAGATGATGATTTTTCTATTGAGGATTAATTTTCAGAAAATTCATCAACTGCAGATGAATCTAAATCTTTATTAGATATAAATTAAATTGAAAATGATTTAAGAAATAAAATTTAATATTTAGATAAAGTATAAATGGATATATAATCTCCTGAATTTGCTTAGAAATAATATCAAAGTATATTTGAGAAGGTGAAGAATGATGACTGTGTTATATGCACAATTCCTCTAAGGGAAAAAAATATAATATATTATTTAAGTTGTGGCCATGTATTTTGTTCTTGTATAGAAGATGTATTTAAAAATAAAAATGAAATTATTCCTTGCCCTATTTGTAGATAAGAAATTGAATAAAAAGGTAAAATTAAATTATATTAAAATCTCCAAAAAATTTAAGAAGAATAGCTTTAAAAATAAAATATTTAAGAAGAAACCAATGTGCCTAATTAACAAGAATGGTATTAAGAAAGTTCAAAAATAAATGAAATTCTTAAATATATAGAATATGTTTGGAAAAGCAATGAAAAAGTTGTTGTTTTTACTTAATGGTTAAGTATTATGAATTTCATTGAAGGTAAGTTAAGAATAAAAGGAATAGAATTCAGGAAAATTTAAGGAAAGATGGATAAAAATTAAAGAAAAGCATCTATTAAAGATTTTTTTGAAAAATAGATAACTGTAATGTTAATATCATTAAAGGCAGGAGCTTATGGTATTAATCTTAGTTGTGCAAATCATGTTTTGCTAGTTGATCCTTGGTGGAATCCAGCTGTAGAGTATTAATTAAATATAATTTTAGGGATCAAGCTGTAGAAAGAGTACATAGATTAGGACAACAAAAATAAGTTAAGATAGTTAGTTTTATTTGTGAAAATACTATAGAAGAAAGAGTTTTATAAATGCATTAAAAGAAAAGACAATTATTTAAGGATGCATTGCAATTAAAATTTAATGATCATGAAGAGTTTAGTTTTTAAGATTAGATTGAATTTGTTATGAATTAAAAAATGGACTCTTGAAAAAATAAAATATAAATTTATTCTTTATTACAATATATTTAATCACTATAGATTAAGTAAATCTTGAATTAAAACTTTATTAAGTTTACGTCTAAAAATATAAATAATAATTTTACTTCTTTGTGGTACCAAAATTTACAAAATCAAATTTGACAATGTTTTCACTTATTTTAATTTCCATTTAATCTTCTATAAGTTAAGGTCTACTTTATTATTATTTCTTTTCATGATTTTTATTTGTAAAGTTTTGAAATGATTGCCAAGTTCCATTGGCCGACTCTCTCAATCCTTCTCCATCATGAATGAACCATCTATAATAAAATATAAAATATACTCATTATTTTTATAAATAATTTAAGCTTATCTCCTTGAGACAGTATTTATATTAACTAAAACATCACATTCTTGGGATCTTCCAATTTTATAAATAGATTCTTAATTGTAATTAGCAACAAAAATATGAGTTTATATTTAATGAATTGCTTAATTATCGAATGAAATTTTTAAATAGGGTCTATCATATTAACTTAGTTTTTATGAAGTTCTTTATTTTTATTTTGTAGTCTTTATTTCATTAAGAGTAATATTTAACATATCAGTTTCTTCTAATGTTAATCCATGAATCTTAGCTCCTTTTCTTATATGTTCTTTGGCAAGAGCATTATAGAAATAATTTTGGTCTTTCACCTTCTTTGATTTATTTTATTTTAGTTATGATTTCATCTCCAAAACATGGAAAAAAGTATCTGCACCTATTAAATAAGTATTTTCTTATTCAATTTTTCTTAATTTGTCCTTTTTTATTTTCATAAAAGTACCATTTCTGGTTCCATTATCACATATATAAAATTAAGGTTTATTTCTAGAAATTATTGTAAGAATTACTTTATAAAAGAATAAATATGCTTAATAACTTAAAAAGGTAGTTTTGATGCATGTGGATTATTCCTAAAAAGAGAGAAGAAAAGTATAAGAGGTTTAGTGAGAGTATTTGAGAAGGTGAATCCTTTATCAGTTAAAATTTTGCAGTGAACTTTTTCAACATTCTTATCACCATGTGGTAAATCTTAAATGATTTATAAAAGTATATACAGATATCACATGAGTCTTGTTTGTCTTCCTACTGCCTTTTTCTACCAATAATTATTTCTTTTTTATAATTAGATCCCAAAATTCTAATTAATAATCTAATTTAATACCTATCATTTTATAGTATAAATTCTGAGTCAGTTTAACTCGAATGTTATTTATAAATACTAATTCGAATATGAGGTTCATTCTCATTCAAATTGTCTGTTTAATGAGTTAATTTTTCAATTGGTTGTTCCTATTGCATCACTTAATCTTAAAGAACGATTGATTCTCTATTAGTATAAGATTGTATCATCATAGAGTGAATTTAGTTCAGTGGAGGCTATATCTACAAGCAAATAATAAACAATTAACTTACATTATCATCTTCTATAACAATACAATTATCTTAAGAAGTTCCAGGAACAGCTGGGTAATAAATTGAACTCATTTATTAAGGAAAATTGCAAATTGGATATTGAGGGACCATTGGTATAGCTAGTTGATGAATGTAAGGTAAATAATAAACTATAAATTAATTGCATATGATTACATAATTATAGAGGCTTTGGTTGAAGTTGGTAACTCATTCTCAGCTATATATTTTGAATAAAAATAATTATTTTTTATAATTCCTAGCTTTAATTAGCTTATATATGAATGAAAAAATAGAAACTTATTAGTATTATTATACGTTTTATTACTATCATTCAAATTATTATTCTATATACATTTGCTTTAAATTCTCATCACATATTTAAAAGTAATTTAAAATCAAAGAAGATATCAAAAATATAAATATATATTATAATCAGAATTATATATATTCAATTAACTTCCATAATAATGATATTAATTCACTATATTGTATATGAAAAGATAAATTAAAGATAGATAAATTTAAAACAATAATTCAATTATTAGTCAATAATAACCTATTCATCATAAAAGTTAATTTATATAAATGAATAAAAACATTATTATTAAAAAAATAAATAAAAATATTTACTTTCAAAATTATACTTGTTTATTTTGGAAATTCTTATATTAAAATTCTCTTTTAGATTGTTTCATCTGAAATCCAAACATTTTAATTTTTCTAAAATTATATAATATTGAAAATAAATCAAATTGATTAATAAAAATTTTAGAAAATAATTCTTTCTGGAATATTAACCCCCCTTTTAGATTTAGACAAATCGATATTAAATTAATTTTTAATTAAATACTACACAATGCTTATTAAACATGCTCATATTTTGTATAAATGGATATTTTAATCCCAACTGCAAGTAGCAATCATCTTACCTGTTCCATGAAATTCTATTGCAGTAACTCTCTATTTATGTCCAATCAAATTAAATAAGGGATTGTATACAACTCCATTTCTTTCAGTTTACCAAACCCTTGCTGCTCCATCTCTAGCTCCAGTTCCAAATCTACCTTTATCCTTATCAAAATTCAAACAATGAACCTATTTTTATAATAAAAATATTTAATACACTATCACAATGAACAGGAGATTAATTAATCTTAGTTAATTCTTTCTTTTTACCATCAAAATTATATTCACTAATACTTTAATTCTTTAAAAAAATGTATATATTTAATATACCTTTGATGCTACAAATAATTTATAATTATCTTCTGATATTTTTAATGATTGAATTGCATAACATTTATTCTTTTAAGTAGGTTTTGTATTTGAAATTTCTTCTATTTTTTAACTATCATAAGCTTTAATAATTCCCATTGAATCTCCTGTAAAAAAGTATTTACTTTATTGGCTGAAATTAATATTGTAAACTATATCCATGGATACTATAATTTAATATAGATTAAATTACTTTAAAGATCTTTTATAAGTTTCAATTTTCGTAAATCCCAAAGTATTAAATGCCCATCTTATCCTCCACTTGCTAGATATAATCCATTGTCACTCACTTATATCCAATAAATCTATTTGTTTAATCTATATTATACTCTATTTTTGTGTTCTTTTAATGCTTAAACATTCTTTCCACTTTTAGCATCCCAAACTAAAATTGATTTATCAGGAGATCCACTAAAAATTTATTTTCCATCAAGTGAATAACTAAGTGACCAAATTCCTTCTCTATAAATAAATCAATTAATAATACTTATGTCCTGAAAATTTAGACAATTCTTTTTACTTAGTAACATCCCAAAGTTTTATTAATTTATCATGAGAACCTGTTGCCAATTCTGATTGATTTGAAGGATTAAATTACAAACATTCTATAGAATTAGCATGTGCCTTTAGATTAATCTATATTTTACTTATTCAAACTTTTAAAATGGTTCTATAGAATTGTCTAACCAATTTTCTTAGGGTTACATATTAATAATATTAAATTAAAAATAATAAATTTTGATTTCTAATTCATATATATTTTGGCTATCTATTCTACAATATGTTTAGAGTTTATAAATTTTTTACATATCGAATTATATTTGATAATTGATTTCAGAATAATATTATATTTTATATTTTCTTTAGAAATTTATTAAAACTTATTTATAATCACTAATACCATTATAGCAATATATCCTTTAGATTTATATAAGTTTATGTTAATTATATTCTAGTAAAAAAAGGACTTTAAATGAAATTGAATGAGATATTCATAGATTTAAAAAATAATCCTCTTTTTTTAAATGCTGTAAAGACAGATCACAATAAATTTATCATATATCTAAGTAAGAATCTTAAAAAATATTCTATAAAAAAGTGCATTATTAGTTTTTATTGAATAGAAAATTAAATATAGAATACAATTAGTGGATTGAAATGGAGGAAGAAAATAAAGACAAAATAAATAATATTCTAGTTAAATCATCTTATATGAAATAAATTAAAGTGCTATTTAAATTGATTTTTCAAGTTTCTGAATCAACTAATCTAAAATAGACTTTATTAACAACAATTTTGTTTAATAAACTTAATTATATCTTTATATTGAAATAAGTATTACATTTATATATAACTATATTAAGCTATTATTTAAGATTATTTATTCTATTTAAAATATTAAAATTACAGTCCTACTATTAATAGAAGATTCTAAATAGCTAGATACATTTATATTGTAAACTTATAGAAAGTATAAAAAAGTAATTTGAATAACAATAGTAACCAAAACTTTAATCAGAAATCTGTTACTCCTATCTTTTCCTATATTAATTAAGCTAATTATTGTAAGAGTTATTTATATTCTTTAGGTAATTCTCTAATATCTTCATCCTAAATTTATTAGAGTGTAAAGCAAAAATTATTTAATTATGTGTAACTTAGTATTCTATCAGTGATATTTAATATTTTTTTATTTGATAATTTCGTAGATTTGAGGGATTACATATTTTACTATTATGAATTTAATTTATCATGTGTTATGCATTAGAATTAAATATTGTAAATCTATGAATCATAATTTTGATTTTATGCAGATGATTTTGTATTACATCTCTCTTGTAATTGACTTTTATGTTTGGACAAATTAATTTTTTATTTGAAACCTGAATTAGACTTTTATGGTGAACTTTGAGTTTTATTATAATTTTTTGATGGACTTTTTGAACATTCAGTTTTTTAAATATCTGCTTTTAGTTTCCTCCTAAAATCATTAAATTCTTGTAGAAGATCTTTAGATTTCATATGACAGTTAATAATTAATATAATTTGTTAATATATAATATATTTTAATATAAATTATATTTATTTCGATGACAGACACAGCATAATAAATAAATGTAAAATTATGTGACATGTCCAGTGAATTATTAAAGGATGCTTAATATATAATTCTTGAAAATCTAAAAAAGCATAGCAATGAAAGAGATATTGCATATTATATAAAAAGAGAGTAAATTTTTGAACAATTAATAGATTGGATAAAAGACATACAGGCCCTTGGCATTGTGTAGTTGGGAAAAATTTTGGGGTCTTTGTAACACATGAAGAAGGATATTATTTATAAGCAATAAAGGGATAAATCACTATAGTGGTATGGAAATGAATAATATGAAACTTCCTTATTTTATAGTTTAAATTATAGATATGTAAATATATCTTCAAATTAATTAACAACATATTGGGTATTACTATTTAATAATAATCCATTATTAAAGACAATGATCATGAAAATGATGTCTAGATTGTTAAATTAATAATTTATTTTAATACTGCAAGCTAATTATACAAATAAATTATTATATGCATAAACACACATACAAATTCACATTATTAAATGGAAGTAAATTCAGAAAAACACTTATTGTAAAATTTATTCATATGTTTAACTTACTCTAAAACAAAAAAGAGTAATAATTACTTTAGTTAAAAGCCTTTAATAATTTTAACTATAGACTTAAATATCAATAGAATGAGTTTTATAGGGATGTGCAATTCTATAGATATGATAGCTAATTCATTATACTCAAAGCTTAATCTTAATGTATAATATCATATTAAGTAAAAGATAGTTTGATTCTACTTATCTTATATCTCTTATAGATAATTTAATTTAGTTCCTTCTGAAGAATTAATTAGAAATTATTATTTTACTTATTTCTTTCTTCCATTCTTAAGAGCTTCATCTATTCATTTGAATTTTTTTATTATAATTATTCCATACATAAGAATAAGAAGATATCTTTTGGAATTCATATGTAAATTAATAGAGCACGGCTAAATACTTTGAACATTTATTAAGTAATTTGAACTTTTTTTATTCTTCTTCTTTAGAAATCTTATTTTCTTGGTTTTAAGATTTCCTCAAGTTCTGATTCATTAATTATAATTATAGTTAATATAAATAATAAGTAAAAACTTGAAGTAGGAATTTCTTTATGATTGTTATAAATAACTATATAAATTATTAAATAATTGTTATGTATGGTTTGAATTATAGAATTCCTCATTCTAGATAGGTATCAGATTAAGGAAAAAGAGAAGACAAATCTACAATTAAATAAGGGAATCAGGGAGCATAGATAATTCAAAATAATCGGTATTTTCAAACAGTTTAATTGGAGTAGGATAGAATAAAATGATCATTCTCCTTCACCATTATTTCATGGAATACAGAAATTTTCAGTTTAATCAAGTTAATCCACATCAGCAAATCACTCAAAATAATCTTCAATATCAAAGCCAAAATAAAATTAATAAATGTCATTTCTAAATTATTTGATGCTTAAAAAAGAAGATGAATAATAAGAAAAGCAAGTTACATAACATCAATAGAAACAACAATCTTTTTAATAAAATAATTATTTTGCAAATGATCTTCAAATTCAAAGAAATATGTTTAATTTTCTTTATGTAATTGGTGTTGGTGGATTTGGCAAAGTTTGGAAAGTAGAATAAAAAAAGACTGGTTAAACCTATGCTCTTAAAGAAATGTCAAAAGCATTGTAATATAGATTTTATTGTTATAAGAATTATTGCAAAAAAAAGTGTTAATTCAGTTATGAATGAAAAGAACATTTTGAGTAATCTCAAACATCCGTATATTATTATTTATTATAAATAGCTATTTGGTTAATATCTATTATGCATTTTAAGATAGAGAAAATTTGTTTTTGGCATTAGATTATATGTAGGGAGGTGATTTAAGATATCATCTAGGAAGAATGCGTAGATTTAGTGAAGATTAAACAAGTATATCATTTAGTGTAATAAAGAGGATTTTTTATGGCTTGTATATTTTTGGGTTTAGAATACATGCATTCCTAAAATATTATTCATAGAGATATAAAACCTGAAAATTTAGTACTTGATAAAAATGGTATACTTTATAAATAAAATAGGTTATGTTAGAATAACTGATTTAGGAATAGCTAGAGTTCTAAGACCTGATAATGCTCAAGATACAAGTGGTACACCTGGATATATGGCACCTGAAGTGATGTGTCGATAGAATCATTCATTTTCTGTTGATTACTTTGCTCTTGGAGTTATAGGATATGAATTTATGTTAGGAAGAGTAAATAGATAATTTTAATATTATATAGAGACCATACACAGGAAGATCTAGAAAAGAAATCAGAGATTAGATTTTAGCTAAATAAAGTCAAATTAAAAGATCTGAAATTCCTGATAATTGGTCTTTGGAATCAGCAGATTTCATCAATAGAGTATTAAAACAAAATTATTAAGCTTATATAAAGGAAGCCTTCTAATCGTTTAGGATTTAATGGGGCTTAAGAATTGAGGCAACATACTTGGTTCAAGAATTTTCCTTGGTAAAAACTGTATAACAAAGAGTTAAAGGCTCCATTTATTCCACATGTAAATAAATTGAGATTGATTTTATAGTAATCTGAGGATAATTTTGATGCAAGATAAATATCAATTGAAAATGAAGAAAATACAGAATTAATTTAATAGAATGCTTTGATGCTTAGAAGAAATTCAATATAAAGTATTTATTTAATAATCTCAAGCTTAATTTGATGGATATGATCTTAATAACTTTACTTAGACAAGTGAGCCAATCAAATAACAACTTAATAATATTAATTATTGAATAATCTAATTTATTTAATTTAATTTTTTATTCTAATGGATGAAGAAATTTTAGATAATTTATAAGCAGTAGAAGATGATGATAATGAAATTTCTAATTTTCCTTTATTTTAATAAAAACAAATTGGTGAATTTATCAAAAAGATACTTGGTGATAATATAATAGCTTAAAAAGCATTTCGAGATAAATTTAATAGATGTTTAAGTCTTTTTGTGTTTTATTTAACTCATATGTATTAAATTCAATCATTAAAGGATAACAGTAATGAAAGAAGACAATAGAAAGAAAAAAAATGAGAAAAAAAAAGTATAAGTAACCAAAGAGGATATCATATAGACTTTAAAATTGATTGATTTTTAAGATATAGCTGAAACTCTTGAAAGTATAAGAATAACTTATATTTATTAGATTAATAATTTTTGCAATTTTCTTAAGAAAATGTGATTTAATAAGTGAATTAATTAGATTAGGAAATAGAAGAAGATTAAATGCGGGAAATATAAAACTTTGAAAATGTAGAGGATGAATAAAAAGAAGAAGAGAATAATGATGATAATGAATAGATTTAAGATTAAGTTGAAGAAGAAATTGATGATGAAAATGATGAGGATATTTAGAATAATGAAAATAATGAAGATAATGAAAATATTGAAAATAATGAAAATGAATAATAATGAAATTTTGAATTCTTGATGATAAATACTTTTTTGTGTTTTATTAACAATTTAATTTAAAAAAATGAAAAAGAAAAATTTATTTCTTGCCAAGAAAGCAGAAGATAGTACTTTAAACTAATATTGGTTTTCAGAATAAACAATTGAATTCTTGGTTGATCATATTGAGTCAATTTATTAGAATGGATAAAAGTTAGCATTTTTATCAACACCATCAATTTATTGTAGTTTAAAGAATTAAGAAGTTAAATAGAATTCATCACTTTTTGAATTTGATTTAAAATTGAATAAAGAGAAAGGGTTTGTTTTTTATGATTTCAATAAGCCAATTGAAGGCTTAGAATAATTCAAAAATACTTTTGATATAATTTTGATTGATCCTCCATTTATAACCGAAGAAGTGTGGAGTAAATATGCTCAAACTATAAATTATATAAAGAAGGAAGATGCTAAGATCTTATGTTGTTCAATAAAAGAGAATGCAAAAATGCTATATGATTTGATAAAGGTTGTACCATAGTAATATAAACCATCGATTCCTCATTTAATATATTAATATGACTTTTATTGCAACTATGAACATGAGATCTTAAAAAAAGTAAACGAAGAAATAGGATTTTGAATAATATATTCGAATTAAATATGAGATAATATATTACTAATATACCTATATTACTTCAATTGATATATATATTATCAAGCTTTTTATTTTGAGTCTAAATGTCTTTTTTTTTGTGATTCCTTGTCCATAGGTAACTAAAATCATTAGAATTATATAATATACTTTCAATAATTCTTTAAGTGCTGCATCATTAAGATCATGAGCAGGTTTAAATTTGGTTTCATCTAATTTAAGTCCAGAAACTTAAAGAGTGCTATTGGCTAAGACAGCAACAGTTATTGTGAATTATGCTACAATACTATTTGGACTGATTAAAACTGGATATGGGTTTAATAATTCATGTTTAGCACATTCTTAAACAGCCAATTTAGCAGTAATTTCATCTTCAAATGATCTTAATGAGAAACATAAAGATGGGTATTTATCATAGACTTCTTACATGAAGGCTCTTCCATGTTTAGTTTTTAATTGATATTATCTATCCAAAGCTCTTTTGTAAACAGTAGTTCTTAATTCAGACTAATTTAATTAAATTATTTAATACTTCTTTTGTTTTTCCATCTCCTGTTGTAATATAGACATCTAAAACAATAACATCATTAACTTAGATTTCTTCCTCATCTACTCTTTATTCTTGTGTTTCTCTATTGATAATGACTTTATTTCCATCAATAAAATGTCTCTTAACTTCATGACTCAAAACACCCTCTAATGGTGTACATTTGTGATCATCTGATATTTATTAAATAATTTTAGTTAAAGATGTATTTGTGACTCCTGGTTTTATTGATCTGAATAAAGCTTAGACTGATTAATAGGCTGCCAATATAACATCTGCCTTTTATCCTTCTACTTAATCTTCACCTACTACTACTGTGTGTGCTGCAATGGCAATATATCCATCAATATGAACTCCTAATTCACTAGGACATTATTATTAACATTTACATTTTGGCTACATCACCCTTAACGAGTTTACTTGATTCACTCTTTAATGGAGAATAATGACCGCAAATTTAATTTACAGAAATTGTTGTTGGGAATGCTAAACCTTTTTCAATTCCTTTCTTGTTATAAACTTTTTGTAATTCTCCATTAATTTCTGAGTCACCAAATGCACAAATAGTAGCAATATCAGCTTCTGGCNTAAATATGAGATAATATATTACTAATATACCTATATTACTCCAATTGATATATATTATCAAGCTTTTTATTTTGACTCTAAATGTCTTTTTTTTTGTGATTCCTTGTCCATAGGTAACTAGAAACATTAGAATTGTATAATATACTTTCAATAAATCTTTGAGTGCTGCATCATTAATATCATGAGCAGGTTTAAATTTGGTTTCATCTAATTTAAGTCCAGAAACTTAAAGAGTGCTATTAGCTAAGACAGCAACAGTCATTGTGAATTATGCTACAATACTATTTGGACTGATTAAAACTGGATATGGGTTTAATAATTCATGTTTAGCACATTCTTAAACAGCCAATTTAGCAGTAATTTCATCTTCAAATGATCTTAATGAGAAACATAAAGATGGGTATTTATCATAGACTTCTTACATGAAGGCTCTTCCATGTTTAGTTTTTAATTGATATTATCTATCCAAAGCTCTTTTGTAAACAGTAGTTCTTAATTCAGACTAATTTAATTAAATTATTTAATACTTCTTTTGTTTTTCCATCTCCTGTTGTAATATAGACATCTAAAACAATAACATCATTAACTTAGATTTCTTCCTCATCTACTCTTTATTCTTGTGTTTCTCTATTGATAATGACTTTATTTCCATCAATAAAATGTCTCTTAACTTCATGACTCAAAACACCCTCTAATGGTGTACATTTGTGATCATCTGATATTTATTAAATAATTTTAGTTAAAGATGTATTTGTGACTCCTGGTTTTATTGATCTGAATAAAGCTTAGACTGATTAATAGGCTGCCAATATAACATCTGCCTTTTATCCTTCTACTTAATCTTCACCTACTACTACTGTGTGTGCTGCAATGGCAATATATCCATCAATATGAACTCCTAATTCACTAGGAAATCATTATTAACATTTACATTTTGGCTACATCACCCTTAACGAGTTTACTTGATTCACTCTTTAATGGAGAATAATGACCGCAAATTTAATTTACAGAAATTGTTGTTGGGAATGCTAAACCTTTTTCAATTCCTTTCTTGTTATAAACTTTTTGTAATTCTCCATTGATTTCTGAGTCACCAAATGCACAAATAGTAGCAATATCAGCTTCTGGCAATAATTTAGTGATCACTTTTTCAAGTACAACTATATAATAATCAATTAAAAAATTTACCATTTACAATTTTACCAGCATTTTAATATTTATCTAACACTCCTGGAGTAGCTATTGATTCAAGTTTGTCTTACTCTGTTTATTATTAATCCATATTAAATTTAAATATTTATTTAAATCTTTATATATATTATGATCATATAAATATACTTATTTTAGCTAATTTATTCATCCACAAACTCCTAATTATTCCCACATATTCTCTTAATCATCATATTCATCTACTTTAAATTTTGGTTATTGCATCTTAAAATCTACCTCTGGAGTAAAAACCTTATCAATAGTAAGTATGAAAGCATCATCTAACATTCTTGGGATCAACATTTTCAATAAATTTGAACTTTCCTCAATACAAGGATTAGCATTAACCTCAATGAGCCATAATTTTAAGTTTTCATCAATCATAAAATCATAACCCAATATTTGCATCCCATATTTTCTATTTCTCTTATTTAATTTAGTTGAATTCAAAGTAAGTTTCACAATTTCCTTTATCTTAGGCCATCCATCCTTTCGAAAATCATATTTAGTTTCTTATTCACTATTGATTATCAAATATATCTTACTCTAATTATTTCTAGAATCTTTTTAAGGATAATTAATTTCCATCTTCAAATTATCCATAATTCTAAGCATTTTTTTAAACAGCATTGTTTGTTAAATGAATATATCTATCTTTCTAATATATTATAATTTAATTATACATTCTCTAAAGAAAATGTTGCTCCACTTGTTCTTATATATGCTTCCTTAAATAAAAAGTAATGCATTTCATGAGTAATCAATACCCAACATCTTATATCAAATTTCCTTCCTCCCAATAATAAAGGTCTTTCAATATATTTCTATATCACAAATTCTTTACATTCATAATTACCCTTTCCATAATAATATGATTTGATTAATGTTTCAACTTCCTCTAATGTATTAAAAACATGGACTCCTTCTCCTCTATTCCAATCTGCAGGCTTAAGTAACCATAAATATTGAGTCTTATTTGATAATGTTTCTTGCATTTTATAAGTTTTGATTCCATTATAATTTACTTTATTTGCAGGAAGATTGGATACATAAAAATCAAAATCTAAATTAATTTTCATTGATGTTTAAGGTAATGGATTATTATTACAATAAAATTCAGTAAATTATTGTACATCCTTCATCCAATCTGAGTTCTTAAAATTGATAATGAACACCAAAGGAATGACATCGAATGTTTTCTCTATATTATTAAAGTATTACAGTAAAGATATTGATAAACCTATATTTATGAATATACTTATATACCTGATTTAGATGTAATGTTTTTATGGAACTCAAAAAAGTTATACATCATTCTTGTATATTAACTATCTGATCCTTAAAGTTTATTAAAATCCATGCCAAAATAGGATTATTACCATATAAAATGTTTATATTAAAATTATTATGGTACAGAACTCCAAAATTATTCTCTTTTCTATAAAATACGTTTTACTAATTCTCCATTATTTCCAGGACCTATATAATAATTAAACTAAGTAAATTGGTATTTCTTTACTTTCAATTTTGGCAATTCTTTTTCTCTATTAATTTTTAAGGCAGGATTTTAAGATTAAATAATATTATTTCTTTATCGATTTGCTAATGGAGTATAATTATTAGAATGATTCTATCTTTTATAAGCTTTTTCTAAACTTTCTGATAGGTTTTTTGGATTTAATTGGTCTTGTTTATATTATCGAACTATTTAACGATTTGTGATAGAAGGTAAAACTGGTATTTATACTTACTCCTCTGTAATATCAATTAAAGGAGATTCTTTTCCTGCTAATAATTTATCCCTCTATTATTGACGTGCTATATAGTATCTGACTCCATCTGCATAAATATTTAAACTTTTTGCAAGATCAGGTTTTTATTTGATTATTTTTTATAGTGTTTTTTTTTATCTATCATCTGCTTTACATAATAATTGTAAATTGTGAAAGTTTCCTAATGATTTACTTTATATTTCTTGTTATTTCTCTTTTTTCTTAATTTTCTTTTCTTTTGAAGTTGATGCCATTTTCGATTAATATATTAATCAATAATATTATAAAAAATTTCTTTGTATATTTACATACTCTTGATGATTGTGTTTATTATCTTAGGGAATATTTGTTTGTTAGAATAATTTTGGTTTATATTTATAATTTTATTTGCAATATTGGATTATTAAATAAATTATATTAAATATATAAATGTACGATTTTACAAGAATGCAAAAATTAGTTGATAGAATGTAAAAACTCTAGCCTTCCAATCCACCTCCTGATACTAGGTTTTTACCTGAAGAGTTAAAGAAAGATAAAATTGTGGATGATCCTTAAAAAAATGTAAAATAGGCAAAAAGATAACTCCTAATCAAGAACTATAAGGGTTCTAATGGGTTAAAGCCTATTGAAGATGAAAGGCTTTTACTTATTTAAAAAGAGAATTACCTAAAGAAAAAGTAAAGAGAATTAGAGATGGAGCAAGTCAAACAAGAATTGGCTGAATAAAAAAAATAAGAAAAATTAAAATTAGAATAAGAAACTTAAAGGGCTCTATTAGTTGTCAAAGAAAAAAAAGAGTAAAAAATAAATTAATTTGTGATAGGATTTCATAAGTAGAAAAAGAAGAAAAAATTAAAAAGCGAATTGATAATGAATTTTAAAAGAGAAAGTAAAAGGCAAATAATTCAATATAAATGTCTTCAATTGATGCATCTTATGTATCCTAAAACTTAAATACCTCATTAATTAAGAAATAAATTTTAGATTATCATACTTTACCAAAAGAACAATACAATCGTATTTATCGTCAACCAGTAAGCCCACCAAAATGAATTAAATAATATATTATTCATTAAAATATATGGTAAAACATTATCATCTTTAAAAATTTAATTTAATTAATTGATTTCTAAAATTTAATCAATTTCACTATTAAATATTATTTTTTTTACTCAATCAATATTTATAATAAATTAATTAAAATACAAAAAAATATTTATAGAAATTCATTGTAAATAGATTATTAATTAATAATGATATAGATATTTTTATATTTTAAATATATTAGTATATTTTAGAAATAATAATATTCATTTAGAAATTAATGCTTATAATAAATTAGTATGTATTTCCGAAAGAGCTTTTTACATATCATCTTGAAAATTAGGCCTTTTTTAAAAAAACCCTTGGAATTAATATTCATCATATATTCCGATTATGTATCTCTCATCTTCAAGATTTTCAACTTTTTGCAATTTCACTGTTAATTTTCCATTCAGATATTCTATTAAATTTAATTAGATTAATCTATAATTTGGATTTGGATTTACTATTTTAAGGTCAAAATATTTCATAAAATGCATTTATACTAATGATACCATACATTTAATAAGAAAATATGAACCTTAAATTTCCATTAAAGCAGGTAGTATATGTACGAGTATAATTAAATCCCCTACAATCATCTATTATTGAGTTTTAGTCATATCAAGTTAAGTTTCTTTCCAAAATAATACTCTTTTTGATATAAATATGCCTCTGTCAATATTGGTTTAATCAAAAAATTACAAGTAGGATAGAAATTTAAGTTCTGGAATCATAAAATCACTTGTACAATAGGTTAGTAAACTTGACATTAAATATTTAGTTGAAATAGTAAGTTACATATATGATTAATCAATTTCTTTTTCTGTTAATGGTTTATCTGGATTCTAAGATAATGATATATAATTTACAATAAAATCAATTTCTTTAATTTTGCTTAAATAATTATCTACTTTAGCTAATACCATTTTACACCAATCCTTGATTCTTTTTAAGGCTACTGGATATGATGTTTTTTAGATAATAGCTTTACATTATGCTTAATGTTTATATAGTTTTCTCCAATAGATTTTATTGGGTTTACAGTATATTTTCCACCTCATAGCAAATCTCACAAAATTGAATACATTTCTTAATTTAGAGTTTTCTAATTTTTTAAATTATTGAAAGTCATTATTCTATAAATAAATTTAAAAAATACATCAATAAAAAAGCTTTATTTAGTTTATTAATTTGATCCTTTAGAAATTAAAGGAATGGAATGGCGACTACTTCTCTTTGAATTAGTAAAGTGAGAAACAGAATTTTAAGTTTTGGTTTTAGTTTTTACTTTTATTTTACCTATAGAAGTTGAGTTTGAGCGTTTTTCTTCTGAGTTTTATTTGGATCTTTGAGAATCAGGGTTGTATGGATGTTTATAGGGATTCATTACATAATGATTAGGATGATATAATTATTAAGATCCAGAATGTAGATATTATTAATTATAAGGAGAATAGGCTTATAAAAATGATTATTATGAAATGGGTTATGGTAATTGTTAATAAATAATCTAAGGTGGTTATATAATAGGTTTTTAAGGTTATTGAACTTGTTGGAAAAATGTATATCTCAATGAGTTAATTTCATGTTTTATTTCATATAATTGTTCTTATTGGGGAAGCTTTGGCAATTTAAGATGAAGAGTTTGGACTTGAGTTTTAAGATGATCAAGTTCTTGCTTTAAAATTTGAGTTCTATTAATCTTGATTATCCATTTATAATGTTACTTCTTTTTATTCTTTTAAAAGTCGTTTGAGTGTTTGACTTTATTTATCTAATGCTTATTACATTTGAGCCACTTCTTGATTTAATTTTTCTTCAGGGAATGGTATTACTTTTTGTAATTAAAATGATTTATCCATTTGGTTTAATTGTCTTATTCCACTTTTTTGACTAGGTTGATGACTCATAGGGATATCATAAGATGGATTTATGAATTTATCAATTAAGTCTAATTAAACTTTGGCATCCTCATAACCTTAATATTATTTCTGATTAGATTAGGTTCTTCTTTCCCGAAAATACATAATTTAATTAATTTTAAAGAGTAAAATAAATTTGTTAATAATCTGATCATAGTCTCTAACTCTGAATTAACTCTACAATATTTTTATTTGATTATAATATAATATTATTTTAATTCAATGTTAGACGATCAACTCAAAGCATTAATATAGAAGAATAATCTCAAAATTGAATAACACTAAACCAAAATGATGATTAGATTTCCTTAAACTCCTCAAGTTCGTGATTCACAATAATAAGTAAATTAATATTCATCTTAGTCCTAATTGTTTACAAAGTCAAACAACAAAAGTAGCAGCATAGATAAGAGTTATTTTAGTTGTGTTCCAACTAGAAAGTCAACAAAATAAAGCTTTTTTGTTCCAAAATCTACAGTCACATCATAATACTTAGATTCATAGGCTTTTTAAGTATATTAAACTGAGGATATTCAAAATACTCAAATTTAAGATTATGTGCAATAGATTTAACATTCTTAAATGAATATTAATGATAATATAGATATCTCACCTATGAATTCAACAATTCTTAATTAATTGAAAAGAGAAAAAGAGATCATCTCATAATAACATCAATTATTAATATCATAAATGTCAAGAGAAATCGAAAACAATAAAAGACAATATCAAATATCTGAATAAACTTTATAACAGTAAATTATTCAATTATAAAATGAATTAAATGAATATAAATAGTATAAAACAAAAAGCCTAGATTTAGAAGCTAGTCTATAATAAATAATTATTGAAAATAATGAACTCAAATCTAAATTATAAGAATAAAATAAATGGCTATTTGAATTATAAGATTAATTTGACTTGATTCATACCAAAATGACTGAAATCAAATAGAAAATTCAAGACACCAAACATTTTTCCAATTAACTATCATAAATAACCTTATATTTATTGAACAAACAAACACCTCCTCTAGATTTCTTAGTATTTATGAATAATCAATCTAAACAATTATAACATGAATAGTAATAAGAAACTGAATTCAGAAATAGAAAATAGTAAATTAAATAATAGCATTTTCAATCTAATCCGTTTCCTATTGCAAAAGAGTCTTTTGCTTAAATTTATTAATTTTAGATTGAAAACTCTATGATACTTAATTAAATAGTCAAAGATTTGAGAAATAATGTTGATCGTTACTCTTAATAATACATAGCAGAAGTTGGACTTCATTTAATGTGAATTCTTTATATAACTTGTTTTAATAGTATTATTATTATTATTATTATTATTATTATTATTATTATTATTATTATTATTATTATTATTATTATTATTATTATTATTATTATTATTATTATTATTATTTATTATTTATTATAAAATAAAAATATATTAAATATAAAGGTTTATTAAAATTCTATTTCATTAATCTACCATAACTAAACTTCTTTGATAATTTAAATTCTAAAATGCTTGTTATGTATTTGGTCCGTTTAAACTAGATAATGAATTCATAGAGAAGATCTTTAATTTATTGTAGTCAGATTATGATTTACTAGAAATTTAATCTATTAAGGTCAATGATCTTTAAGGAATCAATGAAGCCAGAGTTTTTTCATCTAAAGGTGCTCTACATAGAGGACATATCTAAATGTTGATCAAAAAGTACTTTGATCTTTTATATCCATAAAGTCAAGCATTCAGAATGGTAAATGTGTTTGCAATAAGTCACTTTCACATCATGTTATAATATGAATATCTCTAAACAAATTGAACAATACAAATCTTTTTCATTTATCTCTTCTTAAATTATTTCTTTGATTTATTCAAATTTATGTGTTGGAATATAAAAATTTATAAAATTTATAAATTTTTTTTCAACATTCTATTCTATTTTAATTGGAATTTAAGTTTATTCTAATTTCTTTTTATAGAATTTTACACCACAACATACAAGTAAGAAAAAGATTAACACAAAGAGTGGAATAAAAATCATCATCATAATTTTTTATATTCCATCAGAACTATTATTATTTAAAACAATGCTAACATCATATTCACTATAAATCTTGAAAATGAAGTAAGCATTTAATTTAATTTAACTTTCATTTTATAAAGCCTCAGTGAGATTTCTGCAATAGTATATTTTATCATAAGTTAATTAAAGTGTATTTGTTATCAATAGAGAACCTTAGTCAATAAAAGGTGTTTCTACATAACATTATTGTCTAATTGGTATTTAATTTGATAAGATTCTCTAAAAAGTTGTTCCTGTTAAATATAAGGGTAAATAATATAATTTATTTGAAGATAATTTTAATTGGTCTTTGATATTAAAACCAATTATACTACAGTCATTACCAAAAGTACCTTCATAACATTCACAAACTCCATAAAAACAACTTCCTCCATTTTTGCATTCTCTAAGTTAGAAGTTTATAAATACTTTGCGCAATTATATAATGATTAAATTTTAGCAGATATATTAAAGGTTGATTAAAGTTTTGAATAAGCACCAATAAACAAGTTTGTATTATCAATATAATAAACATTAAAATTTCTTTAAAATGTCTATGATTTTTAATTCTTTGTTAAAGAAATTGTTTGTATTTATTGTTTCAAATCATAAGCATTTATGTCAATTTTACAATTTTCTCTAAACATAATAATATTAGAACTTTTATATCAAATCGTAATCAGTCATCTTATTAACATCAGGCTTATTATCACAAACTAGTAGAAATGGAATTTCCCCATCTTCATATGTAAGTGTAATCGTAACTTTTTATTTTTCAGATAGATATTTATGAAACATTTCATTAATGCCAAAATTCTATAATCCCTTTACATTATAGTATCGTTAATCTTTTGTTTAACTAAAACTTGTTTTCCATAAGCAAAATAACATCAGAGTAAGCATGTATAATAAAATTTCAATATAATAAAATACTTAGAAACAAAGAGAAACACCAGTAGTTATTAAAAAAATTATCAATAAAACTGTTAATTTAGGGGCCAAACTATTTGAATTTTCATTATTCATAAAATTTGAGTTCAAAAGAAAATAATAAAATTAATTAACTTCATTGATCAATTAATACTATCTACCTGTTGGCTATATTCTATAGATTAAAATAATTAGTATATTATAAATAATTATTAAATGATAAAAATTAAATTTAAAGGATAATGAAAAAGATAACTTTAAAAAGCAACTAATAATTTGTATAACTACCCGTAAAATTGTAAATTGAATTGTCAATGTTAAAAAGAACATCCATTTTCAATAATAATTATTAGGTTTAAATTAATTTTTATATTAGAATGGGGACATATGATAATTTAGTTATAAATTGAGTTTATAGAATATATATTTGTAATCAATATTAAGACAAGCTGAATTTTAGATTTTTATCTTTTTTTTATAGAGAAGGAGGGGAGTAATTGATTATATGGTTTTAATAAAATTGAGTGAATAAATAGAGATGAAAATTCAAAGAGAGAATTAAAGTATTCAATTCATTTAATTGAAAATTTGTATTAAAAAAAGAAGATTGTTAGATTAATTTGAATATATAGAATACCATATCAGAAACAATTATTGATATCAAGAAATCACATTTTCTTATAAGAAAATTTTAAATTTTAGTGATCTTAACAATTTTAAATTATTTCATTTTAAATATTTTATTGATAATTTAGAATAATTTGATTTACATATAGGATCTGAATAATTAAGATACTATTAAATAATATCCTGTTTTTTAATAAATTTATATTAATTAATAATAAAAATAATAAAAAATTAATCATGAATTAAGAGTAAGGTTCACAATCTGATAATTCTGAAATTTTATAATTCTAAGACATTCATGAGATTGAATAATAATAATTAAACGAATTTATTGAAAATGAAAAACCTAAATTAAAATAGCTATCATAATAATATTAAAATTTAATCTAGTAATATTTTAATGAATTAAATAAAGATGAGAGTAAAAATAACATAAAGAAATTTGTGGATGATTAATTAAAAACGTATTCTAAAGATGTAGAAAAAATAATTAAAAAATAATATGATAGATTTAAATCCGAGAAAGAATCACATATTAAACAAATAAAATAGTTAATATAGAAGCACTAATAACAAAATTACTAAAAAAATTAGGAAATAGATGAATTAACTTAAAAATTGAATGAAGCAAATAATTTATTAAATATAAGTACTTTTAAGGATGATAATGTATACTCAAAGTTAACTCAAATTAGTACAACGTTAGAAAAAACATGTGAGACAACTATTTAAGCAAGTTAATAATTAGGTATTTAAAATTTAGATCAAATACAATAATAAATTCAAATGATAAAATAAAACATTACAGGAGATACTGAAATATAATTAAATAGTTACTAAACTTAATTAAATCAAAAAGAACAATTAATAGCATAATTATAAAAAGAAATATTGGATTATAAAAATTAAGAAAGAAATAATAATTCATCAGCCATTTTAACTAAAAAGATGGAAGAATTCTTATAAAAATATTAAAATTAGTTTAATTAAGCAGATTAAATAAATTAGAAGACTAATTAAATTGTAGAAATTAATAAAGAATTGAATAAACTCAATACTTTATTGAACAATGAGAATGAAAAATTAAAAAATTAATATGAAGAAGAAAAAAATAAAGCTATTCATAAATAACTTGAAGGATGTTTTAAATTATAGGATAGATCTCTGTTATATATATAATTAGGTCTCAAAATATTTTAATAATATTACTATTCTCATATCGATAATAACAAAAAAATATAAAGTTAAATAGATAGGCTAAATAAATTTCATTAAAATTATTAAAAAAAAGAAAATTTCAAATTAAAAGATTTAGAACAAATTGAATAATTCTATATTAAATAAGAATAAGAGCTTAAGAATTTATTTGATGATTCTCTCAACGAATATAAAAATTTATTAAATGAAATTACATAGAGAAGAAAATAAATGATATTTTAATAGAATGTATGAGTTTGCTTATTTTATTAAATATATATTATAAAATATGAAAATTATAATTTCTATTTTAGATATAATTTTGCGGATATATAAATAAATTTGAAGTGAAATAACTATTGTTTAAATAAATTATTATATTATGAGAACATAAAAAATACTTTAAATTACTATTATTTTAACAAAAATAAAAGTAACAAGATTATTAATTAATTAAGATAAATAGAAAATCAATTAGGTTGACTATTCTTTATTTTATACATTTTTAAATATAATCTCATTATTATGCATCAACAGCCTCTTGATTATCACCAGGATTTCTTTATGATCTATTCTTGTTATCATAATGATGTCTATTAGATCCTCTGTTTGGTTTCTATTAAGGCTTTTTTGTTCTAGAAATATACAAAATTTCTTAACCTACGTTCTATTGTGATATATTCTTCATCTGAACTGTTTTGATCTTAATTATTATTATTTTAATCATGTTCTTGAATTTCTTTCTTTTCTAACCATTCTTCTCTCTAGGGTCTATCTCTATTATGGTATCTATTTCCTCTATATTATTTATTGTTATCTCCATTATTATTATTTCTTCTGTCGTTATGATAATTTTTTTTGTATCCTTTTCTTTGATCATCATGATGATGATGATGTCTATGTCCATCTCTTGGGTGTTAATGATAACCTTTTTAATCATGTTAATGTTCCTCTTTTCCTTCTGGTACTTATGATTATGGAACTTCTTATTAAGGGTGATTTTATTTTTCTTATTATTCTTATTATTCAGTATGTTAATTTGTAAGCTAATCTATAGGTTAATGATGAACTTATTAACGATTTTCATCTTAGAATGATTTCTTTGGACTAGATTTCATCAAGACATATTATTCTTATTAGACAGGATGTTCCTTATGAGTTTCAATTGTGTCTGGTTATTAAGTAGTCTCTTATTATTATTATATTTATTAAGTTGTTTCTTCATGATGAACTTCTGGTTATGATTAGTGTTTTAACTAAAATTTAATTATTTATTAATAAATACTTTCAAACCCTTCCATTATTGATCCTTTTTCTTTTATTGATTATTGACTCTAATTTGAAGCTATTTAGCCAATTCATATAAAGATTAATGATCTTAAGAGAGTAGTTCTAGGGTGTCTTAATTCTCTGATAAATGCTCCAATATTAGGATGAAAGCTTCTTAGGTGATGATAGAACCACTTTATTCTGCTTCCTTCTTAGCTTACAACCAATTTGAGACTTAGGCTTCTAATTCTTTAATTCTTTCATTATTCTCATCTTTATTTTGAATCTTCTAAACTTATTCAGGTTTCAATTCTTTTGTTTTTTACAATTCTTCTAAATCAGCAATGTCTTTAAGTTTTTTTTAGAGATTTCTATATTTTTTGGTAAGGAAGTTGAAATAGAAGTCTTTTTCTTCATTTTTAACTTAATCCCAAATTGTCTTATTCTTTGATTGTTTTCCACCCTTCATAAAAAATGTATTTTTTTAAAAAATTTAAATAAAAAAGTCAATTAATAACTAGTATTCAAATTACACTTGATTTTAAGTTATTCAAACACTCTATCATTGATACTAGTATTGAAGTATATGAAAGCAATAATAAAGTATGAATCTACAATATTTTGTGAATGTTAAAAAAATATTATGAAAATTAAGTTTGAATTATTTATATTTGAATCATGAATTGTAATTTTCTTTAAGAATGCCTACAGATCCTTCTAATAACTTATGTTAGTAAAAAAGTTTTATTTGAATTGTATTACATTTGTGAATCTGATTAAACCTGATGATAAGAAGGAATTTTTAATAATGATATAAAATCTAAATAAATTAAAATGATACATAAAAGCACTATTGATAAGAGAACATTTAAATCTGTAACTCTCAGCAACTCATTGCTATGTCTTTTGATATCAGATCCAGAGACAGAAAAGTCTGCTGCTGCTTTGAATGTCGATGTTGGATCTCTTGAAGATCCTGTTGATAGAATGGGTCTTGCTCATTTTTGTGAACATATGTTGTTTATGGGAACTGATAAGTAAGAGATTTATTATATCATTCAGATATCCTAATGAAAATGAGTATTAGTAATACATTTCAAAGAATGCTGGATCCACTAATGCTTTTACATCTGAATTAAATACAAATTTTTTTTTTTCAGTTGCCAATCAAGCTTTAGAAGGTGCACTTGATAGATTTGCCTAATTCTTTATCAGTCCACTTTTCAGTGATTCTTGCACAGAACGTGAAATGAAAGCAGTTGATTCAGAATACAATATGAATCTATAAAATGATTTTTGGCGCAAATTTCAATTGTTTCATAATGCTTCCCTTGCTGGTAGTCAATATAATAAGTTTATGATTGGTAATTTGAAGACTTTGTAGTTTGAAGATACACGTGCAAGATTATAAGAATTTCATAAAAGATATTATTCAGCAAATGTCATGAAATTAGTTATTTATGGTTAATAACCAATAGAGATTTTGGAAGGATGGGCTTAAACTTATTTTGAAGCCATTTAAAATAAAAATTTATTACCTCCATCTTATAATGTTATGCCATTTGATTAAACAAATTTAGGGTAATTGATAAAATATGTTCCAATTAAGAATTAAGATTATTTAGAATTAATTTACATTATTGATAATCTTTATCCATAATATAGAAGTTGTCCAGGAAAGTATTTATCTCATTTGATTGGTCATGAAGGAGAAAATTCTCTTTTGTCACTTCTTATAAAAGAAGATTTAGCATAAGAATTATCAGCAGGTCCATCAAATACAATGAAATTATTTTCAGAAATGTCAATAAGAATAAAATTAACATAAAAGGGTTTATAATAATATTTGAAAGTTGTTTAATATGTTTAAGGATATATTGAATTATTAAAATAAAAAGGACCATAAGAATGGATTTTTAAAGAAATCTAAGCAATAAAAAAATTAGAATTTGATTTCTTAGAAAAAGGAGATCCATTTAATTATGTTTGTACTTTGGCATCAAGAATGCAATTATATCCAATTGAAGATGTGTTAAGATCACCTTATTTAATGGAAGAATATTAACCAGAATAAATTTAAAAGATTACAAATTAATTGACTGGAGATAGATTAATAATGTTTTTATCATCATAAAATTATTAAAATTAATTAGGAAACAAAGAAGAATATTTTGGAACTGAATATAGTTAAACCAAATTCCTTGAAGATATAACTACAGTTTTTAATAATGCAGCCAATAATATATCACCATTATTAAATTTACCACCATAAAATATATACATTCCTGAACATACAAATGTATTACCTTTATAAAATGGTTTACCACAATTTCCTTAATTAATATTATAAACTGAATAAACTGATTTATGGTTTAAATAAGATGATAGATTCTAAGTACCTAAAACAGTTATTCAACTTAGAATTAATACTATAGAAACTGGATATGGTAAATTATCTAAAACAGAAGCAATTGCTAAAATCTGGTAAGCTTTATTAAAGAATCATGTTAGAGAATTCAATTATTTAGCAGAAATGGCTAAAATTGATGCTTCTTTATAATTAGCAGCAAATGGATTAGAAATTTCAATTAGTGGATTTAGTGATTCCATTTCTAGATTTGTTATAGGAATGTTCCAAAAGATTATCTCATTTAAACCTGAAGATTATTAAGATTTATATGAATCAACATTTGTTAAAATTACTTAAGAATTAGAAAACTTTAAGAGATCTTAACCATATTAATAAGTTCATTCCCTTATAAGTGTTTTATTAAGAGAAGGATCATCATTTGAAACATAAGAATTATTAGATTAATTAACTAATATCACATTTAATGATGTGATTCATTTTTCTAACAATTTCCTTAAAAGATGTAGATTTGAATGGCTCATAATGGGTAATTTGGTTAAAGAAGAAGCAATATAAATTGTTGAAAAATCACTTGATTTATTTAAAGCAAAAACACTTAAATATGAATAGGTATTATAAATTAGACCTGTAATGTTGAATTAAAAAGAAATCTGTAATTACACTTATGATTTGACAGAACCAACAGAAACTAATTCAGGAATTGTTGTTCATTATTAAATTGGAAAACCTGACTTAAGAACATAACTTTATAATGGTATTTTATATATTTTATTATAGATATTCTATAAACAATAATGAAGACTCCATTCTTTGCTTAATTGAGAACTACTGAATAATTAGGATATGCTGTTTTTTCATTATTGAGTGATGTTAGAGGAGTATCAGGTTTCACATTCTTAATATAAAGTAATGCAAAATGTCCAAATTATGTCTAAGATAGAATTAGGTAAGATATTCATACAATATTAGAACATTTATTAATGAAAATTTGAATAAATTGATTACAGAGATGAGTGAATAAGACTTTGAATAATTTAAAAATTCAGTTAAGGTCTAATTATAAGAAAAGGATTATTCATTAATTAAAGAATCAGCTAGAATGTGGAATGAAGTTTAAAAGCATTAAAGACTATTTGACAGAAGATTATAACAACTTAATATTTTGGATGATATTAAATTATCTGAAGTTTAATAATATTTTAGAACTCATTTAATTGAATAAACAAAACAATTTGAAATTCATGCTGTTTCACCAACCCACAAGAAGGATTAAGAAGATATCAAGAGTGACAGCCTGTTATTTAGTTCATCTGAAAAATTCAAAAAGAAACAAGGATTGTATCCTGATTATTATTATTAATGAACAGTAATATATATTTTAATTTATGAGCCTTCTTATAGAATTTATTCAAAATTAATTAAGAATAAATCAATTTTAAGATAATACTATTAATCCATTCTAAAATTAAAATTTTTTATGTTTTAATATAGTGATTATATTTATTTTTATGTTCTTAAAATCAATATTAAATTATTGACCTAGTTATCTTATATTTTTTAATTTTATAAACCAAACTATTTGATTTCTTTTTAATATTAAATGGAATGAAAGGGTATATTATTATTTAATTTTTGAAATGAATACTTATAATTTTAAAATTGATAATGATTAAAATAAACCACTAATCATTATAAATATCACATTCAAAGTAAATAATTAAAGGAAACTTTGTGATTTTGATATAATTATCAGAGGAAAATGAAAATATTTTAATTAATATTATATGTAACCTTATAAAAAAGTTTGTGTATAAGAAACAAATATACCCTATTCATTTAGTGAACAAGATGATAAAATTGGAATTGATTATTCAAATTTCATTTAACAAATGGAAGGTCCTTACAATTAGCTTTATGAACCTATAGATAAATAGTGCATAGGAGCAGGAGGATAGGGTTGTGTAATTAAAGTGAGATGTAAATTGAATAATGAAGTTCGAGCTATGAAAGTCATAAAAAAAATGAGTGAGGATAAAAATGAAAATTTTAGAAAAGAATTTCAAAACCTTAAGCTGTATATCAATTTCTTAATTTAGATTAGATCATCCTAATATATTAAAGCTTTATCATAGTTTTGAGGATGATTAGAGATTTTACATTATTTCGGAACTCTGTGAAGGAGGAACCTTATCTCAATATATTGAAGACCTTTACCCACTTAAGGAAGCTGAAGTGCTTAAAATTATGAAGTAANTAATATTTTGGATGATATTAAATTATCTGAAGTTTAATAATATTTTAGAACTCATTTAATTGAATAAACAAAACAATTTGAAATTCATGCTGTTTCACCAACCCACAAGAAGGATTAAGAAGATATCAAGAGTGACAGCCTGTTATTTAGTTCATCTGAAAAATTCAAAAAGAAACAAGGATTGTATCCTGATTATTATTATTAATGAACAGTAATATATATTTTAATTTATGAGCCTTCTTATAGAATTTATTCAAAATTAATTAAGAATAAATCAATTTTAAGATAATACTATTAATCCATTCTAAAATTAAAATTTTTTATGTTTTAATATAGTGATTATATTTATTTTTATGTTCTTAAAATCAATATTAAATTATTGACCTAGTTATCTTATATTTTTTAATTTTATAAACCAAACTATTTGATTTCTTTTTAATATTAAATGGAATGAAAGGGTATATTATTATTTAATTTTTGAAATGAATACTTATAATTTTAAAATTGATAATGATTAAAATAAACCACTAATCATTATAAATATCACATTCAAAGTAAATAATTAAAGGAAACTTTGTGATTTTGATATAATTATCAGAGGAAAATGAAAATATTTTAATTAATATTATATGTAACCTTATAAAAAAGTTTGTGTATAAGAAACAAATATACCCTATTCATTTAGTGAACAAGATGATAAAATTGGAATTGATTATTCAAATTTCATTTAACAAATGGAAGGTCCTTACAATTAGCTTTATGAACCTATAGATAAATAGTGCATAGGAGCAGGAGGATAGGGTTGTGTAATTAAAGTGAGATGTAAATTGAATAATGAAGTTCGAGCTATGAAAGTCATAAAAAAAATGAGTGAGGATAAAAATGAAAATTTTAGAAAAGAATTTCAAAACCTTAAGCTGTATATCAATTTCTTAATTTAGATTAGATCATCCTAATATATTAAAGCTTTATCATAGTTTTGAGGATGATTAGAGATTTTACATTATTTCGGAACTCTGTGAAGGAGGAACCTTATCTCAATATATTGAAGACCTTTACCCACTTAAGGAAGCTGAAGTGCTTAAAATTATGAAGTAATTAATTGGTTCCATAAATTTTGCTCATAAGAAGAATTTAGTTCATAGAGATATCAAACCAGATAATATTCTAATTGATGATGAAGTGACTACATCAATAAAACTCATAGATTGGGGTTTTTCAGGAATGATTTAAAAATATGAAAAATTAAGTCTTAAATGTGGTACTATTCATTTTGTGGCTCCTGAAGTAATGGAGGAATCTTATGATTAAAAATGTGATATATGGTCTTGTGGAGTAGTACTTTATATTTTATTATGCAATGATCCTCCTTTTTAAGGGACTGATTCAAATGAAATTTTATTTAACATAAAAAATCAAAGTATAGAATTTAGGTAATTTATATATTTGATTAGAGATATTAATCTTGGAAATAATATAGTACTTTAGTTAAGGATTTATTAAAAAGAATGTTGGAGAAAAATCCAGAATTGAGACCAAATGCATAATAGGTTCTTGAGGATCCATGGTTTGAAAGGTATAATAGTAAAATATTAAATTAGCCATTCATCTGAATAAATACTTTCATAGGATTTTAAGGAGAGTATGATATAATTTAATGGATATACTGAAGGTTAGGATAATAATTTAAAATAAAGCAGATTTTTATAAGCCATAGTTTTATTTATTGCCACTGAATTAGTTCATAAGGATGATAAAAAAGTGTTGAATCGAATATTTCGAAAGATTGATAAGGATAATAATGGTATTATAAATTATATAAAATCATTAGGAACAATCTCAAAAGAAGAACTTAAATGTGCATTATTATAAATATATTCAAAAAATTAAGTAGATGATAAAGTTGATAAAATATTTGATTTTTTGGATGTTAATTAAAGTGGATCTTTAGATTTTAGTGAATTTGTAGCTGCAACTTGTAAATTATCAGATATTGATGGTATATTATTAATTAAGTAATAAAGATAAAATAAGAGTGGCATTTGATGTATTAGATAAGAATAAAGATGGATGTATTACTCTAGATGAATTATTTAAATTTATTGGAAGAGAAGATTATGATAATGATTGTAAAGAAATCTTTAATTAATTTGATCAGAATGGAGATGAAAAGATAAGTTTTGTTGAATTTTCTTAGGTTGTTTAAAAATACGTTAATTTATGTAAATAGATTAAATATTGATTATTTATAAGAGTTTTTAAATTTGTTTTAGCAGATTCAGAAAATATATATATAGATAAACATAAATTCAAACATATTTACTAAGAAGTATTATAAGTTTTGTTCTAATTTCTAATGATTCACATTTTATCATTTTTACAAAAGTGGAATAAAATTCTTTTAAATCATTTTTCTCAAATCTACTTAAAAAATCTAACATAAGTTAAATATTAAATTATCTCTCATATGAGATATTTTATTCATTCAAGAATAATTATAAATTTTCATGGATGCTATTTAATAGAGTATCTCGTATAGATAATGAAAACTTTTCTATAATTGGATTATCCATATCTAGAAATCCTACTAAACTAATTATTATCAATTATTATGTTTCATGTTCTGATATCTTTAATTTATTCATGTAATTATTAGTAAACAATTAAATAATAATATTTTATTATTCATTATTTAAATATTATGATGCATCATTTACATAAAATGATATCCAATCTTATGTTCTTTTGTTTGAAACTATAAATTTATTATAAATTTTACTTGTTAATTATTATGTAATAAGAGGTTCAAATAACTATTCAATTTAACTTTAATCTAAAGATGGTATCATATTTATTATGATACTTTTTAATTTTGTCATTAAAATTAGTTATAGTTTCTCAGAATTATCATTAATTATTTTTTAGCATTTCTATTGAATATATAAATTTTTACACTTAAAAAACCATTTAAAACACCTACAAATTTATTTGCTTCATTCAAATCATTTTTATTTAATTATCTTTTATTAATTATCATTTCAAAACTATTTATAAGAAACTCAACAAAGTATTGATGTTTTGCAACTATACTTAATTAAGATATTTGTTAATTTATAAAATGCAACCACTCTGCTATTATATCCTCTTCAAGTATATCAAATTATAAACATTATTTATAATAGTAGTTAAATATATTATTATCATCATTCAATATATTAATTATTTGATCTTAACATAAAAAATTGAACAATAATTATAAGGCATACAATCCTTTCTTATGATTTATAGGTATAATTAATTTAATTACATCACAAAATATTTCGAAAGTTTTATTCTCCATATAAAATTAAACATCCTCTAAATCTAAAGTTTATTCATAATTAATTAGAGTAACTAAGAAATCAATAGAACCTATTAATATTTGTTTATCTGAATTAGACTTTATTATTCTTTAACATCCCAATACTATTTCATGTTTTACATAAACACATTATGCCTGATTAAATAATTGCAAATAATAGTAGAATTTAGGATATAATGATTTATGAATAATAACATCTATTATTTTTTATATGCATAACTTTACTAATTCAAATTATTGCTTAAATAATTATAAGGATGTAGATTTGTCAAAAATCATTTATTTAATTGATCCTTAGAATTTAGGAGTTTCCATAGGTAATTATATAAATCTAGGAGTCTATTAGATAAGAAATAGCTAATGTTATTCAATCTTAAGAAAATATTCCATTGAATGTTAAATTAATTCTTCTAGTATTGAAAACAATTCTGTAAAATAAGAATCCTAAGCTATACAGCAGATTTAACTTGAAATATGTATTGAAGCATATTTTAGATCGTCTTGATTATCTAAACAATTTTTATATAACTTCAAACAAATTTATTAGAACTCATTATCAATGATTTCTAATTACGCAAGTTTCTCTTAAACTTGCCAAGTCATACAAATAATTTTATTAGTTATTTCAAAATTAACTATAATAATTATATATAATGTTTACAATCATTTTGTTTATTTAATGATATAAATATTTAAGCTAATTTACAAATTGAAGATTTATCTAAATTATCAATATGATTAGATATTATATCACAAATACATTAGATGGATAGCTAGGTTCTAAATATTAATGATTTATATTCTTATTAATTTAATTCTTGATGATTGAATTCTTTGCTAAAAAAATCATTTAATACAACTTCAATTAATTAAACAAAAATCTTAAAAGCTTCTTAAGGCAAATATTTATGATGTTCTTGAATTAGATTTGATATTATTTATAAAATATTTTCTTTAAGATCTTCATATGGCAGCATTATTAATTCAGATAATGGATTTAATAAATATTAGATCCAATTATCTCCCCATTTCAATTTATTGTTTTTATTATATTCAATACCTGAAAATATTGTATCTCTATATTTATGAATAGCATTAAGACGCATTTCCATTACTTTGGAACTACATAAACAGAAATACAAAGCATCTATTATGGTCCACAGTAAATGAATTCTTTACCAATTGTTATTAATTATAAGTAGTAATTTATCAATTGCAAATGATTTATAAATTGAATCAAAAGTTTTCTTTTGACTTATTTGAAGTCTTTCTGAAACTTAAAGTGCTAATTAATTTAATCCATCAACCATTTAAAAAACAGTTGCTTCTTGATATTATGTACTACGATAAAATATCTCATTAGTCATCTTTATTTAAGTTGATTTAGTAACAACTTATTCTATTCTTTATAATGTTTAGAATATAAGATTCCATGTTTTTGCATTTAATAAATTTACATTGCTATAAAGAATTTCTTCAAATATTTTACATGCAATTAGCCATTTATCTGTTTCATTATACTTTAAAGTTGATGGAGCAGATTAAGCAGCCAAAAATCTAATTAGTAATTAAAAACTATTAATTTAATCTTGCTCTAAACTAAATTAAATCCAAGATTATAAATATTCTAATAAATTAGTATATTATTAATTATTAGCTATTTTTAGAATCTGCTTCATAATTCTAAGAAGAGGTCTCCATAATTTTTCAAAAAAAGTTTTAAGTCTTATATCATCACTTTCAGTTTCTTGTATTTCTGCCATTTGATCATCATTCTCACTGTTAAATATTGTAGATTACAAAAGTCTGCTATAATTCTTAATTTCTTATAATTAACCATTCCCTTCATTCTGAAATTCATCTAATTAAAGAAGTTTTTACATATTGTCAGTAATTATCTAAGTTAAACTTTCTAACTTTTAATATATTTTATATTACTTATTTATTATACAAAAATATTTGGTAGCATTTGTAAATTGCAATCAATATAAGATGCTGTTAATTTGTTTATCAAAATACTTTACTTTGGAGATTGTTAAGTCTGATATTCTTTTATTCCACAAAGACAATATTAATAAATAGATTTCAATATTAAATCGTTATAATCTAATTATAAATATAAGATAATAGATACCATTATAACTATTACCAACTGGTTATCTTATTAATAAATTTTTGAATATTGTTAAATTTGAATATAGACATAAAATGCCATCATGAATTGCTATTTTACTTTAATCATTTGGTTTTAATTTACTATATGTATTCATCAATAAAGCTATTAAATCAAATTTGTCCTCGATTGTTAGTATATAATTAAATACTAATCTTATTATGTTAATTTCTAATTAAATTTTGATTCTTACTATTCATTATGTTGGTTTCCTATATTAAATTTATACTTTTTAAGTAGGTATATAGAGTTTCATGATAAAAAGTATGAAATTGCTCAATTTGCTGTAAATATTTTCCACATTTCAGAATTATAATAAAAATATCTTTGCCTAATTTGATTGAAATCAGATAAGATAAATACATAATATTAAGTTGTTTGATACATAAATAAATGATTGCTCCTTATCTTGAAATATCTTAAAAAATAATTCTAATAATTCAAAATAGGATTGCAATAGTTCATTTTTCTATTAGTTCTATAATAATTCTTCCAAAACATTGCTAATAGTAAGAATACCTTATATTGATGATTATGCTATAATTGGATTATTGGAAGATGAAAAGTATATTAACAAATTTAAGACTTTAAGAATTTGATTTGAATTTTAAAAATCGATGATATCAGGACCAATAATGTGAATTAAAGTTGAAACTAACCTTATGTCTATTGTTTCATCCTACTGTTATTTTGAAATATTAAAATATTCAATTATGATATCAAGGTCATTCTAATATAATGTAAATAATACTGTAGTTAATTATGTAAAATGTTACAATTTCTGGATTAATCCTATTCCTAATGAAATTAATTTAATATTTTTTGAACTGACAATTTAAGGCAATAATTGCTATAATAAAGAATGAGTATCTAATTCTAACAAATTTGATTCTAAAACCTTTAAACATATAAATTTGAATGGTTTACTTTAAATAATTAAGGATATTTCTTGCTATTATCCTTAATTGATATCAATTCATTTTCTACTATTTCTTTTCTATTCATATTTAGAAATATATTTATTATATTTTTAATAAGAGAGTATTTAGATCAATAATTATAATATATAATATAAATTAGTTCACTTGTCTAAAGCTTCAGCATTTTAGTATATATAATTGAAAATATTATAAGAAGAAGAATTACATAATTAAAAATAATAACTCTATCAGATAATGTCATCTAAATTAAATTCATTATCATCTTAAGCTAATTCATCATCATAGAATACTAATCGTACATTATTTTTTATTTATTTTTCATCTTCTAAGGTTTCATTAGTTTCCTCCTATAATTATGCTTGTACTTTTGTTTCTTAGTTTATTTTAATCAATTTAACAGATTTTCTTTAAACTTAGGGTGACAAAGGATTAAATTTTTGATGGTGAGATCTAAAATAAATTGAATGATTTACCTGCATTAACTAGGAGAGCGAGTTCCAATGATTTCTGACATTGGTTTGAAGATTTTGTTATTTTTCTTTAAATGAGCATGATCTTCTAAAAACTATAAATATTTGTCATGCTCTTCCTTCGTCCAATGGCCAATATTTTTTCTTGGGGAAAGAGAATCACTTTTTTTTATTTTCTTTGACTTTGGAGATCTGCTACTACTAACTTATGCCATCTCATCCTCAAAGTTACAATATTCTTCTTCCATTTGAGACATATTTTTAATAATTGTTAAAAGAAACAAATTCTTATTTTTATACATAATTTGTTAATAGTTCATTTTCTTAAGGAATATTTAACCTTATATCATGTTTACTCAATTAGATTTATAATACTCTCTTCTGTAGCTTCTCTTCCATTTTTTCAGAATTCAATTCTCCATTCAAATAAGAATTCATTTCATATAACATTATTTGTTAATATTTCTTATAATTTCAATATTGAATCTCCCAAACTTTTAATAATTTATTAATTTCCTATTCCCTATAGGTTATATAAATAAAACCTTAATCTTCTTTCTTCTTCAACTTCTTCTTATAATTATAAAATTCTATCCCCAATTTCTTAAGCATTTTTTCTTCTGTTTCTTTTCTATACTTTTTTATCTGGCTAAATCTAGTCTAAGACTGTAAACTCTATCATCTGTAGTTTTCGTTATTTTTTATTCATAATCTTTTCTATTTACTTTTACAACTATAATTCTTATCCTAAAACTAATTCTAACCCTTTCAAATATTTGGGTCTTAATTTTTCATCTCCACTCTATAAGATAATTCAATTTTTGTCTTACTTCTCTAATAATTTTCTCACTTTAAGCTCCTTCCTCTACATTTTATAATTATTCTTTTAATAGCTTAAACTTTTATTCATCTCGTTATTGCTTTTTTATTGCTTTGTCTAATAAAACCTGAACCATTTATTCGAAAGTATCTTTTTTAAACTATTCAGTATTATAAATTCTATACTGCCTAATCCTCATCAATTGAATCTTGGAGATTAGATAGTTTTTCTGATAATTAAGAAATCTTAGCTCTACTAGGGGAAAGTGTTCTATCTCTATCACCTCCAAGGGATATTATGGATTAAGTTTTTGGTCCTGGTGATGAATATATTAATTTAGAGGTTGATTTTTTTTAAATTTTAATAATTTTATTTTTTTAATATTTAGATATATTGAAGTGAAAGTATTTGGTCAATTTCAAAAATATGAAAAATAATTTTCTATAGAGCATACTATCTTTTTTGATCGTTTGTTTCAATTTTACATATAATTACAATTAAATTTACATTATCTAAAATTTTGAAATTAATATAAACAGAATTTGTAAAATATTATAAATATCATTCAAAATTTTACATAAATTACTTACTTATAAAGAATAATAATATAGAGGAAAGTTTTATTTATAAATTTATTATAAAGTTTATAAATTTAATCAATTTTTAGAGATTGACAAATTTTAATTTTTTTTAAGTTGTTTAACGTATACAACATCTCCATCGCTTGTTGTTCGAATTCCACTTTTAATTCTCATTTATTATAAATTTTCTAATCTTAATAAGGGCGATTATTTTTGTATATTCTAATTCGTTAGATTCCCATAATTTGTTACTCCTTATTTAGTATCTTATTATTTTTCTAATTAAGTCTTAAGGTCTAAAGAGAGATATCTATGCATTATATACTTTCAATTTTTCTTTGTACTATTTTTTAGTTTGTCATAGGCATAATGATATTCATATTTCCTAATTCTGCTTTCAATTTAGATAGAGTCTTTTTTTTGGCTTTAAGTAATTTTTAATTATTGGCCATTTCATTACAGAATTCAATGTTGGGGGCAATATTTTTAGATCTTAAAGTTTTACTCATGAATAATTAATAAATTAATATTAAATTGAAACAACCAAAATCAATAATTTCATAAGAAATAATCTGGTGTTTTTTTGGTTAAATGAGGTTCTCCTCTTCTAGGAGCAGGATCAAATTGTAAATAATTTTGGTTCATATGTTCATCCACTTCTAGAATGGCAGCTTAATTTCCACATCTATAACAATAATTTGGAGCAGAGAATAATGTAACACAATTCTTATCATGTGTTTCTTAAAAACCTTCCATAACTAATTGATGTGCTCTGGCAATCATGGTTAATCCATTTGTATGATTGTATTTTTCAGAAATATCTACTCCAAAAGTAAAACCTGCTCCTCTTGGTGATGAATTAAATCCATTTCGATCTTTAATATAATTATAAAATATACCATCAGGATCACTCCATAATAAATCACATAAAGGACCTTCATGAGGTACTTCTTATATTCTATCCAATCTTCTTATTTCATCAAGAGTTGCCACATCAGGAGATAATCCTCCATGTAAACCAAAGATCTTGTGTAATTTATATAGATATTACTGAATTTTCAACCACTGCAGTAATTGGGAGATAATCAAATAAATCAGTGAAATATTTCCAAGGATTAGCATTACCATACTTTCTGACACATTCTTCATAAAATCCATAAACTTATGTAATTTATCTTGATTCATGATTACCTCTTAAAATAGTTATTCTATCCTATTTTAAATTTAAGTTAAATATACTTTATATCTGACTTTTAAAGCTAAAAGTAATGATACAGTTTCTACACTATAATACCCACGATCAACGTAATCTCCCAAAAAAAGATAATTTGTATCTGGTACATTACCTTAATAATATTATCATTAGGTTTACCTCCAATTTTAAATAATTCCATTAAATCATGATATTATCCATGAACATCACCACAAATAGTAACTGGTGCTCTAACTGGTTGAACATTACTTTCTTCCTACAAAATTTCCTTAGCTTTTTCACATAGCCATTTAACATCCATTTCTGTCAAAGGTTTACATTTATTGAGTTATTCAATAAAACCATCTAAACAATTATTGGGATTATCGTATTATGACATATTTATTTTCAAATTTTTAATATTAATATTGAGAATATTTATATATATTTATAATATATAAAAGTGATATCATACATAATTAATTAAACATCAATAAAAATAATGAGTTTTTTTATTAGTGTATTTTGTAGTTCCAGGGAATTATTGAATAAAATTCAATTATTATTTATTGCTGTTTTTACTAGAATGAAAAGATTAAGAAATCTTCTTATTATTTGGAGTAGGATTCTAAGAAATATTAATCAATAATTCTTTATCTCTTGAAAATGTTCTAATTTGATTAGGTTTCTAATTTAATATTAAAATCTATTACTTTATTTTCTTAATTCATTTCAGGTTCTGATATATGATGAATAGGTAATTTTTATTATCCTTATTAACCTTATTTTAAATTAATTTCTTATTTTCTATCATTTACATCTAAGTATTGTAATTAACTTTCTAAATATTAAACATGTTAAAGTCTTATTTGACTAGGTAATCCATCAAGTATCCAAACATGCATAAGAGCATCAATTGGACTTATTCTATGTTTAGGATTCCAAACTAGACATTATTATAAGAAGTCAATAAAATTATTATCCTTACATTATAAAACTTCTGATAATGTTTTACTACCAGGTATTCTTAATTTTGCTCCTTTATTTTACATACATAAAGGCTAAAAAGGTGGAATGTCATTAAAGAAAACTTTCCTTCTTTATGCAATCTTAAATAATTTTTATATATATATATTTACTTCTAAGAGTTCCTTATCTGGCATACCAAGGATTTCTAATATATATGCAATTTATTCTTATTCATCATCACCTGGAAATATTGGGTATCCCAAATATAATTCTGCCATTATACATCCAAAACTCCACATATCAATACTTGTATCATAGGGAATACCAAACATAATTTCAGGTGCTCTATAATACCTTGATTAAATATAAGAGTAAATCTTTTAATTTTCAAAACAACTACTGCCAAAATCTATAATTTTAATCCCACTTTTGTTTTCTTACTTTAATAAAATGTTCTCAGGTTTTAAGTCACAATGTATTATTTTATGTTTACTTAAAAAGTTCAATGCATTTAAAATTTAAATTGCAAATCTTCTTATAAGTTCTAAAGATAAACTTTAAAAATTATTATTCTTTATTAATTAATACAAATTTATTGATAAGAATTCAAATGAAATACACTAAAAAATTTAAATCAATAAAATATACCACATGATTTCTAAAAATTACAAAGTCTTTTATTTTTACAATATTTGTTACATTCTCTTCATCTTTCTCTTTAACATATGTTAATATATTTAATTCAACTAAAGCTTAATTTGTAAATTTTTTTTTGTTTCTTATAATTTTTAAGCATTACACTTATTATCTCTTATGATCATAAACTTTAAATGCTTATCCAAAACTACCTTTTCCAACTATTTCTAAAATTTCATATCTGTATCCAATATGATCATTAAGTGAATATAAATACTCACCTTTTGAATCATCAAAACCATCATTATAGTTTGATTATTTTTGATCTATTTTTTTGGATGTAATCCCTATGCAATAAATCTAATCTTTTAACTTAAAATTACTCTACTAAATCCATGAATCTCTTATTTCTCAAAATCAGTCAAATATTATCCAAATTATTATATACATTCTTTAGTAGTTAATGGTAATTTGATTTTGCTCCAATCTATCTTTTTATTAGGTGACATAGATTTTTCTTGGTCCATAATTTTTGAGAATACTTTCTATTAATTTATGATATTCTTTATACTTTTAATGTAGTTCTATCTTTTGATTCTGATTTATTTGTTGTTGTTTTAACAGTCTAAAATTATTAAAATTATTTATTAAATCTATTATCATATCCAATTTCACTTGAGTTACTCTTTTTAGTATCAATGAATGATATTTCTTTTGTATTCTTGAATTTATCTGTATTAATTTATAATAGTTATTTCAAGTTGCCTAATTTATATTTGTACACTTACTTTTTCCAATTAATTCCTTAAGTGCTTCAATTGATGATCCAGTCTTAACAGTTAAATTAGTTCTCTAATTAGATGATGATTTTTTCTATCTATTTTAAATTTTATTGTTTGAGTTATTATTTGAACAATTTGCCTTTGGTTAAGTCTAATATAGAATTAAGAATACTAACTCGTTTGCCAGATATAAGTCTTTTTCTTGGAGTAGATGATTCAACAACTATTGGTGACATATTACTACAATTAAAAAACTTCTAATTTTCTTTATGGCATGTTGTGTTTGATATATAATATTTTGGTTTATTATTTGAATTCAAATCATAAGAAATATTCTAATTAATTATATTCATTATTACCGTCAGTTTTTTTTCTTAAGGATTATACTTAGATTTCATTTCTAGGTTGTTAAAATAATTAATTTTTTTATTTATTCAACCAAACTAATAATCAAATAGATAATTCAAATATGTTTAAATAATGCATTATAAATCATTTATTAATTTAAAGATATCTAAAATCAATTCAAAAATCAAAGATAATCATTTATTATTAGATAATTTAAATAAATATAGATCATAAAATAGTTAGGTTTTTTTTGTTTAAAATTTAAAATCAGACATTAAATTCAAGTCCTTGATAAGCTGACTTGACAAATGGTCTTTATTTTGATAATATTTCTGTTCTTTAATTTAACTATATATTATCCTCTTATAATTATTATTACTATTATTATTCAGTTTTTATTCTTCGAGATTAATCATTATCTTTGACAAATATTTACTTAAAAAAATTAAGATTCTCTTCCTATCTTTTTTACATTCCTATCATCTAATCCAACTTATTCATAAGTAAATTTCTTTCCTATTATATTATATGATATTTAATACTTCAGCATTACAATCTGATTCCTTCTAAAATTATGTTAAATTTTCAAATAAAAATCTATTTTATAATTCTAATTCTTCAGATTTTTTCTTTAATATTTACATTTAAAAAACTAATTGATCAATTTTATTTTCCAACTTTTTCTAATTTATATAATTTTAGGTATTGATTATAAATTCTTCCTCTTTTATATTTTATTACTATTTTATTTTCTTCTAATTTAAATAATCCTTTGAATATTTCAAAATCTCCAATCTAGATCTTGATGATTAAGAATCAACTGATTTGCTTCTTTAAGAAATCTCTTATCTAATTTACTTTTCACTCTCTTAATAATCATATTTATCATAACGATATTATTATTATTTCTTTTGAGTTTTCTATAATTCTTCAAAAATATTATTTTTATTTTATTTTATATCTTTACTTAAATTGTTTAATTTGTCTTTAAACTCTTACAATGTAATTTATTATGTACATATGTTCATTGGAGATGGGAAGTGTTTCATAGAAAATGAGCCTTTTGAATTTATCAGTTTTTACTCAAAATTATTTTAAATAAGTTAAACAGTCGATTAACATTCCATTAAGTCTCCTTTCTAAGAAAAATAAACTTAATCATTTAAATTGCCATAAGAATTGAATTTCTTTTTACTATTATTTTTCAATAGATAATTCTCTTGCCTTAATTGTTATTATGCTAATAATTATTAAAAATCAGCACTTTGATTTCTTTAATCCCTTGTTACTCTTTTATATTCTGTGTGATTTATATTTTTATTTAGTAATTTAGTTATTGCTTTTACTTAAGAACTGGTATTTCTTCTAGGGGGTGATGATGATTATTAATAGTTGTTATTTTTTATTGGAGATGCAGATGTATGTATTTTTAATTGTTTTTCATTTCCTTCTGTAAATATTCTTGTCTTGGAATTATTTTTATTGAGTGATTAAGAAGTTCCTAATACTAATTTTTTTAACATTTTCAAACATGTTAATTATTAAAATATCTAAATGTTAGTATATCTGGATTAATATTGATTACTACTTTTTTTTTAGGTTTCATTACTTTTAGCACTTGAAGCAGTTTTTCTATGATTTTGATTTTTTGTACTAAACATTAAATAATTTACAACAGCTTATAAAAATAAAATTATTGAAATTTTAAGCATAGATTATATTTCATAGATTCATGTTAATCTTAATTGTTATGAATGTATTATATTATTTAACTTAATCAAAAAATTAAAAATAATTTTATTATACTTTCATTTTCCATTAAAATAATTGATTTTTCTTATAAATACCTTTATAGAGTAAACTTCAAGCTTAGATTTGATGTAAATTTTTAAATTATTTAAAAGTCATGTGTTTATATCTATCTATATTATCTAAAAATTTAGAATATATTATTGATAATATTATTAGAACTATCATAATTATAATTATTTTATCAAGACATCTATATTTATATACAATATCATATTATCATTAATAATATAAAGTAATCAATCAAAAAATAAAGATGATGAAACATTTAGTTGTGAAAATTGATTATAAATTATTTAATGATTAAATTTGCTTTTTTTCATTTGAGAAATCCCTTTATTCATCGAGTAAATTTCTCAAGTTCTACAGCTAAAGCCAAGCAACGAGTTTTGACTAAATAATAAGAGTAATTTGTTAATGAACTTAAAAATACTTATAAGTCCTTAGCTGATAATTTATAAAGTATTTTATGATAATAAAAATTAGGTGAGGAATCTGTGCTTAATTTATTTAAAAAAGATTAGGAGGATGAAAAATAATAGTCAAAAGAGTCTCCAAATGAAAAAGCTGTAATTGCTTAATATATGAATATTCTTAATTATAGGTATATTAGATTGAAAATATGATTAGTTTTGCTTAATATTATTAAAGTTTAAGTCCAGAAGAATAATTGAAAAGAAGTAAAGATATTATAAGGTCTGATGCATTAAAAAAAGATTGGGATACCTTACTTAAAGAAAATAGAGATTATTAAGATTATTCACTTTTTGATAAGAATTTATTAGCAATTAAATATAGTCATAAAGATTATGATGCTAAAGATTCTAAATATAAAAATAAATTGAACTTTTATGGTGATTTAGATGAAAATGTTCATGAAAGACAAGAAAAGGAAAATGTTTATAGTTTTATTTATTAAAATCCTGAAAATAAAAGCATTGCTGCTAGAAAGATGCCCGAAAAGAGAAAATTAAGATTTTCATTTAGAAATAGAAGGATAAAAAGAGTGAATAGAGCAAAAGAACTCATTTCAAAAAGAATAAAAGATAATTAAAAATGGTTGGTAAATTCTGATAATTTTTCTAAAAAAAGACCTAGAAAACTTCCTGCTCCAAAATTATCATTTAGAGCAAAATTTGAATTGTTTGGATTATTTAATGAAGGTTGGTCAGTCAGAGATTTATCTATAAAATATGGTATAATGCCATATAGAGTAAAGGCTATCATATATTAAAAAAGATACTTTTTTGATGAAGTATTCCCTCATCTTCCTTTTGAATATGTAAGAGATTTGATAGCAATTGAATTATATTTTGAAAAATAATTTGGAGCTGTTGATTATGGAGTTGATTTATAATAAATGAGAAAAGTAGAATCAGGATATTTATAAACAAAGTATTTTATTAAATAGATATTTATGTTAGTTTCAAGACCCCTGATAGAAATGTAGATATTGCAAAATTGTCAGAAAAAGAATAAGAAAGAATAAAAAAATTGTTTGAAGAAAAGAAATCTAAGAAATATGATATTGTTACAGAGAAATTTTAAGGATAAGGAAATAAAGGGTAAAAATATTAAACTATTTAAGTTATTATTTGAAATCTTGGATAATGCATAAAACACGTTCAAGACATGGAGTTAATAAAATATTTGAAAGAATAATTAAAGATAGTGATAAACCTTATAAATTACCAGTGACAGCTTAATCTAGATTAAAATTAGGTCCTCGTGTTGCAAGCACTCAATTTGGTCATAAGTGAGATTAGTATTTTAAGAAAATATAAATTTAATTATGTTAACATACATATAAATTTATTTTAAATTAATAAATTTAAGAAAAGTTCTTAAATTATATAAAAGATATTTAATCTTATTTTTGATAGATAAAAAAATGTAATTTTCATTTAAAATATATTTAATTGTTAATAAATTCTAATAACTAATTTAATTAGCAGGTTTATAAAAAGAAAATAGCATCAATGAAAACACTTTAGTAATATAGTTTAATTTCTTACTTGAGAAAATATTTGTTACTTTTTTTATAGAAAAACTAGAAGAAAAGGATGGCTTTCTAATTAAAAATTTAGATATATAAGTTATTCAACCAAAATTAATAACTCATCAATATAGCATACAAGTATGCATAAACTTTTTTTATTTCAAAAGGCCCTTCTATTCATTAGAATAATGATAGCTATTATTTAAACTTATTTAGTAAATGTTACTATAAAATTGATGAAATATCATCATTATTGAGATTTGATTTCATATGAAAAAATTAAAGGAGTTTATTTTTAAGTTAATTTCATCAACAAATCATAATTCATAATTTTAATGATCTCCCGACATAAAGATAAATTAGTTTCATAAAATAATTTATGTTATTAACAATAAAGAAGTAAATTATTTAGTACATTAATTCTAATTTAAGAATTCTATTAGTAGTTTCTATTCATAATTTGATTATTGATTGATTAACTATTTCATTATTATGAATGAATCTTTCATTTCATAAATTTTTATTTATTTTTTTAAAATGAAATTTATAGATTTTGATATATATCCTTTTTGAATACTTTAATTAAATATGTTACATTTCATGCATACTTTTTATGTAAATAAATTAAACTCAAATGCGAAATCTTTAGGATATAGCTTTTGATTAAAATAATGTTTTTTATAGTGCAAGTGTTTATAGAGAGATAGTTTATAATAAAATTATTAATATTATGGGATAATCATCAATTACAGTCATTGATCCAAATTAAAATTACAATTATTAAAGATAAAATACAACTTAGGAAGTGGAAGAGTAAATAAAGCGAGCTTTTAAATAAGCTTCTCCATAAGGAAGATTAACCAGAGATAAATTTAATGAAGCACTAGGAATATTTGAAAGTATCTAATTGAAAAGACTGAGAGATACTCCTTTAGCTGATAGACTATTTTAATTATTAGATAAGGTATGATTAGAATATAGATTTTAGAATGAGGAAGGATATATAACAGAGAGAGAATATTTAGAAGGTATTACAACATTGATTAATAATAAAGATAAAAGGATTCTTTGTAATTTATAATGATAAAGTAGATTCTTTTTAGATGATAGATAAAAATAAAGACAATAAAATAGAATTCTAAGAGTTTTATGATTTTGTAAAAGATAGTTGGTTGAGTGCATTTAGATTATTGGGAGAAAAAGTTTGTTCAGGTTAGAATCAATATTAATTAACATAATCAAAAATAAATGCTTGGGCTTAAGGACAATTGAATAAACTTTATACTTAAGTTTAATAGATCTTTATGAAATTTGCATAATAGGGCGTATTCTATAATATAATATAAAGTAATAAATGGATCCAATAATATTTAAATAATGGGTGATTAGCAATGAATTTGGATTTATTAAGGCAGAAATAGGAAATGAATCAGTTTAGATTCCTCTTCATTTATACAGATTGGAAGAAAAATGAAATTATAAATAATTAATCTATAAATATTATGTATTGTGCAGATAATTATATAAGTTGCACAATCATTTATGTTTTGAATATATTTGGTTTGCTACTTGTTTTGGGAATATTGTTTAAAAACAAGGAATATTATTAAAGAGAATGGAAAAGAATAAGACAAGTAATAAAAGATTACACAATGTAAGAATAAGTATTAAGATTATCATAGAGATTATAGAAGTGATTGTAATTTTCCAATATTTGCAAAGTTTGTTGGTGTATTAGTAGGATTTTGTATCTTAATAATAGCAAGCATAGTTTCTGTATATAAAATATTCATTTATAAAAGATAATTATGTGGGATATGAGTTTTGGATTTATGGAAGTATCTAATATATTTTTATGGATATTATGTGCATTCTTTTTTTATATTGATTATCGCTCTATTTTCAAATTTTCAAAGTATGTAAAATATTATGTTTAAGACAATTGCGTCTAGCTTTAGCTATTATTTTACTTATTTAATTAACATCAGGTATAGTATTTGGAATTGAGAGAAATTTAGAAAATGAAAATAGAGGATTTGATGAATTAACTGTTGAAGCATCAGTATATTTATGCAATTTCATAATTATGCTTGTTATTAATATAATAAGCTTATTCTTTCCAAAATTTGATTATTAAAAAGTTAGTAAAAATAGTGATGACAATATATTTATCAGTTTCAATAGTTTATAGCATAATTTGGTCAATGATGATTCACTTAATTAATCTAATACTAAATAAAATTCTATTGTTAATACAAATCAAAGATAATCAATATCTAAAAATCCAAAAAGAAGTTAATCCTTTTTAGATTAATTAGATGAATTGACTAAAGAAGAGGGTTCTTAAAGTTCTATAGGATCATCTAGCATATAAAAATTAAAATAGGAATAATCAGGATTAATTGATCCAACTTATGGATTAAAGAAAGAAGAAGAAGCTGTTTAAAAGGAAAAAGAACAAAAAGAATTAATGAGTTAAATTATGGATATGCATAAATAATTAGATGAAAAATTAAATAAATTAAAATAAGATAGTGAAATTAATTAATAGTAACAAAAATCACCATAATAATTAGAAAATGAACAAAATAATTAAGATTTAATTATTAATTAAGACTAATAAAATTAATAAAAATAATAAGAAGTCATTGTAAAATCAAAATATGAAATACAAAGTATAAAGATTGAAGGATTTGAAGAAATTAAAAAATAAGGAAAAAGATTTATATATTTTAAGATATTCTATTTTTCAAATTCTAAATAAAGATAAGTAAGAACTGAACATAATTTGAAAGAATTTTAATAATTAAGATTAGCATTATAATAAATATATGTTGATCATTCTTTTCCTGAAATACCTGAAAGAAAAGTTAATGAAAGATTGAGTGGTAAAGAAGTAGCAAGTAGAAGTGAAGCACTTGAAAAATTTTTATAATTTATAGTTAAACATTAAATGTAATGTCCAACTTTGGATAAATTTTTAGAAGAAACATCTGGTCCAATTCATTTAGAAGATGAAAGTAAATTGTTAATTTAAATTTTAGAGGAAACTAATATAGATTAAGTATTATAAGATAAAGTATTTGATGATTTTTTGGAAATAAGAAAGGCAAGTGTAGCATCAAAACAAAGTTATTTAGAAAGAGATTATAATGACGATAGTTTTGATCCTAAAACTAGTATGGCATCTTAATCATATGATCAATCATAATTTTTTTAACGAAATAATGATCGATTTTCAACTACTATATAATCAGGAATGGGACATGGTCACAAATTCATAATTAAAGAAATTAAAACTATTTAATAAATTACTGTATGAAATAATAATAAATTAGTATTATAAAATTGAGGGAGTAATCAATGGACAAACAGTAGCAACTGTTTAAAGAAGATATAATGATTTTAAAGAATTATAAAAAAAGGTTAGAATTAATAAATTAATTTTAGCTGGCAGATAGGTATTAAATTCCAGTTTTACCTAATGAACCACCCTCAAAATAATAAGATGTTGTAACCTATAGATAAGAAGCATTAGCTTAATTTTTAAATACATTGTATTAAAATAAATCAGTAAAAACTAATATGGTTTTTAAAGAATTTGTAGGTATTTGATAAATGTTTCATAATCAATAAATAAATAAATATATTTCATAAACCAATACCTTTCTATTTTTATCTTTACATCGCCCTTTTGTATTGTAATTCTAATTCTTTATTTCTCTTTTCAATTTCTTCCTTTTACTTTTCCTATTCATCATCATCTGATTCATTTTTTGCCCCCATTAATTTTTTAAGTTTATCTTAATTTTCTTTACTTAATCCTCCCATGTTCCAAATTTTTTATTTTTTTTATTATTCCTAATTAGCTTTGTTTTATTATTTTTTTTAATTTGAACCTGATCTACTTCTAGATCTTGAAAGTTCTACATCACTTTCTATAGTTTCAAACTATATTTCAAGTTCAGATTCATATTCACCTAATTTTATTTTCATTCCTTCCCTTAACAATACTAATTAATTTTGTTTAATAGCTCTATTATTAATTTCTGTTCCATTAGATGATCCTAAATCTTATATGGTGATACTAGATTTGCCTACAATCAATTTAGCATGTTGTCTGCTAATTGAATCATTTTTAATTACTATTGATGCTTAAGCTTTACTCCTTCCAAGTATGTATTCTTTTCTTTTCAACTTTATTTTTTTATCAGAAAAAATTAAGTAAAACTATTTAGCCATTTATTAATTTTATAATTATAGTCCTTGACAATTAGTTTTCACATTAAATTACTTTCTTTCTAATTGATAATCAAAATATTTAATAAAAATCATATAATGTTTCTCTTTGTTATATGTAAATGATCTAGCTTATTAAGAATGGAATTTATTCGTTATATAATTTAAATCAATTACAATCTAATTTAAAATATAATGAATAAAGAAGTATAGGATCTATAAGAAGCATTAGAATATTAAGTAAATGTTATATTAAGACTTGAAGACGAACAATTACTACTATAAAAAGAGAATAATTTATAAAAGTATATTACATATTTAAATCCGTAGGGAAAAGTTAAAAGAATTGAATTCTATGTTGTAAAAGTATATTGGATAATAATTATTTGTATTGAAAAACACACCTAAATAGAATTATATTTTAAATAGAATTTTGAAGTTTAAACATAAGAGAATGAAATCATTTCTGATTATTCATTATGTAATTCCATTGTCTCTGTAATCAATTAACCATCCTTTATTTAACAACAGGATTAATCCAATTCTTCCAAAATGTTAGATTAAGCAAAATCTTTAGTAAAATAGTCTTCTTAAAGAATCCCTATAAAAAAATTAAAATTTTTTGGAGATAATTATAAAGAAAATAAGGATAAAGACAATCAAGAAAAAAAAGAAATAAAGCCAAAAAATACAAAAAAATTAGATTCACAATATGAAACATTAACTAAAGATATTGTTAATTTAACTAAATAATTACAATAATTAAAAGTAATTATTAATTCTATATCATTTATAATAAAGAAGTTGATAAGAAACAATTAAGAAATATGAAAAGGATACTGGTGAAATAGTAAAATTAATAGAAGTGATAAAATGAAATGTTAAACAAACTAAGAAATGAAAATGAAGAAATAGCAATTATAATTAATTAGGTTATATTTAAAAGTGTTCGATAATTAGATTAAGAATTAAAAAAAGAAAAAGATGATAAATTAAAATATTAAGCATTACTTAAACAACAGAAGAAATATAAAATTTAGTGGAAGAACTTAAACAATTTAGATAGGTTTTATCAAAAATAAAAGATGAATTTGAAAGATATAGAAACACGTAATTTATTTATTTTAATGTAGACATAATCAAAGCAATATAACTCAATCTAAAATAGAAGTAGTTGATACTTCATTTTATTTAGAAGAGTTAAAAATAAAAGTCTCTACTATCAATGAATTAAAGTTTTAAAATTAGTAATTACAAGAAGAAGTAGACTATTTTAGAAACTTGAGTTTATAATAATTAAACACAAAATAATTAAATAATGAAACTAAAATCTATTCTATTAATAATATTTTATTTTTATATATCAATTATAGAAAATATTATTATTCAGAATAACAATGTGAATAAATTTTAGAATCTTGTAAATTAATTAACCATACTTATATATAATTAAAAAAGTGACAAGGCTACTTTTGTGAAATTTTAACAATTTCTATTTAAATAAATTAATTAATAAAAGGATTTCATTATAATTCTTGATTATCAATAAAAATATTGTTCATAAAATTTGCTAGAGTTTTTAAACAACTTTATAAGAGTGAAATAGAAAATTTTAGAAATATTTTGCCAAATAAGAAAATTAATTTGATAATTTTGTTTTATAATAAAATTTATTATAATAAATATAGATAAATGTATGATACCCTTAAATATCATATCAGAGAAGATCTTTATTTTAATTAAGATATCTATCTACATGTAATAATAAATTTTATCTTCCAACCGCTGTTTACTTTCATGAATTTTATTCTTATTGATGATAAATACTTTAAACTTTATGTAATTATACTATTTATATATATAATTTAATGTATGTGTTTCTAATATTGAATAGATGAAATCATTCTTTTTTTTCTTCTGCTCTTATTTTACCTTTGCCATTTGTTAATCTTACATTAAGTTCAGCAGCTCTTCTGACAAGTGTTGCTCTTTTTCTTGCAGATAGATTATGAGCCAATTCACCTGCAAAAGTTCTGTTATTAGTAAGCAATAATTCAAGATCCTTTTCATTTGTGATTAATAATTTTCTGAAACCAGCTTAGTCTAAATATCTAAATTGATTTAATGAATAGATACCTTGTTTTTTTATCGCTTCTGTAACCTGATTTTGGCATAGGTCTATTGCCTCTAAATCTTCTTCTGACTCTATTATCAATACCTCTTGGTCTTCTCCAACTTGGTCTTAATTTATGTGGATAATCTTCTGATTCGAATCTAACAAATCTTTTTGTTCTCTTATGTACAATTTTTTTGTGAGCAAGTGATTTGACAACCATTTTTAATTAAATAAAAGATTTTAATTCAAATATACATCTTCATTCTCAGTAATAATAAAAAAATAATCATTATAAGCTTTTGCCTTAAGAAATACACGCTAAACTAGAAAATAGTAACAGATATGGTATAACAAATTTGCAGAAACATATTTTTAATATATTTATTTAATACCTTTAATTTAATAAATTCTTACTTTTAAACCTTTTAGAACAATATTCAAGATATCACTTAGACTGTTTTAGTAATAATAGAGTAAATTATCTTTTGTTTATTTTCCCATAAACATGAAACAAATAAGAACTAAATAGAGCTGAATTGAGCAATAGTCCAAAAGTTAAATATTAATTGTAGAAATCCTCCATTTTTAGATTGCATATCAAGAGATTAATATTGATAATACAAATAATCCTGCCTGTTTTATTTTGATTAGTATCTACTTTGATAGTGATGAATTTATAAAAATATAAATAAAAGAAAGTAAAGAATAACTTATTTAATCTATAGGATTCTTGTTTAATTAGAAAATTAAATTACTTTTTAGGTTAAGATTTACAAATAGGCTATGCGTAAAGCAGAAATTAAAAAATATAACTCCAAAATTTAGTTAGTATTACTTTTGTATATAATTGATTTTTTTATTCTCTATTTAAAATTTTGATCTGGAATCAATTATTTTAATGACAATATCCTGCGATTATTATTTAACATTCATATTTTTTGTTGACTAAATAATAAATCCAAATCCCAGATATCAATTATTTGTAAAAATTATAATCATTTATATTAAGTTCCATAATTACTTTTAGATGGAGCAAGGATTATTAAATAAATTTATTAGAATTACGATTAAAGAAATAATTAAACAGCTTTAAATTCTATTCTATGAATTTTAATTTTATAAATATAATAATTTAATAATATGGATAATGTTGAGAGTATAATTACAGAAATCTTCAAAAATGAGATTTAGATTAAAAGATTTAAAAAAGGTAATTAAATCTAATATCATAGAACTTTAATCAATTGAATAATTAAAGAAAGAAGATTTTAAGATAACATTAAAAGCATTAAGCCCTAATTTATAAATTATTGTAATATATTTAATAAAGTAGATCGAAATGCCTCCAATAGATTAACTTAATTAATAAAAACCAATAATATTTGCTTTATATTTAGATAATAGATTTCCATTCGTCTTTCCAAGAGTGCATATATTAAGCTAAGTAAAATTAATATAAATCAAAGGTCACAAAACCAACATTGTCGGATGGTCGAGACTATTTAGAAAATATTATATAAGGACCCTGGAGTCCTTAAATCTTGCTTTATGAAATAATTAAAATGTTTCCCAAATTTCTAGTAATTTTAATTATTTTTATTCAAGGAAACAATTAAAAATAATTAAAATGACAAAGATTATCTTCTACAATTAGGTAAATACTATGAAAATTAAGAATTTGATATAAGAATTGGCTTAGAAAATGTTGAATATTTGCAATGTAAATAAATAATTAATGGAAAATAATTTCCAAGAACATTATTAATTAGTGATAGTCACATTCTAAATTTTGAATATTAGAGTAAAGAATTGATGTTGTTAAATTATTAATGTATGAAAAACCTACAATACATTCAGAGAGTTTAAAAAAATTTAATATTAAATTGGTAAATAAATGATGGTAGCTTAATTCCTTAAACTTTAACTTCAGCTAATCTAAATTAGCTTTATAATTCTATTAATTCATATAAATTATGCTAAATTGGAAAAAAATTTAATTAAGATGATGTGACATTACAAAAATTTGAAACCATTAAAATTAATGAACTCTTGCAATAATTGAGTTTAAATGAAGTAGAGTTGTCAAAGAATCTGAATAAAATCTCTTTAAATAATTTAATGAATTCATATTAATAAGTAACTAAAATGATAAATTAAAGGCTATTGAATATTATTCAGTATATTCAGATGAAGACTACAAATAATATGTTACTCGTCTTTAAACTTTGCTTGGAAGAGAGGATGTATAAACAATCTTAGCTAGTCCTGTTAAATGATTTTATTTTTATATAGGTGTAATATTTTTAATTCTTTTTTCATTTAAATAAATAAAAAACTAGATCTTTAATAAATCAATAGTTTTTAATCAAAAATACTAAAAAATTATATCTAATCATATATTATGTGTGTAAAATACATAAGGAATTACCAATTTAACTTATATCTTTTTATTAAAAAGAAAAATAGTGATAAATTGTATTAAAATCGAACAAATAAGTGATATTAATTTTTAATTATCCTGTTTTAATTGTAAGCATAATAACTTATTGTATTTATTTTAAATGAAGGATTTTACAATCAATTTGAAAAACTTTTTGCTTCTAAAAAAGATTTTAATCAATTTTTTGTGATAACACCAAAGCTAAAATTATTTAGATAAAATATATTTCCTTTATCCAAAAAATAACTTATGATTTTGATACTACTTCAATTAAATCATATTATAAATATTGGCCTGTGTTAAATACTTATAAAATAATGAATCCTATTTTTAATATATATACAGAATAATTACAAGTCTATTTAAAGTATGAAGTAATAAATCTTAAGCTAATATTGATGTATTTGATTAGTCTTAATTATGATTATAATAAATGAATAAAAAACAATCAAATTTTCAAAGTAAAAAAGAAGCCAAAGTATAATATATATGCTAAATAATTTATAATCATTGAATAAGAATTAAAATTATTTTTATAAAGAAAATCAAAATTAGCCTATTAACAAATATTGATGCTAAATAAAAATCAAAAGTGATCACAAATTTTATCACTCTTAAATAAAAGCTATCAATACTAAGAGGTTTATTGATTGCTTTATCTAAAAGTTAAAGATTTTAAATCAATTCATCAGAGAAAATTTGATCTGAATATAACCTTAATTGAATATAATGTTTAAAAGCTCAAAAAGTTTTTTATTAACAATAAAATGAAAAAAACATGCTATTAGATTTTTACAATCAAAGTCTTAAGTAAAATGGACAAATGAATTTTAGATTATATCAGTTTTAAATTTTTCTTTATAAAAATGTCCATTGATTTAGAGTTAATTCAAAACTCAGATTCCTTTCCTACTATAAGTAATATTAAAATCTTGATAAATAAATATAGAAATCATTAGGTTATTTTAAATTATTTAATTTAAATAAAAACCCTAAAATTATATATCTCATCAATACATATTAATAGCAAAGTTTCAATAAAAAAGTTGATGTCATCTTTGATCTTTAAATTACAAATGAATTTTTAATGGGATATGTATATATAATATTGATAATTAAAAAAGTAAATTTTAAGGAATTATTAGGAGTAAGGGACAATGTATCTTCAAATACATAAATATTATTTCGATTAAGCTCTAATTCTTGTCAAAAAATAGATTATAATCGAAATATTTAACTCCAATAATTTTGAATTACCTAATTTAGTATCTCAGTATTTAATCTGGTTATTAAAATAATGACTCTCAAAGATAGTTCTTTTCGAATATTATTTTTTTTAATCCTTATAAACATTTTTTAGACATGAGTTAATATTCATCTTATATATTCAGATCATATACTATTTGAACTTTGTCTTATTTTGTAATTAATATTGATGGTTTCATATTGTATCAATTATTCATTTTAATTTTAATTAAATAAATATTAGATAAACAAATTATAAGTGTAATAGATAGTAAATCAGAATATTTCTAATTGATTAATATGTTATATAATCATTATTATTAAAAAAACAATTAGTATTATTAATTATTTTTATTGATTATTAAAATTGCAATCCTTTTTTTTTAAAGCATAATATAATATTAAAATCTAGTAGTTTTTATCTTAAGAGTAGGTAATATTTAAATGATTATTCTACTAATAAGAAGGATTCAAGATAAATTTTTTTTCATTTATTAATAATAAATAAGGATTTATTAAAAATCTGAGAATATATCAAGGCATAAAATATATATATATATATCTCAATTTCTTATATTTGATTTAATATCAGGATTAAAAACTATTGAAAGAATCAAATGAAAGGGAAACAAGTGCATAAAATCAGGAATATATAATCCTTAATAGAAATAAATTAATTTTTAATTGCTAATCTATATAAATTTATGTATAAGGCAAATAACTTTTCTAAAAAAAAAGAATATTTAATTTATTATGACAGATAATAAACCACTTAATTAAAAGATAAAAATCATTAACATTAAGAGAAGTCATTAAAACAATTCTTCAGCTGCCAATCCTCACAATACATATTTAGATGAAAAAGAAGTTGAATAATTAAAAAATTATTCAAATAATGCTATTGTTTCTAACGATATTAATGTATGGGAAAATATTCTTGAATGGTACATAAGAACTTTAGGAGACGAACTCTACAAACTAGCATTTATTAATAAAGAAAAATATTATAGAATTAAGGTTTTTTGGTCTTAAGATTATGAAGCCTTTTTAAATAATCAAAATGCTATTAAATGTGAAAATGATCAATAAAAGAAAGACAAATAGCTAGATAATGTTAGATATTATCTTAAGCAATTCGAAAATTTTGAAATAGAAGATTATTTTGATGTGATTATCTTCCCAAGAATTGAAAAGACAACAAATAAATTAATTTTAAAGTTTCTTGTCAATCCATTTACTTATTTATTACCTTAATATACATAATAAAAGTTATAAACAGTTACAAGCTATTCTCAAATTGAGGGTCTTGAATTATTTATAGATTATGATATACACGATTGCGAATAAAAAAACATAAATATTTTATCTGAGTTAACTAATTATATTTTATAAAAATACGTTTTAAGATAAGAGATTAAAAAAGAGGATATAAAAATAACAAATGATTAATTAAGATAAAGAATAGGTCCTATATTAAATGAAGAAACAAGAGTAGTTCTATATGAATTATATTAAGATTTATGAGATTTATCATTTTAAAATAAATTTTTAGGATTTAAAATTTTATAAATTCTCTTCTAAATTAATTTTTTTATAGGAATACTAAAATGGAATATATTTTCTATAATAGAATCTAGTACTTTTTTATACATAAATAAAAGATTTATTTAAAAAATTTATCAATCAATTTAAAATAAATTTCATCAAAAAAAATATAATGAATAATCCAATTTTGAATGCTGATTTAACAGTTTTATAAAGCTAATCCTGCTAAAATGTATAAGCATTTCTTATAATATCCAACTCTAAGTTTAAATGAAATTTTTGCATAGAGAAATTAATTAAAAAATCTAAATAAATAAATATTTTTAGAAGATATCCATTAATTTTAGTATTTTACTCATTATCTATAATAATTAGGAATAAATGATTAAATTTGGCCACACCTTATGAATAAAACTAAAGTTTACTACCTTAAAATTTATGGGATTTAAGATTAAATCTAGAATATTCATATTCATAGTTATTAAGTCTTATTAAATGATTTCTAAATACAGAGACATGTAATAATTATTAGAATTATTACAATATATATTTGAGACCATTCAAATATTCATTTTTAATGTTTAATTTGTATCCAGAACTAAAAAAAAAATTATGATCACCCATTTTTTAATCAAAATAATTAATATAAAATCTTATCTGATTGCTTTAAAAATGCTATTAGATTTGTTTATTACTCTTAAAATAGATTATTTTAATAATGATAATTTTCTTAATTTAATTAAAAGTAATATCATCAAAAAAGATATTCAATTTTAGAATAAAATATTGAACATTGATAAAAAGAATTAATTTACATTCAATATCAATAACTGACATTTATTTATGAAATTGGCTTTTTTGTTGAGATTATTAAATTTAATGAGCCAATTCATTTTATATAAATTTTGATAAGGAATTCCAAAGAATATCTCATAATCTTCTAATGTAGTAAAGTACTAAGATAACATTTAACAAAAACATATTTGAAACAACAGGATAATTATCAAATAATAGATTAGGATAGTCACTTAAGATATATATACTAAATGTTTATTAAATTCAATGTTAATAATTATATTAATCAACTTAAATCTTAAATGATATTTTTATTTATTTATTTTTCCCATTCATTCAAGTTTAATTTCCTTATCTTTTAAATTATTTTCATCTAATGTTTAAATTTTATAATCCTCTTTAATTTAGATTAAGTCTAGATTTAGATTTATCTTAATATTTTAATTTACAATATAGGCCTTTTTCGCTTATTTAATCTTAAAAGATAGAATAAAAACATTAGTAAATATGGTTATAAGAATTTAATAAATTCTTCTAAGAAACTAAAATTAAATATTTTTTTGCTAAACTTATTTAACTTTTGAAATCAAATAGAATAGTTACTAAAAATATCGATTAAATTAGAAGGAATTTCGTTTAATTAGAAATTGATATAAAACATAGCTAGATAATATTTCTGATAAAAAATAAAGTTAATGAAATTAAGATTTAATTAATAAATTTCTTTATTATCAATATCTAAAGTAAAAGATTTTTTAGTTGAGACTCTTTATTTTAAAAGGCTGAGTTCGATCTAAACTTAAATCTAAAAAAAGTAAATATAATTTCTTCGGAATAAGCAGAATACTTAGACTGTAAAAGAAATAGTATTGTATTATTTTATCTTAAAAAATGTTTAACTATTTATGAATTTCTTAAATTAACTTGATCTTGCTCATTAGAAAGGATTAGCTTCATAAAAAAGCACAATGATTATTTTTAATTCAGGTTTGTTGATTGATTAATTATGTATATATGCATGAATTTATATAAATATAATATCAACATGTTTGTTATTTTTTGTATAAATTCAAAATAAAATAAAAATTAATATAAATATCGTTAATGATTGGAAAAAAGGAAATATAAATTTCAAATGCCACTCGAGATAGAGTTGAAGCTTGTAGATTATACATAGAACGTATTCATTTATGATTATTTTTTAAACAGGAAAATATGCAAAATAAATATAAGAAGAATAATAATAATTTGAAGGTTGGTAGTAATTATCAAAACTTATGGATGCTCTACATATGAATCCAAAGGAGTAAGAAATTATTAAAAAAGAAATTTTAAAAAAAGAAGCAGAATAAATGAGAAAAAAGTATTCAAAATTTCAAATTTTATAGGCGGACTAAATTAAACATTGAGGATTTTCAACCTCTAGCTATTATAGGTAGAGGAGCTTTTGGGGAAGTAAGATTATGTAGACATGTACCTTCTTAATAAATTGTTGCAGTGAAGAAAATGAAAAAACATGAAATGATTTTTAAGAACTAAATTGGTCATGTAACAAATGAAAGAAAGGTTTTAGAAGAAGCTAAAGGAAATAATTGGATTGTTGAAATGAAATGTTCATTTTAAGATGAAAAAAATTTATATTTAGTTATGGAATATTTACCTGGTGGTGATTTAATGACATTATTAATGAAAAAAGATATATTATCAGAAGCTGAGGCTCGCTTTTATATGGCAGAATTAGTATAAGCTGTTGCTTCTGTTCATAAATTAGGATTTATACATAGAGATTTAAAGCCAGATAATATTTTATTAGATAATTATGGACATATAAAATTATCTGATTTTGGTTTATGTAAAGATGCTGATATTCATTTTGATAAACCTGTATTTTCATAAAAATTTAAATCTAAATAGACTAGAAGAGAAGTAAAATAAATTAAATATAATTTAGAAAGCATTTTCTACTGTTGGAACTCCAGATTATATAGCACCAGAAGTATTTTTATAATAAGGATATGATGGATCAGTTGATTGGTGGAGTGTTGGAGTCATATTATATGAAATGCTTGTAGGGTATCCTCCATTTTATACTGATGATCCATCAACAACTTGTTAAAGAATAATTAGATTTTAGTAATGTTTTGCATTTCCAGAAGAACCAAAGGTGTCTTAATTAGCTAAAGATTTAATTAGTAAATTAGTTTGTGATGCAAATACACGTTTAACATATGATTAAATTATAAGACATCCTTGGTTTGGTGGTTTGTCTATTATAAAAATAAGAGACATGAAGGCACCATATATTCCAACTATTCGAAGTGAATTAGATACTAGCAATTTTGATAAATATGAGGAAGAAGAACCTTGGATTAATAAGAATTAGAAGACAACAAAGAAAGAAATGACTTTTGTAGGATATACTTATAAACAAGATGATTTTGAAGAAAAGAGACCAATATAAAAGGCTCTTGAAGAATTAGAATAATCAAGACCATCTAATTCAAGAGGGAATACAAAGACTACTAATTCTCCTTTTTAAAGTCCCAATTTATAATTTAAAAGTCAAATAAATAAATTAGTTCCTTAAACTTAATAGATTAAAACAGTTAGTGCTACTTAATCACCTTTTACAAAATAATAAACTGTTTCTCCTATGCCTTTAAGTAAAAACACAAATTTTCAAAAATCTTTCTTAAATAACAGACTTTAAACAGAATAAAATGAAAGTTTTCATAATACTACTAATTAATAATAGAATTTAACAACATAAGGTAATAATATAAATTTTAATAATGAAAACACAAATCCAAATAATAATGCACAAAATATTAAAAACTTTATTTTTTCGAAGATTTAATAACATACAACTAATTAATAACAAACTTCTAATATTAACAATATTTAAAAAAATGTTCAATTTAATGAACTTTAAAAACTTGTTTAAAATTAAAAACTTAGACCAGATAAACCGGATTAAGAATAAACAAAAGTATTTAGTAACACTAGTAACAATATAAGTTCACTAAAATAAAATATCATAAATTAATTCAGAGCTGTTAGTCCTTTAACAAAACGATGAACTTATTTTATATTTATTTAATTTAAATTATTTAATAGAATTACATATTTTTGAATTGTTTATTAAGTGATAATTTATTTATATAAAAAAACAAGTATAATGTGATATTTAACCATATTATAAGTATTTAATTAAAAAAATTATTTTTCAATAAATATATTTTCAAATTTTAATAATGTAGGAGTTAACAGAACTTAAAAACTTAGTTATACAATCTCTTGAGGCTAATGGATCTCTAGCAAAGATTAGAGCTCAGATAAGAGCATCAGTCTTTAATGTAGTTGATTAATAAGAGGGCAATAATAAAAAACCATCTCCATTTTTTTGGGAAAATAACAAAGCTTAAACCATTTATGAATTAGGATGTGGAAGAGATATGTTAGAATTAATTAAAGAGTTTTTATTATTTTTTGAAATGCACTACACCAACTCAATTTTTTCAAGGTATTGATTATCAATATAATTATAGTGAAAGCAACTTAAGAGAAGATATTAATCGAGATTAGATTGCAAAAAAATTGAATATAGATGCCAATGATTCAACCAAACCATTATTATACTTTTTGTTAAAAAATCGATAACCTGAAAAAAAATCGTATTTTTTAAATTGCATTTTATATTAGTGAAGAAAAAGGATAATAACAAAAAATTGCATAACCCTCCCCTAAAGAAGTCCAAATATAGTAATAGTAGTAACAATAATAAAAATTACAAGAACAAAAACTTTAAGAATAAAAAAGATAGGATGAATTAAAAAAATAAGAGGAATTAAAAAAGTAAGAAGAACAAAAAAAATAAGATGAATAAAGAAAATAAGATGAATTAAGAAGATAATAATAAGAAGAACAAAGAAAAATTGAAGAATAAAAAAAAGATTAATTAAGAAAATAATAAGAGGAATAAAAAAAAATGGAAGAATTAAAAAAATAATAAGAATAATAATAAAAATAAGAATAACAAAGATAAGAATAATAAAAATAAGAATAATAAAAAAAAGAATAAGAAAAATTGAAAGAACAATAAAAATAACAAGAATTACTTAAATAATAATAAGAAAGAGAGAAACTTGAAGCTGAATAAAGAAAAGCTTAAGCAAAAAAATTTGAACATAGAAACTACGAGGATGAAAAATTTGATAATGAAGATTTAGAAGAACAATTAGAAGGAGAAGTATAGATATTATAATATGTAAGGATTTGAGAGATTCTTAATTATAATAAGATTAGTTTTAAGAATCGGATGAATACATGCAATAATCATAATCACAAGGAATAGATATGACCGTTGATTCTGTTGCATTGGAGGAGTTTGATTATTATGAAGATATAGAAGATGCGGATTGAATTCAGATTGCTTAACATAAAAACAATATTTTCTTTTGTAATTCCTTAAGATTAATATTCTCTTTCTATTTCCTATCACTTTCATCAATAGAATATATTAATTGATAGTGTTAATTGTCTACATATCTCTAGAGTTTATTTTTTTAATAAATTCAATTTATAAACTTAATAGTTTTATATAGTGTTTACTATTTGATAGAGAGTAAATTTCTATTTTTACATATGTAAAATATTATATATAACTTAATGATTTTATAATTATTTAATTTAATAAATTAAGATTATCTTTATGAATTATTATATTATTATTTTTTCATATTTAAACTAAATTAATCAGTTCTTTAATCACATTTTTATAAATTTATCTGATTAATGGGTTTTTTATTGATTGAATTTAATATATTTTATTAAATTGAAAAGCTCAATTTTTGGTAAAATGTAAATTTATTATAAAAGAAAGAGGGATTAACATAATTAATTGGAAAGATTAAAAATCATTTAAATATTATTTTAAGCTATAAATTAAAATCCTTTTATAAATGTTTGAATTAATAATCGAATCAATCAAGCATATATTAAGTCTTAAAAAAATTAAATAAAGAAAATAAAGTGGAGTAAGTATTTTTTATTTGAATAATAAAATATAATTATTCATAAGACTTAAACAACATTCATTTTAACTTAGTATTAATGAAAATAATAATAATTTTATTAGAGAATAATGATAATTATTAATCAACTCTTTTGATAAGAATTTATAAAAGTACTAATTATTCTCTAAAAATATTAATTTAAATCTATTGATTAGGATATTATAATTTTATTTAGTTAGATATTAATAAAATTAATTGATTATAACTAGTCTATTTGAATTTAAATGTAAGAATTTTATTTGATTATAATCACAAGACTAAATACTTTAATTTATGGAAATATTTTTTATAATAAATTTAAACATAATAATAAATAATGTAATATTAGATTTAAATCATTGATATATAGTCCTATGAAAATAAATAGTATTACAGTATTAGAATTACTAACAACTATTCTACTTGTTATCGTGATGTGAGGGTACGTTTTTAAGATCTTAGTCAATTGTCTCGAAACCTCATGTCTGATAATTATTAACTTAATGTAAGAGATTTAACAATATAAATAAATTAGTTGCCTTAATTTCCAGAGAAGTCAATTTTCAGTTCATGGTTTTAGAGTAGTGAAAGCAAAGAAGAATTACAAGAACATCTTAAAGCTATTTAAGCTTACTTAGCTTAAATTAATAAGTAAAAAAATATTTATAGTTAAGAATTTTAATCTATAAGCCTGATGCTATAAATTATTTTGTTTGCAATACATTCGATCCTGAAAGACTAAAGCTCTTAACTTTTGGTAAATTAACGAAAGAGATACTTTATAATAATTACATAAAATCAGCATAAATAAAGAAGAGTTAATTTAATAAAGTGTTTAGAGTGAGTGTTCGATAAGTGACTCTTGCAATTCATTAATATTTAATACCTCAAAGTGATTTTGCTAAAGCTGAATATGAAAATTTTAAGAGATCATAATTATTGATATCAGATTTCACTTATATTGTAAAATGCTTTGAGATAGGTCACCTCATTAAAAATAAATCTTTCTTTAATAAGAAGATCAAGAAAACTGTATATAATAAATTTCTTAAAATGGTTGACTTATAGTATGATACTATATATGCAGTTGAAGAATGGGTAGAATAACCAATGAATGAAGTTATATTTTTAAGAGCTTAAACTCATAATCTATTTTAATTAGAAGTTATTGTTGAAGCAATTATAACATTAGTATCAGTGGCTCAATATTTATAATTTTTATAGATATTTTAGAAATAGTTCTCTGTAAGTTATTTGTTTTATGATGAAAATAAAGGATTCAAAGTTGGTGGTTTATCTCCTGTTCTTGCCTACAAAAAGAAATATCATGTTTAATATAATTAAGATATTAATGATTATTAAGCTTTATAACCACCTGAAAATAATACATCATCAATATAATATGGTTTCAAAAACAATTTTAATGTTTCATCTAGAACAGATGTTTGGTAAATTGGTATAGTCATTTTATCAATGGCTTCACTTACATTACCTGCTGAATTGATTTCATAAGATTAAATTGAAAATAAATTGAATTTAGTTTCATTTTAATATGGGTATGATATTATTAAAATTAGGGAAATGTTAGGAAATTTAATTAGAAATATGTTGATACGTAATCCAATTGATAGATGTTCATTAGTAGATGTTGCTAATACTGCTCAAAATCTGTTACCCATGAAATTAGAATATTTAAAAAATGAAGAGAAAACTGAAAAAATTTAAGTTTAAATGTTAATTTAAATAGATTACTTCAATTTCTTAATTATAACTTGAAGAATTAGACAAATATTTAAAAGAGAAGATAAAAAGAAAATATATAATTCATATGATTTTGAATTAACAAGTTGTATAATAAATGTTCTTATATTATTTGGAAAGAATTAAAAGAGAAAATGTGATACAATTATATATTAATCTATCTCCTTAGATGATTTCTGATAATTTAATAGAATAAATGATGGCAATCATAATTGAATATAAGAATTTATAATAACTTGTAATTAATATGAAAGGATGTTCAATTAGTGATGTTGCTTATTAGTATATAATTAACCAAGCTAATATAATAACTCAATTAAAACAATTAACATTAGGAATAAGTGGAATTTAAATAATTTAGATTCCTGAAACTAAAATTAGAGTGGTTGTATATAACCAATGAAAATATATTTAAATATTAATTTATTAAATGAAGGCCATCTTTTTTAGATTCAGTTCTTATGCTAAATTTGCAGAAAAAATATAAAATACAAAATTTGCTACCATTTATGATTACGAAACTCAAGTTAAACCTACACTAAATATCTATGAATCAATGGGATTTAATGAATAAATGATTTTTAGAATTTTCAAAAACAGAGGTCTCTCTATTGTCAAAGAGAATACTTTAAATGATATTGGACAACTAAATGAGTTATTCAAAAATAGATTGAATGCAGAAACAAAGTAAATTTCGATCACATTAATACAGATAAATGCGAACTATCCTTTTTAAAGACCCATAAATATTGAGCCATCCTATTGAAAAGATGAACAATTATCTTGACCTTTTTGAAAAATAACTACAAATAAAAAAAGAAGACATTTTATCTATGTTGACAGCATATCCTTTATTAATGAGAAATTTTGAAGTTAATTATGAAAAATTTAGAAATGTTTTTAATACATATGCACATGTTAATGATAAACAATTTGGATAAATATTGGTTAATACTCCATTCTTATTTTCATTCAATCTTGAAAGAATACCACCAAATTTTAGAGTTATGTATAATAGAGATTATAAAACCAAAGAAATCTAAGAATTAGTATAAAATTTATTATGATTTATTAGATTTAAAAAACTTCAGAGTTTTTAGCACTTAAAAATCATGATTTAGATAGATTATTAAATCATTATGATGTGTTAATATCAAATAAGGAAGTTTAGCATTAATTGTTAATAAATAATCATAAATTATTACTATTAACACCAGCTTATATGTTAAGTCCAAAGATTAATTTATTCAAAGAACTTGGGTTATCATTAAATTAGATAGGATAGATTTTATAAATATGTCCAAATTTATTCATAAAGAGTGTTTAAACACTTAAATTGAAATTGAAATTTTTTGAAAAACATTTGAATATTAAAATTAAGGATTCTTAATATTTTCCTTAGATTTTAGAATTTGATTATTGGACAGTATTACGTCCTAGGTAAATATTCAATAAATAATAAGATTGGTGATTTTGAATAATTTAGAAAATGCTATGGATAATTTAAAGATGGATCAAGAAGAATTTATTAAGAAGTATGATTGCGAATAAAAATATCAAGAATTATTAAATGAAGCTCCAGCTAAAAAGAAAATTGATGCTGACTTTATGATTAGGAAATACCATAGATATTGTCATGATAGAATATAATTATTACATTGAAGTATGATATCTAATTGATCATTTTTATATATATCTGATAAATCTAAGATTAAATAAGTAGTATATATAATACTTTCATTATTTCATTAAAATCTATTTTCATTATATAATAATTGATATAGATAGATTACATTTTTATATAATGAGAGAAATATGATGTATTTACTTTAAATAATAATATTTAATGTTTTCATTATCAATAGACTTAATATGAAATTTAATTTCAGTAAAATTATCATTTTGGATGACTTTTAATTATGATTAATGCTATAAGTCTTTACTAATTATTTTGATTTATATTTATCATTTATGAGTAGATTTTTAATTAAAAAATTAGAAGAATGAAAAATATGGAATTTTGTGAAATAAGAATAATTATGTATAAAAAATTGGACATTTAATTATAATCAATGATAGATTTTATTTCTTAGGTAATTTTTAATGGATTTTATTCTATTATTATATATTAAAATTACCTTAAAATTAAATCTAATGGTATCATTAGAATCAATAGACGAGTATTTAAAATATCTTAATTATTCTTTAATTAAACAGGTATCCATACAAAAGTTACACCAATTAACAAAAGAATATTTATACATAAGAATACTGCCAATCTTAATATATCGGTCTAATCAAAATGTTCTAAAATAGTCTGCTCCATAATTTCAATTAAATATCGATAACATGCTCTTATAAATATTTTTTATATTCTTCTCATTGAAGTCACTGAAGGAGTGTTTAACAAATTCATTCTAGTGTTCAACTCTGGATCTTCAGACATATAATATTTTTGTTTTTCGCTACTATTGCGACTTTCAAAATTTTTGATAGTTTATCTCAAATCTTCAACAAACTTAGTAATTCCTATTGAGAGACCATTTTGCATTATCCCACCATAAAATGAGTTACAAACAGTTTCAGTAACAGTAGTTTCAACAGATGCTATAATAGAGCAAGGATTATTAATAAATATGTTAAAGAATGCAGTTTTATATTTATCTTCAAAAAGATCCCACATTTCTGTATGTAACTGATGTATTTGAGAATCAATATCATATAATGATACTGTTATCTTTTGTACTTCATCAATTCCATCATTATTATAGATCAAATAATTGGGATCATAAATAAATTATCTTAAAGCATTATCAGCAAATCTATTAAAACTCTCTGCTGAACTAGTAAGATTTAAAACAGGTAATATTCGTTGAACTTAACTAACTACAATTTCTACTTAAAATTCTAAAAATAAAAAGTAAAAGAAAATTAGCAAATTCAAAAAGAATGAAATGAACAATTAATTTTAAAATTCTTTACTAGAGTCTTTATGTTTTCTTCTTTTTGGTCTAAAATTTAATACTGCAGCTTCATCACCTTTTTCAACTGGTTTTTCCTCTGCTTCAGATATTAGCTAATTAATTAAATAAATTGTACATCATCATCTCCAATTTGTAGATCTGTCAAAAATAATTCACAATTATTATATATTTATTTAATTTGATTTTCTTTAATATCTAAAAATAATTATATTATTTCTAATTTATTATGATAAACTTAATAAAAGTAGCATAATTATGCCAGAAATCTAAAAAATATATATGTAAAAATAATTACAAAATGAATGTCATAAAGGAAATGATGATTAGGAAAATATTAACACTCTTATCTAATACTAATGATCTTGAAAGTATATTGTAATAATAATAATCTTAAGATATATGTTAAGCAAGGGCTAAAGAATTATATGAATTAAATTCAAAATAAAATATTAATGGATTCTTATCATTAAATTCACTTAAATCTGAATTATTCAATTTTATTGCTACAGAAATCAATTATTAGATAGTTTCTGATAGAGTATAATTTTATATATCACCATAATAGTTTTTCATTTATACATTTAAACTTTTGAATTAGGTTTCATAAAATTAATATTCCTAAATAAGAGTAACTTCTGCTAATGATAAATTTAATTCTAACTATTCAATTTATGCTAAATTCGATTTAAAATTATTTCTTTAAATTTGAATAAATGTATTATTAGTAAGTTGTTATTATAATGGAGAGAAACCATAATTTAAAAATTTTAAGTCTTATATGACTGATTGTATTAATAAAAATAATGCTAATCTTTCATTATTTTATCTCAAATATGGAATATTTGTTTACAGATCTTCATTTAATTTTGTACCCAAAAAATATTCAGTAAATATACAAATTATTATTATTAATAGTAATGTATTTATTAATATTTGCATTTTTTTATTTATTGATGGTAATAATGATTATTTAATTTCAGTTTCAATTAATTATTTAGAAGAATAATTTTAATTCAATTATAAAATACTTTGTTCTTCCTCTAAATCATCTTAATAGGCTTATATAATTTAATTATTTTAAGACTCTTCATCTTCTTCCTCTTATTATTAATCATCTATATCTACTAATTTATCTCTTAATAAACGAACAGTTCTTATTCCTTATGCTAATCCCTTACTTTCATCTTATTATTTAATTAATTCTTAAGTTACAGTGTCTTCAGATTACTTTTATGCACTTTCCCAAATAATACTAGAGTCAAACTTTATAGAATTATCAAAAGTATCAGTAATGTTTACTTTCTCTAATTAATATATATTTTAAGGTATAAATTTAAACCATTATTATTATTGCAATTATTTCTTCACAACTTATAATCCATTTATTTATGGTTTTATCAAATCCAGTCTTATTATATATCCAAATATTCTATTTTCAATATTTTCAGAAGCCAAAGAATTAAATTAGATTTCAGTAACTTAACAATTAAAAACAGTTTATTCATGAAGATCTAGTTATATGTTTTCAGAACTGTATTTTATAAAATCCAAATCTTTAGATAATTTTTAAGAGGGTGTGTATACTAATTTATCACCCTATCTTGTTTAATAATCTTCTTTGATATCCATGAAATTTGGAAAAAGATCATTAATATTCAGTCTCTTCATTTCTATTATTTTATTATCTATTCCTAATACTTTTATACACATAGAATTAATATTTTCAATTTATCCATTTGATTAACATAAAATATAACAATATGGTTTAAATTAAACATCTTAAATTAATTAAGCCATTAAATAGATTTCTTGATTTTAAGTTTAAATAATTTTAACTTAAAGTAAACATTAAATAATATAATGAGCTTTATTTTTTACAAAAATTACTTTGCATCCTTACTCTTTTGTTTCTTATATTTAGTTGAGATCACTATTCTCAAGAAATCTTGTCATTATGGTTGTATGCCATTTTGAATAACTAAATTATTTTATATAATAATTTACATTTCTGGTTATAATATATTTAAATGTCTACCAACAAGATCTGTTCTAGTATAACCTAATAAAGAACATGCTGCCTTATTTATTGATTATATAATTCCTAATTGTTCCCCTTCTGTTTGACAAACTAAAATAGCTTGAGATGAATTTCCCATCTCATCCATAATATAAAGTCCTTTAAATTCAGAATTTTTATTATTTTTTTCTATTTCAAACATTTATTAACTTTTTATTTCATCATTCCAAACATATTTATAATATTTACCCATTAATAAATATAACTTTTTATGTTTTTAATTTAATTTCTTAATTCTCTTCCATTAATCTTCAACTATTTAAGAAAACTATTATATCTTAGTACCTAAATAAAGTAATTTCCCTGTATCAGGCATTTCTTCTTATAATTAAGACCAAAAGTCAATAAATAATAATGCAGTTCTTTCAACCATATTCATTAATTATTTACTTTAAGCTAAAAATGTCATTTCATTTGAAACATCCAAATGAATAGAACTTTCTTACTATTATTATTGTAATTCTTCTTCAATAATCTTCTTAAATCTAAAGATAATAAAAGAAAAATCAAAACTAACATTACTTTATTCAGCCTATTATAATTCTGTTAATGCTAATTATTTTAACTTCAAATAATCCATTAAAAAATAAGCATAATGAAGTCTTAAATGAATATCTGTTGGAAAAGACTTAATACCATAAAAAAATATTTGATTGATTACATCCAATAAAATTTGATTACCTTATCTTGTTGATTTCTTTTTCTCTGTTTATTTTCTAGCTTTAAGAACACAATCTTGTTTTGGACATGCATGTTTATGTACTTCAATATAAGCATCTAATTCTAATTGAATATAATGATCATTATGTGCATTCTAAATCATGTTTAATAATTATTCACATAACTAAATTATGTGATCTCCACTTTGATGAGGATGTATATTAGCTGCAAATAAATCTACTTATTCAGATGGTTCCCTTATTATGATAATTGTCAGAAATGGAATACCAATTAACCATGCATATAAAGATTTTCTAAAGTAGTAACCTTCCAAAATAGCAGCAAAGGTAAGCATCAATGAAGTCCAAAAATTTAAAGCAGTTATTATAACCCATAATGTTTAAATATTTTTATTATGAAATGGCTAAGTAGACTTAACTAAATAGAAAAGCAAATAACTATTAATTAAAAAGACAATTAAAATCACTGAAACGTACTAAGGAGTCTCCAAAAGTTAATATGTCATTATATTAATCAGTATGCAATAATGATAAAAAGAATAAGGCCTACCAGTCCTTTATGAAAAAGTATTCATTTAAGTTTTCTTTGATTAATAACAGATTAATGAAACTATGCTAATTAAGCCCTAACTTAAAATTAAACTCAATATAGCAAAAATAGCATGAATACTATATTCAAAAGTCCAACAAACTTAAGAATCTAAATAAACCATTACTTAAATTCCATCTTTTTCATGACAAGCCAAATACTAATATATTCAACAAGAAGACTTACTCCAAAAAATATTTGCATAAGTGGAAAATAACCTATTGTCAATAAAAATTTCAACATATAGCCAAGCATTTTAATTAAAATTATTGGGGCATCTTTGTCTAATATTCCAACCAAAAATAGTAACATAATAGTTAAGAGGACAATGGAAAAGAAGAAATACAGAAAGGCTAAAAATATTGAGAAATCAGTATTAACAATATGCAGCAAAATTGTAAAGTAGCTATGTGATCACTTTATTATTTTACCTTAAAAATTAAGTAATTATTTCTGTTAACTAAGAGTTATTCCATAGATATGAGGTTTTTAATGCAAAAGCTAAATAAATTAACTAAAACATTTATATAAAAGATAGAGCCATGCTAACATATATAGATTAGTTATCAAATTATAAAACTTAATATATTGCACTAAAAATATAAATAATTTACTTGAACAATTTAGATCTCATGAAAACATACACCTTTTAGAACAAGGAAGTATGTAATCCTAAATTTTTTAAATTATTCATAATAAAAATATTGTTATATATATTATTATTAATAATCAATTCTTATGAAATACTTTTATGTATATGAGAGTAAATTTATATGTTATCACAATTAGAAATAGTATTAATTAAAACATTCATTTTTTTTGAAATTATGATATTTGATTTACACATATCAAAGAAATATGCATATTCATAAAAATAGTAAATATTTAGAAAATGATAAGCTAAATATTCTAATTAAAATCCAATTGTTTAAAATTTATTGGAATAATAAAAAAGTTATTTATTAATATTATAATAGTATTAAAAAAGAACTATGTTTATTTATTGATTAGAATGATATCTAATAAATTTAATAATTCAAGTTTTAAATGAGTAAATAATCTTATAGATTTGATTGTAAGCAAGACTTTATTTTCTCTATGATTTTTTGATATAAATATATAGTTTTTTTGAACTTCATAGAATATTGATGATTTTAGATTTATAAATAAGTTAGTTAATAGTATTTAAATAAATATTTTTTTGGATATTTTGTGTAAATTTCATATTATAAAGTCTTTTTGAAATATTATTTAATAATGTTAAAAGCTTGGAAGAGATTCAAATTTATTGATTAAGATATATATTATCATGTAACATAAATAAGTAAATCATTAAAAATATTATTCTAATTGGATTCATTCTACTAAAGATTTCAATATATTTAATAAACTATTTTATTTTTCTGATATTAACTTTAATAATAAAAATAATTACATCATCAGAATCCGAAATAGTGTGATATTAAACTGATTAATTAAATTAAAGCATTTTTGTAAATTCTGCCTAAAATAAATTTTATTTGCTATTATTTCCTTTATTGACAACAACAACGAATGCATTGAATAAAGGATAATACAATTCTAAATTATTTTAAATTTATACCTTAGAAAATCTATAATGGATTTAAGTGATTGAGTATCCAAATATGGAATTTATGAATTACATTTCCAAAAGTAATTGTATGAACATAACAATCTTATTTAAAAATGATGTAGCTTGATTATGTCTATTCTTCGGTAGTGCTATCAGTTAGATTATCTGAAGTTTCTGCTAAGTTTAATCAGATTAAACTTACAGGAATCTAAAATAGATTACAATCTCTTTAGATTCATAGAAAAATCCTCACAAATCAACAATAGAAAGTGAGATTTATAAATAGTGGCCTTTTCAAGCAAGAAGATTGGCTCAGAACTAAATGGATCAAATGAAAAATCATGATTTATAATAAATCCTTCAAGTTATGGAGAAGGCTGTTAGTGTTCTAAGAGTATTTATTGGCATTCATCTTATTTGGCTAATTTCTAAAGGATAGTTAAAGTTGATTTTAAACTTAAAGATATTCTTCTTCGGTTTCAGCATGAACTCCATTTCTTCTTTATCTTCTTCTTGTTTCACATAATATCATTTATTTTAAATTTTTTTTAACTTAATACCTCATAAATTATCGTCTGTCAATGTAAATTGAAGTACCAGTTGTATATTAATTTGAATGCTTTCGTAAGGGAAAGAATGGAAACAAGAAATATATTGGAATATTAAGACAAGATAGATTGGATTTATGTAAGGTATAATACCTTAAAAACAATGAAATTTTAGGATAACCAACCAAATTTTAAGTATTCTTTGCCAATTTAACTTTAAACACATATAAAGTGGGAAGTAGAAGAGGACAATTAAGAAGGGAAAAAGCATTACAAAATAGTCTCATTCAAATTTTAATAAGTTGTCAAATTCATTCTTACATTCATTAGGTTAAACAAATAAACGAAAACCATGTTGCCAAAATAACTACTTTTTGTGGAGATGAAAAAACTTTAGCAACATTAAAAGAACATTTGAGAAATAAGATCATCTTTTAAAGAATTCAAGACTTTTATACACCTCTCTAAACATTAGGAAAAGGGGCCTCATCTAGAGTTTTATTGGTGAGACATAAGAATACAGAAAATTATTATGCAGCAAAATGCGTTGATAAATCATATGTTAATGAAACAGAAAATGGAATTGTATTAGTTTAAACATAAAATAGGAATCAATGTTTTAAGAAATAGCAATTAATAATGATCTAGATCATCCTTCTTTTATAAAATTGCATGCAGTTTATGAAGGAGACAATACATTTTATATGATTATGGATTTATTAGAAGGGAAAAGCTTGCATGAAGAATTAAATAATCATAAGAATGGATTTTCTGAAGATATAGTAAGGAATATTATGTGGGTAATAGAATTAATATTTATTAAGTAAATTCTATCTGGAATTGAATATATGCATGAAAAATAAATTATGCATAGAGATTTAAAACCTGAAAATATAATGCTACTGAGAAAAGATGATTTGAATTCTCTTAAAATTGTTGATTTTGGTTTAGCTACATACTGTAATGTAAATAAGTATAAAATATAATAATTAATCAGATATTTATTTCCTAAATGTGGAACACCTGGTTATGTTGCTCCAGAGATAGCTAATCTTACTGATAAAACTTTAAAATATGATAAGGTTTGTGATATTTTTAGTGCTGGTGTGATATTTTTTAAATTGTAAGTTCTATCTTAATTATAAGATTAACAGGAAAAGATCTATTTCCAGGAGTAGGATTTAATTTAGTTTTGAAATTAAATAAATAATGTAAAATTGATTTAACTCCTTTACAAATGAAAAAAATTGATCCTTTTATAACTGTATTTATTTTTACCTAAATTTTCAGACTTTAATACAAAAAATGCTTGAAAAGGATCCAGCTGAAAGAATAACTGCTACTTAATGTTTATAAGATCCATTCTTTATTCCTTGTTATTAAGAAAGTGGTATCTAAGGACCAGCTAAATTAACAGCCTTCCAAAAAAAGCAAATGTTTTCTACATGTGGAAAAGCTTTCACTACTGAATTTAAAAATGAAAATTAAAAAGGAAGTCCTTAAGATAGAATTGAAAATAAAGGATCATTTGTAACATAAGAGACTACTTATAAACCAATTTAACAAAACTAATAGAAAATTATATAAAAATTTAATACTACAGAATTTGATCATATTGATCCTACTTAAAGTCCATCTATGGATCAAGTAAAGAAAAAATTTTAAAAAGGGGATCCTATTGAAGAAGAAGATGAAAAATGATTATTAAATCAGTTTTCATTATTATTATTTAATTAAATCCATTCTCATAATTGTCTTTGTCTAATATCTATATATTTTTAATTGATTATTATCAAGTTTCTATAACATTTCTTTAATGAGTATATAAACATATTTAAAAATAATAATGTATTTAGTAAACAACAATTAATCAAAATATTCAAAAAGTGTAAACTAATTTATGACAATTAAATGAACTTCAAAGAAAATTAATTTTTCATAATTGAAAGAACTTCAAAGAAGAAATTTATCTTCAAAAATATGATTAATTTGAATCATATTAAATAATAAAAAATATCAAAATTATTTTATAATGAATTTGGTATCTTTTAATTTGAATTTAGATTTTTGGAATTTAATATAAATATATATACTATTATAATATCAATTATAATTTGAAATAGATAATTTAGAATGGATTATGAAAATATTGATAAAAAATATTTAGGATGGAGAATATAAAACTAAATAATATAGACTTAGAAATATAGGAGATTTAATTTAAAAACAACATTAAAATTAATATCAAGAATCTATAAACATTAATTCACAAATATATTATTTTTATTTTATAAATCAAATTTTCATAACTAGACATCCAAATAATGAATGAATATCAATCATATACATCTGATAATCGTAAATCAAAATAAACCATAAATACTATGGAAGAACTTAGTAAAAATCAATCATTCAGAATTCTCAAACTGTAGACATCTGGACTTGGTAAGATGAATAATAGCAGTAAAAGAAACCCATAAAACTTTGATGTTTCTTAGGTGTCTACATCTATGCCATTAAGGTAATTGATTCCTTATTATTCCATTAAGTTAGAAGAATATGTTATCATTTTTGGCTCATGATGAGTTAAAGCGTCCAAATTCTTATGAATAATTATATTAAGATTTGTAACAATCAAAACAATAAGTGAATAATCTCAAGGACGAAAACACAAGACTAAGAACTAAAGTATAGCATAATGAAGTATGTTTGATTGCATATTACTTAGAGAGAATTCTTAAAATATGAAAACTTAATAGAAGATTTAACTAATCAAAAGAAATCGAATAATTAAGATCTTCAGATTATTTCACTACGTAAATAAGTTAAGGATAAAAGTTAAGAATTGGAAGATAAAATGAAAGAGTTAGAAATATTAAAGAGAAATAGTAAAGTTTGTAAATTATAAGAATTAGAAGTAATAATATTCAATTTATAATAGATTGAAAAAAAAGTATATTTTGAATAAACTTTAATGATGAAACATATGTTATAAATGGCCTAAGATTAAATTTAATATTAATAAAGCAAATTAGAATAAGTGTAATAATTAGAATCCCAATTAGATATTTGTCATGAATAAATGTTTAAATTATAATAATAGAACAATGAATAATTTGAATGTATTAATAAAAAAGAATAAATCATAAAAGACATGAAAATTCAATTAAAAAATTAATAGACAAAATAATAACTTATAGTTTAAAAATAACAATAAATTTAATAAAAATATGATAATTTACAATTGTTATATCAATCTATTAAAGGGGTAAACAACAATATCTTACCTAAAGATTCTGCTTAAAAGTTTCCAAAAGATCTTGTTATATTGAAATTACATTAGAGAAGAGTTACAATGAATTAATATAATAAAGCTATTGAGGTATTAAAATAAGCTAAAAACAAACAAGAGTTTAATTAATTGTTGTAAATGTAACAATATCAAATTTATATTAATGTAGAGATCCATTTTATTTAAGTGAAACTGAATCTTAATAAGTGGTAGATAAACTAACAGGAACATAGTCATTATCTTAACAATTCATCACTTAATTAAGTTATCATTCCTTAGAAGGTTTGGATGAATAGTAGGCACAATAATTAATCAATAAGGTATTCCAATAAGTAGCGTATAGTCTCTTTAATCTAAAAAAGATCGTGTACGATAGTATTGGATTCAATACAAATACAAAAAAGTTGGAAGAGACGATATTATCAAATTTATATAGGCCATGAATTTTAATTGGGATTAATAGACAACATCATATTTTTTATTAGAAGTATATCAATTATTTAATATAAGATATTTTAAAATACTATGTCAAATAATAATGTTTCTAATAATAGTGAACAGAATTCTTAAAGTATGAGAGTATCAATAGACTTTATAACTAATCCTTTTTAAAGATAATCACATCATAAAAGTTCAAATGAAGTCTAATAATAGGATAGCTTTATTAGAGATCTAAATGAGTAATAGAGTAATTAATAGGTAATTGAGAATTTTAATCCAAATGATGAAGTTTTAATTAATTAATTTTTCCCTGCTGATGAAGAGGATAAATAATTTGAAATTATAAGTACCAATCCTCAAGATAAATTGACTTCAAAATACCAATAAGACAATGAAATTTAAGAAGTTAATGAAGAGGATATGTTAAGCTCTAAACCATAAGATGAAGATAATGCTAATGATATTGCCTATTTAGAAAGCAACTAATAAGAAGAATTAGTTTAAGAAGCTAAAAGCCTTGAAATTTTGAATGATTATCAATAATGACTAATATTTTTATTATTTACACTATCCAGATAATTTAAAAATTCTATAGCTGGTTTATTTATCCACTAAAATAAATTATAATATTCTTACTCTAACTGCTTTAAATCCAGTCAGCCATTCAATATGACCTCCATTTTTTGTTAAAGCTAAAATAAGATTTTTATTCTTTAAAATTGCATCTTTAGGAATATTTGATGATTAAATAACTGGATCATTCATTGATGATACAAATAATGTAGGTACTTCTATTTATTCAATTTCTTTAACACAATTTATTTTCTTATATAAATCTTAAATGTTTTCATAACCCAACAATCTTTTTGTTACTAATTCATCAAAATCTTCAGTTCTATAACATTTCTAAGCCTAATCTAAATTATAAAAATTATCAAATCAATATACCTACATCAATGCCTTACATCTTATATATATCAATATTCCATTTCATATTCCGAATAAAATTTTTTGTAATAGCCATATTATAAATAAATTTAGTTGGTTTCTTGATTTCTTAAGCTAGAGTATAAATATCCCATGGACAACTAATTGCAACAGCTCCTTTGATAACATCCTTATATGTTGCTAGAAATTTCACAAGTTGCAAAGAACCCATTGAAAATCCTAACATATATAGAGGAGCATCTGGGTTTTAAGATTTAATATAATTTACTCCAGCCAATAAATCATCTAATTTAGAATAATCAGTAGGCTATGCTGATATCATTCTTGAATTTGCATACCCTCTCATATTTATACAATAAACTCTAAATCCTTTACGATTTGCATTTAATACTGTATGTCTAATGTAATTACATTCACTAGCTCCAGTCAATCCATGTAATATTATTAAAGTTTTTTATTTTGGATTCTCACTTTTATCAGATCTCAAAAATTTTTGATTAACAGGCAGAGAATCTATTGTAATTAATCCATTTTCTACGGGTACTTCAACTCGAGTCATTGGTACATATGGTACAGGATCAAATTTACTTCCATATAAACTCTATAGAAAGGCTGTTTATAAATAAATTGTTGGTTTATAAACACCCTAAATAAAATATTGTAATCTCTACTTATCTTAAAGTTGGGCATTTTTAAATAATATCCAAATTTTAAGGAGTTTAGTTAAATGTATATAGAATATCAGTGTTCCAATAGTTTCCTTATATTTCAACTCCTATAAGAATTAATCCAGCATAAAACATCCATTTTCTAGTTCTACTCCATCCTATTCTTTATCTGTCTTGGAATTATGCAATACTCATTGAAGAAAATCGAAATTTCATTATTTAAATTTAATGATTATACGCAAACCAACAACTATAACTTTGAAGCCAGAAGATGATTATTAAGAATATGAAGATTTTAAAAAAAGATAAGAAGACTAAAAGAAGAGTTAAATGTAATAAAAGAAAGAAATGTTCACTTGGTCATAGTAATAATAAGCATAGATAATACATTAAGTTTGAAAATTTTGAATTTAAAAATAGGCCCCAAAAAATACAAGAAGATCAATTCAAGTTGCCTAAGAACCTACAATTGAATTTGAACCTGATTCATACTTTGATATTAACAATTAAATCCCTGTTAACCAATTATTTAGAATGATAAATCCATCTCCTGATACCATGTAACAAGAGCCATAATGATAATATTTATATCTTATTTGATATATAAAATTACTTATGATACTTTATATTACTAAATTGGCCTACTTCTCATTCATTTCAAAATATAAATGATTTATAGAATAATCTTTATTTTAATCATATAAAAATGATATTATTTTTAATTAACTAAGGTTAAAGATTTCATTATCATGTTTATCTTTTTCTTCATTCTTATTTGAGCAATATTTCAATTATATAATCTTCTCACTTTTGTCTTAATTAAATCTAATGATATTAGATTATTATACAATAAATAATTACAATTATTTGAATATTAAACATTGCTTTTTATCTTATTTAAATATTTTTAATAAAATTTTTTTCTATAGAATAGCAATGTCTGCATATTTATTGATAAGGAATTTTACTTCCAAAATAAAGTAAAATGGTTTAAGCAGATTAATGATATGTAGTATTTTGTTTTTTTTGTTAAAATAATGTCTTATTTTAATCTAATAATACTTCAAGTATTAGATAGTTAGAAATTATATAAATAAATGATAATACAGCCTAACTCTTAGCCTGTAACCTTAATTTCTCTTATTATCATTTACATCAATATTTTTTAATGATGTAATGTTGCAAATTAATCATTATCCATAAATTATGGATGCCTATATTTTTTGATTTGGCAAGAGTAATTAATTAATAAATGAGCTTGCTTCAACATTTTGTACATATATTCATATTAAAAAACACAATATTTATATTACATATATGATAATTACCTTACATATCTACTTAAAATAAAGAAATTATTTTTCATTATCCCCCAATAAATATTATGATATAACATGACGAATCATAGAAAAAATAATCATAATATTTAAAATAATGAATTAAAATAACCTTGACTTCAACAATAGGAAATACTAATATATTAAAACTGACTAGAGAATCTCACTTCTTGTTGATATTTTAGTCGAAGGCCTATCAATAAAACAAGCTGCAAAGAAGAATAATATTAAATTCTCCTCAGCTAAAGTAATTCTAAAGCTTTTCAAACACGAAGGACGTATTGGGAAACTAAAAGAAAATTAATTAACTTAAACGGACAGTGGTTCATAATTACAACAATCAACATAAGTAATTGATCAAAACTCACAAATCTGCAAAGATCTTTTGAAATAAATAGATGATTGTAAAGCTAGAAACAATTAACTGCAGTAGACGCTGACATTTTATAAATAAATTAATAATTAATTTAATTTAGAATGAAATTATAATTTAAATCAGCATTTTAATTATTTAGAAGGAAGAAGTTTTATTTATTCATCATCATATCTACTTGATCTTTCTTTATCTTATTCAATAAATTAATTAAGTAACTATTCTATTTTATCATCATTTTATTCATACATTTTTGGATGATAAAAGATCACATTTTTATCTATGTTTTACTAAGATTATGTTTAAATTAGTACTTATTTTAAAAAGTATTTAATTTCCTTCAAAAAAGCTTCTGCAATAAACCTATCTTAAATTATAGCAATCATATCATAAATATCTGTTGGTAATTACATAGCTATTCTTCTAAGAATATAGAATGGTATAAATTCTTCTATCTTTTATATGTTATCTATAGGCATTTTCTTTTTAAATAAAGATTTTCTCAAAAGTTATAATCTTTCCATAAGTAAATCGAATTTAGACTAAACTAGACAATATCCATATATTTAATGATAAATGGGTTATTATTTCATTTTTGCCTCTATCAATTAAGTTTGCCAAGTTTTTTGTCTATTTTAAGGTTCAAATTTGAAGTCATCTAAATTAATTTCTACTTCATCTTATGTTTGTAATGAAAATATTTCTGGAGTTTATTTGATAGCTTGGATGATTGGAAGAGATGGCTTTTTGTTCTTTTTAACATCTGAGTAATCCTTGATTTTTTTTAAAGATGTTTCATTCAAATACTCAGCTAATTATTTTTAGAATAAATTCTTAGCTTATAAAAAATTCATATTTATATTCAAATAAATAATTTAGCCCAAAAATACCATTTAAAAGTATATTAATAAAAGCAATTCTATATTCAAAAATAAATAGTATTTAAATCTATATTAATATAAATATAATATGACTTATAAATAAAGTTAATAAATTTATGTCCTTAATTCATGCTCTAAAATGATATGATACAAAGAGACCAATAATTTAAAAAATCATAAATCAATAATATTGAATCATTATAATAATTTAGATATTCAAAATTAAATTTAAATACTATTAGATTAGATTAGATTAGATTAGAAAAACAAAAATAATAACTTTAAAAAAATATAATAAATTTTTAACATATAAATAATCATCATTACCAATGATCTAAATCTTCTAACTCAGGTTTCATTTATTATTGTACTTATTAAACTTATTTATTTTATTCTCCTCCTTGTTATCTTATTTAAACCTTTAATTCAGTTATAGGTTCTTTTCTATATGGTATAATAGTATTATTCAATAAAATATGAGGGAAAAACTTATATTACCAAAATTTAATAGAATTATCTTTACTACTTGTCATAAGTAAACCAACAGAATCAAACAATTAAATTTTTGTTATATCCTTATCATGTGCATCTAATGAATATAAATATTTCATGTTTGTTGATTCTAAAATAACAACACAATTTCCATAATTCACATAGATTTCTTTTGTACTTATTGAAAATTGAACAACTTTGTTTGGAAGTGTTTTAAGTAATGTTATTTAATTTGAATTCTTTTCTTTCCCTTGTTTTCCAATTTCAAATACACTTAGATATCCTTCTTTACTACCACAAATTAAATAGTTTTTAATAGGACAATATTAAATTGAAGTTAAATGCATAGTAATATCCTATTTAATTTAATGAATAGCATGTAAAGGACCATTTTCAAAAGAGAAAATATATATACTTCCAATATTATCACCTACAAAAAGTCTATATTAGTTGGTAGTCATACAAGTTAATTCATTCGTAAATTCCTTTTCTATTATCAAATAATGTATATACCTTTTAAAATACTACTTGGATTTGCAAGATCTGTTGTAATAATACATTTATCTTTGCCAATACTGTAACAATGTCCTGTCAAATTATTGAATGCTATTCCATTAATTGATTGAGTATGTTTATGTATAGAACAAAATTCAGAATATTCTAAATATTATTTATTGGTTGCAATTCTCAAACATACAATATGACCATCATCAAATCCAATACCTAAAATAGTTAATTTTTCTTCCCATCTAATCATTGTGCCTCTATGTTAATATTATACAGTCCATAAACTTTATGCAACTGCTTATCCATCCTAATTTACATCTAATCTATAACATATTAATTATGTATGAAATGATGGTTTTAGAGATTTACCAAATATACCCATAAATCCTTACATCTTACTAGAAATAGAATCATCTGTAGTCAATACAAATAACACTTGAGTATCAATTTCATAATGAAAATCTGTTATTGGAAATGCATGTCCATAATGAATTTTCAAAGAAGGTTTTGGTTAGAATAACCATTTGTTGTTAATTAATTGTGATAACTATTTGATTATATGTATAGAATTACTTCACAAAAATTATAAAAGCTTTCACTTCCTAAAACATCACATCGCCAAATTAAGGCTCCCAACCATTTTTCTAAATCTACTCTTCTCCTTTCTGCATCTAAAGTATTTGACTTGAATCCAAACATTCCTATTCCTGGTAATTAAGGTAAATCAGGACATTAAAGTGTCAATGTTTTGCATAAGGCTAAACAATTATCATATGTATATTCAAGATCAGATCTCTTAAATGGTTCAACTAATGTATATTATAACACTATTCTATAATATGTTTGACCATCTGCTTTCTCTCTATAACCAGGAACTTTAAACTAGGTTAATATTTTAATATACTTTTAAATGTGCCCCTAAATATTCAATTCCATTAAGAGTGTCTAAACTCATAATTAAATAAAATGTTTTTGGGGCGAAGAATATTTAGAGCTTTTTGCTCCAAAGCTTAATATAATATTCCCATATTCACATCAAGCAGAGGTCCATAAGCTAATAAACATATTGATGATGTCCTTTTAGATCAAATGGTCAAAGGTTTTAAGAAAGCATATACCGACAAATTTTTGTTAGACTTTAAAAAAGTTATCATAAATAAAATATTTTAAGGTAGTCCTACCTGCTAAGAGAGTTAGATCATTAGATGATCATGTAATAGGTCTATGGAAAAAACATGAAGTGGCAGTTGTGATTGAAGGAAGAGATGAATTTGAAGATATTGATATAGTTTTAGATTACTATTAAGTGGCAGCAGTTAAAAGAAGGATTTGTGCAAATGTTGCTCCAATTTATATCAGAGTACCTGGACATGATGGAGATATTCGTTGTACTTTGGGTGAAATCATTAAAGATCCTAGTAACAATGATAAGTTTAATTGATAGAAAGTGGTTGGCCTTTCAAAGTAACTTTGAGAAGATACATAGTAGGCAGACCAAATCTATTGTACATACCAATTGCTATATTACCCAATAACTCAAATCCAGCATTAGTTAGGGGAACTGATTATGATGTACATATTGAAGGAGTTTGGATAAATTCATATAATGCTACTTATCCTACAAAATTCTTTGTTGATGCTAAGAATATTAAAACATACAGACCATATAAATTAGGAGATTTATAAAATACATTCCCATAAGGTATATTATTGCATGAAAGATACAAAAAACTAATCCATTGGAATGTTGTAACTTTGGCTAGAGATGAAGATGATGTAAGAATATCATTATTATCTTAATTAGAAATTCTTTGAAGAAGCTGAATTTTAAAGATCAAAGAAAGATGATGATTTATTGATCTATAGAAAACCAGATGATGAAGGTGAGGAAACATTAGAAGGAGAAATGTTATATTAAAAGAAAACAGTAACAGTAGAGAAGAAATAAAAAAAGAGAAAGGAAAAGTCTCTTAAAAAGAAAGTTAAACAAGCAAATCAAGAATTATAAAAAGAGGTAGCTGCTGCAAAAGAAGCAAAAGAAGCTGCTGCAAAAGAAGCTGCTGGTAAAAAATGATGAGTTTATAGTATATATTCATTATAATGATTATTGGTTCATAAATTTATCAAAATTATTTAAAATATCCAAGTTCTCTTTGATAATTTGTTTAACAAACCCAATTAATATATCATATCTTACTAAGACTTGTCTTTTTTATGGTAAATATGATCTAGTAGATTAAGGAAGACAAGAGAGACGTTTTGTATTAATTCTGAATCCCTATCCTTTATATCCTTCACTATGAAATGAAGTAAATTGTCTTGGAGAATAAGTAAGTGATTCCATCTTCTCTAAACTATTCTTCTAAGATTTCATTAAATATTAATTCTATCTCTTAGTAAACTATTCTTTTGTAACTCTGGCTTAAACTTGAGTCTAATCTGTTTCGATATAATTAATTAAAGGCTCTAGATATCTACCATTTCCTATTCCCCCAAAGACTGCTATCTTTGAACTAAGTAATACTGAATTATGAGCACATCTTGGTACATTTATACCTTCAATTACAACTTATTACCATAAATTTAATGAAGGGTAAAAAATAAAACATTCACTTGATTCTAGACATCCATTAATTATTTAATCTCTTTAACCTCCTAAAATAATGATACCTTATATTTTCTTTATAAATTCCATAGTATGATTATGACAAGGCATAGGTGGTTTACCTTCAGTTTAAACAGTCTCCCAAGCTATAGCCGTAGTAGTATTAGGATAAAAGATTAACTTCTTCATTTAATTAGTAGAATTTCCATCTTGATTTTTACCTCCGAATGAATAAATAGTTTCAACTGGAATTAGATCAGTAGTATTATCATTAAATTTTGAGGATAAAGAAATATTGATGATAGAATGACAACAAATAGGTGTTGATTTGACATCCCATTATTTCCATATCATTTTTTCTATATTATATAAAGCAGTATCATTTAAAACTTATTCATTGCTGTTAACTCCTCCATATACAAGCATCCATTTCCATCCATACAAACATGCTTTATGATGTCTTCTTGGTTCTATGTAATCTCCTTATACATTAAGCTTCTCCCAAAACCTTGTACTAGCATTGTAATCAAAAACAGTGTTAAAGCATTCTCTTATTTTCAATTTTGTATTAAATTTACAAGACCCCCCAAAATAGATAAAATGATTCCTTAAAGCCACTACTGTTAAAGCTGCTCTACCATTTTTTGGCATTTCACCCTAACCATTTACTACATGCCAATCCTAAAATCCTACTTAAATAATAGAGTTACTTAAATCAAATCTAAGCATTTAATCTCTAATTCCATCTCCTGCTATTCCTCCATATAAATATAGTGAATCTCCATATAATGCCATTGATCCACTTTCAGTAAAAGAAGGTCTAAAACTCCTTGCACTTCTAAAAAATTCTTAAGTTTCACCATAGAATGTCAACTAAGGAGGATGATCAATTTCAGCTTCTACTGTTGGTAATGCTAAATTAGGCATTTAGTACACTACAATAATTAATATTAGTACCTCTAGCTCCTTCTTTTAGGTTTACTCTCTTTTTTGGGGAATGATCTCTCCTTTTTAATTTTTATACAACTCTGATTTTTAATTTTTTTTGATTTCCTTAATCTAATGCATCTGATATAACTTCTTAGTGTCTTTCTGTCATTTATGAAATTATTTATTCACGTTAAACTTTGTTATGGGTTAATTACATCATCAGTCTGGCTCTTGGAGATGGTATTCGCAATATTGTTTTTGAGAATGCCTTACTAAATCTACTTTGTTATGGTACGCTTTCGGCATTTCAGTAAATGTCTTAAATAATGCACTCTGCGTCACTGGTGTATTTAGAAGGGTACGTTCAGATTACAAAATCTCTATTTATGGACTCACTCCTTAAGATGAAGATCGCAAATGCATTATATTTTAATTAAATGAATTAAGTTACTATATAGAGTTCATAATTTAAGAGTAATTCAAAATGTTTAAAGTCGAAAGAGACAAACCATACTATAAGAATCTAATTTTTATAATAATTTATCTTGATCTATTTTGTATAAATGATTATATACAGTACAATAATTATTGATCCAGTTATTAAATAATCCAAATATATAATACTTAAATTATCTTTATAAAAGTTATCTACTATATTAGATGGCTAGATTCAATATTTAGATAAATTGGCTACAAAATAAGCTGAATAAATATTTAGAAATTATAAATTATTCATATATATTATCATATAGCCATATCAATTAAATATTATTATTATTATATTCAGTAATCATTTGATTATGAGTTTTCATATTATTTTTGGACATTCAATTAAATTACGATTTAAAAAGAACTACTAAATATTTTCCAATAGAGACTTTAATTAATCTGATTAAAAACATTTTATGATATCATAAACTATTTTAACTAAGATTTCCATTTTCATATATTAATAAGAATTAGATATAACATAAATTGAGAATAATTTTAATAAAAGTCGAATTTACCAAATGATAAATGATATGTATTACATTTGATAATTATTTATTTTTGGCAACTTTTGGATTAGATTTTTTAATTGGATATAAAATTGTTTTAATAACTATAAAGTATTTAACAAGAACTATTATTGTTTGCAAATTAATCAGAAATATTGAAGGAAAGGGATTAATGAAATAAATAGTAAATTTAATTATTCGCAATTAAATTAATTGATTAAGATTATAAAACAACTTTAATATTAATAAGAGTTCAATTTATTTATTATTGTTAACTACTATTTAATGTATCAATCATCTCCTGAAAAACGAAAATAAATGCAGAATTATGGAAGATCAATGGAAGACATGACTTGCATAATTGATTGCGGATATATGGGTTCTCTCTTTCTAGGAAATATAGAAAGTGCAAGTATTATGACATAATATACAAGCTGATCTTGCTCTACTTAAGAAACATAGAATATAGTCAATTAAATAGAAATTATTTATTTTAATTAGAATTCCTAAAAATGAGGATTTGTAATTTATAAAAGATTCATTGAAATTATATTCTATAATTTTAGATCAAAATTGATTTTTATATCATATTAAAAAAGATTAAATATCAAATTTATTAAATTAACTATAACAGCTATTTTATCTATCTGTGTGTCTAAAATACCATTTACTGTTAGTTCATAAATGAAATAATATGAACATATCATTTTGGAAGATAGTGAGAATGAGAATATTTATCGATATTTTAATTCTTCTTTTGAATTTATTGAAAAAGGAAGATAATCAGGGAATGTTTTAGTTCATTGTATGGCAGGTATTTCCAGGAGTGCTGCATTAGTTGCTGCCTATTTGATGAGGAAACATAATATGTCTTCTAAAGAGGCCTTGTAATAATTGGAAAGGAAAAGATGGTAGGTTTATCCTAATGATGGCTTTGTCAAATAGTTACTTTTATTAGAAAAAGAATTAAATCATTAATAATAAGAAATACCATATGACTGGAATGCAAAAATAATATATAATTAATAAAATAATATTAAAAGTAAAACAAGCTCTTCGGATAGGTTAATTACTAAAATAAATAAGTTTAATGATAATGAATCTATTTCTAATGAGTATTAAAAAATTAGAAAGAAGTATATTGATGATGAGAAATCTCTTGATTTATTGCAGAAATCTACTTAATATTAATTATAATAATAAAGGAAAACTCAATTTGAAATATTAAATAATGGAATTAATATTTAAATTTAAAGATTACAATAACTTTCTAATAGTAATAGTAATAGAATTATTAATACATTAGAACCTAAATAAACAATAATTACTGAAAACCAACAAAAAAAAAGAGCATTAATGGATGCAAGTAATAAAATTAAATATATATATAAGTAAACAATTTCAGCAAGAATTCATCGGTTAACAAAGGAATATAGGTAGAGACTAGTCTATATGTTCCTAAAAAACAAGAATTTAGTCATAAATATTAAGCAGCTACAACTAGAGATTATCCTTTAACTAATGATTTTAAGGCTGCAAATAATTACTAATAAAAACTAGATAATCTTCTTAATTAGTTTAGTAAGAAATCTACATACTAATATAACTGAGTATATTAATATAGGAAAATACAATATATCAATCTTATTCATTAGCATTTTTGATGAGCATTTCTGTAAATTCTTAAAAGTTTACAATCCCATCTCCATTTAGATCTAATTCATTAAATACATTATTCCATTCACCTTCACTTAATTAAGCTCCTCCCATTATTTCTTATNTATAACAGCTATTTTATCTATCTGTGTGTCTAAAATACCATTTACTGTTAGTTCATAAATGAAATAATATGAACATATCATTTTGGAAGATAGTGAGAATGAGAATATTTATCGATATTTTAATTCTTCTTTTGAATTTATTGAAAAAGGAAGATAATCAGGGAATGTTTTAGTTCATTGTATGGCAGGTATTTCCAGGAGTGCTGCATTAGTTGCTGCCTATTTGATGAGGAAACATAATATGTCTTCTAAAGAGGCCTTGTAATAATTGGAAAGGAAAAGATGGTAGGTTTATCCTAATGATGGCTTTGTCAAATAGTTACTTTTATTAGAAAAAGAATTAAATCATTAATAATAAGAAATACCATATGACTGGAATGCAAAAATAATATATAATTAATAAAATAATATTAAAAGTAAAACAAGCTCTTCGGATAGGTTAATTACTAAAATAAATAAGTTTAATGATAATGAATCTATTTCTAATGAGTATTAAAAAATTAGAAAGAAGTATATTGATGATGAGAAATCTCTTGATTTATTGCAGAAATCTACTTAATATTAATTATAATAATAAAGGAAAACTCAATTTGAAATATTAAATAATGGAATTAATATTTAAATTTAAAGATTACAATAACTTTCTAATAGTAATAGTAATAGAATTATTAATACATTAGAACCTAAATAAACAATAATTACTGAAAACCAACAAAAAAAAAGAGCATTAATGGATGCAAGTAATAAAATTAAATATATATATAAGTAAACAATTTCAGCAAGAATTCATCGGTTAACAAAGGAATATAGGTAGAGACTAGTCTATATGTTCCTAAAAAACAAGAATTTAGTCATAAATATTAAGCAGCTACAACTAGAGATTATCCTTTAACTAATGATTTTAAGGCTGCAAATAATTACTAATAAAAACTAGATAATCTTCTTAATTAGTTTAGTAAGAAATCTACATACTAATATAACTGAGTATATTAATATAGGAAAATACAATATATCAATCTTATTCATTAGCATTTTTGATGAGCATTTCTGTAAATTCTTAAAAGTTTACAATCCCATCTCCATTTAGATCTAATTCATTAAATACATTATTCCATTCACCTTCACTTAATTAAGCTCCTCCCATTATTTCTTATAATTCTTATTTACTTATGTATCCATTTCCATCTTTATCAAAAAGTCTAAATGCTTTTTCTAATTTATTCTAAGCCATCAATTATTCTTTTTTTGCAAAGGCAACTATGAATTCAGTGTAATCAATTTAATTAGATCCATTAACATCAGCTTATTAAAATAGATTTTCAACTATATCTTAACATTTCATTTCATCATCATATATTTCTCTATAACATTTAAGAAGTTCTTCTCTACTCAATGTACCATCTTTGTTAACATCTATCTTTTTAAATTAAGTTTAAATTTTCTTTTTTTCTGTATTAGACATAATCTATGTTGTAATAAGTTACATTATAGCTGCTTTTAATTTACTTTAGCTCTTATGTAAAAAAATTAAATTTACATGAAATTTAGCTAATTTTTCTAAAGATTTTGAGTTAATTTTCTTGTCTTTTTGATTAATAACCATCCATTCATGACATAAAGCTTCAGATGCAGAAATCCTAATTTCAGGATCCGTTACCAACATTTTCTTAATTAAGTTTTTTGCATCTTCAGAAATGTCTTCCCATTCAGGTTCTTTGAATTTTTAAACATTTATTTACCATCAAATGAAAAAATACCACTTTATATTCTTTAATATAATTCTTATTAATTTTATCCATTAAAAGGAGGATAACCACATAGCATAATATATAATATAACACCACAAGACCAAACATCGCATTTTTAATCATAACGCTTATTGATTACTTCAGGAGCAATATAATATGGCTTTATAAGATAATTAATTATATATACTGTTCCTATTCTTTGAGACAATTTATTTGAATCAGCAATTTACTTAGCTGTTCCAAAATCAATAATCTTTAAACTAGAATGTGATTTCTTAGATTCAAATAAAATATTTTCAGGTTTTAAATCTCTAATTATAATAATTTTTATACTCATACCTATGAACAATATTACGAGTATGACAATAATTAACTGCTTCTAAAATTTTTCTGATATATCCTGCAGCTATGGTTTCATTGAAATGATCTATCTGATTTATTTTCTCAAATAACTCTCCTCCACTCAAATATCTTAAAATCTATTGAAATAATAAAGCATACTCTGTGATAATATAATAAAAAGTTTCATCTTCATATAATTCATAAATATTAACAATATTTGGATGATCTAATTCTTTGAGTATAGACACTTCTTATATCAATCTATCCTTCTATTCAATAACTATTTTATCCTTTCGAATTTATTTCATAGCTCTTTAAATTCCTGTTCCTTTTTATGTTACTAGGCTTACTTTACCATAAGTTCCTTTATAAACTATTAGTTTTTGATACCTTCTCCTAAAATCTAATCTATTTTATAAGAATTTAATAGATCTCCCTTCTTCAATGTAACAAATATCGATGGATCAACTTTGAAATCTGTAAATTGTTTAACGAATCTCGATTATTTTGAGGATCCTAGGTTCTCATTATTTGAAGTTGTTCCTGTTTAATCCTTAGTTTATTCAAGAGTTAGCTTAGAGATTTTCTTCCCTTAACCTCCACATATACCCATTAAAAATACTCTCTAAATTTAATTTATAATTATACAAATATTTTACCTAAGGATTTTTAATGTATTCATATAATAATTCTCATTAATTTGGTAAAGAATCAGTAATTACAATTAAACTTCCTTTATAATCTAACTGTCTTTTATGCCGTTTCTATTAAAAATTATAGTTATTCTCAAATTGTAGAACATTAATCTATATTCTTAAAATATCTCTTAAAAAACATGCTTTTTCTATCCTATGGAAAGATATAGAGAATTTTGTAAAAGGATGTGTTAATTTTGAAATAATATAGTATTTAATTAAGAATTAAGGGAATTATGAAATGTATGTTCAGAACTTAAATTAAAATTTTGATACAATATTATATATAATGTATCAGATCTTAAAAAAAAATTAGAAATACATATAATTTCTACTTTTAACAGACTATCAATATTTAATTATTTTAGAATTTATAGATCCTTCATTTAAAACTTTAATCTCTATGTTTTTAAGAATTATATAAAGTACTTATTCATTTCTTAAATTTTTAATCAAATTATTAATAAATCCAGATTATATCCTCATCTTTTTTTGTTAATAGTTTTTATATCAAAAAGACTTAAAATAAGTAAAATAAAAAAATGATTTTTTTATTCTTAATAACTATTATGATTTCATAATATTTGTTGATTTTATTCAAATTTAATCTTTACTAAGAAACATAGATTTTTTATTTAGGTATTTTAACATTTACATATCATTTAATTAATTATTTTAAAATAGTATCAATTATAAAAAGAGGATTTCTTAACAAGTTATTTCGATGGTTATCGATAGAATGATTGACTTCTAGGTTTGTCTAATAATTGTAGCACTTCTTTCATAAATATTTTATTTTATTAATTATATTCTTCTTAAGTTTATTCAATTTTTTTGAATAAGTTTACAAGAGGTTTTTCTTTTTCATACTTATTTTTAAAGTCCTTAAGTTCATATTGCAATCTCTCAGTTTTAATTTTTTCATCTTCAATTTCTGTTTTCAGATTTTTGATATTGAGTTGTGTATTTTATGAGAGAATAGAACGATATGAAGAAATTTCATTTTATTATTTTATAATCTAAATAAATCTAAAATATATATATACAATTTATTATTTTTCTTAAAGCATGTTTTTCTATTATTCTAATGTTTTTTCCAGAAATTTAATTGTTGACAGTAACTTCGCATGTATTTTTTTTAAATAATCAATTTTGTCTTGGTACATTTTTTCTATATCTTGGATTTCCTTAATAATGGAACTATTTGAATATTGATCTTAATTCTCTTTATAGTTAGAAATAATCTCAGATGATTTCATAAATGATGACACCTTGGATGGCCTATCAGTATTGAGATCATATTAAGAATATGGTTTCTTATGAAATCGTTATTGTTAATTAAAACTCATTATAATATTAATTTATTTTGTAAGTTACCATTAAACAATTATTTATTTCTAAAATTTCTTAAAATAATATCAATAGAAGGATTAAGACTCTTAAAGATAAATAAGATTTAAATATATCGAAAATAAAGAAGTTTATGATACTCAATATATTGAAATTGATATTTTTTAGAATTAAATATATTTACTATCATAGGGAATTCATTAAATAATTATAGAATACATAAATAATTTACTTAAAGCCCTTTAAAAGTGAGTTAAGATAATATGCTTAAATTTTCAATGTTTAAATTATTAATGAAAATGAAAAGTTTTCTGAATAAAAATTTAATGGATTACTATGAAAATTGTCGATGCTTAAATGTTTTAGAATATAATAATAGTAAATTCTAAGTTAGAAAGTGTAATATTTCTGAAATAATATTTTATTTAATATATCTGATATAATCTATAAAAAGGAATAAAATATAAATAGCTAATAATTCGACACATATTAAAATTCAAAATGATAGAATCTCAATTAAAATAACAATGAGATTACCTATAATAAGCAATACTATTATATGTTAAAGTCATTTATACTTTTCATCGATCTTGCAAACATTAACCAATTGACAATAATTCCTTTCATGTGTTAAGACCCTCCTTCATGTGCTCTTGTATAATCGACTTTATCAAAACCATCTAAATGATTGTATATTTAATACATTTCTATAAGACTCGCTTCTCATTTAGAATAGCAAATCCATTACTAATTAAGACAATAGCTTCCAGTAGTGTTATTAATATCATAAAAAAAATAATTAAAATATGAAAGCCAAGAAACAATAGGATGATGCAGTTCTTGAGGATGATCTTGCTAGAACAAAATCTTAATTAGTATTAGAGTTTGTAATTATATAGGACTACTTTCCAAAATGGTAAGAATTGAAACCGCTTGGAAAGAACATCCATCGAAGATCTTATCATTCTTGTGTGACTTGGGACAATTAGTAATAATTGAATAATATCAATAAGTATCTATGTATATGGTGGATATGAAACAAATGAGGGAATATTAGATGATTTGATGAGAATTCCAATACCTAATTCAGATAAATCTTTGGAGTGGACATAAGTTTACAAGAACCCTTAAAAAGAATTAAAAGGACCAGGACCTTTGAGAAATCATAGTGCAGTTGTCTATTAAAATAAGATGTACATTTTTGGAGGAAAAGAGAATCTAATATAACCATGTTGTAAATTGTGGATATTCGATTTTTAAACAGAGAAATGGGATGAAGGGTAAGATTGTAAAATAAATGATTATACAGTTTGTGTTGAAGGACATAATAGTTGTGTATTTATTCAAGAAGATGTAAATAAGCTTTTAATTGATATTAGATGGCATCAATGATTGTATTTGGTGGTTTTTATACAGATAAAGGTTATGTTTCTCAAATTCTCCAATACTAATTTAAAGAGAATATATGGTCTCTTTATTATGAATAGCAAAAAACGAGTCCTTAAGGTAGAGCAGGAGCAGGTGCTGCAATTTTGGGAAATGATTTATATGTATTTGGAGGGTGTAATTACGAATAAAGATTTTCAGATTTTTGGAAGTTTGATTTAATAAATAAGAAATGGGAATAAATTAAAACTGAAAAGTCTCCAGGAGTAATATATTTATATATTTTTAGTCTAGATCTTCTTCAGTTATTGTATCACATAACTAAGGATTATATTTATTTGGAGGAATACATGATATTACTCATGAGAAGAATGATTTATGGATGTTTAAGAATAATGATTGGGTCTTATTAGAAGAAGATAATAGTAGAAGATAAGTTAATGATGAATTGAATGATTCTTTAGATAAAGCAAGTTAGAGTAAACCAAATAAATAAAAAGAAAAAGCAAAAATTTAAGATATTTAAAATAGAACATTATTTTTATTAGGTGAAGATAGTGAATTAAGGAGTCCATAAAGAAGAGGTTCAGTAAAAAATATTAGTTTACCTGCTGGTACACAGAAAATAAGTACAGAACAAAATAATGTTTCTTAAGCTACAAATAATATGGAAGAACTTAAGAAAAGAAGATGGTAATAAAAGAAAATGTAGATGCTGTAAAATATAATATTTATTTATTTATAGTGCTGAATTTGATTTGACAGAAGAAGAAAAATAAAAATTTAGAAGTTCATCTCCTACAACTGAATAAATCAAGAATTCCATCAATTTAATAACAAATTAAGATAAAGGTGGATAAAGAAAGATTTCTTCACCTATTGGAAGAAAATAATAATAAGCATAACTTATTGGAAAAAAACCATGTGCAAGAGATGGTCATTCAGTTATAGTAGTAGGGGAATCTATGATTGTATTTGGAGGAGATCGTAATTTAATGTCATTTAATGACTTATATATGTATTCTTTCAGCATGCCAAATAAACCAACCAAATGAAAATTCATTAATTATATAAATTTCTGATATTAATTATTAGAGTTAATGATATATTTATTTTAGGCAGAATGTCTCAGATAACCATAATATCTTGTGTATAAATGTTAATAAAAGAAATTTATATCCATAAGAAAATTTAAATAATTTAAAAGTAAATGGATAACTAAGAAGCATAATTTTAATTTAGCTCAAATGAAACATTTGAAACTAAAACTTAAGAACCATAAATATAATAGGATAACATAGAATAATAGTATTATCAAAAATAATATTTAGATTTTAATACAATGATTTAAAAATGTCATAGAAAGTGGGAGGAGGCATTAATCATCTAAAAATAACTAAAGAATCTAAATCTATGAAAACAAATTCTTTATCAAATTCACAAAGAGCTGAATTAGCTGATTAAAAAAGAGCATAATTATAAAGTGCTAATTAAAAAAAACAATAAGTTCCTGTACAACAATAAGTTCCTATACAACAATAACAACCAATCAAATAATAATAATAATAATTTTAATAACAAATACCAGCAAATTAATAATAACCTTAGAAAAATAATATTAATAAAGTTTAAAATAGATAATAAAATTAAGATTAAGGCATATTTGGTACAGTCAAGAACTATTTTACTAATCTATTGGGAAGTGATCCAAAACATTAATTTGTTTATCAACCCACAAATGTTTATAATGATGATGATGATATTTTATATTAATATCATAAATAAAATGGATAGTAAATGGATATTGAAAATATGGTTGAATTAAGAGTTTAATCATAATATGATTATTGTAAACTTAAAAAATAAGAAAAATAAATATTACCAGCTATGGTAAGTATTATTACAAAAGATATTGAATAATATGCCAAAAACAACTCTTCAATAGAGGCAGGTATTGATTTATTATGTGTTATTGATAAAAGTGGAAGTATGAGTGGATAAAAAATTATGAGTGTTTAATAATCTCTTGTATAATTGTTAGATTTTCTTAGTGAAAAGGATAGATTATGTCTTATAGTTTTTGATGGAAGAGCTTAAAGACATACCTCTTTAAGGACTTTAACTTAAGACAATAAGAAATATTTTAAAAATGCTATAGCTGCCATATAAGCTGGAGGATCAACAAATATAGCAGCAGGAACTGAGATTGCATTTAAGTAAATAGAAGAAAGAAAAATGAAAAATTAAGTCACTTCTATATTTTTATTGTCAGATGGTTAAGATTCTGGAGCAGCTCAGCGTATTTAATAATAGAAGGATAAAATTGAAGATGTAGTTACAATCCATTCATTTGGATATGGAAGTGATCATGATGCTGCTTTAATGTCAAGTATTTGCAAAGTAGGATAAGGAAGTTTTTATTATATTGAAAATGTGAAATTATTAGATGAATTCTTTGCAGATGCTTTAGGTCGATTATCTTCAGCTTTAGCAGAAAAAGTTTAAATTGATATTAAATGTGCACCATAAATACCTTATTAAGATATAAAAATATAAAAAACTTATGGTGATATGTGGAAACCAATAGATTAAGAAAGATTTTATTAAATAAAAGTTCCATAAATTGCATCAGATTCAAGAAAAGATTATGTTTTTGAAATTGCACTTCCACCTTTTACTGAATAAATTCTAGATGAATAAAGAGTTCCTTAAGTAATTTAGGTTTATTTGTAATTCTGTAATACATTTTCAAAATAAATTTACTAAAAAGTTTCAGTTTTATAACTTAAACTTTATAATGAAGATGAATAAATTGGAGAGAATGATCCTAATGAAGATGTCACAAGAGAATTCTTACGTGTTTAAGCAACAGATGCTATAGATTAAGCAAGGAAGAGATGTGAATTATCAAAGAATGAAGAAGCAGAAGAAATGTTAGAAAAAATGAAATAAAATATTCTAACTGATTAAAAATTGGCAAAAGTTTCTGCTTAGGCTATTATAGATATTGATTAAGCTAAAAATGCTAGTAAGAGAAACAATTATGCTAATTTTGGAATGAAATAAATGTATTAAATGTCAGTAAATAATTACTAATAAGAAGGATTGAATGCTTAATTTGATTAAAAAGGAGCACAAATACAATAAATAGAATAAGGAATGTTTTAAAATAAGAGACAACTTAAAATGGTATAAGAAGTTTAGAAAAGAAAATCTTGATTATTTATATATATTATTATTTGAATAAAATTTATAATATACCATCCTCATTATGTTTGAACATTTTTAAGCTTAGTTAATAAAGCTGATAATTTATTGTGTAAATTTTACCAATCCTCTTTGGTTAATAATTTTTTGAAATTATCTCTAATATAGTATATTTTATTACAAAATAAAAATTCTTTATTAAGATTAATCAATTTAAGCTGAAACATTTTAAGATTAAATTGCATGAATAACCCATATCTCCACCTCTTCTAATTTGATCTATAATATAATTTAATATATACATTCAAAGCCTCTGCAATTTCTTAATATGTATAACTTTATTTTTAACCTGATAATTAAATAAATTTTGCTATTCTTGTCTAATTCAAATATTATTTACTATTTAAATCTAAATATTATCTATAAAATTTATACTTATTGATTTAAAATAATCTGCTTCCTTCTCTAAATATGTTTGGACTCCTGATAAATCTCCAGATAATACTAATTTTATAAGTTATGCAACTTAAGTTTTTTCAATGACTTGATAATTTTGACATTAAGTGATTTCACATAATTTTAAAAAGGATTACTTAAAATATCAATATTATAAGTACATTTATGTTTTAAAAGTTAATAAATGTCTTAATGTATTATTCTTAAGAAGTGTTAATGTTTCTCAAAATGTATTCAGAAATTTGTAGAACATATTGTTAACTAGAATATAATTATAATAAAATATACTCTTGGGGATCAATCAAATCTGAAATTGCATTTAATATTTTTAAGACTTCAGCACCACTTAGTGTCCATAAATTTAAGAATTCCTTTATATTTGAAATTATGGGAGATATAATTAATTATTATGTATTCCATCTCTTTGCAAATTCAAGTAATTTCAAAAATAGATTCTATGACAATTAAGATGAACTTAATGTATTAAATAATTATGCAACACTATAAAATAAAGATGCAAAAATACATTTTAGTTTTAAAAATAGCATCTTCATTAATCTATTCAATGTGCTTTAAAAAGAGATCAACAGTGACTTATTATTCTTTAACCTCAAGTTTAGTCATCCAATATTAAATTGCAGAATATATTGGTTATAATACTAAAATATGATTTGCTAAATACAAGTTTTATCTTATGATAAGTTGATAATGTCAAGTGTCTATCCAATTAATTCTCTATATTTTTATTATTCCAATAATTCATCAAAAACAGCACCAAAATCAGTTATTTTATTATGATTGCTTAAGTTAAAACAAACAAATTTACTTAGATGAACAATGCTTTTATAATAATTCCATAGTTTTTTGGCTACTCAATCCTTAACCTAGGTATTAGAAATGTAAAGACATGTTAATAAACAATTAATAAATTAATTTTACCACACATAATTACTAAATTCAATTATTTAATTATACAATAATAAAAGTTATATCATCTCTAGCAGGACTATTCTTCTTCCAAGAATTAATGGCTTCCATCATTAATTTCTCTCCTGCTTAATCAAGTTCTCCTTATTCATAATAAGGAATAATGATATTCATCACCTAAAATGAGTAAATGATTAAATTTATACATCCTCATTTGATAAATATTCCCATACTCCATCTGAAGCAATTACTAGGAATTTATCATTTTATTATAAAGTAAATTGAAATACTTCAGGAACACTACTAACACCAGCTTATGCTCCTATTTTATCACCCATACTTCTAGTCATAGCCAAACCTGGAGCATCTACATAAGAAAGCCAAACTCTTTCCGGACCAACATTATTTCCAAAGAAATCTATAAAATTTTTAATTGTTATTAGAATTACCTCTTTGACTTTAAATTCTTCCACCAGCTTATAGAATTCTTTATTTTTCAGATTCATCTGATGGTTTATGATCTCTAGTTAATGGTATTGATCTCCAACCATTTTAATTTCTACATAATATAGCTCTTGAATCACCAACATTGGCTGTCCATAACTAATTTTATTAGATCATAGCTATGACTGTAGTTGATCCAGATAATGCTGTATCAAATTAACTTTATAATATTTCTGAATTTGTTAATTCAAATGCATTTTTAAAGCATTCTTCCATATCTGGATTTTGAGATTATAATTAGAATTCCAAATAAACTAAATTTAAATACACTTAATGTACTTGGTAATCTTTATTTTATAAGATCTGAAACAAAATGTCCATTTACACCATGTCCATCACAAATCCCAACTAATCCATAATTTTAACTTTTCTAAATAACTGCTCATTTATACCTCTCAATATTAGATGGAAACATGATAGCTGCATCTTGATTTGTTTTAGTTTATTTATTAACTTAACAACCAGCCTTTGTTTTATGAACAAATTTCAATCCTTACCATTATTTTCCTCCTCCTTTCTTTTTACTATAAGAACTGTTCTTTTCAGGACTTTCAGATATTCTTTATTCAGGTGTAAATGATGTTTTCTTTTATTTTGGTTTTGATTTCTATTATTCTTCATCTCTTGGGGTTTAATTGAATTGAATTTCATATTTGGATTTTGATATATCATTTCTACTTTCTAATTTAGGTAATCTATTAGGAATTCTTAATCCATTTCCTTGATTAAGAATAGATATAGGTTATGCAACTATTATTTATATATTAATTACTATTCTCTACTGGATTAAATTCTGTTTTTCTAAATTTTGTTAATGAAGGTAATGAGATCTTATGAATTCTAGAATCAGTTTCATCTGCAGTAACTTTATATCGTTTTTATAGAAGAGGCTTTTAAGTTCTTTCTTATTTTAATTTATTTACCTATGCAATTCAATTTAATTTTCTCCTTAAGGATGTCTTGGTGGTTTTAACGAACTAAAATCTAATATAACAATAATCAATAATTGGTTTAAATTATATAGTAGTATATATATAATGAATAGTAGAGTATTAATACCTATTTGTGAAGCTTGCCTGGTTTTAAAATCAAATTAATGCTATTAGTTTTAAGTTAACATAAATTATATAATAAATTATAAAATGAGAGTTTCAGAGAGTGTAGGTCAAAAATTAAGGAGAGTAAATATAGAATATTAGTAATATGAGATGATAGATAATTCTATTGATTATTATTTGAAACCTGTCAAACCTAAATTAAATTATTGTAAACTTCTACCAAAATAATAATCTCCTCATAGAGAAATAGCACATACTGTTTCATGTAGAATTAGACCATAAATAATTACTCAATCATAAACTGAAGTAATTAATTAAAAGAGTCTATAAACTCTTCCTATTCGATAAATCATTCCTAATAATCATAATCGTTCTTTTGTTTTAAAACATAAGAAGCCAAGCATTTAAGAACGTTATAAATAGATAATGGTAAATTTAAATCAAGAAATAGGAATATAATGTTGAAGAGTAATTTGTTGAATTAAGGAGATTAATGACTAGATAGAAAAAATCATCCAGTCTTGGAAAAAGAGTTAAATTTTTATAATGATTCTTTTATTTATTTAATATTATTAATGTCTCATATTGATCAATTATGTCAAAATATACTAGAATTTAAGGGCACAATGATAGAAGCTTAAGATTTGATTAAAGCATTTTTAGCAGATATTATGATAAGAATATTTGGAGTAGAATAGAGACTATAACAATAAGTGTTTAGAAATTGTAATAAGAATTGGAAAGTTGTAGAATCAAACTTAATAGGCTATTTCTAAAGTAAGTAATCTTTAATTATTCTTAAGATTCTCCTATCCCAATTTAAACACTTTTTAACGAAAACAAATATAAAAATGAAGGTTTCATTAGCAGTGAAGATGAGGAAACCATAAAGCATAGTAAAAGAGTAGTTGTTAAGAGAACCAAATCTATAATAAAAGAAGCTCCATAAAATGATAATTTCAAAGATGAGTAAATTCGAATAAGAGATTAGGTTATCTAAGATATGACTGTTGGGTATTATAAGGATATTTAACATCTTAAAGAAATGTTCTTAAGAAAAGAACGTCAATAAGATGATGACATTATAGATGCCACATACTATGATATTACAAAGTCATTTCCACCTGAAGTACAATTTTACTTATAATCTAAATTAAAAGAAATGTCATAATAAGCAAAGTAATAGCAAACCAAATTACAAACTTAAATTAATTAGTAATAGAGTGAAATTGAGAAACTTAGAAAAACTATTAATTAAATTGTTTCATAGGCTGATATTATTTAATAAATTAAAGCTATTTTAATAATAGATAGAGATCTGAATCGTTTTTGGAGAGGAGTATAAGATGTAATTGGTAATAGATAAATATTTGAAATATTTGAAAAGAAACCAGCTGGTTATGGGATTGATTACAAATAAATAGATGAATTAATTAACTAATCTTAAGCATCTTATAGGATATTTTCAGATTATAAATAAAAGATTGATGGTAATAAAGGTTATTATTTAAAATAGAATAATATCTTTTATTTACAGCTTAAGTGGACAAAGAATTATAATTGTTAAGAAATTAAGTTAAGATATTAACAGATAAATCAAATGGATAAGAAATTGAAAAATAAAAAGATTTTGTTTAAATTAGACAAACTTTAAAGGCTGGTATTGAATATGTTTATGAAATGAAAGAACAAGCTAGTATTTATTTATTTCATTTAATATTAATAGTAAAAGCTAATTTTATTCAAAAATTAGAATAATATGCAGAATCTATTTTACAAAAAGATATTTTATCATAAGTAAGAAGATGTATTAAGGGTCATGCTCTTTATAAATGGATGTATTTAGCAAAATGTGAAAAAATGTAAAATCATAAAATACTAAGAAAATCTTAATCTGGATCTATTAATATTTTTGATGTTTCTTGTAATCCAAGAGGATTATTAGATAGAAGAATTGATGATCTCAAAAAATAATTAAAATTATTAGAATATAATCTATCAGAGGAATAATTACAATCTTAATAATTGATTGTTGAATTAAATTAAATGAAAACTAAATATTAATCTATTTTAATGAATTATGAAATGTAACTTCATAAATATATGTATATGGAATAACGTACAATTTATTTAGAAAATTAAAATAAATATTTTGAAAAAATATTCTCTCTTTTAATGAGACGAATCGGATATCCTTAATTTGAAGTTAATGAAAGAAATATTAATTATATATTAGAAAAAGCAGATTCTTAAATAAAATCATTTTAAAATAAAATTAATCAAATACAAAATAAAGACATAGAAGATATACATGAATTGACTTCTTAACTTATTAAAAAAACAATTATTAGAAATAAACTTAATTAATATCAAAAATCTACATCATATTGTTAAACTGATATATTTGATGTATCAATAAAAATTGAAGATTGTATAAAATTGATTGAATAAAATTAATTACAATTACTTTAAATGTAGGAATAATAACGTTTATAGGCTGAATTAGAATATTAAAAAGAATAAGAATAATTATAATTAAATAATGATGATATACCAAATATCTTATTATCTGATAATGAAGAAGAACCAAAAGAGTAGAAACTTATTAATAAGATAAGTTAAGAAAGATCAACTGAAATAGATATTAATAATATGAATTAATCTGATTTTGATACCAAAATATTAAATCCTCCAAAAACAGCTGACAATAAATAAAAAGGTTAATAATTATTTACATTTATTTCCAAAAAAAAAACTATTAGTTTATCAACTAAGAATAAAGAAATATAAACAGAGATTTAAGTAGATTGTAGAGCTAATTTAGTTAATAAAATATTTATTAATGAGTAAATTGTTTAATTTTATCTTTAGTTTAGATGAATTTAAAAAGAATGTTAAAGAAAAGCCTATGTTTAAAGAAATGAAAAAAGTACCTTAATAATCAAGACCTGAATTATAGAATACATTTGCAACTTTAATATCTTAACATAATGTCAATAAGAATAGAAAACAAAATAATATTTTTTTACAATCAATTAATCATAAACCTATCCAAATAAATTGTTAATAAAAATTGAAAACTGATTCATCAGGTCTTGAAATTGATTAGAATGTAACCTTTACTAATGATAGAATTAAAGTTGTTTATACACCTAGCAAAAAGAAAGTAAGAAGTGTTAGTAAAAATGTTTGATTAAATATTACTTAATTTAATGTATAGAATTATTTTAACATTAAAATGTTTACTTTGGTTTCTAGGAAAATGGGAAGTAGATTTGACTTGGCTTCCTTACTTCTCAAATCCATATACATAATATAATAATATTAGGGAAGCAAAATATCTATTAGCAAATAACTACAATCCATATAGTACAGATGGGATATTTTAGAAACCCTTAATTGTATATGGATTAGTATATATTGATAATGACCACATATTTCTGATAGCCGATATTTTGATAAGCTTTTTAATAGTCTCATTATTTGGGGCAAAGTAAGGATATCGGAAATCTATTTTGCTATTTTATCATTTGAATCCAATTACTGTAAAAAATGATTGATATTGTAGTTTGCAAACATTATATTAAAGAATACAAATGTATTTGATCATTTATTTTTGTTATTGACCATATACTCAGCATTAAAAATTAAACTTCTGTCACCAATATTATTTGGATTTTTACTATATTTAAATCCTTAATATTTTATTGTGTTAGCAGTAATTTCTGTAATTTTCAGAAGAGAAACATCTACTACTTAAAAATTTGCATTTAAATTGATAGCCTTTCTATTAGTAAGTGTTGTGACTATAGGATGTTTAATACATGTTTCATATATAATAACTGGTGATTGGTAATTTATTGAGAAAACTTATATTGATTATTATTTCCCTAAAGATCATAGACCAACAATAGGATTTTTATGGGCATTATTTTCAGGAGTATATATGATAAAATATTTTAGTTATTTTCAAAGTATAAGTCCTTATATCATGCATTTTTTATGTTATTACCTTCTTGCTATATTTTACCATTATATAATTTATTTGTGAAATATGCAAAAAGAGAGAAAGAGTATCTTGGATTTATGATAGGAGTTTCTTTATTTGTAATTATTGATATTTAATATTTTAGTGCAGTTTCTTATATTTTCAATATATTGCCATATCAGATTTAGTCATAATCTTTATACTTTTATTTTAAAGATATGATTGGCTATTTAATTCATTACCAACAATAGTTATTATTCATGCAGGATGCTTAATATTATTTTTAGGAGGTGGTTTATAATTAACTTGGACTCATTCTTTTACAGGAAATCCAAATTTTACATTCTTTTAAGTTTTTGTTTCATATGTGTTTTATGTTATCTTAATTTCTGAAGGAGTCAGAGAAATGTTAAAGTTTAGAACAATTTAAAAGAAAGAAGAGAATGAAAAAATGAAATAAAATGGAGAACATTAAAAGAAAGAGAATGAATTAATAGATAGAAAATTAAAAGAAGATTGAAATAAAAAACAAGATTGATCATTATTATTTTATTAATTTATAACATTCAAGACTACATGCTTTCTATTACATTTTTGGAATACGATATCTAGCTAGATTAGAACAATTTGAACAATATTTATTATCTTCAACTATCATTTTTGATGGATTTGGTAATGATGAATTCATATATTTTGGCATTATGATAAATGTTCCTTCATTATTTGATTTATATTTGATTATAATATCATCTGGTGGTAAAGATCTATATTTATGAGTATCCTCTGTTTTTTTATCTTCTTATTATTATCTTTATTTTTATTTTCTTCCTATTTCATTTAAGATTTTATCAACAGTCATTTATTTTTATTCTTCTTATTATTTTTATAATTTTTCTTTTCTTTATAATTCTTTCTAACTTTTATATACCATCTCTTCTTCTGTAAACGCTAAGTCTTTTTTTGATTTAGATTTCTTAGAAGGCAATTATAAGAATTCACTTCCTTCCAAACTACCTAAACTATACATATGCATTTGTCTTTTAGTAAATTTCTTTTCTTTTGAAGAAACAGATAAATTAAAATCATTTTCAAGATCCAATTCTTCTTCTTCAAGTTCATCATCTGGTGCATCATCTTCACCATTAGAGATTTCATCTTCTATTGATTCATCAATAATAGGTGACTTCTATTTAGGAGGTCTACCACGACCTCTTTTTTCCATTACCATAGAGGCTTTTAATTTAATCTTATTGCTTTCAAATAGATTATGATATTTATCTATCATTTCATCTGAAGGTCTTTCAGCTTCTAATTCGTTTAATATATCATTATTAAAAACTATTTGCACTTTAAATTCTTTAGGCAGACAGATCTTCATATAATAATAATAATATATTAAATTAATCAAATTTTAACATAATTAGAGTATAATTGTAATAATAATCTCCATATTATTTTGTATTTTATACCTAATTATTTTAAGCATAGTAACAGAAGTTTAAATATCAAGCATTTATCACATCATTATAATAGGATTTGGTTGGGACTACTCTATTGAATTTTCAATAATTTTATATAGACATATATATTTTTAATAATTATATTATCATTAAAATGGTCCTACCCTTTGTCCTTATAATTGCATTTAAGTGCTTCTTACATTAAAAACTCCTTCTATTATTGTTTATTACAATTCTCCAGTTACTTACTTTTCTCCTAAATCAATATTAAAGTTCTTAACAAATAATGGATTTGGATTTGATAATACATCATCATTACATGATAATCCATCCAAATATTATTTTAATAATGATTATAATTAATTACTCTCATTTTATAAAGCTTCTTTTTGCTTTTAAATTGCTAATATATCCAATAAAACCTAATATATAATATAATTTTATATACTTTATTGTATCTCTTATAGAAATTGTTTAAATAAGCAAATTCTTCATATTATTCCTTTTCTATTACTTCAAAATCATCCTTTAAATTCTCTGGAATTTAATCCATATCAACTGTATCTTCATAAAATGGTAATACTTTCTCTCTTTCAGTTTCTAATCTCCTACAAAGTTCAGCTGTTTTTAATATCTTTTCTCCTAATTCTTTATATTCTGTTAATTTTAAAACAGCATTTCTACTATTATTTACTAATTCTTTCAATAATCTTTATTATTCTTCTCTAAATTTATTCATTTTCAATTTTAAATCTTAATAATTTTTGGCAATATTTTCTTTTTCTTTTTTTAAAGCTTAATTTCTAGCATTGCATTCTTTAGTATGTTATAAAATTTTATATTTAGTTAAATCGATCTTAGCTTTCTTACTAGCTATAGATCTAACCAATCTTTCTATCTTTTTTGACATATCTTTATTAGCATCATAATATTTAGTATGATCTTCAGTTTTCTTAGCAGTATCAGATTGATATTTTTAATGCATCTATTCTAAATCATTATAAAATTTAGTTTGTTTATCTTCTAATTATTATTTCATCTAACTTGTATCTTCTACATCTTTATTCTTTGTTTCCTCTCTATTTGTTTAATGTTAATTCTTAGCTAACTCTGCCTTTCTTTTCTCTTCCTCCTCTACTGTTTTAATCATGTCTTCCAATTCTTTTACTTATTATTTATGAGTCTTTGTCATATCATCAAATTCTAATTAAAATTCTTCTTAAAGTATTTTGATATCTCTTTCGAATTCCTCCAACAATGCTCTATTTCTACTCTCTTATAATAAATGAAAGTTTTCTAAATGAATAAGATGGTTCCTTAATGCAATTTGATATTGATCTTCTGCTTCATCTAAATTCTTATCAAGCATTTGAATGAAGGCTTCTTTTGAATCTAATTCTCTTTTATTGTTTTATGAATATAATTCAATATCCTGTTTCAATTACTCTGTTTTAACAGCTCTCATTGTCCTTCTCCAATAAGCCATTAGTTTCTTTGTATTAAAATTAACAATCTTCTACTCTTCTCTAATTTTACTTCGCAGTTACTCTTTTTTAAACTATATAAATGACATAATATACTTAAGCTTACTTTTGACTCTCTTCAAATTCCTATTAAGATTTAGTTATCTATCTAATTTTTATGTTTCTCTTCTACTCAGTACCCCCAGGTTTAGTAGTACGTCCTTTTAATGTTTTACCTAATAATGCCATTTTATAATTAATAAGAAAAAAATTAGTTTAACATAATAACAATTCATCTTTTTTTAATAGGACTTGCCTTATAAAATGTCTTAAAACAAGTTTAATCTTAATCAGTTGACTTTTTTCTTTCTTAATTTCTAGATCGCTTTGAACATCTGCCATAATAATCAGCCAATATATAATTCCTACACATAGGAGTCTTTAATTTCAAAACCTAAACATCATTAGACTATTATAATAAACTAGTTTCAAAAAGTGTATTTTTCTAAAAATCCATTGTGTCTTTTCTCCTTACATCTACAGATATATTCATTATTGTTGGAGATTATTATTATAAGATTGTGTTTTGAGTATTGACTGAAATATTTAATCTTGGTTTTGTATCTATAGGAGAATCTTCTCTTTATTAGGTATGTCTTGCTATGATAAAAATTGATGTATAATAAGTACATTTTCTTTAGATTAATGGTAAAGGATTAATTTAATTAATTAATTTTCTATCAGTGTATGTAGATTATCTCGTCGATATTCTTTAAGCTTCAAATTATTCAGAGTTTATATCTATGGATTTTAATATATATCACATTATTACCTGCTATAGATTTATTACCTGCTAATATATATTTTTTCAATAAAAGATAATAGGTTGTTGTAATATGATTATGTCGATTTGATTCAATGCATTTTTCAGCATGTTCACTTTATATACCATATTGAATCAACTATTTAACTATTTCAGGATCTATTGGTATTCTATGTTAACCAACAATGAGACCAGTTGGTATTTTTTAATTGTCTTAATAAAACTTTATAAGATTCAATTTATACAAAAACTAAACCAGCTGTGTTTACGTATATCTAAAATAGTATATCTTTTTAATGGATCAACATTCAATATATTCTTAATTAAGTCTTTTGCCTCTTATGAAATGTATTTTGGAAATTTAAAATCTCCTGATATTATTTTCTTATATAACTAAGATGTATTAGGATCTTCAAAAGGAAGATATCCTGCCAACATGGCAAATAATATTACACCAGAGCTCCATATATCAATTTGTAGACCATTGTATTTTTTACCTGCAATCATTTCTGGAGCAGCATAACAAGGTGATCCACATGCTGTTTTTAATAATTCATCTTAATGATAAAAATTAGATAACCCAAAGTCTATTATTTTAATTTTGCCTCTCCCTTCAAGTATTAGATTTTCAGGTTTAAGATCTCTATGAACTATTTGTAGTTTGTGAAGATATTCAATGCCTGAAATCAATTAACTATAAAATCTGATTGCTTCAACATCTTTTATGCGTTGATTTTGTACTATATAGTCAAAGAGTTCCCCTCCATTTACATATTCCATTACTAAAAATAACTATTTAGGTGTCTCTATTATCTAGTAAAAACTCAAAAATAGTACCTCATACAATTAAACTAAATTTGGATGACGTACCTTCTTTAATATTTGAATTTCTTTAGTTACACGTTCAATATCAGATTAATCACATATCTTCTATTTTTCTAATATTTTAATTGCAACTTTCTCTCCTGTTAAAATATGAGTAGCCAATTTTACTTTTCCAAAAGTTCCTTGTCCCAAAGTCTTACCTTTAAATTATCATATTTTTGAATTACTAAAAATATATTGTCCTATTGACTAATTCTTAGGCAATTCATTTTACATTTTTTTAATATGATTAATATTATTAGTCTAAGTTTCCCCCCCATAATGTATATTTAAATTAAATGAATTTTCATTTCCCTGGGACCTACTCTGAATTGCGGGAACACCATTTCTCTGAAAACTATAGAGTAAAATCAAAAAATTAAGTGAACCAAATGGATGAAAGACTCATTCTGATGCGTATCAATTAATTTGAAGATGGTTTCAATCAACTCCTAACATTAATTGAAGACCCTTAATATTTTGATTTCCTCTACTATTTAGTCGAGTAATCATATGAACTAACTCTAGACATTTAGATGCACATCCAAATCAAAAAGTGTAATTATAATTGGTTGAGATCCTTTCATTTCAAATTCAAAAATTATACCCTGATCATCTTGAGGCATTTAAAATGACTCTCTTCTTATTACTGAATGTATTGCAATAGAAGCAAATATAAGGTTAATAAGTGAGAAGGGCATTAAAAATTTTGTAATAATTATTTAATTTGAATGCTTTCCATGATCTAGGAAGAGAAGGCAGTAGATATATATTTGATCTAGTTAAAATGGCTATTGAGATCAAAGATACATAAATAAGAGAAGTTTGGATTGATATATTAGTATAAGCAATTGCAATGTGGTCATCTTATGATTTAAATCTCAAAAATAGGATTGTTCATTTGATGTATGAATAAGAGAGTGTTGTTCCCAACATCTCTAAATTTCTATTAGGATGCAGCAAGAATGATAAATTGAAATAATACACTGTAGATCAAATTATTCTACTTGTCAATTACATTACTGAGAAATCAACTAATCAAACTGAAAGTTTAGCAGTTAAAAATCTAAGAGAACTTCTATCTTAAACATCTAAAGAAATGCCAAAGGTTTATTATCAATAACTATCTGCTTTCATTGGTTTATATGATAATGAGAATTATCATATTAGGAATGGATTATCAGAATTAATTACAAATGTCATTGAATATCTAATCAAGGAATCCAAAGATTAAGATAGCGATGAATTATAATTAGCTAATGCCAATAACTTAATTAAATAACTTTTAGATAGACATATGGATAAAACAGCCTTATGTAGATCAAATGTACTCTAATGTTTGTCCTAATTATTAAATTCAAACTGTGTGCCTAAACAACATTTATAAACAATATTCGCTATCTCTTCATCTAGATTGAGAGATGTCTCTGGTTATGTGAGAAAGTCCTCTTTATAATTATTGAAATCTATAGTGAGATATTATAGATTTTTGTATATTCAGAGTTAAGGAAGATAAAATTTCTGGTCTTTAGTGGAAGTAGAAGAATAAATAAGTAGAAATAGAGAAGAATTATAAAGTATCCATAAAGATTTTGAAGAAGTAGATAAACAATTTTAAAATGGAGAAATCACATAAGATATTGTTAATGAAACTATTAAATATATTAAAAAGAAAGCATAAGAAACTATAAAGATTTAAGAATATTTAGAAGAATATTAAAAGTTTTTGGAAGGAATGAAAACTGTAATTATACAAGTTTTATAATTATGTTAAAGTAAAAATTAAGCAGATGTAATACATTCTATCAAACTCTTTTCATATTTATAAAAATATAATTATGAATCTGCTAATTAAGGATTACGAAGAATGATCTTATTAGTATGGTCATAAGATAAAACTATATAATAAGAAGTAATCAAAAAATTTTGGAAATTATTTTTAAGAGATACTAAAAAAACTAGATAAATAGTTATTTCATTAATTGATCTAATTAGTAAATCAAATTTAAAAGAACTTATTTCATTAGAAAAAATTATATTATCTTATGAAACTGAATAGGTGCCTAATTATAAATTTCCATCTAAAATTTTTCATACTCTTTGGGAATACTTTGGTAATCAAGAAGTTGATTAACGTTCAATGTTAATTTTTGTTAGAATCTTATTGACTAGAAATACTTCATATCTTAATTTAGACAAAGTAGCCTAAATTTATAATCTATTGTAAAAGTACAGCAAAAAAGATCCTGATTGGATAATTATTAAAGAACTTGCTACTATTTTATCTAAATTAGATAGAACTCAAAATAAGAATCAAATAAATTTTAATAAATCTATTGATTTATTAATAATTTTACTCATTAAATACTAGAATTCATAAGATATGAATTATTTTTGTGCTTGTGATTCAATTATATAATTAGTTCCTAGTGCAGATAATCCTGAATTAATTTTTGAAACTCTTTTATAAGATTTAGGATTTAAATCAAATAAAATGGATTTAGAAGCAGAAGAATAAAAAAAAATGGAAGAATTACATTTAGCTCATGCAATTCATATAGCAGGTTCAGTATCATTATAATTACTCATTTTTATTGATGCTACACATAATTCGTTGAAGAATTTGAAAAATGATAGGGAAAAACAAATTGGAAAAGAATAAGAAATAGATAAAATATAAGGAGGAATAGAAGGTGAATTTGAAAAATTACATGGTATGGTTGATCAAATTTAAGATTTAAAACTAATTTAATAGAATTTATTATCTGTTTTTTCTCCAATGGTAAAATAAATATTGGAAGAATGTCTAAATTAAATGGAAACTGAAGAAACATCCACTAGATAATAACCTCCTATTATATAAGTAAGTTTAATTGCAATGTGTAAATTTATGTGTTTATCTGAAACTTATTGCAGAGATAATATACAGATGTTGTTCAATATAATGAAGTAAAAGTATATATTTATATAGATCTCCTCTTGTTGATTAGGTTATGAAGAATAATGTAATTATCAGTATTGGTGATTTATTACATAGATGGCCTAATACAATTTAAAAGTTCCATAAATAAATATACTCAAATTTATCTGATACTAGTGCTGCTGTTCGAAGAGTAACATTACTTGTTTTGACTCATTTGATATTAAATGATATGGTGAAAAGTAAAACTTCATTATCTCATATTCCTATATTATTAAATGATCCTCATCCTTAAATACCAGCTATGGCAAGATACTTTTTGAATGAATTATAAAAAAAGGAATAAAGAGCAATAACTAATGCAATTCCTGATATAATTTTAAATGTACAAGATTAAAATGAAAATGTTCTATCATAAATATCTTAATATATTGATAAATCATAAGTTGAATCTATAGTTGATAAATTGATTACTATATTAGGAACTAGTACAAGTAATTAATAAATTATACAAATATTTAGATTAATACGAGATAAAGAATATATCAATACTATTTAATCATTTAAATTTAACCTAAAATTCTTTATAAAAACTATTAGATGGTTGGGAAGAATACAGAGAGAAATTAGGAGATCAATTTGTGTTCAATTAATTTATTAATTTAATTAAGAAGGTAGTATTTTATTTAATATATAATATAGATGAAAAGAACTTTACCTTAAGATGCCAAACCTTTAATTGAAGAGTATGAAATGAAAGTAGAACATCATGACAAAGAAACATTTGAAAATAGAAGAAGAGAAAAAATATCCAAAAAAAAGAATGTTAAATAAACATAAAATGAAAATAATAATGATAAAGAATAAAAAGAAAATAAAGGAGGAAATAAACAATAATAATAATAATAATAATAAAAAAAGAAATCAAAAAAGAAAAAAGAGGATGATTTCATGGAATTAGAATCAGATTCAGAAGATATTAGTTAAGAGTCATTAGTTATTAAGAAATAAACAAGTCAAAGAAGAAAAAAAAATTTAACAAAAAATGAAGATGAATGATTTTTACACACATTTTATAATAATTTATGAAACCTATTAATAATAATAAAAAAAAATGGAATTAAATTTCTAGTTATGTTTACAATTCTCCTTAATAAATAAAATTAGGTTTTTTTCACAATGAAATTTTATAATATTATTAAGATATTAAAAAAATATTATCTTATTCACAAAATTAGATAAGCATTTATCAAGAGTTTGAGAAAAATAGTAATTAATTTAATAATAAAACTATCAATATTATTTTGAAATTAATTTAAGGAGAAGAATTACTCAAATAAAGATAATTTAAAAGAATTAAATGCTATTTATTATTAACTGTATAAATTTTAATTATTTTTAATTTAAAAGTTAAAAATACATATTCATTTAAAGATATTTAGAAAGTAGGAGTATTAAAAACATAATATATCAGTTTATTATAAGTTTGAAAATTAAATTAAAGTTGCTAAGAATTAAATTGATATTCAACAATTAATAAAAATGATTTAATAGTTTTAAAGAAAATATCCATATTAGGATACAATCAAATTTTAAATAATCACTAGTAAAATGAGAGATCTTCTTTTTAGAATAAGAGAATTAAATTTATAAAGATTATCAAGTTTAGTTAAGATCAAAAAACTAAATCCTTTAATAATTTAAAGTTTAAAGATCATAATAATAGATGTTCTGGTGTTTCTTTAATTATCTAATAATTCAGAATATAGAAAATGATTTAGACTATTCTTATAAATATGCTTTAAATATCATAATCAACAGTTTTACAATAAAGAATAAATGAATTTTAATACTATTTTAATAATATTATTCATGGCAAATCACATAATTATTCTTATTTATAGAGATCCCAGAGCCTGTTTTTGATCTTAGTGAAGTTATTGTAACATTATTACAAAGTTGAATAAATGTCTTCATTATTTTAAAATATAATCTTAAACAACGATTCACGACTAAAAGTTTGAATACTTAAATACCTTCCAACAACTAACATGCCTGTTCTAGCTGCAAATCTTACAGCAAATGGATGATGAGGAGCTAAGGCAATACTATAGGCTTCAGCACATATTGAACCTAAACTGTCATTTGGTTTAATGATGAGCTTTTCTAATAGAACAGCAACATAATCTAAAAACCACATTAATCTTAAGACAGTTCTTGCAGTTGATTCATAGTCTGTATATACATCCATTTCTGTGCCTTTAAGATGATCACAATTTTCTCCATTATATTTAGCTACATCTAGAAATACTTGTTTAATAAAGTACCCATATTCTTTTCCAATAAGATATATTAAATAAGAGATACATGCACATTTTAAAAGTTCCTCTAATTCCTTTCTATTATATTGCATTTCGATATGATGTCTTGAAATGCTGTTTTTAGTATTCCTCCCATTTGCATGAAAATCTGTATAATACATATATAATAACTTTTGTTGTTTCTCGACACAGCTCAAGAAAGTTAAAGTGATATTAAAAGTATTATAAATCATAGATTATGGCATCTTATAACCATAGAAATTTTTATAGATTGAACTAATCTTCTAATTAATTCATATTATTTCGATTTCATCTTTTATTGTGACGATATCAAAAGAATTTTAAATTAACATATGAATCATTCAGATGGTGCTCAATCTCCTCCATTATTTGGTATGTATCCTTTACCCTATTGGCCAACAAGTTCGTAATTATTATTGATGATGAACTTTCAAAATCCTTTGATGAGTCCCATACATAATCTAGGTTCTCCTATTCTAACTTCCAACATTAATTTTCCTTAGCCAACTATCAATTTTGATATCAAATGTGATTAATGTAATAACTAATCAAAATATATCTCTAGCTTAAATTATAAAAGATGCATCTCAACTCAAATAGCCTTAACAATACTTCAGTCAAATATAAACTATTCAGTAATAAATTGAAGAAATGAATTATGATAATATAACACTAGAAAATCTAGAGCAAATGATTCATTTACTATTTGCAGATTCTTCTAAAATAAAAAAGATTATGTAAAAACTGAAAGAAAAAAAATGTGTTAAAGTAATCAAGATTTTAGACACGTTGACCAAAAAAATTAGATCATAATAAAAGAGTAGAGAAGAATTAATCAAATTTTGTTTAAGAAAAGCTTTTAGAGAGATCTTTCATTAAATCTAAGAAAAAAATACAAAATCAAGTAATTATATCTTTAAATTTTAGAACTGAATCTCAAAGCTGCTTCTAAACTCTTTTAATAATCTTATTAAGCAGAAAAATCAAAATAAATATCCTTACCTTTTAGAAAAAATAGTAAAATTAAGACAATGAACAATCAATTTTTGCATGAATTATTTTAATCCAAATAATTTATAGATTAGTACAAGACCTTTTTGGGTATTATACAAATCTCTATTTTCAGATAATCTTGATACAATTATAGAAAATGATAGAAATAAAAAAATTAAAGCCTTAGCAGAAAAATCATGGGAATTTATATCATCAAATAAAAAAGTATCAAGTTGCATTACATAACTTATAGTCATATACTGTTAAAAGATTACCATGGTCTATTAAGAATATAGAAAAACTCAAGGAGACCGCAAATGACTTAATACATTACTGCGATGAATAATAATAATAAAAATTGTGAATTTAATATTATTAAATTAAAATTTATAAATTAGGAATTAATTTAGGGTTTATCAATTTTTTATTCGATTAAGTATTTTTACCTTTGATATTAAGTTACAACATGATTTCAACAATTCTTAATACTGGTATTTTTAAATGTGATTTATGTTGATTTATATATATATATATATATATATGACTATTTCAAGATACTTAACAAATAAATATTATACAAATTTATATTATTATTAATATCTTAAATATTCTTATTATTCAATTATAATGTTGTTATCCTTGGCTTGATCTATTATAAGATGATGTTTATTATTGTTCTCGTACAGACACTAATTTATATCCCTTTCCACTTTTTATAGCCTCTAAAATGGCTTGAGTCATTGCAATATCTTCTACATTACTTTGATGTTTAAAATTTAAAGTGTTATATTTTTGTCTTAACTGCTATAATTCTTATTCCTTATATTTAGTGGCTTCATCGGTAGGATCTTATCTATAGATCATAAGATTGAGTTTATTTCTTAAATCTATACTTGTTTTTTATTTTAGCTTAAGTTAACTTTCTAATTACAAAATTTCTTATTTAGCTTACTCAACCTATTGTAATTTTAATGAAGTTTACTTTGAATGAATCTTCAGTGCTTTTCTTTATTTAAGACCCAGTTCGTTAGTGTTATAGATTTCCTTATTTTTAAAGACTAATTTAATTCATTAATTCATAAACTCTTTCTTAAAGTTCATAAACTTTATATCTCCAATACATTTCAACTTGCTCTTAAGGAGTGATTTATTATTCTTGGACAGTTGTCAGAGTCTCTTGAATAACTTTTTATGGCACAGTAGTCACCTAAAAATCTTCCACTTGAGGTATCTATTAGACAACTTAATTTTATTATATAATTTAAGGAATGATTTAAGATTATTATACTTTAAGTTATAAATTTTGGACAGGAGACTATTATAATTGTTATTGGTTTGAAGAAATTATTTATTAATTTTATGGTACATTTAATTAAAAATTCTAAACTGGGGACTATTATAATTGTTATTGGGTTGTAGAAATTATTTATTAATTTTATGGAACATTTAATTAAAAGTTCTAAAATTATGACTATTATAATGGTTATTGGTTTGTAGAAATTAGTTATTGATTTTATGGTACATTTAATTAAAAATTCTAAACTGGGGATTATTATAATTGTTATTGGGTTGTAGAAATTAGTTATTAATTTTATGGAACATTTAATTAAAAGTTCTAAAATTATGACTATTATAATTGTTATTGGTTTGTAGAAATTAGTTATTGATTTTATGGTACATTTAATTAAAAATTCTAAACTGGGGATTATTATAATTGTTATTGGGTTGTAGAAATTAGTTATTAATTTTATGGAACATTTAATTAAAAGTTCTAAAATTATGACTATTATAATTGTTATTGGTTTGTAGAAATTAGTTATTGATTTTATGGTACATTTAATTAAAAATTCTAAACTGGGGATTATTATAATTGTTATTGGGTTGTAGAAATTAGTTATTAATTTTATGGAACATTTAATTAAAAGTTCTAAAATTATGACTATTATAATTGTTATTGGTTTGTAGAAATTAGTTATTGATTTTATGGTACATTTAATTAAAAATTCTAAACTGGGGATTATTATAATTGTTATTGGGTTGTAGAAATTAGTTATTAATTTTATGGAACATTTAATTAAAAGTTCTAAAATTATGACTATTATAATGGTTATTGGTTTGTAGAAATTAGTTATTGATTTTATGGTACATTTAATTAAAAATTCTAAACTGGGGATTATTATAATTGTTATTGGGTTGTAGAAATTAGTTATTAATTTTATGGAACATTTAATTAAAAGTTCTAAAATTATGACTATTATAATTGTTATTGGTTTGTAGAAATTAGTTATTAATTTTATGGTACATTTAATTAAAAGTTCTAAAATTATGACTATTATAATGGTTATTGGTTTGTAGAAATTAGTTATTGATTTTATGGTACATTTAATTAAAAATTCTAAACTGGGGATTATTATAATTGTTATTGGGTTGTAGAAATTAGTTATTAATTTTATGGAACATTTAATTAAAAGTTCTAAAATTATGACTATTATAATTGTTATTGGTTTGTAGAAATTAGTTATTGATTTTATGGTACATTTAATTAAAAATTCTAAAGTTATGATTATTATAATTGTTATTGGGTTGTAGAAATTATTTAATGATTTTATGGTAAATTTGATTAAATATTCTAAACTGGAGATTGTTAAAGCTATTGAGAATAAACTGAATCATTTCTTGGAGGAGTATTAATGATTTGTGAAAAATTTTAATCTGTTGTAGCGTTTCTTGTAGTTTTTTTTGTAGTTAAGGGTTAACCAATAGTTTAAGATACTATAACTTCTGGTGTTTAGTAAACAACTAATCAAATAAAAGCATAAGATACCATTATTTTATGTACTGGCAACTTCTTTACCATGTAAACCATGTTGGCATAAGTAACACTATTCTTCATATCTTCCAGAATAAAAGGTTGAAATTTATTAGGAGTTTTTGAGTTCTGCTTATTTTTTAACCTATAACTCAATAGGCATTTAATAAGTTTGTTTTTTCTCATATTCAAATGGCTTAAGTTAATTATATTAAAGTGGTTAAGTTTAAATCAGTGTTGGATTAGTTAGTTATTAATTCTTTAGTACATTTGATTAAATATTCTAAACTGGAGATTGTTAAAGCTATTGGGAATAAACTAAATCATTTCTTGGAGGAGTATTAATGATTTGTGAAAAATTTTAAACGTTTGTAGTGTTTCTTGTAGTTAAGGGTTAACCAATATTTTAAGATACTATAACTTCTGGTGTTTAGTAAACAACTAATCAAATAAAAGCATAAGATACCATTATTTTATGTACTGGCAACTTCTTTACCATGTAAACCATGTTGGCATAAGTAACACTATTCTTCATATCTTCCAGAATAAAAGGTTGAAATTTATTAGGAGTTTTTGAGTTCTGCTTATTTTTTAACCTATTACTCAATAGGCATTTAATAAGTTTGTTTTTTCTCATATTCAAATGGCTTAAGTTAATTATATTAAAGTGGTTAAGTTTAAATCAGTGTTGGACTTGTTTGAATTTAATTTGTTTGTTAAATGTCTCTCTGTGGAGTTGTGCTTTAAATATTCCTTTGATTGGATTGAGAAATTCCTCTTTTTACTGGTATAGGTTATCCAACAGTTTATTAAACTATTACTTCAGGTGTTGAATAAACAACTATATATATTAATAAATTATGATATAAGTACCGACAGGTTCGCCTACTATGATTCCTGTTGAATGATCCTACTTTTCTACACCATGTAAACCATGTTAACAAAGATAACATTATTATTCAAATTTGGGTGAATAAAATGAAGCAATTGATTCTTAATTAGTTGACATATTTGTCTTATTTAATAAAGCAAAATAAATTTTATTTAATTAATTTACTTAATTTTTTGAAAATTTTTTAGATTAAATGAATAGGAAGAAGTTAAATAAAGATGTTTGCCTACTTGAAATATTAATAATAAAATATTTTAGTTTCTATTAATTAATACTTTTTTAATACTTGAATTTAAGTTAAAATATTTGAAAATTAAGCAACGTTACTTATAAATTATGCCACTATAAGAGTTCTTAATTTGAAAAAATTAGATATTCAGTATAAGAATGTAAAAACATTTTTTTGTGATGAATTAAAAAATAGAAAATTAATACATTTGAACAATATTTATTATATATTCGTTTTTAATGTCAAATATCTACTTCACTTTAGGGTTGTTCTTGATCATATCAAATCTGGATCTTGGAGTAACTCAATGGTTACCTACTTATGAGGCATTTAGAGATGAAAAAATTGATGATTTAAATGGTACAAATTTAAAGTCAGCAAAATATAGGATGGGTGATCCAAAATCAATATGAAGCTACGTTTGATGTTATTACAAAATGTGGGCCAATATAAATTTTAGGAGGTTTACGGTCATTCGGTTCTTAAACTACCTTAACCAAAATGATTAAGATTCCTCCTCATTATAGACTTAAATTTATTATACAATTATGGAAGTACTACCCAAAAGTTATGTAGAATAGGCGATTGGGAAAATGATAAAATTTAAGTGTTTGTAGATGGTGTGCCTTGGGAAATGAAATGGGGTTTTACAGAAGGAGCAAAATAATTATGTGGTGGTCCTTAAATCCCTAACAGTGATAAAGTTTATGACGTTGAATTTGAAGTAGCTCATAATTCTCCAACAGCTACTATCGTCATAGCTAGTACTTAAATTTAGAAAGCAGATAAATAAGCCTGGGGCATGAGAAATATCAAAATCTCTTTTAAAGAATGTCCTTCTCAATGTGGCATATGTCATAATGACAAAGTTAATGAATGCAAATTTTGGAAGTAAGTTGATCTTAGTTGGTTTCGTACTGATACCTCATTAGAAGGATGGAATTTACTAGAAGGAAAATAGAAATCCTATTAATGCTCAGGAATTGTTATGTTTGGAGGTCCAGATAATATTGGTAGTAAAGCTGTTTTAACTAAATAAACAAAATACTTACCTCCTCATTAAAAGGTAATGATCAAATTCACTTTATGGAAAGTATTATATTATATTATAATTTTAAGTTTGGACAATGGGATAATGATCAATTTTATGTACATATTGATGATGAATAAGTTTATAAGTAAACATTTTAAATGTTAGATGGATTAAGCATATGTGGAGAGTAATTCTTATTATTTATGAATTTTAAGTTGTAAACCAGGGTATGGCTAGAAATTAGTGAATATAGAAATAATCTAAAAACATAAGAAGAATGAAATGACAGTGAAATTCTCTTCTTCTTTAAAGTAAGGTACAAATATTTTAACAATATTTTAGATCCTGATGATCAATCATGGGGAATACGAGATTTTTTTGCTTTTGTAGCTGAATGCCCTAAATTTTGTAAGAGTTGCTTTGGATCTGGAGATAATGAATGTCTAAAATGTGAAGAAACTCATTAATTAATTGAAGGAAAATGTGTTAATAAAGATGATTGGTTTATTTTATCAAAAGAGTTTAATGAACCATCAAGTTTTAAAAAGATAAAAGAATGGTAGATTGATAATATAGATCCTATTCAATCTGAGGTTGATACATCTCCTATTACACAGTGTGGTAAGGATGTCAGTATTGTTGGAGGCTATAAAATATTGGCTAAAGTATAGTATATTATAATATTCAGAAATCATAAGTTTCAAAAATATATACTAACATTCCTGCACATAATTTCTTAAGATTAAGAATTACTATGTATAAAATAGACAGATGGGATGGAGAAGAGTTGCTTATATTAGGAGATGATAAATAAATATGGAGTCAGCTTTTAGGTTGGAATGACCCTGGACAATCTAATATTTGTGGTGATCCTAAAAGTCCATGGAAAGAAAGAATTATGTTTATAGATTAAGTTATTGAGCATAATAAAGATGAATTTAAATTAACTATTACATCAACTTTATAGGTAACTGCTGATATTGCTTCATGGGGATTTAGAGATTTAATGATACTATATTCTCCAATAAAAGAATGTATTACTGTTTTTAGTGAATGTAATTATTAGGGAGAATAAGGATAGATTTGTGATAATGTTGAAGAATTAAATAAGGTATATTGATTCAATATTTATTGATAGTTTGATTTCCATATAAAGTCTATGCAGATACCAGAAGGATTGAAATTTGTTGGATTTAAGAATGCTCAATTCAAAGGTGACAGAGTTGAATACACAACAAATTAGAAATGTCTTCAAGATATTCAATATTCATTCATCTAAAGATTATGAGCCACACTAAAATACAATAACATTAAAATATTGATAATTTTAACTAAAAATGTTTCATTACTTATTAAATGTTCTCTTTTTTGTTCTATTATAAATGTTCTTTAATTTTTATATAAGGATTTATATAAATAAATATATAAATAATATGATGAATAGCAATAATAATGGATTGAATGATTTAGAATTATTAAGATTAATTCAATAAGAATTTCAATAAGAGAAATCACCTGTTTATGATGAAATTAGTGATTAATATTCTTCAGTTAGTGATGATGAAGAGATTATTATAAGAGATCCATCATCATAAATAAGTAATTTAATTTAAAATTTATTTTAGCTGATGAATCTTCATTATCATAATAATAAGAAAAGAAAAAAGGTAGATGGAAATATGTAATATTTAATTAGTATAACTTAGTGTTGTTAATAATGTACTAAATCTGATAAAGGTTCTATTAAACCTAAAACTTGTGTTTGTATTGTACCTGCATCTTAAAGAAGAATTTAAATAGGTGAATAAGGATGTCTATCATGTCATTGCACAGGATGCTCAATTGAAGATGAAAAGAAAAAATAAAAAAAAATAAAAAAGAAAAGAAAATCTTCTTCAGATTCAAGTTCAAATGAATCTTCTGATTTTAAAACTGTGAATGGATGTTGTAAGAAATGTATGAAAGCATTTTCTAAAAAAGGAAAAGAAGCTAAAGTTTAAATATTATAAAATATTATTATTAGTCTTGTTTATGTCAGGTACCAAGAGCAGTCAGAAAGAAACCTCTTCCTCCTCATGGTTGTTAGTATTGCGGATGTCATGGATGTAATCCAGAAGATAAGAAGAAAGATAAGCCTAAAAAAAATAGTCGATAATTATCTCCTGTGTCTAGTGATTTGAATGAACAGAATCTTAATAACTTTTAAAATGCTCGTAATATTGGGTTATGATGTTAGCTTTAATTTAATTGTTAAATTCTTAGAATATCAATCCAGGCATTATAGGAATAGGTATACCATAAAGGACATACTCATATATATATGGGAAAGAACAAGGCCGTTGAGAATAAAAACTTATTAAATTATTTATAATCATAAACTCTTTTAATCAATTAATGAGCGTAGTAATTTTATTATTCAATAGCAAAGGAATTAATAAAGTTAAGCTAAATCAATAGTGTACAAAATGCATCAGATATTTGAATAATCAAATTAGATTTAATGATTCAATTTATAGAAACAATTTATTTTTCAAAGCAATATTAAAAAAGACATTTCTATATTTATAATTCGCATCATTCGTATCTCAAAGATAATCTATAAAATGTTGAAATAATAAAAATAAAAGAAATGAGAATCCATAGTTTTTAGAAATGAATACAAAAATTAATTATGTTTTATAATTACCACTTTCATTCCATACAATGATTAGCAAACAATCTTAAAAAATCTTATCCTAATGAAGTTTAAAATGGAACTTTAACTGGTTCATTGCTTTTTTGTATGGCTGAACTATTATTATATGTTATAACTATTTATGCTTCATTTCTTAAATATGCTGAATTAATTTGAGAATTAAAAGGAGAACATAATTAATTATGTTTAACATTAGCTGATTTTGGATGTCTTTATTAATTCATCTAATTTCCATCATCAGTATGATATCCTCGTATTTCTTTTTATTATTGAAATTTATTAAAATTCATCTTATTATTCATTTTAAAATAATCCAAATCAAATTCGCAATCATTTTCTTATTAAATTTCTTAAAAATTAAAAATAATATCTTACTTTCATCATTAATTTAGGCATACATATTTTTTATTGGAATATCAACACTATTTTTAGAGACATGGCTTACACCATTATCTAATGGCAATTCTAAATCAGTAGCTTTAGGAGGAGTTCTATGTCTTGATGGAGGTCTTCCTTCAGTATTACTTACAATTAATTCATTGAAATCATTTTAACTTCTTCTATATCCAGATCTAATTGAAATTAATTGCTATATTCCTAAAATAAAATACTTTTGGAGATATTTGAGTATCAATATCAATAATTTCTTATTCTTCTTAAATTATATTTGCTTCAAATTCCAGTAAATCATTTTCTGTTTCCTTTCTCTTTTCATAATTCTACTCAATCTAATTGAAGGAATTCATAAATCTTCTTCTTCTTCCACCTTCAGAGGTCTGAGGTCTATTAATTTAATTATTAGTCTTCCTCAAACTTTTAATTGGTTCTTCATTAATATATGATTTATTTTATCTATTATTTGAATAATACTTTAATACATTTATTCATCCTTCTAAATAGGCAATTGAAAATTCTAATGATCTTCACTATCTGCTTCATTTGATTCATTTGAGAAACAATCATTAATGAATTAATTAGCTCCATTATTTTCTATTTCAACATCCTCCATATAGTCTCTTGGAGTTAATTGTTCTTATTATTCTTCATCACTCCCTTAATTATCAACACATAATTTATTTTCAATTATATTTTATTATGTCTAAGGTCGCCCTTCATTTAATCTAAGTGGTCTTATACCCTATTAAGTAAGAGTTCGAGATTATTAAGATTATGAATTTAAATCATAACGTTATCGTTCATACTCTTAACTTTTTCTTTTAGATAATTGAGATTTCTATGCATATATCTTAGATATAAGTTGAATATTTCCATTTGTTTTAGGTGCTTACCTATAATTCATATACATATATTACATAATCCTATTCTAAGGATTAGGAACCATATGAATTACTGTTGTCAATGGTTATTAATATGGACTTTTCAATTACAATTTTTCTTTGCGAGACTATTGTGGTGCAGTTCCTCCTCTATTTTAATTTTCCCTAAACTAATATACATCCTTCAAAATACCCTTAATTTGTGAACCAACTCAAATAAAATGGTTATTATTGTTGTTATAGCTATCCCTTCTTTTGTTTAAACATTTAATATTATATAATGGTAAACACTCAAATAATATGTCATCTTTAGCCACTACCCAAATATTGACTGAAATTAGTTAATGGAAACTATTGTCCTTGTCTCTACTAGCTCATTTATACTTATTATATAAGCTAAATATTCAAAAGCAATTACATGTTGACTAACATTAGAGAAATATCCATCTTGGCCTTAAGGTTTTTTAATAGGAACTTGATTTGATTTAATTTCATCTTTAGGAATGATATCCATCAAAAAGTCAAAGATTTCTGTGTTGTAAATGCATGTTGCAATATCAGTCTTTTAGAGTGTTCTTCTTTTGCCATCTTCAGTGAATTACCATGCTCTATGTGTTAATTCAATAATGAAAATTTCACATGCTTTTGCAAATAGAACTGGTGTTTCTTAAGCAATCATCTAGAGATATAAAAAAACAATACTCTGACATCTTCATCTGATTTCATTATTTTCTTCACTCTTGCTAATGGTAATTGATGATTTTTGAATAGCTCGGGATCTATTTCTTAAACAATTTAATACCCTTGGGCATTTACATTATTTCTTCCTTCAATTCAACTAATTTTTCTTTCAATTTTTTCATGTGTTCCTATTGATGGACATCCTATTAGTACATTTTTAGAAATCAAATACTACATAGTGGTTTTGTATGTCAAATTATTCATTAGGTTATTACATCTTAAATATAATTTTATAAATATTTCATTCTAAATATTATTTGTAATATCATCATTTTATAAGATCTGATTATTTTTTTATTACTCTAAATATACTCTTATATTATTGTTATACTATGAATAAAAGTTATACTGAATAAAATCAACACATACAAAAAAGAATGAAAATCACTTAATATTAAATTTAAACTAAAATAAATATCTCTAATATTAATTTCAAATTTTCTTAATTGCAACTTTTTGTATCACTTTATTAAAAAAAGTAAAATTGTAATGAAGTAAGGATCAAATTTATAAAACTAAAAAACCTTTATTAAGAAATGTAAGCTAAAACGATATTAATTTGGTAAAGTAATAATATGATTAAAGTAATTATCTAATGATTTAAATTGTCATTTAAAATCAATTTATTAAATTTATAAATATCTTTGTTATTAGTATTAAGAAATAGTAAAATAATCCATATTAATAGTAATCAATAAAATAATTCAAAATTTTTGATAATTACTGATTAGGGATGAGAATAAAAATGAATATAAATAGTTTAAGAATTTAGTAAATTATCTTTTATTCTTTAATTAATTAATGTAAATAAAGTCTAAGTTTAGATTCTTTGATATTGCAGCTAATCTAACAGATGATTAGTTTTATGGAATTTATCATCATAAGAAATACCATTAACCTGATTATAAAGATGTAATGAAAAGAGCATCTGATATTGGTTGTGAACATCTGTTGATTGCTAGTGGATGCTTGGGTGATTTGAAAAAGGCAAGAGAATTATGTCAGTTGAGTCCACATTATTATACTACAGCAGGTATACATCCTTGTCGTGCATATGAACTTAATAAAAACTATTATGGATATATGGGTGATTTGAGAGACCAATTAGATTTGGCACTTAAAGAAAAAAAATTAGTAGCCATTGGTGAATGTGGATTAGATTATGATAGATTATAATGGTCAACTAAAGAAGAATAGATGATAGCTTTTGACCCACATTTTGATTTAGCTGAAAAATATAAATTACCTATGTATCTCCATAATAGGAATACAGGAGATGATTTTTATAACATAATGTAGAAGAATAGACATAGAATTGTTGGAGGAGTTGTGCATTCATTTACTGGAAATTTGGATGAATTATAAAAGATCTTACATTTAGATCTCTATGTTGGAGTTAATGGTTGTTCTTTAAAAACTTAAAATAATATTAATGTTGCTAAATAAATTCCTTTGGATAAATTAATGTTAGAGACAGACTCACCATATTGTGAAATTAGAAATACTCATGCATCTAGCAAATTAGTTAAAACTTAATTTTAAGCTCGAAAAAATGAAAAGTGGAAAGAAGGATAATTAGTTAAAAGTAGAAATGAACCTTGTTAGATAATCTAAGTACTTGAAGTAATGTCTGAATTATTACAAATTGATTAAGAGAAATTGTCAGAAATCTGCTTTTAAAATTCTTTAAAATGTTTTGGTGTAGCATGATATAAATTTCTATAAATTAATGCAATTTATATAAAAATAACATATTCCTAAGGCTCTTAGTCTGATATAGGCTGTAGAATTTCTTGCTGAGTACTTAAGCAAGGCATCAGAAAGTATTCAATTATCATTAATCAAGAGCGAATTTATTAATATTTCTGTGCCTTAGAATTATTGAAATTAATTGTAAAACTAAGAAAATGGTCATTGGTGGATAAGTATGGATTGATGATTTCAGTAAATAACAACTATTCTGAAACAGATTACTAAGAGTAAGAGGCCGCCATATAATTCCAGTAACATATGGGACCTCTAGAATATAATCCTTAAGCAGTCAATCAAAAATCAATCAAAGAAGAACTCAATTCAATTAAAGAACCAAATCCTAAATTCAATCTAGGATATTATGATTTAATTTAAGATAAATAAACTTCTCTATTTACAATGTTACCTATTCCAAACCATTCGAATTAGAAAGATTATGAATCAAAACTTAATTAAATAAGAGTATTATGTCATTTCCAATGATTAGATTAAAATTGGAGAAATCTTGTATATCTTTCGTCCATTAATTTATTGCGTATTGATTCTTAAATATGGAGGACATAGTTATACTCCATATTATATTTCATTCTTTATTGATATATTAAGGTTTTTAATAGAATTTCAAATTAAAATCTATAAAAAGAGTCAGAAAGAGGAACTAAAAATTAGAGCAAAGGAAGCTATAGTATAATTTTATTTATAATATAGATCTGTTATATTTTAAGAAATCCATTCTATAGTTCAATTGTGAAATAAATAATCCTAAGTAATACATTAGGGAAGATTTTAAACCCATAAGGATGGATTTATAGATTTATAATTTTATTGATTGAATTAAGATCATCAAAATGTCTTTTATTATGATGTTATAATTGTTTTATAATAATAAATTTTATAATAAATTCTTCAAACATTAATATTTAAATATATATAAGTAAAATCTAATTAAGAATTTTATTCTATGAGCTAAATAGTATTTTGTAATTTATATATGTATTTAAATTAGATTTAATATATTATATTAATAAATAGGATGATCTTAAAAATTCTTTGATTAAATATTAATATATATTAAATAAAAGATTAAAAAGAGAAAGGAATTTATATTTTTCTTAAGATGATAAGGAATTAAACCTAAAAAATTATGAAAAGCAGTTATATTTTTGTATTTTAAATTAATGATTTTATCATTCTTTGAGCCATTTACCAATAAATTATTCTAGTAATTTAAAAGTAAGGAAAGAGGATTCCTTAAACTTTTCGAAGAATCCAATACATTCATACCAATCATCTAATGTGGATGTTTCAGCTCCACAAATGAAAAAGCTTTTAGTACTTTTTTTAAGGAATAAATTTTTGAGATCTCTAAGATATATATAATGAAATGAATTTACTTAAGGTGTTTTTTATATAAGACATCACTTCCTGTTGAATAACTGTAGATATATTTCTTTAATAATTCATCATCATGTTTTAATCTATAAGGGAGAGATGAAACATGGACTAATGAAGCACTTTCTAATCCATAATATTCTAAGAAATTGTATGCTACTTCCCAATTTAAGATTGCATTTTAACCATCTTTATTTGCTTTAGCTAAATCTAATCTGTATTAGACATAATCTTTAACTGAATTGTTTTTTCCATTAAATTAAAAGACTCTAAATGATGGATTTTAGTATGAAAATGTAGTTCCAGAAGGTGCAATAAACAAAGTCTTAACATATCTTCCATCAATTTTAGATCTAATATGTTAGACATGATCTTAATGAGTATGTCCTTAATTTATAGTTTATATTAATAATACCATAAAAGATTCCAGTAACTACATGTTCAAATCTCTCTATTACAACACTAAATCTATCAGCCCATTAAGAATTACAAAATGTATCACCAGGTGGAATATGAGCAAAGATAACAGCAAATTAATGTTTAGCTTCTGAATCTTTGAGTTCAGATATTAACCATTTAAGCATTCCTCTTGGATCTGTGATACCATCCATTAAATAAAAGTTGAGTAAATCACATGCTTGAGAATTCAAGGCTATAAATTTAAGATTTCTTGCTTCATCAACTTAAGAATAATAACCATTTCTTCTTAATTAATAGTATGATTCTTATGTTAAATATTATTTCCACATATCAGCCACTTCATCTCTTAACCATTATGTAGATTCACCTATCATATCATATTGATCAGCTGGATAACCTTCATGATTTCCATATATTGCATACAATTAAGAATTTGGTATTTATTTCTTAATTTCATCTGTAATCATTTTTGTAGGTAATGTTTGATTCCACTTTTATTAATGCCAAACATCATGTGATGTACTATCTCCAGTCCATATAATAAAATCTGGCTTAATTTTTTCCCCTGTAAATTTGATCAGATCTTATATTGTTCTAAATGGTAAATCACATTCTGCATAGGTTCCCCAATATTAAGCACCTTTACTTGGATCTTTAGGTTTTCCATTCTCTTCTCTACAACAAAATGGAGCTCCACAAAAAGCATTAGCTCCAACTGAATATTCTACATCAATATGTAAATCTGCAAATTATGCAATTGTATAATCTTCTTAATTTTTTATATTTTCTTCAGCCATCACTTACCATTACTTTTGTTCTTCTTTTGATAGCTTGTCTTACATAACTTCATTAATGTAATCCTTAATTGTTTATGGTTCATTTTACAATTTGCAAGCACCTAAATTTTGACATGCATTTGAAGGTGCTAAATAATTACTATATATATTAAATGACTAAAATACTTGAAAAAATGAACAGAGAATTAATCTATAAATGTCTAATTGATTCCTTCACAAAAGGCTGGATCTTTAAATTTTGGACAAAGTAGTGTCCATTCTTTTCTAATTATTGATAAAAGAATAGTTGATGAAAACTTTTGAACTTACTTCATCATCAATTTGCATGGTAAACAAAGTAAGTGTAAACTAAGTATGTTAATTATATATTAGTACTCATGAGGCATTTCTATACCAGCATGTTCTACTATTTTGGTTAATATTTCTCTTTTCATTAGTTCTTCTCCCATATCTATTGTATTGGCAACAAAACATAAGAGTGCGAAGATCACTAATAAATTTCTCATATTTTATAAAATGATTTGAAATATTACGTAATATATTTAAGGAAAAATATTTATTGATTATTGATATCAATCTTTTTTCTCAAATTATGAGATACTTATTGCAAATCCTTATAAAATAGATAAAGGATAACATATATCTACTGAATAAGTCTTTTTTGCACATTTTCCAAATTATAATACAAAAGTATTTTTATCTGTACAGTTGATATCATGTATTATACAATTCTTTGCAGATGACATAGTCACTCTATCATTAAATTATAATTAATATTTATTTTTCTCTTTATTGTAAATTGGAATCTTATTCATAAAATGCATAATTTAATCCTTATATTCTAATGAATAATAGGCTTTTAATAATCCATCTGTATCATTTAATGGTTTAAATTCATAAGCTTATCCATCTTTAATCTTAGGTATAATCACACTCTATCTAATTTGCCCTGTCTATTTAGAATTTTGAAAATTGATCAAACATAATTCTTTTCTTACTTTATCTAAAAACTTCACATCTTTTGGATTATCACCTGTGTCATATAATTTAAATGTTCCACCAGATCCTTTTATCTTTCCTAAACAAGATTTATGTTTTCTATCAAATTTGTCTTAAAGTATAGATAATACATAATGAATTTGTTAACTGAATGCCTATCGTTTTGCTGAACATAAAAATCTATTGGGTTAACCACTTAAATATAATAGATATTTATGGTGAAATTTATTAATGCCATTTTTATCCTTAACTATTGTCAGTTATATTAAATGTTCTAATAAAATATTCAAAATATCTTTTTACATTAATCAATTGGTTTTTACAAGAACTCTTTCATATCAATAATATAATCGGGTTGATATATTATTTAAGCTTATTTCTCTTATCTTTATGTCATAGCTTCAATCTAATTCATTTATTAAACCTATTCAACTTCATTAATTTGTTTATTTTCATCCTTCCAACTCTAAAAGTCTTCTTCACAATGCATACTACCAAAATTGGCTATATTGTCTTGTTCATCTTCTTTTTTAAATTAAACAATCTCTTAGAACACATTCTTTTCTTCCTTCAAGACTTAATTTTATTCTCCAAACGTGTATTATATTGATTAAAAGTTGTTATCTAAAGGGATTATAATATCTTCATCCCTCTCTTCAAATTAATCAAAATTTACTATTTCTACATTACCATCATTATTTTCAGACAAGATTTCATCATCATTTTCTTTTTATTGGCTTAACATTATTATTAATTATAGATAAATTGATTTCTATGATTGTAATTTTACAAAGTCATAATTTTTCATAATTGCTTTGCATATATTATTTCAGTTAAATTTAGATATATTTAAGAGTATACAGAGGTTTTTAGAGATCATCTCTTATAACATTTTAAATAATAAATATTCTATATTACAATCCTAACATCAATCAAATCCTAAGTATAATTGTTCTCCATAATTATTTTCAAATTATCTAGCTTCTTATTCAAAACTAGCTGTAAAATACATATCATCTTCCTTATTATTGTTCTCTAACTTAATTGTATTTTATTTTTAACCAATTTAAAAATCTTAAACAATTATTTAATCTAAGTTTCCCATTATATATTTGGTTTTCAATTACTCTAATTTAATCCTTTTTTATTATTTTTTTGTTGAAGACCTTTCAAATTTCTTCTCCTTCAGATTATTTTGTATTTACTTATGTTTTATTATTTAACATTTCGAAAGTAAACAATTTTCTAAAAGAATTTATTTTATTTTAAACTTTAGATTTTGTTCTTTAATAAATTTATCCATCCATGCTTTGGATGCTTTAAAAGATTCAATATTAAATATTTTGATTGCTTATTCCTTAATTTGATTTCTACTTATTTTCCTACCTTATTTTCTAGTTTCTTCCAATATCCATTCTTCTAATCTAATTACACCTTAAGGATTAATTTTTTTCCTTCCACAACCACCTTTTCTCATATAACCTTAATTATACCATCTTCTTAAATTTCGTGTAGTTGTATTAAATTTCTTACTAAGTAAAACAAAATTTTCTTAACTAGGATCATTCAGTAATTCTTCTAATGCTTCCTTTTTTTGATTTGTACCTAAAACTTTATATGAATGAATCTTCCTTTCTTTTTTATTTATGTTGAGATCAACCATACTATGAAATTTCTTTTACAACTTATAATTTAAATTTTAGATATTTTTGTAATATATTATTTATAATTAATAATTATTTAAAGGATAATTTAATTGAGTCAAATAACCTAAATATATGAATAATATTAATTTTTTATATGAACATTTATTATATAATATGATAGTTCAATTGATTCATTCATTAATAATAATATATATTTGTATTTTAATGATTATAGATTAAGAATGTATTTACACTTTAGATTATTATAAAAAATATAATAAAAATCAATATATAAATATTTAGAATGAAAAATTAATTTAAAGTCTTTAAATAATAATAATATTGACTCAATTTGAATTAACAATAGTAGTCATAGTTCTTTTAATATTTTTAATAGGAATTCTAGGAGTTTCTTTTCTTGGTGATTATCTATTTGAACTTCTACTTGATTTCTATTATTAATCTTTATCTTTTTCTTTATCTTATTAATTTGGTTAAATAAGTTCTTTTAAATTCAATGAATTTAGTAAATCACTTAATCTTCTAGGCTTTGGCAAAAACAGACTTTATTTTTAAGGTTTTAAACATATTTAATCTATTTTTTCTTTAATTTCTGTTAGATGATCTTTTTGAATTTATTTTTTGAATGTTACTTTTAATTAAGATTTTCTTGGCTTTTCATAAATGACATCCTATTATCCAAATTGTTAGGCTTAAATAGGATCTAGTTCTATAATTAAAAGATCACTTTTAAGAAAACCTGAATAATTACAACCTCCAAAGATGTATAATTTTGATTCTATACAAGCAGCACTATGTCCACATCTGCCTGCAACTTAAGACCCTTTAATTTCCACATTAATCCAAGTCAAAGTTTTCATATCAAGCAAATGAATATCATTTAAAAAACCATTTACATTAAGATCATCATTTTTACCTCCATATATAACTATAATTTAATATTATTCTAAATAATTCATAGAATGCTAACAACGACCAACTATTTTATATAATCTTATTATTTACTGGGTGAAAGTCCTTTAGTCTATACTTATTCAAAATTGATAGGCTTAGTAGTAATATCTATTTTAATAAGTTTGTCTAAATAATGTCCATGCTTATCAAAACCACCAAATATAAAAACTCCCTAATAATTAAATTTAACTTCAGGATCATTTTTATATAATTCTACTTAAGTATTATGAAAGACAGCACAAGATTTATGAAAAGCTACTCCATCAGGAAAGCAAACATGTTGTTCTGTTAAGACTTATGACCATCTTTAAGTGGCAATATCATAGGAAATCACATCTCTTAAATATTAACCTTTGAGATCAATCCCCCCTTAAACAATCATATTTCTTCCAATGACTTCTGCTACATGACATTTCCTTGGTGGTATGATACCAGTTTATTTTAAAACTTTAAGTTCATTAGTAACTGATAATAATGAATTTTATTTACTTAGATTTATTATTTTAATATCACTGGTTATTTCACTACTTATTCTTTTATCATTAATAATCTAGTGTACTTCACCACCAAATATAATCATTAAATTTTTATATATTGCTGCTGAATGATTTCCTCTATATCCATTAGATGATTTTTCATCAAATTTAATTTAATTCCATTTATATTTTTCTATAATTTTTATCAATATTTTACATTTATCTATATTTGCATAGCATAAGTCTTCTGTTTACTTTGATCCTGCTCCTCCATATAAATATAATTTATGATCATATGATAACATAGTACTTGCATTTCTTGAACATGGCTACCAATTTAAATTTGTGTCTTTATATATGTACACACATTGTTTCTTTATTTTAATTTCGTTGATTAACGATTCATTTAATCTTCTCTATAATTATTCAGCATCTTTACTTTTAGTTATTAATTCACTTTGATTGCCTTACCTTATCTATCTACGTATTTATTCAATTCTTTATAGGTCTTAATATTGCATAGAAGGATATGATTTTACTCCTGGACTTTTTGATTATATTTTTTGAAAGTATTTTCTGACTTCCTCAATTTATGTTTCTTCTTATTTTTTATATTTTTCTTTTATTTGTCTAAATGTGTCTCTATTGTGTATTAATTACATTTTTCTAGAAGTGTAATATTTTGGTTGATCTGACTATTCCTCAGTAAATAAAGACTGACTATAATTATTCCACATTCTTTTAGATTGTAATAACGAACGTTTCAACTCACTTACAGCCCCTTGATTGAGTTCTTTAAACCCTAAAAATTGGGTAAGATCATTGTCTGGCAATTATTGCAAAAGATCAATTTTATTATCTAAAGCTACCTATTCAAATTATTCCAGAGGCAAAGGGCTTAACTTTGTGTTAGCTTATTTGTATTTCTTTAAGAGTAAACCAATATCGACTGATCCACTCGAATTTGTACTTAAGCGATGCTATTCACTCTACATTTATTTATAATAGCATTATAAAAACAACAATGATTTGGATTGTAAATTATTTTTTATAAAAACTTATTTAATAATATACTTCTTTATAAGATTATTAAGATTATATTATAATATGTGTTTGTTATCGATTCTTTATTAGAATCTATTTTATAGAATTACTTAAAAAAAAAGATTGATAAAAAATATTGTTACTTATCTTTAATTGGCCTTCAATACTTCTCAAAATAAATATGAAATAATATTGAAAAATAAGTTTCAGTTTTAAAATGAATAACGAACATTAAAAATATATTTATTATTTTTTAAATTCTGAACTGAAATAGAAAAAAAACATATTTAAATATATATATTTTTTTTAAATCAATATTATAAGTAGAATTATTTTAAATCTGTTAATAACCATTTTAATCAAGAATTATTTAACTTGTTTTAAGTCGTAGATTAGATTTATTTTAAATTTTATATTTGAAATAAAAATGGCTGTCAATAATGAAGTTAATGAGTATACTTTTGAAGAAGATTTTTAGATTTTGGAAATTCCTTAATTATTAAGATAGAATGGAGTCTACATCATTAATCAAGAGAATCATGGCTATTTAATATTGGATAAACCAGTCGACAGTATATTTGAAGAAGAAAAATGTCCAATTTGTTTCGAATCATCAAATTAGTTATATCCTTTAAAATGTGGACATACTTTCTGCTAGTATGATATAGAAAAAATGATTGAAATTTCAAAATTATCCTAAAATTTGATCTAGTGCCCTTTATGCAGAGCATAGTAAAATTTGGATTCATATGATGAAGTTTTAAAATTTCAGTAACAAAATATAAAGAACTCCCAAAAATTGGATTTTTAAAATATATATAAATGATAAATTTTTATTTAATAGCTATAAAAAAATGTTGTATTTTCTGATTGATCACTCTATACCATATACAATCTTAAAAAAATTTTTAATATTTCTAATGCATTATATAAATAAATAAATTTTTATCCATAATTATCTGAACCTTATATTTATACTCAATTAAGAGATGTACTTTTCCAAAGACATTAGCTATTTCAAAAAGAATTTTAGAAATTTATATAAAACAAACTAATAATATAAATAATTAATATAATGCAATCTAGTTAAAATAATTATTCTACATATTAGTGCAATTATTGTTCAATATATGTACCAATTATGTGTTAAGAAGTACATAATGTAAAATGTTTGATGAAAATTTAACAAGAAAAATCAGGAGGAAATTAATAGGATGAATAATAATACAATCTCAATCGTTAAGACTTTCGATTATTATCTGTAAATACATTAATATGATTATATTAGAACAATATTGACCAAATTAATTAAGCTTAACTGCTTTCCTCATAGGTACTTAATACCCAATAATTTAGAAATGATTAAAAATTTTAATAGAATTAATAAAATACACTAAGTACAAACTCTCAAATTAGAATAACAAATAATAATTTAATTTTTATATAAAATGAACCATCACTTACTCTGCAATAATAATAGCATTCATAAAAACCATAAAAATTTCCATAAAATTCTTAAATTCATTAATGTATTATGCAATCATAAAATAATAGTGGAATTAATTTAAATCAATAAGATTAAAGATGTATTAATCTTCAAAGGTTGAATTAAAGTGAAATTTTATCAAGAAATAATCTGCCTAAAATTAATTAAACTATATAATAATAATAATAATAATAATAATAATAATAATAATAATAATAATAATAATAATAATAATAATAATAATAATAATAATAATAATAATAATAATAATAATAATAATAATAATAATAATAATAATAATAATAATAATAATAATAATAATAATAATAATAATAATAATAATAATAATAATAATAATAATAATAATAATAATAATAATAATAATAATAATAATAATAATAATAATAATAATAATAATAATAATAATAATAATAATAATAATAATAATAATAATAATAATAATAATAATAATAATAATAATAATAATAATAATAATAATAATAATAATAATAATAATAATAATAATAATAATAATAATAATAATAATAATAATAATAATAATAATAATAATAATAATAATAATAATAATAATAATAATAATAATAATAATAATAATAATAATAATAATAATAATAATAATAATAATAATAATAATAATAATAATAATAATAATAATAATAATAATAATAATAATAATAATAATAATAATAATAATAATAATAATAATAATAATAATAATAATAATAATAATAATAATAATAATAATAATAATAATAATAATAATAATAATAATAATAATAATAATAATAATAATAATAATAATAATAATATTTGTTATTCTCTTAACCAATTAGATCCACATAAGATCATATTAATTTACAAACAAAAAATCTAAATAATCCATCTCCATTTTAATTCTAAAATAGGAGTCAATTGATTACCTAAATTAGCACAAATAACAGAGAATCATATAGAATGCATTCCATTAATCCTTTATAAAGACAAAATATGTTCCCAGAGGATAGCGATGAATCAAATAATGAAGAAGTGTATGAGGTAAGTGGATTAAATAATTTTGATTTACTAAAATAATACACAGATGAGGAAGTTAATTAAATGAATGAGGAATAACTCTTTTAATACTTTATGAATAAATAAATTTTAGAAAATCATACCGATGAGCCTAATTAATAATTACAAATGATGATAAAAGAATAAGATAAATATGATAATTAATGTGTAATTTGTTAGGATGACATAATTGATAATGATGAGAAAAGAATTTTAGTTTGTTTACATAAATTTCATAATAATTGCATATCTAATTGGCTTAAATGTAAATCCAATTGCCCTATATGTAAAGCAAGTATCTGAATATATTATTTGATAAATTTTTATTATTTATTGGCTTTCTAGAAAAAAATATAATAATAATTATTATTTGAATATTCATGCAATAAGTGTCTCCAGAAGTACAAACTATTTTTGATGAATTGCTCAAACCAGTATTAGAGAGAATTGAAGTTTTGAAAGATAGAGATCAATCAAATGAGTTATAAATCAAAAATCTATTTGACCAAATGAGTGAATTAAAAACATTAATAGGAAATTTAAAACCAATAAAAGTAGATGAAGAAAAGAGTAATATTTAATAGTATTTAATAGAAATTGTCAAATAAGATCCTAAAAAAGAAAATCATTAAAATAATGGTATTTTGAAATTATTATATTCCCACCATATAATTAGATGTTAAAAAGATTGATCGTCCATCTACTGCTGTAACAACAAAAAACCCAGTACCTGCAAAAGTAAAAGAACCCAAGCCTATAACTGCCCCAAAACCCTTAAGTCAAAGTACAATTGTTGAAAAGACAACAGCACCTGTTGATATTGAAAAAAGTATTTAAAACTTTAATCATATTTTAATAGACTAACCAAAATCTCCAAAAGAAGGGAACTAAAATAAAACTAAATAATAATAATAATAATAATAACAATAATAATAATAATAAGTACCATAACCTAAACCCAAATCTGCAGTTTAAACATAATAAAAATAATAATAAATTAAAGAAACAAAGGAAATAAAAGAAACAAAGGAAACTAAGGAATAATCAGTCAAATAGACACCTTAATAAAAAGAAGAAAAAAAAATTGAAAAATAACCAGCCAAATCTAAAACTGCTTAGCCTGTATAACCTATTTAAGCAGAAAAAAAAGAAGAAAAAAAAGATACTAAAAAAACAGACAATAAAACTTCTCAAAAATAGAATACAAAATAACCTGAATAGAAATCAACTGATAAAAAAACTGATGATAAAAAGATTGTGAAAAAAGGAAAATAAACAGAGGATACATTAAATAAAAATGAATAATAAACAGATGAATAATTTTAATAATAATAATAAAATATAACTAAGACTTAGAATAATAGTGAATAAAAATAATAAATAGAATAACCTTAGTAATAAGTAGTTGAATAAAAAGAATTTATTGAAACAAAAACAGAGTCTCCTGAACTTTAAAACATTGAACCTAAAGAGTCAATAGTAGAATAATCGCAAAACTAAGATTAATTGACATAGAATCAAGATGTCTAAGAAGTTAATGAAATTTTGCCAGAAAAAATTGAAAATTAATAATAGGAAGTAGCTTGATGTGATATGAATATGCATTAAAATTTTAACCATTATTATAAATGCAAAATTACAATCATATCCTCTGTATTATAATTGAATCACCACTTTTTTAATATTTTTTTTACAAAACTTAATCCCAATTTATTGAGAACTTTATCAATTTTCTAGGTATTATTCTAATTTTGATTGTTTTAATTGAGAAATGTTTATATCTCATTAAAATCATTTGGTATTTATTAAGCATCAATATTATTTTACTATTGTTTATTTTTGCATAAACATTCCCTTCCTTTTACCCATTAATTTCCACAAGAATAACAAAACTAAAATCCACATGGGCAAGTCATATGATTGCATCCAAAAGTTTTATCTATCCACCTGTGACATTTAGAACATTATTAATAACTCTTTTCTAAAGCAACATTTATAAAGCTTTATTCACCACAAACTCCTTCATGAAATTACTTTTTACATCTAGTACAAAATAGATTTTAGCATATCATGCACACTTATATAGGTCCTTCTATTTCATAAACACCTTTACAGTTTTCTGTAGGACATTAAAAGATATTTGAATTTTATAATAAATATTGATTGAAAGCAATTTTTTCCAGTTTATCCATAATTTAATTTGATACTATGTTTTCTAAATCATCTCTTAATATTTCTTGTCTACATTCTAAGCTTGGGCATCTAATTGGGAATTCAACTGATGCATTTATTAAATTCTCTAAACATTATTTATGATAAATATGTTAACAAGCTATAAGAATATGTTTGTTTTATATAACATTTTCTAAACAAATACTACATTAGTTAGTTTATTTAATTTAACTATTCTAATTTATTTATGAAAATATCTATGATTTCTAACTTTCTTATTTTCTATATTCTTGATATTATTATTTCTTATTTATTTATGATTAATCTATTGATAGATAATAAATTTCTTTTATTTTTGGTATTTAAATGCTGACTTTTGATTAATCATTCTAAATAATAGAATCAATTATTTCTCGATTCCCATTCTTTTCCAACATCTACACATTTGATTTTTAGAATTATTATATAGATTGATCTGCGTTTTTTTCATACACCAAATTTTCTTAAATATTCTATTTCAAAGGATTTTCTTATTTAAATTCTATTCTTGAATTTTCTTTTACTTTTATTTAGTTTTGACTTTGTGATTATTATTAAACAACTGATATTTGATCTTTATTTTAAATAACTGATGTATCAAATAACTAAGAACCTGAGTTATTTTATAAAGCAATATCAGGAACTTCCAAATTAATATTTAGTTTTCCATTTATGTAATTATTATATATCAATTACAATTCTTACAGATTAATGTTTTTGAATACATATTCTTAATGAACTTAGTTAATAAGATAAAATGATTTTTTTAATATATTTGGATCATTATTAGAAGCTCCTGCCTAATATGACAAAAAAGTCATATGTAACAATTAGCTCGTATTCTAATTATTTTTAGGATTGTTTACATCAACAAAAGGCTGTTCTTATATCTTTCTAATATAATTGCTAAAATCAAAATAATTTTTCATTTAATATTAAATAATATATAATTTACTCAACAAGTAATATTGCTTGTTTACAATTTAAATAAAGATTTGCCAACTTATACTTCGAGTTCTTGATAAATTTACAAATCTTCTTTTATTTAGACTAAAGTTCCATATTTAGAATTATTGTCAAACAAAAATAGAGAATCTTATTATTGAATCTTCTCTATTTATAGAGTAGCATGAAATCTGCTAACACTAGCTTCACACAATTTAACCCAATTTTCTCTAGCTCTACCTAAACTCATTTTTTATCCAAGACTTATAACAATAACACCATCAGATTTAGAAGTGAAACGATCTCCTAAATTAATTTGATTAACTTAGGTTTCCTTCTTTTTTGAATAGAATTCTAACATTACATATGGAAATCTAGGTTTTAAAAGTTCTAGCATGTGATATGTTACCCCATCACTTTAAAATATTACCTTATAGGACTCTTTACAAATTTCACATTTTAATTAATTCCATAGATATGTTTCACTTTTCTCAGATGATCTTGACGCTGATGTAAATTCTTTGAGCCTAAGTCTTATTCAAGAATACCATCTTTTCATGCATTCTAGATGAATATATTTAAGAGATCCACTGCATTTGCATGGATTCAATAAAGGATTAGAACTTTATGTATTTCCTAGACATATTCGACATTATTCATTAGAATCTGCCTTGCTATGGTTTAAAACCTCAGGTTCTTTATCAGGATTAAAACTAAGACTAGATATTCTAAAAGTCATTTTTCCAAGCCTAAAAATGTCATTTACATTTAATGGATATTTATTAACAGATCTTACTGTTAACCAATTTTTCTTTAACTTGTATGGAAATTAAGTATTTGTTAAGGCTGTTGAATTTCCTTGTTGTTATAATGTCCCGGGAACAATAGTGTTTTTAGCTGTTACGAACAGTAAAACCTCACTATTTATAATAGATATATAATACCTATTTTCATTAGGTATTTAATGTATTAATTGAAGCACCTCTTCATTTCTAATAATATATGAATCTTAATTTTAGATTGTAAATTATTGTTTTTGATGGGCAATACTTTCATAATCAAAGAGATCACAAGTTCCATTATTTTAGGTGTGACAATATATTGAAATCCTAAAATAATTTATATCAAGTACAAATATTACCTTTCATTACGCATTTAACATTATCCCATATTTCAATATATAATTATATTTTTAATATAAATCAAAAATCAGAATCAATTATCTCTCTTTTAATTTTTTCAACTACTTATTCAACTAATTTAACAAATAAATCTTCATTTCTTTCTCTTTCAGTTCTATTTCTTTTACAAACATCATAGGCATTCTAATAAATTTTTTTAAGAATTGCTATTATTTCTTCCTCTCTTTATTCTCTTTATTTTTATTAAACATCAAATATTCTTTTGAGTTCATTTAATTATTCATTAAATTATTATGCAATTTTATCCTCAATTTCTTCTCTTATTCTAATTTCTTACTCTATATCTTAATAAAATAAGGGTATTTATTCTTTTTGCATTAGTTATAAAAAAATTACCATTTTAAATCTCTAATAATCTATTTTAAGTTTCTGATTTTTAATGATATTCTTTCTATATTTCTATTGATAATTAATCAATTTATTGAGATAGATTTTGAAATACTCTTTTTTCTGTTTCCAATCTTTCTTTGCTAAAACTATTTAAAAGGTTTTTGGAATTCTTTTCAACTTAAAGAATTTCTTTTCTCATCTTCTCATCTAATTAATCTCTAGCTTCTTTTTCACTATCAACAATAGATTTCAGTCTCTATAACTATACTTTTTATAAAATTAGTTATACTTTTTCTGCCATATCCTAAAACTTTTAATTCTTTTACTATTAAACATCTTCTATAGCCAATTCAACACTTTACAAATAACCAAGAATCAATTTGAATTTTGATTATTTCTCTCCTTCTACATTATTTTAAAGAGACTATAATTTTCCAAAAATTCTTTAGGCTCTTTCCTCTAATTAATCTATTAGATGTCTTTAATAATTTTACCAGTCATATTTCAAATTTGAAATTTAATAATAAAAATTATAACAAATATTCACAATTATTATTCTAAATTAAAAAACAATTCATTCAACTTTCATTAATCAATTAAAAAACACAAAGAATTTTGATTTCAATCTTTTTCTAAATATATAAAAATTGTAATTTCCTAAAGATACAATTTACACGTTTATACTAGGTTATATTATTTTATCTTTGATATTATAATAAAATGGTTTTATTTTATATCAAATTATATAAACATAATTAGATATTAATAAGTTTTATTAATTCGATATATTTTGTTAGAACATTAAAATACCAAATTAACCTGTACACATCTTCTTTCCAGTTAATTATTTTTTATCAATTAAAATCCACTAATTCTCATTTTAAATATACCTTTAGAAAAATATAATTTATGGAAATTAAATTTTTAGACAGTCTTCGCTTACACTTTTATAGAACAGTATACTGATCATCGATAATGGAGTAAAGAATGATCATGCAAGTTTTTCTATTTAATGAGTTAACTAAGTCATCTACATTGACATAATAATTTTTATTAACTTATAAATGAATCCTAATGATGAACAGTAAAGACTATACTAAATGTTCTAATAAATGGCAGGACCTGATCCATATGGAAGAATGCTTCAGATGCCAAATTCTCCTTATTATCCATGCTGGGGGCCCCCATTTCCTTAACCAATTATGGCACCACCTCCTAATCAAAAATTCTAATTTCCTGAACAGTTCCCACATGACTAAGCACTTTAGATGAATTAACTTCCCCCCAATTAAAATGGATTAAACCTAAATGGCATCACATAAGGTTTATAAAACATGCCACCAATGCCTATCGGTTTACCACCAGGCTTTGGGATGCCTCCATTAGGTCCTGGTTAAATGCCATAAGGACCTTTGGGAGCTGGATCTATGGGACCTCCTCCAATGAGTGGAATGAATGGGATGGGACCAGGTACTATGTAATTACCTGGGATGGGACCAATACCATAAGGACCACTTGGTTAAATGCCACCTTTTGACTTTTAATTCAAACAATAGCCTCCATTACAACCGCCTATGAATCCAAATTAAGTTTTGCCACCCCAATAGCAACCATAATAATAACAACATTTACCATAATAACACCAATTACAATAATAACAATAAGCTCTTTTATAATAACCATAGTAATAATCTTAAGGGTAATCAAATTAAACCAATAATATTGCAGTTCAATAAAATTTGGAATAAGGTAACTATAAATGTATGTATAAATAGGATTCTCATAAGTAGTGAATGAGTTTTAACTTAAAATTTTAAATATGTTTGTTATGTAAAATTAAATGTTGTTGGATTTTAAGAATAAAAATGCGAATTTGGAAAATACTATTACATAAATCTTAGATGAAATAACAAATCTATAAAAAATTGTTGAATAAAAATTTGATAATATTTAAGCAGATGATTTTATGAGTAGATGTAAATGAAAATTTTTTATCTTTAGTATCAATACCAAATTAAGAAATGACATAAAACAATATTTTATTGAAGTCGTTATAATGCAACTAGAATGATTTTAAATATTAATTAGTGTTAACTAATGATTTAGAATAGCCATTATTCAAAGATAAAAATTTTAATTTAGACATAGCTCTTAAAGATATGAAAGGAATAAATATAAAAAATCATAATAAAATAGAATTGGAAGTTTAATTATATTCTTCAGATGACAAGCCTGTACTTTTAATTTCAAATTCTTAAAACTAAGCTATTTTGAGATAACCTGAAGACAATATATGGTTGGAAGAAGGCATATCAAATATTGAGAAATTATAAATAAATGAAGTAACATCTCATTATTAGAATGGTTGGATATATTTAGTTGTTTATCCAATAAAAAATGATAATAAGAATTTATAAAATGAGATTAATTCTGCTTAAATAAAACCGTTGATATATAAAGTCAGTGTAAAATCAAAGAAAACTTAGAAAAAGTATTTAGTAAAAATAAATTAGGTCATCTCGTTCTAGATCGAGATCTCATGAAAGATTACGTAGACTAGAAAAGTTGGATAATAAGTCAAGTTCAGAGTCTGAAAATCTTATTTAATTAGAAATCAAAAATCTTGATGGTAATATTGAGATGTAATAAGAAAAAGATAATGATAATAATAATAATAATAATAATAAAGAATAAAAAGAATAAAAAGAACAAAAAGATTAATAGTAAAATGATGAATAAAAGAAGGATGAAGTATATTAAAATAATGAATCTGAGATTTGAGATTTGTAATGTGTTTGTGATACTTATTTATAAAATTAATCATTTCAGTCTCCAAGTTTCTTTGATTAATAATATAAAATTATCATCTTTTTCAATATCAGCACTGATTGCAGCATAGTATTCTTTCCATTCCTAAACTTAGATATTATATTAATACATCTAAAGTTATATGTCCTGATTTATTTCCTTCCTTAAAATATTGCAATAATTCAATATAAGCTTAATCTTCAGTCAGTTCTCCTCTAGTAACTTTAGGATGATTTTTTGCATTGAATATCCCTTTGAAATCATCAGCCACAATATAACCTAAATTATCCTTATCAAATTTTTTGAATGCTTGGATTATTACTTACATACGGTTCTCATTTGGAGTTCCCTATTTATTAATTTATATTTTACTCTTATTAAATAAAAGAATTCAGCAACATCTATTGAACCATCTCTGTTTCTATCGAGATAATTTAATAAAAACTATAAATAAAATATAAGATTACATCTGTTTAGAATTTTGTTAACACTACTCCATTTTACTTTAATCCAATGAGGAATTCATCTTTATCCATTCTATTATTTTTATCAAATGACTCAAATCCCCTGAATGTTTTTCCTAAAGTTCTAATAGTCGTTTAAGATTTTCCTAATAATGATTTTGTGATCTTCTTAATAACTTATTATAGTAATCTATTTACTTATATCAAGTTATTCTTGAGGAGTTATCATTTTTATAATTTATTTTATTTATTTATAAATATTAATTATATCATTAATCTCTCCATTAACATTATAATTCAGATATAAATTGTTGTTAAAACTAAATATGTTAGTAATTGGAATAGAAATGATGATTCTTAGGTTCATTTAAAAAGATATAAAAATGAATTTATATAGTTTTGAGAAATGATTGATATGGTAAAATAGTATCAAAAGATTTTGATGACATAAATAATAAATATCAATAATTTAATTATGCTTCTATAATTTTAATGTCTTAGAAAGCATTTGATTTTTGATAAAACTTACATCCTTTAATGTTATGAAAGAGAAGTTTTCATTGGAGAAGTATTTCTAACATTTTAGAATATTTTAAGAATAAAGCAAAACCCAAATATTATTTTGAAGTGTCACTTAAGAGTTTAATTGTATTTCACACTGAATCTGATTATATTGGATTCTCCATTCCATATAGAGGAAAATTAAAGCTATTTCATGCAAATTCCAAAAAAATTAGAGAACTTAAAATACTATTATCTGGAAAGGTTCTTTTTGGAGACTTGAATTAATTCTACCTGTAAAAACATTAACTTGGACATGGATCATTTTCATACGTAAATCGAATTATAAATTAAAGGTTAATATGTTGTAGAACCTAGAAACTAAAGAAATGATGGCAGCTAAATTTTTAAGTAAGCATTGGAAACATAAAACTAATACAGAGCGAATGAAGGCAATAATATTAAAATTATTTAAAGGAAATAATAAACGAAAATAATATTGTATAATCATTGAATCATCCAAATATAACCAAAATAAAAGAGGTCTATGATAAAAATTAAGAGATAGTCATTATATATGAATTTATTGATGGAGACACTCTTGAGAAATATTTACATGATCATTGTGGATCTCTAAGTCATTTCGATGTTTAATCTATTATGCGAGTAAATCTAATTAATTTAAATTCTTAGTAATTAATACTGACATTATTCTATATACATTAATAATAGCTCATTCACAGAGATATAAAACCATCAAATATAATGATTTAATAAAATCATAATATTAAAATAATAGACTTTGGTTTAGCTGCTAAAATTGGAACAACTAATAACGATATATGTGGTACTATTGGCTATATTGCTCCAGAAGTATTATGTATTACTACTCAATAATCTGTTTATTCATTTAAATGTGATATGTTTGCAGCAGGAGCTATATTTTATAAATTGTAATTCAATTTATGTTAATTAAGAATAACTTCATATGATTTATTGAAGGAAACTAAAGATTATACAAATTTTTAATTAAAATTAGATCTTTTAAAAAAACTCAATACTCCAGAATCAGGGATTGATTTATTACAAAAACTTTTGGATTTTAATTATAAAACAAGATTAAGTGCCAAAGAAGCTTTATCTCATCATTATTTCACTGAATCTTTAAGAGTGTCAGCCAAAAAGTCTTTACAAATTTCTCAATAGAACATTTTATTAGCAAATACTTCTCAAGTTTCTCAGATAGGTACTTCAGAAACCCAAATACAAAATGTTAATGTTTTTACTTAAAATCTTAACAAGCGATTCAGGTTTTCAATATAATTAAATAATTGATTCTACTATTAAATTTATTTATTAATTTTATCTATTATATAACATTTTAAAATGTATTCAGATTTCTAATAATAATTTAGATATGTAAAAGAATTTTAATTGACTAATATAAATATATATATGAAAAAAAAAATATTCAAAATTATAAAATTATTTCAAATCAAAATTCAGTAGATTAAGTATATAATTAATCTAAAATATTAGTATATCCAATTGATCTTTATGAATTTGTATGAGATCTAGTTGATTTTTATGATTTATTTTTGGATCCTAACACTCTACGTTTGGTCTCACCTCTATTAAGCAGCTCTTCAAATTCTAATAAAATTTATTTATTTTCTTAATTTAATCCACATTTCATTAACTAATTATAAAAATTTTAATATACTTTTTAAATAATAACTTAGAAATACTCTTTTATTTATGGATTTTCTAATCTTTCTTAATAATATGGATAGCATTCATAAAATTTCCTTGCTAAAGATTCCTTCATTTAAAGTTTTGATAATGTAAAAACAATGTTTTATACTTCAAATTCATTAATATTTTCTTTTAATCTTTTCAACAATTTTTCAACCAATTATTCAGTCTATTTATCTAAGTATTTCAAAGTATTCATGAGAAACATTTTATATTTATCATGACTCTCTTCATTTGACATACTAAATATGATATCAGGTAAACTATTTAATATTCTTCTTGAATCCTTCTTTTATATTTGGAAAAAAAATCTTTTTGCTGATTACTAAATATTTTCATCAGGATCAGTCAATAACATAGCTATATCAGTAATTTCCCTTTTGATTTTTATCATATCATTTAATATTAAATGTGATAACATATTTAATGATGTTTTTTTTACAATAAAATCCTAATTGTTTAACCCATCAAAAAGTTATCTACAATAAGATGTTACTGTATTAGGCCATCTATGTAATAGATCACCAATAGCAACTATTAAATTATTCTTAAATATTCCATCAGAATTTGGATTTTATATTAATCTAAACACTTTTTCTATATGTTCTTCACAAAATTATTCAGATAAACACATAAATTTACATAAACATAGACCTGCAGATTTATGTAATATTGATAATTGTACATTTTCTTCTTCAATTTCAGTTAATATTTCTAGAACTATTGGTGCAAAATTTTAATAAAATCCTTTTTAAATTACACCTATTTATATTTATAATAATAAATACTATATTTGCATAAAGTCTATAAATATACACAATTATATTCGTATTCTTCTTCACAACCACCTTATATTTTATCCAATTCATTTTCTTTAGCTTCCTCTACATTTCTTAAATGTGTCAATTAATTTTCTATTTCATCAATATGAAGAATGATTGCTAAAGCAGATTAACCAACAATAAATAATAATTAACTAAGTTATATACATTAATTATTAAATACTAAAGTTGATTCTTCTTCAAGAAAATCTTAAGTACTAATTAATAAAAATAAGATATATACCTTCTTTTAGGTGTCATTCCCATTTAAAAAACTTTAAAACTAAATTTTTTAATTATGTAATCATATATACTCTCTGGAACAGGTAAAAATTATATTAAATTTAAAATTTCTTAACAAGCAACAAACCATAAATTATTAGGTGTTCCAAAATAAAAATATAAAATTAATGAGAATTATTAAAAATATTTTTTAACAAGTACTTTATCTTCTAAATAATATATTAATTTAGCTAATTCTATAACAGTAATCCAATTAACTTCTTTTTTTTATCCTTCAATTATTTTACTTATTTAATCTAATTTCATTCTTGTTAAAAGATTAGATTATTATCCAAGTGTAACTCTAACAAGTTTAGAATACTAATTTAATTATTCATGTTGATTAGCAGTATAATTTCTTATAAAATTAGTCCATACGATTTCAATCGTAGATTCTTATATCATTTTCTATTTGATCATATATCGAATAAGTTCTTCAAGATAAATTTATTCTTTTGATGATGAAATTTTTAATAAATGAATTAGATTATTAATTGGTACTTATTCATTATCATTTTCTATAAATAACATATAGAATTTTTTAGCTAATTTATTCACTATTTAAGGATTATTAGAATGTATTAACATTTTCATAATACCAACATCAGTATTTTCTATTTTCTATTTAAATAAAAAACTAATAAGAGAAATTGCTTTATAAATATCAGTGATGCATTTACTATTTAATAATAATTCAATATTTGGCAATAACTTTTATAAGAGTTCCATAAATTCTTGATATTAAATAAATACTTATTATAATTTCTTCTTTTCTCTTAAATTAGATACAACTAAATTTTCTTCATCTTCTAATTCTTTAAATTCTGCTTCAGTTTATGCATTTGCTTTATCTTCTAATATTTAATCAATAGCTATTAAAGTCTTATGAATTTCATTTCCTAAATATTAATTTTATTCCTATATATCAGCTATCTTCATAAAATTTTACATCTATAAACCATCAACAAATAGGTTTTTCATAAATCTGATTGAATTCTATATATTTTGAAATTGTACTTTGTAATTTATTTAACAAATGCCAAAGCAGCCTTTCTAACCATTGAAGAGACATCTTAAACTCTTGCAATAACTAATGGAAACATCATTAATTAAACATTTGGAGGGATTAGATTTTATGAACATACAACTCTTAACATCTTTAAAGTGTGAACTCTAGCATATGCATTTTTATCTATAATTCTTGATGATAATTTTTAAATAAGGAAAAGTCTTTAATTTAATTAGTTTTCTTTCATTTCTACATCTTACTCTACTTTAGATGGATTCAAATGTTCAGTTAAAATATTTGTGATTATAGTATTAATAGCATTTCTAAGACAATAACACTAATTATAAATACAATATATATACTTCACTATCATAAAATTACAAGAAAACTGGTAAATTTTAATTAAATAAATTAGGTAATTGAGCACTTACTCTTTCAAATACTTTTGATACTTGTTTTAATTAATTACTTTCATTTTATAAGATTTCTAAACTATGTTAAGCTAGAATAGTAATAAATTAAGTAACAAAAGCAGTATTTTCACAATATATTAATAAATCTGAAATTTATTAATCACAATCTTCTGAATTGAATACTATTTGTATTAATCTATTTTTAATATAATTATGAAGATTTTCTTTTCTAATTATTTTCTTTGCTTAATTTTATAAATATTGCTTAATATCATTCTCTTTTATTTTTGTTTTATAAAATTATAATATTGTTTCTATTCCCATTTAACCATGTTTATCATATTAATCAAATGATATTAATGTTTCCTTCTATAATTAATATAAATGTTCCTTCCTATTCTTATTTTAATCATCTAGAGTAGCTTATAAAAATTTCATCTATAAAATCTCAAATTCTAACACATCTTGTCTCTTTAAAACTTCTTTCTCTAAAAATTCTAATATATCATCTTTTTGTAACTATCTAATATAAATAATACATACTTATTATATGCCATAATAAAGTATGGTAAAGGTTTCACTATCAAAATGCTTATTTTAATTAAATTCTTCAATAGCTGATCTCATTTATCTGAGTATCAGTCTACTATCCTTAGTTTTTAGTGAATTATAAAGACTATTATCAAACTATAATATAAGTTCATCATACTTAAACACTGGGATATTCACTTAGCTCGTTCATAAAACTTTTTAAATTCAAATAATTTATGCGGCAATTTATTATAAATATATATATAATATATCAACTTACATTACTATTTTCCCAATAATATCCTGAATGTCTTTAATCTGTTTTTTATTGTTAAACCCAATAAAAATCAGCATTAGAATTTTAAAATTGAATCTCATCTTATTGTTATAAGAGTGGATCTTTCAAATCTATTTTTATATCAAAATTTTCATCATTTTCATCTGTAGGATGTTAAATAGCCCATATTTCAATAATATTGATTTACAATTTCTTAACATAAGGTAATATTAGAGGTCCATTTTCATAAGAATCATCTGTTTGAGTACAATATGAATTCTATAAATTTTTATCAATCCAGATTCTGTAACCCTCTCCATTTTTACCACCAAAACCAATACCTTTATTGGAATCAAGAAAACAATAATTTTATTCTCCTCTTTTTTTAGATCTATAAATTTTAAAATAAGGATAGAGACTAAATATGCAATCTTTTTTGGTTCCAAAGTATTATTTAGTGTCATACCATCTAAGATTTGTAAGAGCTCCAAATATCTATTATTTAGTTTTCTATTCATATTTTTCTTCATGTTAAAAAAACATAATGGTAGGTAATTTACAATCTAAGTATTTTGATTATTCATAATACCTTTAAGTGATTGAATCATTTGATTAAAACCACCTTAATGAGCAACATTTGAATACAATAAAGTTAATTAATTACAATCTGTAAGTACAGATTAAGTGCTTAATAATAATTGGAAAAATAATTCATCAGTTACAAAATATGATGGAGTATTGATAACTGGAATAGTATTCTAATTGTTAATTTATTATATTATATATACATTAAATTGTTTTCCCATAAATTTAGCTTAAAAATACTTTTTGATAAGATATTTAGCTCCTGGCATTTATTTTGAAATAAAATCCATCAATTATATCCAAGATAATGAACCTGATTCATTTTCTACATTTAGAATTAAATAAATACTATATAATTAATCTATTAATGATTTAATGTATTTCTCATTAGTTGGTGTATTTTTTTGTGTATGTTGATACATTTTAATAATATCCTATTATGATAGAATAATTTGAAATACTTTAATAACATTTAGAGTATCAAGATAAGTTAATTACAATTATGCCAACTCTTCTTTTGTTTTTACATATTTATAGTTCTACAAAGTGATCAAAGACATTAATTCAAATCTTTCTAGATTCTTGAATACTGGAACTGTAGTTTAAACATCCTTCACTAAGAGCTCCACTATATTGTAAGTAATATTAATAATACAGAATTCGAACAAAGGTTCTTTCTTCACATAACCTTCGCTTCCACTATACAATTCAAGGAACTTAAATAACTTAATTCCAAATGTAGGATTTTCTGAGAATATGTCTTCAAATGATTTTTAATTAAGTTATTTAATATCACGAGTTCTAATAATATTGATATTATTACTCACTACTTAATTCACAGTAATATTGAAATTATGAATTCAATTGAGTATATTCAGCTTAATCGAATGCTAAAATTACTGTATTCTTTCTTGAATCATAACAATTGCCCATATATTTAATATGAATAAATATAAATTATTAAAATAAAACGATATATATTTTTAAACTTATCATTAATCAAGTAATCTACTTTAAGTTACAATCATTCTTATCATTGTTGTATTTTCAACTAGATTCATATGAGCAGTTCGACCTATAAGATTATCCCAATTCTTGTCATTTTCTGTAAATGTAAAATTAACTTCAACTCTTGTACATTCAGGTAATTTAATGTTGTCAAGCATAGTTTAATAAATTTATTGTTTATCTTAAGGAACTCTATTAGATTTTTCTAGTCTTGCAACTTCAAATGGAACAAAATCATCTTATGTTGAACTAATCAATATCACTTTTTAAAACCACTCTAAAGATTATACTGTTGATAAATAATAGAGATAAGAATTCTAAGGTTATGAAGCATCTTATAATTATAATTCAGCCATACTTTAACTGGATGAGAAATTAGTCATAAACCATAAACCAGTTTTAACTAAACTATTTTATTTAACAAATAATCCTATATGAGGTGATCCAAGACTTACATAAAATCTCATCTTATTAGAATGCATACTTAAATTACAAAGAGCTGATCTTGCTACTACACCTCCTAAAGAATGACAAATAAATGATAATTCATCTATTCCATCCATCAATTAAATTTAAGCTTAGATTTCAATACTTAATTTATGTCCCATTACTCTAATTGAATCTTCACCTTCTCTTTAATTACAACTTGATATCAATGTAAAACATTTTGGATAATAGATTTTAATTATATTTCTCCATCTTCTCATATCAAAAGGAGATCCTTTATATCCATGTACAAATACTATTAAATGTTTACTATCTGACTTTTTTTAATTTAATTAAAAATGTTTAATTTCATTTTATGAATATTTTATTAGAATAGGTAGATTATCCAATATTTCTGTACATGTTATAGGTAGAATTGGTAGAATTCTTTAATCTAATTATCTTAAAGAATTAATTAAATTATAATTCTTCATTGTTTTATCAAATTAAGTAGTATTATTAATCTTTATTACAAATTCTTCATATAAATCTTGAAGTTCTGTTATATATTTGATTTTTAATTTCTTCATTAATTTAGCATAAATCTTTGAAATAACATCAATATAGACATACCAAAGCATATACAATTATAAACTAATTGAATTTATTTAACGTTCTAAATCTTCATTAGTATATTCCACTTCTCCTAAACAAGCTAATTATTACTAAATTTAATAATCTTAATTTATACTAAATAATGTGCAAATTTTGTTGGTTCAGTTATATATTCAGCAATAGTCTCTTTGTATTACTGAATAAATTGCTTAAATATTGACTCAAGGTAATCAAAAGTTTTCTATTATAACAATTCAAATTGGCCCTTTCTTTTGTATTTTTGAATATACTCATTCATTGTTAATCCATCTTTTCTCTATTAATACTTTAAGTCTATTAATCAATTAATTATACTCAAAGGTAATGAGAATACAAAGCAATTTATAACACAAGCAGTATTTGGATCAAAAGTAATAGGCAAATAATTATGATTTATTTATTTTAGAGAATGAATGACGTAGGTTTGAGAAGATAGTTTATTTAAGGGTAATACTTCTAGGTCTTGAAATGATTCTACAGATTTACTATCTAGAAATAATAAATCAACTTGTAATTCTACAGAGTTTAATTAACCAAATGTATTTTGTTCTATTCTAAAAATACATCCTTCACATAAATTAATCTAAATTTTATTGATTTATACCTCCTCATCTTCATATCTAATTACAAAAGAACTTGAGAGAAAATATTAATCTTTAATGTCTTAACCAACTAATTTTTAATCTCTTTGTTTCTTTTATTTACTAATCCCCAATTAATCTAAAGTTAAATATGGCAAATGTTTAGGTATTGATATTTAAATCCTATAAATTCCTTATTAAAATAGATCAACATTTCTAAAATTTCTAATAAACACTAACAATTCAATTTATGTTATGAAACTCATAAATTTAATATAATCTTTTTATCTACATTAACTTCTATTTTATAACCCAATCCATAAACTTTAGATATGGATCATATCGCAATTACTAATATTCTTAAAAGCTATGGGTATACTCATTATATAATAATCAAGCTTTAAAGGTGCAGAACCTCAATATAAAACTATAAATTATTCAATAGTCCCTAAACATTTAAGTTTAGAAGATCATATAGAAAAACCACAACTTGAAATCCTTTAGTAATTAAATGAAGAGAAAAAATGTCGTGAACTTGTTGAAATACATGGTATCACATTAGAAAAAACTAAATAATTTTATGCAGATAAAATCAAAGAATATAATGATATAATAGATTTGAAGCATATAAAAAATAAAAGAAATTAATCACAATCAGTTGAAAAATCAAATAATTAAGCTTTTCTTCGATTTGCAGGAGATGAAGGTAAAATCACAAATTTTCACATTTCAATTAATTCTAAGAATCTAATACCATTATTGAATGAAATTAATAAAAGATCTTCTAATGAATAAACTATACAATAAAGTCCTCTTAGTTGTAAGAGATCAAATAGATATAATCAAAATAATACATTAAAAACCTCAAATAATTACACAAATATTAAGTATAATCTACAAACAATTAAATCTAAATAGCCTTAGAATATAATTTAAAGATTGGAATAGAAATTAAATAACTTTGATAGTTTAAATTAAAGTTAAGTTAGTCCAATGAATTAAGTTAATTTTAATGAAGATCTTTCATTAGATATGATAAAAAAAAGAAAATCTTTTTCAATTGATTTGAGATTTAAAAGAAGAAATTCTGAAAAAAAGAAAACAAATACATATGTCAAATAACTAAAATAAGAAATACCTAAAGTAATTATATAATAATTTTAAGATAGATTTATCATAATTAATTTCTGATTCCTTTAGATAAAATATATCAAGTTCTTGTTAATATGATGATGAATAAGAAGATTAATAAAGAGAATCTTAATTTAATTACAATAATTTAGAATTAACTTAAATCTAATATCCATCTCCAGAGTCTAAAATTGAATAATTTAAATCTATTATATAAGATTAAACAGAGAAAGAGCAGCTTCCAGATATTTATAAAGATATAAGTATATATATATTTATATATGTTCACTCTTTTAGAAATTAATTAAAATGTCGATTTTGAATAAAGAAAAAAAATATTAAAAAGAAGAAAACAAGTTGTACATGATATCTTAAATAAATAAAAACCTAAATTTTTACATATTTGTGGATCTAAATTTCCAGTTATTAATAGTGAATAAAATTGGAATGATTATAATAATTTAAGAGTTAGAATAATAGAAAGAGAACTCTAATAAAAAATGAATTAATTGAGAGGTCCAAAAGATTAATTGTAAGATTTCGAGAACTTATCTATATTATCTGGACCACCTATAAATACAAATTATATTACAAATAATCTTAAATCAGATTATTAAGATGTTAAAGTTACCAAAATTATGAAATAGCTTACTGCTTTGAAATAGTGAATTAGTGATGACCATTGTTTTGAATGTCAAATTATTTATTATAAATTATAAAGTTAATATCAATCTCAAATGAAAAATAAAAATAAGAGATCAATTACATATGATTTAATTTAAAACAATAATGAAGATCATAATTTGTTTTATAAAAGAGATATAATGAGAAATAAAAAACCATACAAATTAAAGCTTGAATAGAAATCATTTAAAGATTAAATCTCTTCAACTTAATTAGGAGATATAGTGGAAAATGAATATTTCAAAAAATTAGATGACTTAGATAGAGATTCTAAAAAATAACAATAAACTAAAAATAAGACTTCATTTAAACTACCAATTATTTATAAAATTAGATCCAAATCCTCTCAAGTATAATAAACCTATTAATAACCATACTCAAATTCAGATGCTGAAATTATGGACAATATTAAGTAAGATAAAATATGTAAATAAATAACTGTAAACATTAGCTATGAGACCTATATTTAAATCTATCAATCAAATCCTAAATAAACACCAATAAAAAGTAATTTATCCTAAAATTAATACTGAATTTGAAAATGAAAAAATCTCAAACGATCAAAGTATTTTAAAGTAATTTTCTTTATTATTAAGACTTTCATAGTTTTTAAGTGAAAATTAAAACAATATAATAAATATAGGAAAATATGTTTAAGAAAAAATAGAGTAAAAGAGAATCAATAATTTTCGAATATTATATAAAAATGCAGTTAAGTATTAAAGTGATGAAGGTAAAATCATATATAAAAATTTAATAGAAGATAATGGTTGTAATCTATCTAATAAAGAATTATAATAAGTTGAACATATTAAAAACAGAAGAAAATTCATTCTAAAAATGGCTTAAAGAAAATCTCCAAAGTTTCTCTATCCCTTAGGCCCAAAAATAAGAGTTCCTAATTTTTCTCTAGAAAACCAATATTTTTAGATTTAATAAAATTTAACTAACAGAGCTTATTAAGGAGGCTAATTCTCTCCAATAAAGAGAAAAACCTATAATTTCGAGGATGACATTTCTATTTAAAAATTAGATAGTCCACCTAAAGATAAATGCTTTCCTACTTCTTCTATGTAAGAAGATTACCTAAATATAAAGATTTAATAAATTGTTAAATCTTTTATATGATTATAATTTATATTAAGTAATTTATTCAATATTTCGAAAATAAAATGGTTTTTTTTTTTCATTTTACATTCATAACATTATTCTATTCTTCTAAAAATTGATAATATTTATCAGTTTAAAATTCTTGTTATATTTTTATTAAAAATATTGAATTAAAGAATTTTATATATAATACTAATAAATAAATAAAGATCAAAGTTAATCGTTTTCCCATCTTCTAGCAAACATAATAGGATCATTATTCTATTTTTGATTTTCTAATAATATTTCTTATATAAGTTGAAAATCTTTTTATAATTTAACATTACTGATTTTTTCCAAATAATGTAATAACAATTAAGAGAAACTAATAGTAAATTCAGATAAATCTTTATTGAAAAATTATTCAAATTATTTATCAGGTGTAATATAAAATACAAATTCAACTTTTGAATAAAATGATAAAAAGCTATCTATCCAACCTTAAATGATATCTTATTTATTAGATGGACAATACTTTTAAATATAAGTTGCTTTAATTCCTAAGAGTTTTCTGATTAAAAAATAACATTTTTATTTATCTTCTGTATTAATACAATCAAACTACTTAAGAACATTGTTTAAATACACTAAAAATTTATAAGTAGGCCTTATTGATGCAGAAAGTAAGTCTTCTCTATCATCTTAAAAATTTGAATTAAAATCAGTTGTGAATTTTTCTGCTATGATATTTTAAATAGATTTAGTTTATGATGCAAATTGCCTAAATTAAGTAGATGTATTCATTTGGAAATAACAATTATGTTTATTATCTTAAGAGTTCTTTTATAAACTAATTCCAGATGATTTAAAAGGTTGAGTAATGATATGTTATTATGATTAAACAACCCTAACAGGTGATTTTTTTTATTAAATAGAATTATTATTTTAAACAGAATATGATTATTTTTATAAGCTTTATGAACTCTCTATAATGTTTTGTTTTTGTTATAAAATCTAATTACAATTTGAAAATTAATTATTTTTTATAGTATCATTAGTGCTATTTCTATTACTATGTTAAATACAATCACTTTCTTCTCCAGAATAACCATTTATTTTACTATTATTATCAAGATTTTTAATTTAAATTTATGTATTAATAGGTATTTTAATGGCAGTTATTTTTTCTTATTCTTTTTATTGAAAATATTATTATTATTAAAGTATTTCTAGATTCTTAATTTCCAATAAATCAAGTGATTTTTGAGTTTTTAATCTAAGTTCAATAGGTAAATTAGATAATTTAATTGGTGATTATTGTATAGGTTTAGGGATTATTTCTATTTTTTATGTATATGACTCTTTAATTGGTTACTCTTTAAATAAATTAGAATTATTTTAATTGATTTAAAGTTTCAAATCAATAGGCTATTCTTCAAAATTATTATTAATTTTTCTTATATCTAAAAGTTAAGCAATTTAATTTATTTTAATAACTTTTTTAGAATCTAAATTTTAGAATCCCATTATTTCTTATGATTTATACATTTAATGTTATTTAAACTAATTTTAAATTAAATCTTCTGGATTACTTTAGAATATTTAATTATTTATTATTTAATCATCTTTTTATTATCTTGATTATTTTAATTCTTGAGAAATAGAACTAGTTTTAATTGATCTATATGGAATGGATTGATGTGAAAGTGTTTATATTTTCTTAGGTTATATTTACAGAGATACAATAATCTCATTAATAGAGATTCGTTTTTCTGGATCAAAATTTAACATATTTAGCATTAGTTCTTTTGTTTTTAGAGATGTTAGTGTATCACTTTTGATTTTATTAATCAGAAATAAGTGTTTCTTAGTTAATTCATTTTCTTATTTAGAAAATTAAGGCAATTCATGATATATCATTTAAAATAATACTATTCCTAAAGCCCATATATCTGATTTTTCTGAATATACATTATTTTACACAGTTTCAGGAGCCATGTACATTGGAGTACCTACATTAAATTTCTTTATGATGCTCTCATATTGGTTCTCTATAACTGCAAAACCAAAGTCAGCTAATTTGTAATAACCATTAGATTTCAATATATTGGCTGGTTTGATATCTCTATGTATTATTTCTATTAATTTACCATAAAGGTGTTACTTTTATCATGTAATGCTTTAATTCCCTAAACAATTTATTAGAACACTTCTAATGCTTATATTTCTGTGAATTATATGGAGTCTAAAATTTCAGCCAAATCACCATCGTTACAATATTCACAAATCAAATATCTATTATTTTTAGTTTCAAATGTATCATAAATCTTCATTAAATTAGGATGATCTATTAAACTCAATACTTGAATTTCATTTTTTAGCAAACTTTTAGAAATTGGAGTAATTAATTATTGAAAACTTATTACTTTAATTGCTACTATTTAATTATTTTTTGTATTCATTCCTTTATAAACTTTTGATGAATAGCCTGAACCAATTAAATCATTTTAGTCATAAGTATAATTAGATATAGTTTTCCTGATATTTTAAGAATTATTATTCATTTATTTTAATATCAAATATTTTAGACTTTCAAATTCATTTTCAAATCAAATTTAAGATTTGCAACATTAAGGATTAATTCTAACTTTCTCTTTCAAACATTAATTTGAAATATATAGAATAATAATATTATTAGATATTTTAATATCATATCAATTTTATGTATCCAATATTACTCTTATTGTATTTATCTATATCCTTATCTAATATTACCTATTTTTTCTTTCTCTATTATTTTCTATGAATAATAATGTTTTGAAATACTTATTAAAAATTTTATATATGATTTTAAATCAATGGGCTTTTCCTCTTTCTTCGAAATTGGAGAATTTATAGAAAGAGAATATTAATATTATTAAGCTACATATTTGTAAATATTACATTCAATAATTAATTATATCCAATAATTCTTGTATTATTTATTGATATGAAAATAAGTAAAATTAAGACTTTCTAATCTTCCTAATAAATTTGTTCATCTTTTATGCTTATGTATTTGTTTATGAGATCCTATTATTAATTCAACATTTAAATTAATATTGTTAATCTTTACTATTGTTGTATGTTTATTAAATTTACTAGAAGTTGGAGTGATATTAATAGGGTAGGCATATCTATAAAATAACTCTTTTTCAGAGGGAAGATATTCTTTAGGAATTAAATTGTTGTGCATGGTTCCATGTTAACATAATATAATTATAAAAAATAATATTATTATTACTAAGTTATATAAGTTGGGTATTTTTAATTTAAATTCTATTCGGATAAAATATGAATACAATTTAATATGAAGATGAATTCTTATTTGAATGATTTCATTTGAATTAACTCATTAATATAAATTAAATTTAAAATGGAATGGTTTCTGATAATTGTAACGATAGTGATGGCATTATTGTTATTATTTGTGAACTTCTACTTACTAGTTTTATATTGTCATCGTAATTAAATGAAATCTATAATAAATAGCTGAAGATAGTGGTTGGGGTTCATCATTAGTATGCAAAGTATTTGTGATTTTTGGAATGACATTGACTTGGGCTTAAGTTTTGATGTTGCCATTAGATGCAGCAAATTCGAGGTAATGAAATTCTTAAATTGAATTAGAGGACTTGGAGAAGGCTTGGATATGGATTTTTTTTGGAAATTCATATATATGCTGATTTTGATATTTGGAACACTATTTATACCATTTGCTCAATACTATTATGAATCAGATGATGAGAAGTCTGTAAGTTAACGATGTTGTGCAGCTCTTTATTAACAATTATGTTTTGTGATAATTGTAGCACTATTGCTATTTATTTCTTATGCTTTTTTAAGATTTGCTGATATTCCAGTCTACATATCAGTGAAATCTTGTTCATAACCAACTCTTTTCTTAGATTCTGAAACACCATTTACAGGTGTAGCAAATTCTTTATAGGAGGATTCTGAAGACACTTTAGAATATGAAGTTAGTTTTCCTGTTTATGTGATGGCATTTATGTCTTTATTTGGATATTGTTTATTTGTGCTATTTGGTGGAGTTGGTTTAACAGCTTTACCAGTTGATTTAATATAAGAATTTATTCATAGACCTAAGAAATTGACATCTGCTGAAGGAGCATAAAAGAAAGGTAGTTTAAAGAGGAAAGCCTTTGAATTGATTGAAGAAGGCAATAAAGTTAGAGATGATTAAAAAGATGCTGTTGCTTAAGATGGTTGGTGGGCTAAATATAGAGAGAAAAGAAGAGTGAGAACACAATTTACAAAATATAAGAATGCTGTTTTAAGTTTAGATAGAGATTATGAAATATTTAAACTAGAACTTAAGTATTTTGATACTAATCCTATAGTTTGGTATTTTAAATTAGTTATTGGAGTGATATTCTGTGTAATTTCTTTTATATGGTGGTTGCACATGTATTATTTAATTTATATTAATAGATTATTATTTATAGTAATAAGAGATGCAGATGGAATATCAGCAAGTTCTTTTCTTAATAAAATATTGATTGGTTTAGAAGATGGAAATGCTGGATTTTTATGTGTTGGTATATTTGGATTACTTTGTATATATTTATTATGGTGTACTTAAAAGGGTAACATTAAATTTGGTCTCAGAATTCCTTTTCTGTTCTCTTTACATATAATGAAGTATCATATTATTTTATAATTATAGAATAAATGAGACTTGGATGAATACTTTTCTTTTTAATGTATAACTTATGTTAATCTGTTCTGTTGCAGTTACATAATTTTGTACCAAAGCCTTTTCCTAATATATTAGATTGAGCACTCTCAATAGTAATTCTTTGTCTTATAGTAGTGTTATTTAGTACTCAAATATAATACTTACGATTCTTTACTTATTTATATTCAAACAATGTCTTTGAAATCATTTTACTAGTTTGGTCAGTTTTAACAATGATATATTTGCTTATCAGAAGATCAGACAAACCTAAAATGCTTAAGGAAATCGAAGAAATGTAAAAACAATAATTCAAATGAACTTAATAATAATTATTAATGTTTTTACTTATATTTATTTCAAAAGTATATGGATCTTGCATTTCTAGTATAGGAAATTTAATGGCAGATACATTGACAGATCCAAAACTTGAATTAACTAAATTGGCACCTTATATCTATTTTAGTGGTAAAGGGTATAACTTTTCATTTATTTTTAGGATCAATGATTTTGGATTCTATGAAGATTGTACAAATTAATACTAATATGCTGTCATTCAATTCTTTGTTCCTTCAACTCCAGCCTCTGTCAATGTTGGAATTTGCTTTACTAAACAATGTTCCATTTCAGACATCAATTCTTCAATTTAAACATTAAAAAAATGGATCTTGGCAGTTGCCTAAGATATATCATAGGTCTTGATTTGAAGTTATATTTCAGGTTGATCTAACTGAGTATGAACTCAAATTTCTGGATTCACAAGTTATTGCTTAGCCTTAAATTACTACTTATATATTAATTTCATGTTTAATAGTATTCATTATGTTGTAAGTATACTTTACATATTTTCATAAATAAGATCCAAAGATTCTTAAGGAATAACTTTAATTAGAATAACTATAGTAATAAAGAGATATATAAGAGGTAAGCACTTATTTTGATGAAGAAGAATAATTAATTAATAATCTTAATTAAAATAAATATAATAAGAGAGGTATAAAATTGAATGAATTTTATGAACTTTATATAAACTTGGATTTAAAAATTAATTATTAAGAATGTTGTAAACCATAAGAATCTAAATATTCTTCATTAAATGGAATTCGTGTATTAGGATTTTTAATGTGTGTTTTTGGAAATACAGGAATCTCAATGCTATTATAATGTGATTTTTATTAAGTTCAACATTACAGCAAACATTACATCTTATTAATAGTCTTTGGATGTCTCTATTCTGTAGAAATATTTTTGTGGCTTTCTGGATTTTTTGCTGTATTTACATTTATCAAATTAAATTGTCTATATAATTTACTTTTAAGAATATGTAAATTTTGGCCTTTAATGGTTTTGATCATTTTAATAAATACACAAATAATACCATACTTAGGAGATGGTCCAAGATGGTTTTATATAGAAAGATATACCAAATGTGGAAAATGGTGGTAAAACATATTATTTATTAATAATTTTGATGATGAAAATTATTGTACATTATGGTTATGGTAATTATCACTTGATGTTCAGTTAACAATCATATGTGCCATAATCATAGTATTGTATAAAAGAAATAAAAAGGCTGCAATAATATTGACAACCATTCTTCTATTAGTATCATAATCATATGTTATATATACTTGTTTAGATAAATAATATGGTATTCCATACTATGCTGCATTCACTACTGATATCTATAAATCATTTTATTATAGACCTTGGTTTAGAGCACCACCTTATTTTGTAGGAATGTTAACTGCTTTTTTTGTAATCAATTTTAAAAGAAAATTGAAACTTTGGTTTTAAAATACAATATAAATTATTGGTTTTTTAATAATTGTTTATTTAACAGTAGGATGGTATGATACTATGTAATTTGGTGAAGACTTTTATCCAAAATTGTATTCTCAAATTTATGAAGGAATAATGAGAACTATTTATGCTATAGGTATTACTTTGTTTGTATTACCAAATTTATTAGGAAATCATAATATTATATATTAATTATTAAATTATACTCCAATCAAATATATAGTCAAATTTACATTTGTTGGATATCTATTACATATGTTGATTGTTGAAGTTATTATAGCATCATTTTATAAAAGTTTGGATTTCAATGTATAAAGTATTGGATAAGTATATGTTGGATGCATTATTATTATTGCTGGTTTTAGTTTTATATTTAGATGGTTAATTGAATTACCATTTGAAATTAAACATAAAATTACAGAAAAGTCTTAATCTAAATAATACATGTAGAAAAAGAATGTTGATTTGATTTGATTTAATGACATTAATATTATTTTGTATAGAATTTATAATTAATTAATTTTATATAGTATTTTCATTTTATAAAATAGTTATCAAACTTCATATAATCATGTTCAAAACAATTATGAAGACTGTAAAATAAGAAAAAACCAAATCTTCATTATCTGAATAATAGGATATTACTTAGATACCAAAAATTGAAGAAAAATAATGTCATATCAATATCAATAAATAAATTTTTGAATATTTACCTTATTAAATCCCTAATTCAATTGATGCTATATTTTATTTTAAAGAAATACTCACACAACAATAATAGGAATATTTAATGAAAGAAATTTATAATTAACCTAAAAGATGGGTTGATTTACCTCATTCAAATAGAAGAGTTTAGAAATATGGTGGAGATGTTAGAGAGGAAGGTCTAATCAATGTAGAAAAATTTCCAGAATTTTTAACTTAATTATCAGTATTGATTAATTTTAGATTATTAGAATTTATGCTTTTTAGATGATAATACTTTAAATATTAATCATGCCTTAATTAATGAATATGCTCCAGGTATTGGTATCCATCCTCATTTTGATGGCCCTCTATATCATAACTTTGTTAATATCTTTAGTATCAATAGCAATTGCATATTTAAATTTAAAAAACAAGATGAATCCCTTAAACTTTTTGTAGAACCAGGCAGTCTATTAATTTTTACTAAACAAGCATATACAGAATGGTTACATGGAATAGATTATCATCATGATGATACAATTTTATTGAATATAAAAGAGAATTAAATATGTCATACAGATTTGATTAATTTCCATCAAACTTTATTTTATCAAAACTTATAAAAAGCTGAAAATATTATTGAATATTTGAATAATTAACCTAATTATGAACTATGTCAAATTTAAAATAATAATTAATTCACTCATTCTTTGATTATAAGAAGATTGCTAAGAGTATCAATTACTTTAAGACATGTACCTTATAATAGGAAATGAATAGAATTAATATATATATATTGGATTTATTATATCATTAATTATTAGTTATATATATTTAATTAATATTTTACTTAAAATTTTTCTTTAATTTTTTAAATTCTTATCTGAAATTATTTAATAAGTTTAATACTTTTACCTTATTGGATATATTCAACTAATTAATTTTGCTTATTCTATATTTAACATACTTATTCATTGTTCATACATATCATTAATTCTTTAAAAAAGAAGATTATTAAATTATTAATTAATACAATAATAAATTTTAATAGATTGAGTTCCCAAAATTATAGTAATTAGTTTATATGAATATATATATATATTAAATTATAATTAATCTTAAAGTGAGATTAATATAATAGTTATATTTATTTTGCATTATTTTGTGACAAAACTTATATTTTTTATCAATAATATTATTTAATCAGTAATACCATCCTCCTTATCTAAATTAAGATGGTCCTTATTGCATTTAAGAGTAAGGATATCTGGGATCCACTTAATAGTCATCAAATTTTTGATCATACAGTGGTGGTGGAAACTATCTAAAATTATAAATAATAAATTTTACGTATTATATTAAGGTATAGTCTAAGCATTTGGTTATGGTTTAAATTATGCTGGTTGTTGAGTTTAGTTAAATGAATAGATTAAGACATGCCAACCATTTAACTTATAATTTCAATAGTTATTACTTTGAATTCAAATACTTTGTCATCATTATTATAGTAACTGTATTAAGCATTCAAACCATTTTTATGTTCCCACATAAATACAAACCAATAAGGTCCATACTTGCCATCTAATCTATGCTTTACAAAATCAGCTGGATTCTTATATTCTTATTATGTCCTACTACTTTTATAAAATTCCAAAATGTCAATTCTTAAAGCCTCATGAATTCCATAACCTTATTTGATTATCTAATTTAATATAATTAAATACTTCTAAATTTTCATTATCATCTTCATCAAAGCTTTTAGCTTTTTTAATGCGAGGTTGTGGTATAGCTTAATATTCTTATTGATAATATTGTTATTGTTGATTCATTAATTAATGTAATAATAATAACAAAGAAATTCACTTGTTTAAGAACTGCTGAAATCTATCAATTAAGTAATACAGACTATATTATATTCAATAGTAAAATCAATCACTTACAAATTAAAATAAGGTTTTACATGAATTTTAATGGTTTGAATTAGATAATTAAATAAGGATTCGTGTACATGAATTAATGGAACCCCATCTTAAACTATTTCTTGAATAAAGATTCGAATATGATACGTATATACTAAATATCAAAATATTAGGTTAACTGTTAAATTGGAAAAGTATATCTAAAATTATGAAGAATTTAAGTCTCTTTATTTCTAAAATGGAAAAAGTCAATCAATTATCCAATAACTTAAATAACAAATGAATGATTTAGAATCTCAATTATAATAATTATAACAAACAGAATAATTTACTATAATTGAGATTAATAAGAAACTTGATTTATTATAAATTTCTAAAGATCAACATGTCCAATAATTTATACTTTTAGAAAATAATCAAAGTTAATCTATTTAATCAATAGAAAATATTAGATAGTAAAATTAACAATTTAAATAACTTTTATTAGATAACTTAGAATAAGTTAAATTATAAAATAATATAGCTGTTAATAATGTATAAGATAAGTTATTAGAATTGAATCTTCGAATAGATAATTAATAAAGTTATTAAAAAGATTTAACATTAAAAAATGATAAAATTTTTGAAGAATTGAGTACTTTGAATAATAAAATAATTTAATAGACTTCATAGATTACTTAGGATTAAAAAAATATTGAATTGCTATAATAAATAGTTCCAAAATTTGATGAATTGTTAATATAAGATAGATAACTTACAAATTAAGTATACTTAATGAAAAACAAATAATCATATTTTGAAAATTATATAGAAAAATATTTTCCTTTATTTTTATAAGGAACTATTTCTTAAACTTTACATAATTGTTTAGATGAAAATAATCTCTATAAATTAGCTAAATTTGAAGATGAGAAATTTACTCTTCTAAATTCTATCATTATTGATGACTAAGGTACTCCTAATTTAGATAAAAAAATAAATGAATGTACTGCATTTATTGAAACATAACTCAAAAAAAACTATTAAATCCTTAAAAACAATGTTAATAAATAATCGATTTAAAAAAATGAATAAATTAAAGAAACCTAAAATATTTAACTTTAAGCAAAAAACAATTAAGATATTTCAGATAAATAAAATTTATTAGAAAAAAATGAAATGGAATATTTTATACAACAAAGATTAAATGAATTCAAAAAATAAATTGATAAAAGTTTAAATCATATATAAACAACAGTTGATAAATTAGAATAAACTTATGATCTCTTACATTAAAAAATGGTTTCTCAAATTGAATTTATTAAGAATTAATATAATGAATAGATTATCTAAATTTAATAATAATTATAAGAATTAAATGAATAATTTAGTACTGTTCCTTTGTTTATTAGTGAAATTAATGAAATATAATAATAGTAATAAATGAATATTAAAAAATTAAATCAATTTTAAATCTTATATAATGATTAAAGATTATCATTAGAAAAATGTTAAGATATTTTGAATGAATCAATAGATTAACTAAAAAATGAAAATGATTCTATTTGTTAAGAATCTCCAATAAAAAAACTTTAATCATAATTGAATGCTGATGAAAGAAAAAGTGTTCGTACAAAGACAGCTTCATAAAGTGGAATGCGTAAAAGTATAAAAAGTATGTATAGTTCAAGTTAGACAAGATCAACAAATGATAAAAGAAAGTTTTATTTATTAGGTTCTAAACTATAATAGGAAGTTTGTTAAAGTATGAATCTTTCAATACTGCAACCAAGAAAAACAAATTCAAGAATACTATTTTAAAGTAAAGCTTTTGCAAAAGATTGAAATAAAAGTATATAAATTTATTGATACTGATAATAAGTTTAATAATAAATTAAAATAACTTTAATTTCATTCATTATTCTTAATCTATAATTTTAGAAAATAACTAATTCCTTCAATATAAACAATTTAAATAAGCAATTTTCTTAAATTACTTTAATATGAATGATGACATTTAATAATAAGTTTGAATTTTCCTTCTTCAAATTAATATATTTAATTTTAGTTCAAATTCCATCAAATAATTTATATCTATAATATATAAATATATACTTGAGTAGGACAAATATTTTAATTAAAATAATTTATTTTACTTTTCTTAATTCATAGATTAAATTTAAGCTTTCTTTTCTGTAATTTCTTAAGCCATTTTTTGAATATCAAAATTACAATTTAAAGTATTCAATTTTGAAGGCAAAATATTAAGAAATGAATTATTTAATATTAAGTGTTCTTTGATATAAATTAATAAACATAATAGATTTCTTAATTTTATTTTATATTTATTTTAAATTTGGATAAATTTGAAGTAATCTTCTTCAATAATAAAATTTTATTAAGTAAATAATTTAGTCAAAATTCTGTTTATGTAACAAAATTTTTAGTTCAAATATAATTATTATAAATATTAATATGATAACAGATGAACCAACTGTTGAAATAACAAAAGATGTCTTGTAAGGATTAAAGATATAAAAAATATATAAAGACTTTGTAATAAAATTAACTAATTAAAGCTAAAAGAAATCAATTCAATAGATTTTTCATAGAATGGATAATATTTGGTTGCTTGTGATGATCAAGTAGTTAATGTTTTTGATATTGCTAATATGAAGTATAATATATAAAGAATGAAAATATAGAAAGATAAGAACAATGTATAATAATACTTAGGAGATTGATATGGTGAAATTTACAAAAGATTAAACTCATGTAATTTGTGTTACAAAAAATGAACCATGTATATAATTTAATATATTTAAGATGAAATCTGGCATTGGGCATTTGAAGAGAATCAAATTTTAAAGAAATTCTCTGGACACACAAAAATGTAATTGAAGTAAAATTATTAGTAAGAATTTATTAACTAGAAATATATAATTAAATAATTCTAAGTTGTAGTTTTGATGATACTTTAAGATTATGGGAATTAAATTAATAATAAGACACATGTTATGCAGTATTAGATTTGAGTTCTAAACCTGATAATAGAGTAATAGGAGCTTTTGATTTTAGTGGAAATTCTTTTGGTATGAGTTTTGTAGAAAAAGAAAATGGTTAATCAATAAATTGTGTTTAGTTATATTAAATTAGAAAATTTGAATTAGGACCATATCAAGTTAAAAAGATATCAGGAACAACTGTAATACAATTAAAATTTAGTGCTGACAATTAATTTATTTTATGTGTTTGTTCAGATGGTCAAATATAAATTTTAGATAGTTATTTATTAAATACAGTAATTGATTAAAATTGATTAATAGTTATTTGATATTCCAGGAAATGCAGATAGGATAAATGTTAATGTTTGTTTTACTCCAGATTCTAAATTCTTAATTACTGGTAGTAATAGTGGATACTTATATGTCATATCAATATAGAATGCAATTAAAACATAAACTTAAGCAGGTTAATTGATTGCTAAACTAGAAGGACATTAAAGAAAATGTAAGTTAGTATTATTCAATCCAAAATATTGTTGTTTGATTAGTACTTGTAGAAATCTTGTTGTTTGGACTCCAAATCAAATATTATGATTTATATAAAATAATTAGATAATTTTAATGTATTAGGATAATTCTGAGGTATATAATCAGAATCATGATAGCATTATGAGTTCATTAATAGTAATCTTGTGATTGAAGAAATTCCAGAGGAAATTGAAAATGACAAAGTTATAGTCTAAGAAACAGCTGATGAAAATAAAATCAAGGTGATTCTTGTAATGTATAATCACAACTACAAACTTAGGTAAACAATCAAAAACTCAAACAAGAGTTCTTAATTGCTGATAACTTTTCAGCATTTACTCAAGTTCTCATAATTTCTACAATCAATCATAATTGTTATTATGATGATCCCTTCTTTCATTACATCCTTATGATGACTAAGGTTATTCGTAAAGCACTTAGAAGAATGTTGGTACCCACCTGCATTAAAACTAAAGAAGAGTTTATTGTATTGTTAATCTAATTTAGAGATTAAACAAAATAATTTATTTCAATGTTTTTACCAAGATATAAACATAGGATTTATAACATCTACTGGATAAATCAAATCTACTGCATTCATCTATGTCCATAAAACTATAAGAGAATTTTTAATTAAGAAAATTTGTATAGATTAAAAACAAGAAAGAGTTAGATTTCTAATGCATTTTTTTAAAATTGAAAATATAATAAAGATACCTTATGTGCATTAAGATTATAAAAACTAATTCTTGAAAACTAATAAATTTAAAAATGAATTCATAATTTTAAGTGAAGAAATAGAAACTCATCAATCTTTATTTCAAGTTTATAAATTGGTTGATGATCAAATATATTATGTAAAAAGAGTAATTAAATCATTTCATATAAATAGATTCATTTAAGAGTTAATTTCAGTTCTTCATTTATGAATGTATTCAATACTAAAGATGTTTATATTAATATAGCTAAGATTTTAGCTTCCCTTTCACATCCTAATGTTATTAGATTATATGATTGGTGGATTGAAATGTTAAATTTCTAACCTTATTTATTTATGCAGATTGAATATTGCATATATCCTAGATATATATCCTAAGCTAAAAATTTATTAAGTTATTCTTATTTTTATATGAATCCTATGCCACATAAATAAAAATAGAAACATATTCAAGATATTATTTTATAAATAATTTAAGCTTTGGAATTTCTAAAATTAAGAAAGATTCATCTAATTGACTTAAAACCTGAAAATATCATGGTGACTATAACAGTCACTGGTGATTTATAAGTAATCATTATTATTTCATTATAGATTGTACTTGCAGACTTTAATCCTTAAATAAATAATTAATAATAATAATGTTATTTAGATTATACATTTTAATCTATAGGCACATTAATTTTGAATTTAATCTTAACATTTCCTGGAGATGCTACTTTAAGAAATAATTATATAACTAAATTTTTGAATTGTAAATTTGAAGAATCATTAACACTTTTAGATTCTTGGGCATAAAAAGTTAAAAATAGAAATCGTGAATTTTCATTTCAACTTTATAAAAATTTGCTTTTATTGGTTAAATCCATCATTACAGAATCACATTTTCATGATTTCCATGAATTGAAAAAGTCTATTTAAAAAATCTATTGATTTATTATTATATTCTATAATGTAATAAATTTATTCTTATAAAAAACTTAACTACTTTCCCAATACTTTTTATATATCTAAAACTATCTAAATAAATAATTATTAATTTATCTAAATAATTTCATAATTCAAATCATTTGATATGTTATATACTATTTTATCAATTATTTTAATAAAGATATCCAATAATATCCTTTTTGGGAGATACTTAATATAATTATATTAATCTTATTGTTAAAAATTTCTCTTTATTTTTTATTATAAGTTTAATTTTAAGTCCAATTTAATATTAATCTTCAAAGATGATCAAATATTTATCTTTAGTTTGAATTTCATTCTAAATAATTAATAATTTGATAGAGAAGTTTAAAGCTTTCTTTCAAATTGAATTTCATTTAAAATGGTTTTAATTCACTAATATTTTTAGCTGATTTGGAGTTTCTCTTCTATTGAATTCAACGCATTAGGAAAATTAACATAATTCCCTCTTTACAGTTACTATATCATGTCTAATTATTTAATTTATCATACATCTGATTCATTTAAGTTTCAATATCTATTCCTTGTTTANCTTTATTTCAAGTTTATAAATTGGTTGATGATCAAATATATTATGTAAAAAGAGTAATTAAATCATTTCATATAAATAGATTCATTTAAGAGTTAATTTCAGTTCTTCATTTATGAATGTATTCAATACTAAAGATGTTTATATTAATATAGCTAAGATTTTAGCTTCCCTTTCACATCCTAATGTTATTAGATTATATGATTGGTGGATTGAAATGTTAAATTTCTAACCTTATTTATTTATGCAGATTGAATATTGCATATATCCTAGATATATATCCTAAGCTAAAAATTTATTAAGTTATTCTTATTTTTATATGAATCCTATGCCACATAAATAAAAATAGAAACATATTCAAGATATTATTTTATAAATAATTTAAGCTTTGGAATTTCTAAAATTAAGAAAGATTCATCTAATTGACTTAAAACCTGAAAATATCATGGTGACTATAACAGTCACTGGTGATTTATAAGTAATCATTATTATTTCATTATAGATTGTACTTGCAGACTTTAATCCTTAAATAAATAATTAATAATAATAATGTTATTTAGATTATACATTTTAATCTATAGGCACATTAATTTTGAATTTAATCTTAACATTTCCTGGAGATGCTACTTTAAGAAATAATTATATAACTAAATTTTTGAATTGTAAATTTGAAGAATCATTAACACTTTTAGATTCTTGGGCATAAAAAGTTAAAAATAGAAATCGTGAATTTTCATTTCAACTTTATAAAAATTTGCTTTTATTGGTTAAATCCATCATTACAGAATCACATTTTCATGATTTCCATGAATTGAAAAAGTCTATTTAAAAAATCTATTGATTTATTATTATATTCTATAATGTAATAAATTTATTCTTATAAAAAACTTAACTACTTTCCCAATACTTTTTATATATCTAAAACTATCTAAATAAATAATTATTAATTTATCTAAATAATTTCATAATTCAAATCATTTGATATGTTATATACTATTTTATCAATTATTTTAATAAAGATATCCAATAATATCCTTTTTGGGAGATACTTAATATAATTATATTAATCTTATTGTTAAAAATTTCTCTTTATTTTTTATTATAAGTTTAATTTTAAGTCCAATTTAATATTAATCTTCAAAGATGATCAAATATTTATCTTTAGTTTGAATTTCATTCTAAATAATTAATAATTTGATAGAGAAGTTTAAAGCTTTCTTTCAAATTGAATTTCATTTAAAATGGTTTTAATTCACTAATATTTTTAGCTGATTTGGAGTTTCTCTTCTATTGAATTCAACGCATTAGGAAAATTAACATAATTCCCTCTTTACAGTTACTATATCATGTCTAATTATTTAATTTATCATACATCTGATTCATTTAAGTTTCAATATCTATTCCTTGTTTATAGCCAAGATACTGATTTTATTATTTATAAATTAAGGATCCATATAAATAAAAATAAAGATTTATTAATTAAATGAAGTAAAAGATATATAGTAAATCTTATTAAGTAAATAAACTATCACATTTTCAAAAAAGAAGGTAAATTAAATCCTTGCAATTTGGCAAATTATCTAAAGCTTAGCAATTGACCATCAGATTTGACGTTATCATTTTATTTAACTTAGCGTATTTTATTCATATTGGGTCTTTCATTTATTTGATTTAATAAATTATTTGTTGAATGTATTAAATTATTATTTTATTAATCACTTTCAGATTGCTTATTTAGTTTCATCTGCAATATAGAATTGATCACTTCATTATTGAACTATTAATTATATTCTATTTTTTTTAGATTCACTCTTTATAATGGAATTTTAATATCTGAGTTATTGATAACATGAGTGATTTATTTTTTAATTCCTTTTTTATTTGAATCTATTTAAGTAAGCATTGTTTCACTCTCTTTTTATCTTTATAATCGATTTATCATTGATTAAGATCTTAATTTAGTATCCTATCTTTCAGTTTATGGATGATTATCATAGTTCAAACTAATAAAATTGAATGAATACTTCTTTGATGAAATTGTATGAAGATATTTATTATTATTATTATTAATCTCAACTTATTGACTATTTGATTTAGCTTTAAAAAAGATTTATTGTAGAGAAACAGCTCTAATTTATTTTCTATTTTATATGATTGGAAGATCTGAATTCATTTATGAACCTTTATACTTCTGACTGCCTCCAACTAAATTATTCATTATTATAAATAATATATTGTTAATTATAATAAATATATATAATGATTATTAAGTAATAATAAATTTATTTGTTATAAAACTATTCAAATTATATTACATGTTAGAATTAGGATTTAAATAGGATATTTTATAAATAAAGATTAACTTAATATAATAATTACTTACAATAAATTTTAAATTCTGATTTATAATTATTCAATCTATTATAATACTCTCTTTTGTTAGGACAAATATATTATAACAATTGTATTAATTTTTATTTTATTTTGTTAGATTTACATTTATTTAATTATATAAAATATTGNTTCTATTGAATTCAACGCATTAGGAAAATTAACATAATTCCCTCTTTACAGTTACTATATCATGTCTAATTATTTAATTTATCATACATCTGATTCATTTAAGTTTCAATATCTATTCCTTGTTTATAGCCAAGATACTGATTTTATTATTTATAAATTAAGGATCCATATAAATAAAAATAAAGATTTATTAATTAAATGAAGTAAAAGATATATAGTAAATCTTATTAAGTAAATAAACTATCACATTTTCAAAAAAGAAGGTAAATTAAATCCTTGCAATTTGGCAAATTATCTAAAGCTTAGCAATTGACCATCAGATTTGACGTTATCATTTTATTTAACTTAGCGTATTTTATTCATATTGGGTCTTTCATTTATTTGATTTAATAAATTATTTGTTGAATGTATTAAATTATTATTTTATTAATCACTTTCAGATTGCTTATTTAGTTTCATCTGCAATATAGAATTGATCACTTCATTATTGAACTATTAATTATATTCTATTTTTTTTAGATTCACTCTTTATAATGGAATTTTAATATCTGAGTTATTGATAACATGAGTGATTTATTTTTTAATTCCTTTTTTATTTGAATCTATTTAAGTAAGCATTGTTTCACTCTCTTTTTATCTTTATAATCGATTTATCATTGATTAAGATCTTAATTTAGTATCCTATCTTTCAGTTTATGGATGATTATCATAGTTCAAACTAATAAAATTGAATGAATACTTCTTTGATGAAATTGTATGAAGATATTTATTATTATTATTATTAATCTCAACTTATTGACTATTTGATTTAGCTTTAAAAAAGATTTATTGTAGAGAAACAGCTCTAATTTATTTTCTATTTTATATGATTGGAAGATCTGAATTCATTTATGAACCTTTATACTTCTGACTGCCTCCAACTAAATTATTCATTATTATAAATAATATATTGTTAATTATAATAAATATATATAATGATTATTAAGTAATAATAAATTTATTTGTTATAAAACTATTCAAATTATATTACATGTTAGAATTAGGATTTAAATAGGATATTTTATAAATAAAGATTAACTTAATATAATAATTACTTACAATAAATTTTAAATTCTGATTTATAATTATTCAATCTATTATAATACTCTCTTTTGTTAGGACAAATATATTATAACAATTGTATTAATTTTTATTTTATTTTGTTAGATTTACATTTATTTAATTATATAAAATATTGTATTTTAATAATATAATTTTGGATGAATAATGAAAAGTAATAGTAATTTTTATTTGATATTATTTAAACATGAAAATATAAAGCACTGAATATAGAGTTCCATATTATTAAGTGTACAAAGGGAATTCTAAACATTGCTTAAAGGGAAGGGTAGTAATGGGATATTCTAGAATGATGTTTTTGTTTACATTCATTTACCTAAACGTTATTTCCTTATTATAATTATTCAGGATTGACCCTGATTAAAGATTATTCAATACAGAGATAGCTTTGATACTTTTGACTGATCTATTTATGATTTTAACTGTATTTAGGGATCCAGGGAGAATACCAAGAATTACCTCCTAATTTTAAAAAGTAAGTGATTAAAATGACTAAAGTATTCTGATTGTTACTTAATTCCACATAAGTAAAGGTATGGTGGCGAGTTTTTGATTGTAAATGAAAATAAAGTACAAGAATTAAAGTTTTGTGATCCTTGTTAGATTTACAAGACAAGATCAACAGCACATTGTAGAAGATGTGATAATTGTGTTGAAGGTTTTGATCATCATTGTTTATGGTTAGGATAATGTATTGGCTAAAGAAATTATTGTACGTTTTATTTGTTTATTTCTTTTTTAACAATAACATAAATATTTTGTATATGTGTACAAATAAAACATATACTATAATTATCAGATATGAGTAGAATAGAATTTATTATCTATTGTATTATGACATTTGGACTATTTGGATTTGCAACTTATTTATTCTTGATGCATACATACTTTATTTTAATAAATAAAACCACTTATGAATATTTGACAACAAATAGATTTGTAATAAATCACCATATGTTATATTTTTATTAAGGAGATGGAAGTTTATTACCAAGAAGATTAATTAGATTTACAAAAAGTATTTGGGAGAAATTATTAAAACCAAATAGAATATTATTTTAGTCTCTTAATAGTAAGGTAATAATTTTTGTATTTATTTAGATATATTATGATGTGCCATCATTTATAGAGCAATAAAAAAAGTAATAAAAAATATAATTTATTATAAATGATACTTTGGAGAAGATAATATTGGAAGATAAGACAAAAACTTATTAAAGTGAATTATGCAGTGATAAGAAAATGGTTATAAATCAAGAGTATTAATTTATTGTGAATTAAGGTTTTTAAAAGGGGATTCTGAATAAAATAGTGAATAATTAAATTAATTATCACATGAATGTTCTTAAAGAGGTGAATAAAAAGATTTAAAAATATATGAAATAAAAAAGTTATCTCATGTGAATTAGAAGGATCGAAGTATTAGGTAGACATAATCAGGTAGAAATAAACAATATGATAAATTGAATAAAGATTTCAATGAAATATAACTAATTGATAAACTTGACTGAGAGAATAATTGTTTAAGATATCACTTCAATGGTTTTAATTTATTAGAGTAATTCAATTTATTGTTTTTTGTATATCTTGACATTTATTTCTTTTTTTCCCATTCATAATTACTATGGAAAACAACCTTAAGATGGCTTTCTACATCCATATCAAAAACTATGTCTTTATTTCCAAATGGTCTATTGTATACACCAGCAATAGTTTATGTAGAGGATAGATGATGTAAATTTTTGGCAAGTGATTCAAATTCAGTTCTTGCCAATTGTTCATGTCTTACTTTCAATTATTAATTTTCATCAACTTCCACTTTCTTTAATTCTTCCAAAAAGTCTTAATTTTTAGTTTTTAAAAATTCCAAGTATGCTTTTCTGGTTGACCAATTGATATAATATTTTCTATAATGATATCCTCTAAAATGTCTTTAGATCTAAGTTGCATGATAACTGAAATATTTAATATTTCTTTCATTGTATCTAGAATCATTATTTCTTTTCATTAGCATTCTAGCTATATATCCACGAGCAAACTTTTGTATAATAACAGTTGACTATTTAATCAATTTAATACATATCTGATTTTTTTATATTTAACTCTTAATTTATGCATTTTATGCCAAGCTTAAATACCAGTTGAAGCCTTGATCTCTCTCAATCTATTTTCACCACTCAATTTAGCTTAATGGTAATATAATTCTATGATTGATTAGAAATTGTTCTAGATATGTTATTGGTATTACATTTTACAATTATTATAATTAATAATAAATATTAATATGTCTTTACATTAAGGACTTTAGTTTTATTCAACTGAAAAAATCTTAAATACAAAAATGTAAAATAAATTAAGGACTTTAATGGTTAAATTCTTAGAATTAAATAAAACACAAATTATTAATGTTTAATATTAGATAATCATCAAATTCAGAAGAGGAATATATTGCTAAAGTATTAGCTGCATTTCTTAAGATTCGATAATAAGAAGAAAAATCTATTTCTTTACAAATAATAGGAAATCAATCTATTATAAAATCTTAAATTAGAATAGTAAAATATGGAAAAATAGATCGATTGTAATCTAAAATAAGAATAACATAAATCTAAAGAAAAACCAATTAAAACTACTAAACCTTAAACAACCATTGAAAATAAAGGGGATAAATATTCAGAATATGGAATATTTTAGAATGGGGCTTTTGTATGTTTAAAGTGTTAAAGCAGAGTGAAAAGAACATAAGATTTACTCAAACATTGGACTATGTAACATGGGAGATAAGTAATACCTAGAAGAAAAAGAACCATTATTAATGAAGATACTTAATGTATTAAAAAGATATCCTAAGAGACTTACAAATTAGAGTCTTAATCTGATTTATGAATTCTATATATATAAAATAAAATATATCATAAATTTAAATAAATAACAGATGTCAGCTAACTAAACTCTTTACAATTAATAATGTTCCAATTCAGAACATAGAGCACAAATAACTAATTATTGTGCCTGTATTGACTGTCTAAGACCTCTATGTCCAGAGTGCATCTAAGAACATTACTAATATCATATTTAAGCTAAAACACAACCTGCAATCTAAAGTATTCTTAATACAAGAACTAATTGTGAAAGAAAAATTGCAAAAGCAATTGAATAATTGAGAAAAGTAATAAAATAATATTTCATTTAAGGAATATGAGTAATGTGACATTCAGTAGATTTTTAATCCTGATGAGATACTTAATCATGAAATATCCAGAATGAATGAAGCCAAAGAATAAATGTTTGAAATTATAACAATCTTTTTTAAATAATAAGAAAATCTACTCGAAACCAAAGTTAAAGAAAATCAATTAAAAGTTAAATTATAAATTATATATCCAGGTTAGAAACATAGGAGGTATATTTTAAAAAATAGAAACTGTTATTGAATAATTAGAAATTTTAAGAAATAGTCTTCTGACTAGTTCTGATCCTTTCTTATATTTTCATAAAGCATGTAGATTAGATGTTAAATCTTTACTTGATCGTTATAAATCTGATTTAAAGAAATCAATTAAATCTAAAGAATTAGGTAATAATATAATTTATTTATTAGATCCTATAAATGTTCATATTGATGAACATAAATTATTTAATCTTAAAAATGAATTAAGTAAAATTGTTATTATTCATACAAATGATATTGAAGATTCAGGGGATAATGTTTCTGTTTTATCTAAAAACAAAGATTAAAGCATTAATTATAGTATACAAGGTCATAATGGTCCTTAAATGAATAATGCTTAAAATGAAAATATTCATTTTTTATAAAAACAAAGCAAACAATAAATGAGTAATGTTGGAGATATTGATGATCCTTTATAAGGAACTATGACAAATCATGAATTTTCTATTGTAAGACCTAACTATTTCCAAGGCCAATTAAAATTCTTACATTTTATGATAAATAGATCAAAAATAATGAAGATCGCAGATTTATAAACAAAACAATGGTTGACTCTTTAAATTGATTATTAAGTTCCAGCATTTCATAAATCAATAGTTACTCCTAATGGTGATGTCTATATTTCTGGAGGATTGACTGATTAGAAAGATAATATCAAAGAATCAATTATTAGAAAATATACATAAGATGGTCAGATATAGTAAATTGGAAGATTAACATATCCCAGATCCTCTCATTCAATGGTCTATTGTAATCAAGCCATATATTTTTTGTGTGGCTATTTAGATCATAGTAAGATTACTTCAAGTATGGAAAAGTACAATATTCAGACATAAAAAATGGAATTATGTTCTCCTTGTTATAAACCTGCTAATTAACCAGGTTGTTGTACTTTCAATGACAGATATATTTATAAGTTTGGTGGAAATGATGAAAATGGATAGATCCTATTTATTATTGAAAGGTATGATACTTTTACAAACAAATGGGAACATATTAATCCAAAAATTGATTCATTGGAATCTTCCAAATTTTTAACTACCTTTTTAACTTCTGCTTGTGTCCAAATTAATTAAACTAACATATACGTCTTTGGTGGTTATGAAGAAGATGATAAAGGAGTCTCATTCTCATTCCTCTTAAACGTAGGCTAAGATAAGCATACAATTCATTAAGTAAATGTTAGACCTTTATTATATCCTGAAGGATTTTGGAACAACTAAGTAAATACATTTATTTTATAATTAGGTGATTATCCATGATCATAAACTATATGTATTATAAAACATAGAGGTTGAAGGTAATCAAATTGATGAAAATAATAGATCCCTATTATGTTTTGATGGATATAAATGGAATGAATTATAATATTAGATTTCTTATTGAATTATAATTTAATTTATTATAAATACATATATTAATCAGTTATATACAATTAAATAATTTCCTGATAATTTTATGTATATCTTATTGTCTTGTTGAAATAAGTTACAAAAATATTATAATCAATTAGATTTTAATTAATAAAGAATAAATTCATTTATAATTAAAATGATAATCATCAAGAACTTTCCTATTGCTATTTACTTTTTGCTGATCCACTTACAAATTTAGCCTCAAATTCTTTTGGAGGAAGACTTTAAGCTAAATTAACTTTTTCCTTAGTTTAATTCTCTCTCTATATTGTCTACTGTAAATAGGATAATTCTTGTTATTCAATTTATTCTAACTCTCTTATTTTTTAATCTTAATCAATTTTCTCTTTGATAACTTTATCTTTTTCTAATTCTACATCATATCTAATCTTATCTCTTCTATCTTTCAATTAATTTAATGTATTTAAGTTAGATTGCTTTTCCTCCCATTTACCTTAAATAACTTTATTCCTAAATGTCTCCTGATCCATGCTTCTCTATAATTTTGTTTCCTTAAGATCATGTTTATGCCAATCCCTGAATTCTTTCACTTCAGTTTTTTTCCTTATTAACATTTCAGACTTTATTTTTTTCAATGTCTCTCTTTAAGCTCTTGAGACACTCAATGAGAAAGGTGAAGGAGCCTCTACTTTTTATCTTATTTTCTCTTCTTTCTAAAATATTGAATTTTAAAATTTCATACTTTTATCTGTAATTCTAATCTATGTCTATAAATTTGTTCAGCCTTTTAATCTTCTGACTATATTTTTTTTAGTATTTTCTCTCGTTCTTATCTAATTTAATCAATTCTATTTTTTATTTTCATAGCTTCTTCTTCTGCATTCTTTTTTTCAACATAAGTGGTAAACAAACTCTTATTACCAATTTTTGGTAACTCTCCTGACATTAATATAATATTATTATTATTTCTATAAAAATAAGTGATGCAAGTGATTTTTGCATTACATTACAAATAAAATATACAAAATAAATATCACATGAGTTTTTATATTTATAGTGGTAATTCTAAAGAGGTTTCTAAACTGCATATTTCTGACTTTACTGAATGTTTACGAAAATTTTTGTCATCAAATTATTTATCAAATGGGATTTGCTGATAATTTTTTTAATGGGATAATTTTCTACTTAGAATAGTTGATTAACTGTTCTATGAGTTAAGTTTCTTTCCTATATTTAAGAATAATGGGCATTCAGATATCATTTTATCTTATGATCCTTTCAATGCCATTAACATCGATTTTAATTATCTATTCTTTGTTCCATCTTATGCTGTATATAAGGCTTCTTTTCTTTCTCTTTATCTTTGAATTTTTTTCAATTTTAATTCCCTATCAAATTCCAATTAATCTTAATCAAAATCCTTTATTAAGATCTATTAAGTATTTCTAATCATACGAATCATTTAAGAAGCATACTTTTTATATTCTTTATTTTATTGATTTAATTTCAAAACAATCTAAAATATTATGATTTCATTTACATTATTTTTATTTGGAGATTGAGATTTAGATTAGGTATTTTCTGAAATTTCTTTAAAATTAGTCTATGAAATTGGAGAGATTAATAATTAATCTTTAACTTTTAATGAATTCTTTTGATCACCTTCTTCTAGTTCTTAGTCTAATTCAAGTATACATTAATTATGGATTGAACCTTAAGATTAATATTTTCTATTAATGTCTGGTTAAGTATAATTAATATCTAAAAGTTCTAAAAATTATTATAAACTTTAATACTTTTTACACTCAAAGTCTCTTCGATTTTGCATAGTTGCTTCAAAGGGGATAAAGAATATTTTGTTTCTATGTTTGTATCTTTCTATTCAGTTAAAGAAATATTCTGTGAAATCTTCGAATGGGACATATTTGAATCTCCTTGTATCGTAGAATTTACTTGAAGGTACTTTCTAATTGAATAAGCCTTATCTAGCTATAATTCTTTGTTTCTTTTCACCTTTCTGTTATTGACTTTATTCTATAAGTGTTATGAAAAAAGATAATTAGAATTTGTGATTGATCCTTTTTAAGGGGATTCTGTGGTTTTTAAATAAATGGCTGGAAAATATTATTGCTGTTTTTTCTGGGGAGATAAAGATATTTGTGAATTTTAGGATTAACTCATTTTTAATTCTTAATTGAATTAAATTATAAATAATTAAGGTGAGAATATAAAGATATCATTAACATTTATTAATAGTGTTTTGATCTTCATATAAAGATTTCTAATAATTTTGTGATTTCTTTTGTAAATACTTAAGTATTATATTAAAAATTATACAATCTCTTGATGTTTAATTTATTCTTGTTATTTTAATATCAAATTAAATTAATTTTCTCATTCTTTTGTAGATTCATAATTAAATAGATTAATCTTTTTTTATTACATTATTAATCTTAACGATTTTATTATTTCTTGTTTTTTTTCTTCACTTCCTTTATTAATATTTCTTATTTATATTAATTAATCTTTTTGGTTACTTTTAAAAATGTATCGACCTTTTTTTTAATTTAATAATTTTTGTAGTAATATTGATCTATATATTAATTAATTAATTAAATTAATAATATTCTTAATCTTATCTTTATATATATATATAAAAATAATTCTGCATATGTGCCAATTAATTTTCTTGTTCTTTTTATTGCTTTCATATCATATTTATGATATTAAATTATGTCCTTAGTTATTATTAAACTTTTGTTTTCATTCNACCTTCTTCTAGTTCTTAGTCTAATTCAAGTATACATTAATTATGGATTGAACCTTAAGATTAATATTTTCTATTAATGTCTGGTTAAGTATAATTAATATCTAAAAGTTCTAAAAATTATTATAAACTTTAATACTTTTTACACTCAAAGTCTCTTCGATTTTGCATAGTTGCTTCAAAGGGGATAAAGAATATTTTGTTTCTATGTTTGTATCTTTCTATTCAGTTAAAGAAATATTCTGTGAAATCTTCGAATGGGACATATTTGAATCTCCTTGTATCGTAGAATTTACTTGAAGGTACTTTCTAATTGAATAAGCCTTATCTAGCTATAATTCTTTGTTTCTTTTCACCTTTCTGTTATTGACTTTATTCTATAAGTGTTATGAAAAAAGATAATTAGAATTTGTGATTGATCCTTTTTAAGGGGATTCTGTGGTTTTTAAATAAATGGCTGGAAAATATTATTGCTGTTTTTTCTGGGGAGATAAAGATATTTGTGAATTTTAGGATTAACTCATTTTTAATTCTTAATTGAATTAAATTATAAATAATTAAGGTGAGAATATAAAGATATCATTAACATTTATTAATAGTGTTTTGATCTTCATATAAAGATTTCTAATAATTTTGTGATTTCTTTTGTAAATACTTAAGTATTATATTAAAAATTATACAATCTCTTGATGTTTAATTTATTCTTGTTATTTTAATATCAAATTAAATTAATTTTCTCATTCTTTTGTAGATTCATAATTAAATAGATTAATCTTTTTTTATTACATTATTAATCTTAACGATTTTATTATTTCTTGTTTTTTTTCTTCACTTCCTTTATTAATATTTCTTATTTATATTAATTAATCTTTTTGGTTACTTTTAAAAATGTATCGACCTTTTTTTTAATTTAATAATTTTTGTAGTAATATTGATCTATATATTAATTAATTAATTAAATTAATAATATTCTTAATCTTATCTTTATATATATATATAAAAATAATTCTGCATATGTGCCAATTAATTTTCTTGTTCTTTTTATTGCTTTCATATCATATTTATGATATTAAATTATGTCCTTAGTTATTATTAAACTTTTGTTTTCATTCTATAATTGTTTCAAATAAAATTAAAATTAAGTATAATAATAGTTGTAATAATATCTAATAATATCTTTTTCTTTAATTGAATAATTTATTTATATTGTCTATCATATTAGATTAAATTATATTTAGATTATAATATTTTATGATTTTATCTATTATAGATATAATACTTATTATAAATATTTTATCTAATTTGTTAATAAGACTTCTTAATATCTTAAATATTTGTTTTTCATTTGTTATTTTAATTAAATGATAAAAATAAATAATCTAAATGATAAAGAATATTTCACATACCTCAAAATTGTCAAGGAAACATTAATATTTATTCTTCCTAATTTTGCAGAATATGAGGAACACTTCCAATAATTAAAAGTGATAGTTGGAGATATTCGAATATTGATTTTACAATTGACAAATTGGATGATTTTTTATTACTCTGATGTAAAGGGAGAACCTAATTAATTTAGTTTAAATATAAGCAATACATTATAACCTTAATTATAAAATTACTTTATTCGTAAAAGTGATCTATAAGGAATGCAAATTTATTTTAAGGAATAATAATTAGATAAATTAGAAAATCTGATCAGAAACAGAATATTTTAGTAGTAAAAAGAAAATGTTTTAGTGAGGATAGTAGAAAATCGAGATATGTCAATTTTGATATATAGTTATTTGAAACGAAGAGATATGATTAATTTGGAATTAAGTTGTTTTAATATTAGAGATCTCTTCATAGAGAACAATTATTGGTATTAATTGTATAAGAGGAAATATGGTTTAACTGGATTCAAATTAGATAGTTTTAGTTGGAAAAATAAATTTCTTTTGTAAATGAAACCTTGATATAAATAATATTCATATTATGTATATATAAATATATCTTGAAAATATTTATTATTATACTGATTATATAGATAGATGTGATGTTGTTATTAATCAAACAAAATTTGATATTTATATTTATATATAATAGTGAATAATTAGATCTTGTAATAAATATTTTAATGAATTGCTTAACACATAGTGGTGTTTTTAAATCATTATGGACTCGTCCATTATATAGAGCAGGCAATTTGTATACTTGGGGTGTTCACAGTTTAGGATGTGGAATCAATCAAGATTCATAAAGTGATCAATTAAGACCAAGGAGAATTGAAGCTTTTAATGGAAATGTTTAAAAAGTATATCCAAGTGAATACTTTACAGCTGTGATAACAGGTATTGATATATAAATAAATTATAAGATAATGGTGATTTGTATACATTTGGTAACAATAATTATGGACAATTGGGATTGGGTAATACTGAATAATAATAAACACCATAACTTGTTAAATACTTTAGAGATAAAGGATTAAAGGTTATAGATGTTGCATTAGGATCAAATCATGGAGTAGCATTGGCTTGTAATAAATATATATAATATTACAGCTGATGGAAATATTTATACATGGGGAAGTGCAAATAATTCAATTTTAGATTAATTATTATGCAAACCTAATGGATTAGGTGATAATTATACTAATAATCTTCTTTAACCATAAATTGTATAGAAATTGGTAGGAACACCAAAAGGTAAATTTGTAAGTGCTGGTATTAACTACTCAATTGCAGTAAATGAAAACAATTAAGTCTATGTATGGGGAGCTGGTAAAAGAGGAGAACTTGGTAATGGATGCAGTTTGAATTTCAGATATCCTGAATTGAATCCTATTTTTGAATAATTAACTAAATCTGGTTATACAATCTAAAAGATAAAGTCATGTTTTGCTGGAACTTTGGCATTATTAAGTAAGTACTTATAATTAATAATTATTTTAAGATGAAGGAATTGTAGTAGGATGGGGAAGAAGTTATTATGGTTCTTTAGGTGTCAGATAATAAGAATATGTTGTTACAGATTTAGTATTAATCAAATCATTATTTATTAGGAAAATTATTCTCCAACTCCAGTCAATTTGAAATATTTCTAACCAAATGAAAAGGTTGTAGATTTCGATTTAGGATATAATCTTTCTCTCTTCTTAACTGATTAGAATAGAATTTATTTATCAGGTTATGATGAGACCTATGTACCAAGACCTATCGATCTTCCAAGAGATGAGAAGATTCTTAAATTCTCTGCTTCTAATAATAGCTTTGCAATTTTAACAGGTATGTTAATGCATATTATTTATTTTAGATAAAAACTTCTACACTTCCAATGAATATGTAATTCCTTAATAAAAAAGGAATTTAGGATTCTTGTTCAAAAGTCAACCAAAAGAATTATTTGAGTCTACTAATATTGAACAATTTGGAGGAGGATATAGAGTCAGATATGCAGTAGTAAATAATTGATATAAATGCCTACATCTAAATCAATATAAAATAAAACATTATTCTTTTTTATTTGGTATTATTACGAATAAAATTTGAAAAAAAAATCAAATAAATTAAAAAGGATATAATTTAATGGGTAAATAATATGCAAGAGAACCTGCTGTTGCTAAAAAATCAGCTAAAGCCAAAGCAAGTGATTTGAGAACTCATTTTAAGAATACTTATGAAGTAGCTAGAGCAATTAAAGGATAAACACTTGCTTAAGCACTTAAATATATGCAAGACATTCTTTAACATAAGAGATGTGTTCCTTTCACAAGATTTAATGGTGGTGTAGGAAGAACAAGTTAAGCTAAAGAATTCGGCAGATCTCAAGGTATTTAAATTGAATATTTGATTTTTAGGTAGATGGCCAGAAAAGAGTGTTAGAATGGTATTATCTCTCTTATAAAATTTGGCAGCTAATGCTTAAGTCAAAAATTTGAGTAATGAAAAATTGATTATCAATCATGTCTAAGTTAATAGAGCTTAAAAGGGTAGACGTAGAACATACAGAGCTCATGGAAGAATCAATCGTAATTTAATTATTTATATTTTCAAGCTTTCTTATCATCAAATGCTCATATTGAAATTTGGGCTTCAGAAAGAGATGAAAATGTTAAAAAAGAAGCTAATAATAAGGTTGTTGCTCGTTAATCAAGAAAATAAGCTGCAAGATCTAAATTAGCTATTGGAGCATGAGAATATATTAATATAAGTATATTAAAATAAATAAATTGAACAATTAATAAATCTATTTATTTATTCATATTACTCAATTCTATAATGCACCCAAAGTTGGGAAATCATTTTAATCAATTGGATCTTATTTAACATATTATTTGGGTGTTTTTTAGACTATGCTTTTTGGAACCAATTAATATTACTATTATGTTTCCCCTTTTTAAAAGTATTGCTAATATTATAAATCAAATCATTACATTATTTTATCTATTACCATTTTTTCTATCAAATCTTCCTTTAACTCTTGAATTCTTATAATCTTCATTATCTTAAACATCTTATTATCCATAATTTTATCTTCCTCTCCCTTTATTACTATTTTGATAACCTTTATCACGTCCATCAATATCTTCTTCATAATCATCATATTAATGTGATTTCTTATTCTATATCATTGTACATTTCTTCAAATTTATTTACTTATGAAATTCATCCAAGTAATCAACACTTAACATCATAACAGAATCAATTTGCAATTTAGATTTATTAGACATCAAATATGTGAATATCTCATCTGCACATTATTCACTTTAACATGTCAATGTTAATTTAATTAAACTTTTATCTGCTTAATAAATTTCTTCTTCAAATTATAATTATTCTCTATTCTATCTATTATTTCTAAGGGATTCCTTTATATTATTAATATTGGATGCACCTGATTTTATTAAAATTCTCTTTCTTTCACTACGAAAATAGGGTCTAATTAACAATAGGCCATGATCAAAGTTCCATAATTAATTATTATACTTCTTCAGTATCTATATTTATGTATTAAATCATAATCATACAGCTGTTAAGATAAGATGATATTATTTTCTATCATTCTATTCATTTTGCACATATTGATTCTTTATTGAATTTTCCCTTTATACTACAACATATTATAGTAAATAATGATCTGGTTTTGTAATATCTGTTTCAAATTTTCTTACTAAATATTCATTATTTAACAAGTTCTCATATTTGAATAGCTCAATCATCTATAAAATTTAGTATCAATCATTACAGCTTTTTCCAATCTTGAGTATTGATCTTCATACTAAAACAATATTCAAACTATCTTACCTTGTCTGATAAATTTTATGGGGAAATCATATATATATATATTAAAAATAACTTTTAATTTATTTTTCTAAAAATACAAAATATATAACAGATATCTATTTGTATAAAAAAAATAATAAAAAAGAAATAAAAAAATAAAATAATCATTTCTTCTTTTTTTTGGCTTTTAGTTTTGCAGCCTTAGCCTTTGCAACTTATAAATCTTCATATTTTTTTTTAACATAGTCTACATATTTACACATTCCACTATCATCTGGATCCATCTCCTTTAAAATATCCTTTACATCTTAAGCAGTCATCTTTTCTCCCATTTCTATTAATATATATCTCATTTCAGCTGTTTATATAGTACCAGTATTATCAATATCAAATACACGAAATGACTAATGAAATTTAAATGTATTTATATACTGCCATTAATTCATCAATAGTATCATCATCTTTGACTGCTTTTGTTAAAATTTTCATCATTTACAAGAAATCAATTGTACCTGTAGATTCAGGATCCAATTCTTTCATATAATTGTCTAACTCTTCATCAGTAGGATCTTAACCCAAATATTTTAAAATATTAGCTAAAAAATATAACTTATAATTAATAGTACCTAATTCCTTGGTTGATACAGTGCCTTTATTATCTGTATCAAACTAATCGAAAGCTTCTTTAATGTCTTTCATTCTCTTTTCAGCAGGATCCATTGTAATGATGTTTGTTTAAAGAATAAATTAATAATAATTATTACAAAAATAATTAGAGAAATAGAAATATTTCATATTAAAATAGTCTTCTTTTATTATAAATTCTAGAATATTTCGAACACATCACTAATATTAAAATTAATATCTATATGAAAGGCATCTGCTGCTTACTTATTTTTTCTCTGGTAGCCACTTAATGTTTTGGTCTGTATGAAGCAGATTCAAAGGTTGTGAAACTCACAAAAGACAATTTCAAGACATTAGTACTTGAATCAAATGAACCATGGATGGTTGAATTCTATGCTCCATGGTGTGGACATTGTAAAGCCCTTGCTCCAGAGTACAATAAGGCAGCAAAAGCCTTGGATGGAATAGTGCATATTGGAGCTTTGGATATGACTACTGATGGTGAAGCTGGATAACCATATGGTGTTAATGGATATCCAACTATAAAATATTTTGGAGTAAATAAGGCAGATCCAATAGCTTATGAAGGTGAAAGAAAGAAAAATGCAATAGTTGATTACTTATTAGATAAAGCAAGAGAATTTGCATTAAATAGATTGGGCGTAGAGATAAAACCAGAACCTTCAAATGATGATTCAAAAGTTGTTGTTTTGACAGATGCCAATTTCAATGAATAAGTGAATAATAGTTAAGAAGCTTGGTTTGTAGAATTTTATGCTCCTTGGTGTGGTCATTGTAAATAACTATAACCTGAATGGAATAAATTATCTCATTAAGCTGATATTCCAATTGCTAAAGTAGATGCAACAGCTTAAACTGAATTGGCAAAGAGATTTAATATTGAATCATATCCAACCATTTATTTCTTCCCAGCTGGAAACAAATAAAATACTCATAAAAAGTATGAAGGAGAAAGAAATGCAGCTGCATTATTAAAATATATTAAAGAATAGAAGCCAGTAGATGGATAATCTTAACAGTCTGTTTCTGATGTTGTTAATATTAAATCTGATGAAAGTTTAAATTAAGTTTGCAAATGTATCAATATTCTCCATAATAAAAGAACTCTGTGTCTTAGGATTCTTACCAACTGATAAAGTCGAATAAGAAGATGCAGTCTAAGTATTAAAGAAGGTATAATGATTCCTCTATTATTTTAGGCTGCTTTATCTCTAACTGGAAGAGCTAACATTGGTTGGTTCGTCGGAGAACAATTCGATGATTTCGAAGCCGAACTCAATGTAATTGGTGAAGGGTATAATATTTTATTAAATAAATTAGATATCCTTAAGTTGTTGTTTTAGATTTGAGTGCTAAAAAACACTATAGATTTAGAAGACAATTGAATGTTGATAATTTGAATGAATTTGTTAGGGGAGTCATCAAGAAAACTGAAACTGGATAATCATTCTCTAATTTACCTAAATTGAATGCTCAAAAAACAGATTTGTGATGTATATTATTAAGTCAAAAATATTTAGTCATTCTTAAAGCATTTTTCAATATTTATATAATTTATTATGTTACTTGTAATTTCTCTATTGCTGCTCCATAATGTATATTCAAATTTTGTTACTTGTCCTTAACTATATACTAGTAGATAAACATGTGAATCTTAAAAAGGATGTATTTTCTATGATTGGAAACAATCAAGTAATAAATTAATCATAATTTTAGCATGTTATTATGATTGTCCATCTTATCCACAATAAGAATGTATTTTATTATTTAATTGTAAATGGGTGGATTAAGAATGTTAATTCAAAGCTTGTTTAGATTATTCAGAATAAGGTAAATTATTTAATTTTATTAATAGGACCTAAGACATGTTCTAATACTCCTGGATGTAATTGGTATTGGAATAAATGTAGATAATAGGATTGTCAAAATATTGGAGCATCTACTTAAGCTGCATGTTCAAAAACTTATTGTGTTTGGGATGAAATTGAAACTAAATGTATCAATAAGGCTTGTGCTGATTATAAAAAATCTATTTGTCAATAATTAACTCAATGTACTTGGAGTTCTGAAACTTGCACAGATGCAGTTTTCTCTAATTATGGACAATTTTTAATGACTTTATTGATAATATTATTATTAGATTGAATTAAATATTACAATTAATACATCTGTTTTTATGTTGATGATTATATTTCTTCAATTATTTGAAATGAAAAATATAAATAATGCAAAATATTGATATATTCAGCACTAAGAATAGAAAATCAGATGTAAGTGATGTAAGTGCTTTTCAGTCTACAAATCATAAGACTATGTTACTTGAAATGTCATTACCAAAAATTAATATAATTGTGCATTCATTTGAACCTAAATTGAAGAATTTGATTAAAGCAGATGGAGATTAAACAGATGTAAATCCTGAAACAGAAAGACTTTCTAAAGCATAGAAACAAAGATTAGATATGTTCAAAAATGAAATTGTTAAAGGTTAGAAAACTCACAAGATTACATTTAGAGATCAAATATCTGGATAATCTCTACATTAAATTAAGTACTTTTATAAAGAACCTGAAGAAGATCTTGATGAATGTTGTCCTTGCAATATTTTTTGATTTAAGAAATTTGTTCTTTTTTGTATTTGAGTCTTGAATAATTAATTTACTTTTTATCGAATTTTTTATATTCTTAATTAATTATCTAATTAAATCATATAATATATATATATAATCAATATTATAAAAATTTGTGACACATTAACAATCCTAATAAATCCCCTTTTTCTTTAACAAAATTCTTATTGTTAGGATCATTGTAATAATCTTCAAAACATTTATTTCCTTCTGCAAATTAAATTCCACTTATAAATAATAAAATTTATTGAGATGAGTATTCAGGATGAGATTACATTCCAAATATTCTTAAATCTTCAGAAATGAATATTTCATTTTCAGCTGTTTTAGATGATCCATAATTAATAAATTTTTCAGGTAATTTACTAACAATATCACCATGAGCTTTATTAATTATTAACTTATCATTTTAAATTAATTCTTTGAAACATTCAATTTAAAAAAAATCATTCTTAATTGTAAGTTTCTCATTTCCATAATAGTAAAACCCTTTATGTTTAATTCTATTTTTGCATGGTACAACAATTCCTCCAAATGTTTAAGCAAGTAATTAAAATCCAAAACAAATACCCATAAATTTTATATCAGAGTAATTTTCATATACATTCAATATAAAGTTTTATAAACTACGAATCCAAGCTTTTTCATCATAGACAGAGCTTGTGCTGCCTGGTATTATTATTACATTAGTTTACTTAAGAATCTCTTCATCTGGATAACTTCCTTAAGTTACATTATAACATAACCATCTTTCTTATTTTCTTCTATATATTCCATTAAATAAACCAATAGTATCAATATACATTTTTGGAGCATGATACCTTCCTTAATCAAAGTCTTTCACACATAAAAATATGATAGTTCGATTATATTTTAAGTGTTAACCCTCTAGTATAACTTATTCAATTGTATGTTTTTCATTCAATTCTCTTCTATTATTGAAATTAAAGTAAATCAAATCCTAATCTATTAATTCAATTATATAATATGTATGATCTTCTATTTCCCATATTGGTGCAGTTGTAAAGAAACGAGTCCAAAGGTAAAAATGTGGATTCCTATATATTTCTAGTTCCTAAGATATTAAAGAAAGAATTATACTCGAATATAATTATAACTGTCCTTAGTTTATTAATAAGCTTCCCAATTTATTATTTTCTCAAAGTTATGATGTTTATTTAAACTAGTTTTTGTAATATCTATTGATCCAAATTATTTAATAATTAGCTTTGCTGCAGCTATTGCACAAGAATTTCCATCTGATTCCAATACTGTACAGTTTTAATTTTACTGAGAATTTATAAGCAATTGCTGACCTTTATGGAAGATGAGGCTGACTTTTATTTACATTTTAAAGTATTATTAATGATTTTGAGTAATGTCAAATGAGTTTAGAATTCAATATTTCACGCTAATTGCTTACGAATTACGTTTTGACAATTATCAAATGAATAAATATTATTTACGTATTTCGTTACGAATTAAATTAACAATTATTAATATCATTCTTATAAATAATTAATTTTTATTATAAAAATATTTTCATATAAATAATATTCTATATTTAGTAGTTTCTTATTCATTAAAAGTATAATTCAATATATAAAACTTTGATTATTGTTTTTTATTGATTAAAAATAAATTTTCGAATATTATATATCTAATATATTAGTTTTGAGCAAATAAATTAAGATCTTTTTGTTTCATTAAAATAATTACATGTATGCATTTATTTGATTATATTTAAATTTAAGTCATATCTTCATTTTAAACTATTATAAATAAAGAACCAAGCATATAGTTATTTAAAATAAATAATTCAATTAAAAATTAAATAAAATTGCAAATTACTATTTAATAACAACAAAAGATATTGAAATTTAAATGATTTTATTTCAAATAGGATTCTATTATTATATTTCTTGATATGTTATAAGTTTCTTAAATTTTTCATTTTCTTAATGTTTGATCATAGCTTCCTTTACTTCATAATAACTAAAAAATCTTAATTAAATACTTAGATAATAATTATAATCTTGAATCATCAATTGTAATTTTTGATACTCCATCGATAGTTTAAAGATATTACTGTCCTTTATAAGACTTTAATTCTAAATTCTAAAAAAATACAATCTAATAAGGAGTGAATTTAAATTCTAAAAATGTATTCCATAATGTAATAGATGCTAAATATCCATCTTAATCCATAACCTCAATTTTAACAAAATCAAAATATTTTCTACATTTTTAACTCAAAATTTTTGTTCTATCAAATTATTAAATTACTATTGCTAAAATATTAAAATATGTCTTTATTTCTGTGTTCTATTAAGGTTGTTCAAATAATTAAAGTTGATTAATTAATGATTAATTGGATTAATTTATATCTAGAGTATTGTTCTGTTATTCTTATTTAAGCTATTAAGTTTATTACATTTAATCTTCTGGAGGGTATGAAGTGATTTTACCTTTCTATATCATAATCTATAAATTTTTTTAATAATTTATAGATTCCTTTATTTGTACTCCAAAAAGATAGTAGACTTCATTATTTTTGAATTAAGGATATTCAACTTCATTTCCTATGAGACAGGTACATTATTAACCATAAGGATCTTTAAATTCTACTAATTTTTGATTTTATATAAAATCTTCATTAAGAATCTTCTTAAACTTTAAAGCTATTTAATATAATTAATGTTATCGTTTAATGTCTTTTAAACCTTTTGCTTTTTCAAGATTATTAGTATTATAAATACGATTTACATATTGATTTTGATCTTTATTATTTTTGGAAAAAAATTCTGAAATTCTATTGTAATTATTTGAGCATTTTTAATTATTATTTTTTGAAATCCCTTCATGATATTAAAATTAAGCATATTCTTCTTAATCTAAGAAGTTAGAATACCTTTTTTATTTCATTTTTAGATATTTATATAATAAATTATTATGTATATTAATTTTCATAAGCATTTCTATTTGAATTATAATATCTTTTCTATTAATGAGTTTATAAAATTAAGTCATTAATAGAAATCAATAAAATTATAAGAATAACACTTGTTTGGATTGATATTAAAAAGAGTATAATAAAAATATGTAATAAATATAATAGATAGTTTAATAGAATCAAATTGTTAATAATAATAATAATAAATTTTATATATATATATATATATAAACCCAAATTATCTAAATTCATTGTTTATGTTTTTTTTTATTCTTTTTCTTTTGAGGTTGTTCTTTATTCTAATCAGATTATTATTATTAATCTTGTTATTCTTATTTTTGTATTCTGTATTATTTTTGTTCTTACTATAGGATATTTTATTCTATAGATTAAACAATTGGTTATGTAATAATGTGATTATATTACAATTATTATTCATATTTCTTTATTTTACTACCTTATTTACCTGCAATTTTGAATCCAAATAATGTAGGTTCAAAATCTACTTAGATTTAAGTATCTGGCAATAACTAAAACTTTGGATGAAGATCTGGATAGGTCTATATCTAAATATTTAAATGATTAACCATTAATAAAAATTGAGGAAATGATTTTCCAAAATATGCTCCATCTATATCAGCACATTTCTTTTTAGGCATGTAAATTTCTTCACATCTTGGACAAAATACCTAATTACAATATGATGAAGAACTTTGATTCTAGCAGTTTTGAGATCTTCACATAGTCCTATAGGTATCACATTCTGTTTTTCACAATATATTCGAGGACAATGACCAAATTTTCCTTATAAAAATCGTTCACGCATTATTGCAGATCCTTTGGATGTAAATATGAATCGAGCATGTAATAAACCATAAATGTCAGATGCCTCTTAATAAACTTCTAAAAATCTTTTGTGATGTAATATAAGAAAAACCTTTCATCTTCTAAGTCTTAATCTTCAGGTGAAGTAGGCTATAAGATCATGCTAATGGCTTCACTAGAATTATTAGTTATCATCAATACTTAAAGAAATTGAATTTTCCTTTGATTCCAACTTAATTAAAAGGATCACTAATAAAATCATCATCAACTTCACATAAGAATTGATGATCCTCATGTGCGCAAAACCATTCTATCCAACCTCCTGGATGTTCTGAATATTATGATTCCTCTTCCTATAAACTTTGATGATTTACCAGACATCTTCCAAAAAATTTAGTTAAATAAAAAGATTTTTATAAATGATAATATTTGGATAAAATATTTTTTTATTCCATCTGCTAGCCATATAATTGAAATGACTTTTAAATTAAAAATTTGTTTAAATTAATATATATAAATGGTCCATCAAATATGTTTCATCTGTCTAAATTTCTCTGATAGTACTAATGTCTTTTAATATTTTCTTCTATTCTAAAAATATTGATTAGCCTCTAATTAATTATTGAAATATATTACAATCTTCATAATCTTCAGATTATTATGATTCCAATAGTTTATCAGATAATTCATCATATTTTTCACAAATTTATTAGAATTAGAAATTCACCTTTGAATTTTAAAATCGTTCACTTAATGTCCTACTTCTATTTTATAATTAAAAATAATTCTTTTTCTCTTCCTCAAAGTAATTAATTCTAGAAACTAATCTTTCTACTCTAGTTTTAATTTCTTAATCATTTGCCTCTATCAAACCTAAATTTTCATCTTTTTCTATTTATACCAGCAATAATCTCATTTTATTAAACATATTATAACATTCTCTCCTTTAAAGTTCTTAATTCTTGAATTTATGGTAATAGATTCATTAAAACTTATTATTTTTCATCAGAATTTATCCATACTTGATATTCTGATACTTAAAGACCTGGTAACATTTAAGAAACTGGCATATTTTTAATTCTATTAACAAATTCATCTACATGGAGAGAAGTCACAAAATCACAATAATCTTTTACTATTGGACTGTACTTATATTGATAAAGTGTACTTTGAGAGTAGTTTCAACTGCAGTTCCAATTAATCTTAGATAGCATGAACTAAAGCCAAATGAGTTGAATTATTATTCCACTAATAAAATTTTGTATAATCATATGGAGCGTTGTTTATTAAACAAGTTGGAGGTATGGCAATGTTATAATTCTAATCACTAGAATAATGTATAACTATACATTCTTATCTAAAAATTCTTTAGTGATACAATTGCAGATTGAGTACATTCATTATGTCCTTTAACTATTTAATACTAAAATTCTTTTCCTAAAGTTTAAAATAGATCCTTTTATAATAAATTCACTTATTATTATTATCCATATATATTTCCTTGATAAGGTGATCCTCCCATATATCCTTTAGGATTACTTTGATTGTTCATTTAATAATTTATATTCAAAATTTTAAAGAATTTAAGTTTTCTCTAAATATTTTAAAATATTTTGTATAAATTTTATTATAGAAATTCCATTTAACATGTATATCAAATTCATTTTAAACTATAAATGTATTTAATATTGCAGGTATTCTAATTTTAATTAAAGTTAATATTATACTTTTAATTGAGGATTTAATTTTATTAATGTTAAAGCTTTTTACAAATTATAAATGAATTTTATATAATGATTAACTACTTATTCATATTCTTATTTATTAATTATTAATTTACTTTATTAAGATTATGTCTAATCCTATAAATACAACTAATATGATCATTATGATAAAAAGTTTATATTAATTATAATCAAAAGATTGTTATTGATTGTTTAATGTGTTAGAGTATTTTGAATTAGATTTGCATATAATAAATATAAAAAAATTATATTTTCTCAAGTTTCAATATAAATAAAATAAATATTTATGTTTAAGAAAATTATTTAAGGCTTTTCAAAATATTCCCATAGATCAACAATTCCTAGTCTGCTTAAGGATCCTAGGTATACAAGACGTGGGATATTGAAACCAAAAGGAGAAACCAGAATGCTAAGAAAACCTTCAATACCAGATGATATTCCTAATGCTCATCTTTATTATGATCATTCAAAGTTTATTGAAATTTAAAAAAACAATCCTCCTCATAAATTAGTACATATTGAAATAATAATAAGAAATATGAATCAACAGATTTAGATTTCATATTGAGTGTACTTAATAATGATTCATTTATTCACACTTAAGATTTCAAACTTTGGAAAGCCATTAAATAATTGAATATTCATCATCCAAATGAAGTCAAGAAGAATTGGGATATTTTTGATAGAGCTTATAGAGTAATATTAGATAATGCAAGATATTTGGATATTTATAATTTCAGATCATTCACTTAAGTTTCGTAACAATATTATTTAGAAGATGAAAAAGTATGGACAGTGTTATATAGAATTTCAATTCAATTTTTTGTTGGTTGGGAACATTAACAAACTCCATTATTGAGTAAATTAATTGAAAAGTAAAAATATAAATAAAATAATATAGAACATATTAATAATCATTTTTATTCTGCTTTCATATTATAATGTAATAAGTTAGGAAATTCAAAATTGATGTATCTAATATTATAATTCATTTGGATTATTTAATGAGAAACCATTTAAGATTTTACAAAATTGTATTAATCAATATATTTATAATAGCATAGTGAAGAAACATATAATAAAGTAGAGAATGTAGAAGATAAGAATTAATTAGGAAATTTTATAGCTCATTTTGCATTTTGTATTTAATAAAGAAAAGACATTTTTAATGAAGTAGACAAAGAAATTAAGGAGAAACAAGTGGAAGAATTTTTACATTAAGGACAAAAGCTTTGTTTAGAATCATTTGATAAGCTCACTGTAGTAACAAAGAAAAATCTATAAAATTCAATAACTTATAGTAGATATTAGTATAAGCCATTGTTTGATAAATTTAAATGAGAATATTTATAAATATAATTGTATAATTATCTAATTGATATAAATTATTTAATAATTCTATAAAATGATATATTTATTTAATAAAAAAATAAATTGATTAAATATGAATAATAATATTAAAAATTTAATGAAATGATCTAATTTATTATTGAGTATTTTATAAATAATCATTGTTAGTAATTTATAAATTATTTTTCAATCATTTAAATAAATGGTTTTAACATATCATCAATTTATAATGTAGTTAGAATTTTCATTTTGATTAAATCTAATTCCTTCAAATACTTTTATACATAAGGACCATCTGCTAATGCATAACTAAAATGTTTTAAGTTTACATTTATAATTCCTGATTATAAAGTTCTTAAAAATAATTCAAGGAATATTAATGTAACAGAATTAATTAATTCATTATCTGCATCTATTTTTAATTAACCAAATAATTCTTTAGCTTTAAAGAATAATCCATAAAATATAATATTTTTAATTAGAACAAATTCAATAAAAATAATTTTTTTACATTCTTTCAATAAATATGAAAAGTATTTTGATATTTAAAATCTAGATTTTATTATGTCACTATGATAATTTTATAATGGATAAAAACCTTCTTCTGATATAGAATTTAAAAAGATATAAAATTAATTTGAAAACTTTTGATTTGTCAATTTCTATAGAATTTCTCTTACAATCTCTTCTGCTATTAATGGAATCATTATTTTATGCTATTTTTTTTCAGCTTTTTAAAGCTATTACAAACGACTAAATTTGAATAAAATCTATTTAGCTATAACATTATTAATAAAAAATATCACTTCTTAATTGACTTTTTAATAATTATTTTAATGATAAGTATAACTAATTAATTGATATCTTTATTGAGATATCTTAGTTTATTTAATTAAACAAAAACAAAAAAATACAGTAGCAAATCCATATTTTATATTCTTAATTCTCTTATTTGTTTATGATATTTTTAAACCATAATTTGTATTTATTTAGATATTCGATTATTTAAATAAATATTTTTCATATTAAGCTAATCTAAATTATCTTAATGCTTCTTTATGAGGTTATAATTTATCATTCTTTACAACAAACTAATCTAATTAACTAATTATTTATTCTAAAGTAGGTAATTATTTTTATTTCATTTTTGCTACTCTTGTTCTTGGTCTTAAATCTTAATCTTCATCACTTTCTAATAAATCAATTAAATTTGAATCATTAGTATTATTTAACATTTTAACATCTGAATGAAATGCTTTAGGTTAAGTGTACATTGGACTTTCTTAATTTAATATTTTTGGAAGTTTAGAAGGAGTAGGTATCTTTTTCTCAATTGTTACTAATTCACTCAATAAAACAGATTAATTTGTAACTATTTTTTTTGAAGTATATGTATCTGATTGATTCTCCAAGAAAAACAGTTCTTTTTTAATTTGTTTAATTTATTCAGAGATTTTCAATTTTTATTCTTCCCAAATGTGAATCTATTATTCAATTTAAAAAAAATGTTATTCAAAACTTGTTTTTGGATTTTTTATTTATGTTCTAAAAGATTAATGTTTATTCAATTCAACATTAATTTTATCATACTCTTATCTTAAATATGCTAACTTTTTAGCTAGATTATTTATTTATATTTGTTTAGGAATAGGTTTCTCTGGAATAGATTGTGCTCTAATTCTTTATTTCAATTAAGGTATTAATTCTTCAATTACTTTTCTTTCTTTTTCTTCTAATCCAAGAGACTTCTTTATTTTTTGTATATGTTCAGGTAATTTATGAAGACCCTCACTCTTTCCTACAAATTAATATGCTAAGTATTTATTCATATTATATTTTTATAAATATAAATAAATACTTTATTTGAACTTGGATCTCAAATTTTTATACTAGTAATATACTTAACAATCAAAAAGTAAAATATATATGAAAAAAATAAGAAACAAATAAAATTATAGATTTGAAATAAAAGAGAAAAAAATTAATTACTAATTAATTTATTTTATATATAGAATATTATAAAATTTAACTGTTAATGCAACTTCGTTAAAGCAAGAGTAGGAAAAGCATAGATGATTAAGAAATAGGATAAAAGAAGTAATAAAGTACTCGAAAATCTGTTGGACAAATCAAGCAAAAGCGAAGTGTTTCCAAGGATAAAGAAAATCAAAAAAAATAAACATAATTGAATAATAAAGTGAAAAATATAAGTGAAACATTCAAATTAAAGGATATATTGAAACTTAAAGAATTTTATAAAGGTAATGAAGAATATGAAGAAAATACTGCTACTCGATCTACACCTTAAAAAACAGAGTGTTAAACAAGTAATTCTAGGTTTAGTAATTGTAATTGCAAATAAGAAATAATTGAAGATAATTAAAAGTAAATTATTTAGAAATTAATTCAGTTTAAAATAAGAAATATTAGAACATCTTGAAAAAATATAATTTATAGTTCAAAAAAATGAGAGATTTATGACACATAGATCTTAATAAGAAATAAAGGCAGATAGTTTTTTAAGTTAAGATAAATCTTCAAGAAAATGTATTAATAAGGTTCAAGAATAAGACTAATCAGAAGATGTTTTAAACACTAGCAACATTTATAATTTAAATTATATCATACAACAATAATAACTTTAAATATCAAATTTAAAAACTAAATTATTTTGTTAGGAATAAAAATTCTTAGAAAAACAATCATAATATGAATAAGAAGTTTTGTAATTAAAAAATCAAATACTATTATTAACAAGTGGGATGGAAATGTTAAAAGAGTAAATTCATTAACAATAATTTTAAAGGCAAGTAAATGCTTAAACCAAAAAATGAAATTTAGTTATATATAATACATTATCATTATTTTAATAAAACATTCATGTCTAAATTTTGTTTTAAACCACACAATTTATATAAATTTTTGTTATAATCTAATATTAATAATTATAAAATAATATTCTTTAATTTTTAAAGCGCAATGGAATAGCCTAATGTTAACATGGGAGATCAAAATAATGATAATTCATCTTCAGAAGAAATAGATCTAGAATTATAAGATGATGAAGTAAAATAAATGGTAATAAAGTATAGACATAGGTCAATTAGGAATGCCTTTAAGAACAATAAGTCTTGAGTCACTTATTAGAAATAGGAGAATTCATAGATTATTTAGATTCAAATACTAATAAATGGATAACTATGAAAATTGTTGATATTTAAAACTCAAATATAAGACTTTAATCTCCTTTTTCCTCTAATACTTTCTGGATACAATTTTCATATGAAATAATTCGTAAGTAGTGGATTCCTGGAGTTCCTCTATAAAATACAAGAGTTGAAGTTTATAATTCTAACAAAGGTTGGTTAATTGGTATAGTTGTACAGGTAGAAAAGGACTCAGTATTAATTCATCATTAAGGATATAAAAGGATTTATGATCAGAATTATTAATTGAAGGACATTCATCCTCTTGGTTAGAACTCTAATGAACCTGGAATTGGAAAATTATTAAAATAACAACCATAATCTTTATTAAGATTGTAGCATCGATTTAATATTTATCTACAATTATAAAATCTTTTATCTATGAGAAAAAAATATAAGGAAATGGAAACATCCTTATAATCTGTTTTGAGTGAATAGGGAATGTTAATTAGAGAGGTATCAGGTGATGGTAATTGTATGTTTAGAGCTATAAGTGATTAATTATATGGAAATGAAATTTATCATAAAGAATTACGTAAATTTGCTATGCAATATATTCTATAAGAAAAGGACTATTTCTAAGATTATATAATAAATGGAAATGTTGACGAATATGTGGAATACAAATCAAAAGATGGTGTTTGGGGAGACAATATAGAACTATAAGCATTTAGAGAACTCTATGATATACCTATTGAAATATATGTTTGTAGCAAGGAACCTTTAAAAACTGGATTAGAAGCTAATCCTTATAATAAAGAGTAATAATAATTTATTAATTCTTAGACCGATTAGATTGTCATATCATGGAAGATCTCATTATAACTCAATAAAATTAAAAGATAAATAGCATTCAGCCTTATTAGGAAGTTTAGAAATTAGTTAATACGAAAAATAAATGTTCGAGAAATTACAAGAACAGAAAAACAAGCAAAATGTAAACAATAATAATAGATATGGATAATAATTATCAAGAGCTTAATTTGAGAATTGTATCAGTAATGAATTAGATATAATTTTTAATGAATCTAAAAGATTATTCTAGGATCAATAACTAAAAAAGTAATTTTATGAATTAAATATAGTGAATAAACTGCTATAAAAGAATCATTGTAATAGTTAGAATATGAAGAAGAAGAGGAATAACTTATGGATATGGTAATTAAAGAGAGTGTTCAAGAAGCTTAATTTAATTAATAATATCCTGAATAATAATATTAAAAATAAGTAGAAAAATAATAGTAATAATTATAATAATAACAATAATAACAATAATAACAATAACAATAATAACAATAATAATAACAATAATAATAACCTAATTTAGAAAGTGAAATATTAAGGAAGATAATGGAATAAAGCAAATAAGAATAGGAATAATAATTTATATAATAATTTGAAGATACTTAATTTTAAAATGCTTTGAAAGAAAGTGAAAAAACAATTTATGAAGAGCCTATGAATAATCCCATTATTGCCTAAGTTATGGCAATGGGGTTCTTTACACTTGAATAAGTAATTGAAGCTTATGCAATTCATAGAGATGACCCTGATATGATCATTAATTATCTTTATGAAAATTTCTAATGATATTATAAATATTTTTATTTTGAATATAAATGGATGATTAAGATAAAATTCAAGAAGATGAATGTATGAATTAATATTGTACAATTGAATCATAAAATGTATATCCTGCTAAATTTAGTGATTAAATTCTATTTTTTTGTAAAGAATGTCTTGAATTATACACTGAGAAAAAGTGCTGTTATTTCTGTGCATAAGTATTTACTCTTATATTTTAGGTTTATAGTGATTAAAATGAAAATTTTTTGGATGGTCAAAAATGGATAGCTTGTGATTAGGAAAAATGTGACAAATGGGTATTAAAATTATAATAAATTTATTTAAGACACATTTATGTTGTGAAGCAAAAAATGGAATTCATGCAATTGAATGTTTAGTAGAAGACATGAAATTTAAATACACTTGTCCATGGTGTAGAATTGAAGATTAAAAATAAAGAAATATGAAACCTCTTCAAAGATCCATCAACAGAAAAGGATTTAAATTTTTGGAGAAAATTCATAAAAGGAAGGGTAGTACATATGAACCTCCTATAAATAATAATAATAATGGTGCTTCATATTTTAACTCAACATATTCAATTAAATCGAGTTATTTAGATGAACTCTTAAAAAAGAATGGAGGGTTTAGTTAATAAATAACTTAAGAAGAGATGTAAATAGATTTATAGAAAATGATTTCATTGGTTAAATAATGATACTACGATCTAAAATTAAAAATTATAAATATGTTATTCACAAAAATGACATCAATATCATTTTGGATCAATATTTTATATAAATGTTATTATTAATTATAATTAAAGTATTTTTAAAGTTATTTGTATAATGAAAAGAATTGTTTTTATCTTGCCTATTTGAAAAAAGGAAATTAATGAACAAGACCAGCTAACCTAACGAAAGAAAAATTATTTTTAAATCTAATGATAATAAGAATTGAAAATCATATATAAATTATAAAATATAATTTATTTATTAGATAGTATGAAATCTTCTTATGCTTCTCTTAAAGATCTACTACCTTTGATGTAAAATAAACATTCAAAAATAAAAATAAAACTTTAAGCGAGTTAAAATTATGAAGAATCTTGTACATGCAATTAAATGAGTTGTTTAATATGCTCTCGAAAAAGATCATCATCAATGATTTCTTTAAAACCATTAAAACACTCAGTATTAATGGAGCAAGGAAAAATAGAAAAATAAGGTATAGCTTAACTTTAAAGTCTGATATCCAGAAAATTATCAAAATAAGCATCAAATTAATTGTTGTAGTAAACATATTATGGTGGGAAACAAAATTATGAGTTAAAAGATTCATCTACTAACTCATCTACATGGTTATTGTCGAAATCTCATTCTAGAAAAATATCATTAGATAATTATTCTTAAAAAGAAGCTATTTAACTTAAAACATCATAATAATAAATAAGTACTATAAGTAGGTTGGCATTTCGATTTATTTATGTGATTGGAAAGGGAGGCTTTGGTAAGGTGTGGAGAGTTGAAATGAAATAAACAAAAAAAGAGTTTGCATTAAAAGAAATGATTAAGGCAAAGTATATTTACTAATATCTTAGAATTATTTCTAAAAGATCAGTCAATTCAGTGATGAATGAAAAGTTTTTATTGGAACATCTTCGTCATCCATTTATTGTTAATATGCATTTTGCATTTTAAGATAAAGAAAATCTATATCTCGTGTTGGATTTATTAAGAGGTGGAGATTTAAGATTTCATATTGGTAAATTGAAAAGATTTACTGAAGATCAAGCAAGTATCAAATTAATATAATAAGAATTTTTCGCTTGTTGTATGCTACTTGCATTGCAGTATTTGCATTCGAATGGTATCATTCATCGAGATCTCAAACCAGAAAATTTAGTTTTCGATAAAGATGGTTTTTTACATTTAACAGATTTGGGAGTAGCTAGATTAGATAAAGATAGTATTGCAAATGATACATCTGGAACACCAGGGTATATGGCACCAGAGGTTATGTGCAGAATGGAGCATTCCTATCCTGTTGATTATTATGCATTAGGAGTTATTCTATATGAAATTTTAATTGGTAAAAGGCCCTATAATGGAAAAAATAGATAAGAAATAAGAGAACAAATACTAGCCAAATAAGTATCAATAAAAGAAGGAACTTCTAATATTAGTAGCAAAGCTATTGATTTTATTAATAGGGTATCATATTATAAAATTTAGTTACTTATTCGTAAACCATAATAAAGATTAGGTTTTGGTGGAATTGAAGAAATAATCCATCATTCTTGGTTGAAAGGAGTTTAATGGGCTAAATTGCTAAATAAAGAAATGAAATCTTTATACATACCAGGAGTAACATATATTTCTTAATAAAAAGAGTATTGATGGTAATAGTGATTTTTAAAATCAGATATCAGCAGATAGTGAAATAGAAGAAGATTGTCAAAGTTTATTAAGAAGAAAAAGTGTTTAAAGTTTATTCGATGGGTATAAGTTTTAATGATATGTTAATGTTTGATTTATTATTTAAATGGTCAGAAATTATTTATTTTGATCTAATTAAATAAACTTCTTTGGGTATTATTACATAAAAATTATCTAATTCATTATTCTCTCAATGACATATTTGATATTTGAAGTATTTGTGAGTAATTTACAAAAGAGTATTAATTATTAATAATTACATTAAATTTTCAATCATAATGAGTAGAAAACCAATTTTTGTCTAAGAAAAATAAACTTAATAGGGATACTTGTATAACTAACCTACTTAAATTCAAACTGGTAGATAAGCTGATACAAAAATAGCTAATATGAAAAGCACTGAACATCTCTTATTGGGTATTATTATTATATTATTCAGCTACTTAACATAATTCTCCATTTTCTGCTTTGAGCACTGCTATGTAATCATAAGAAGCATCATTCTTGAGTAACAGAGTAGAGGATAATAATGTAGGATTTTAATAAATTTTGAAATATGTCAATCAATTAATAAATGAAAAATCATAAACATAAGAACTAAAGATAAAAGAATTGTAAAATCAAATAGATTCAAACAGAACTATAATATTTGATATTAGAGGATAAAATCCAATTAATGCTGAATAATTAAGCATAAAATTTAAATAGTTTGAAGAATCAGTAATTTCTAATATTAATATTTTAGATCAAAACATAAATAAAAAAAGCTTAAGAAGAATTAATGAATTAATAGGTTAATTTTTAAAACGATTATTAAAATAAATTTAAAGAATTACAAGATTAGACTGATAATAAATTAAAATTTATATAAAAAGAAAACTAGTAAAATTTAGTTAAATTAAAAGAAGACACTCAATTAAGAAATGCTCCTCAAAATAATCTAAGTGAAGAAAAAACAATTAAGGATCTTCAATAAAAAATAAAAGATCTTCAATTATTATTTGATTCTTAACATAATGAATTTGCTTTATATGATTAAAAGACTAAGTAATTATAGAATTTAATATTAATATAGATAACAATTAACAAAATTAGAAAAAAATGTATTTGAACAATCATAAAAAATTAGTGTTTAAGAAGAATAGACAATAGCTTAATTTAAGACATTTTAAAATAATTAATAAAATAATATTGCTTAAGCAAGTAAAAAGCTATCAGATGATATTGAAATTAAATTATAATAGGTTTAGAATATGATCCAATAAAAAACATTTTCTTAATCTGATAAGTAATGGATAAAATATAAATTAGATTGACAGAATTAACACTTTAATAAGCAGATTTAAATAAAATTACTTAAGGAGTATTTGATTTACAGAATTCATAAAAGTTATTGTCTTAGTAATACTAAGAATTAACTCTTAGAATTGATTAACATCTTTCATAAAATTCAAAGCAAGAACTATATCTAAAATAGTTAGAATAGAAAGTTGATTATGTATATTAAATTTAATATATTTTTTAGAATAAAGATGAAAATGATAATGGAATTACATAATTAAAATTAGAATTATCTAGTTTAACCAAATAATTTGAAAGAATTAAATAAGATTATAAAAATTAGTTTGAATATCTTTAAGAATTATAAAATAAATCAAATGAAGAAATTAGAAAATCACATTAAGAATTATTATTTTCATTTAAATAGACTGAGTAGATCAATTGGATTGATGAATATAATAAGAAAAAACCTGAAATTCAATAAGCATAAGTTTAAGTATTTAATTATGAAGAAGATTCTGAAAGTAAAAGTGATTAATAATTAAATGAATTATCAGAATAAAACAATATTGTAATAAATTTATTTATATTTATTAGGAATAAGTAGAACATGATTTTGAAAAAGAAGCTTTTATGGATAAATTGAAGGCATTGAGTCCTTCTAAGAATAATTAATTTTAGGAGGAGAAGATAGTTGAAGTAAAAGAAGAGAATAAGAATAAAAAAGATAATTAAAAAAGAGAAGATGAAGATGATGATGAAGATGATGAAGCTACTTATTAACTTGATGAAAATGGTTTCTTATTAGATGACGAAGGCAATTATTTATTAGATGAAAATGGTTAGATGATTCAATTAAATGAAACATAAATAGAGTATTTAAGAAAATAAGATATGGTTTAAGAGGAAGATATTTGATAATCATAATGACTTTATCATTTAAATTAAATGAGAAAGAATATATATAAGATTATTAAATTCCTTAAAATTCTTAAAACCTGAACTTTTTTATATTCAGAATTGATAATATTTTTAAATTAAATTAGTTTTTGATTTAATTTAGAGATTATGATTTGTTAAAATAATAATCTCTATTGAATTTAATCCATAATTTAATATTAAAAAGATGTCATGAGAAATTTATTCTTAGCTATACAATTTTGTTGAACAAAATTAAAATAAAACTGAGAATATCACTTCAATTCAATACAATTTTTTTTTCATTAATTAAAGCATTTAACATTTATTCTAATTCAAGGTTCTTTTATGAAATAGAAATCATTTCTAATTTAGCTTTATTTTAAGATTCTGTTAAAATAGATTAGCTTTATTAATACTTAAATAATTTAATGAAATACAGAAGAGGTGAAAAAATTAAATTAGTCTAATTCTTTTGAAAATGAGTTTAACTCTGATTTTAATGCTAAGAATTGTGAAACTATTTATATTTTTTCTTATTTCTTTTTCATAACCAAGTGAATCAAATTTCTATGTGCCATATCAATAAAAGGAATACTTATTATTTTTCTAGAAGAATGGACTTTTAAATTCATACTTCCCTTAATGATTTTTAACACGTTTAAAACCATAGTTATTCATTTAACGAGTAAATGAATCAATATGATTATGCTTAAAATAGTTTAAGAGTATCTGATTTTCAAATAGTTCTTATTGATGGATTATAATACCATCACCTTTTTAATCGAAACTTATAATTTCTTAATAAGATTAATTCTATTTTATTAAATTTTAATTGGATTACATCTAATATTTCAATCAATTTGCTCACAAATTTTGGGATTCTCTAATTTTTAGTATTCATTAATTTTTATATCGAATTTTCTGTAAGAATTCTCAATAATAAGTAGGTAACTCTAATAAATCCAAGAGTTAATGAACCCCTACATTAATTATGATATATTTACTTATGAATAAATCAAAGGCATAACTAAATTGATAATTATGAAGTTTTAAATTGTATATTTAATATCCTTAGTTAATATAATATTTCCAAAAATTTCATAATAATTAAAGTTTATGAAAATCTACAATTTAGAAGAATGTTAGATGAGATTGAAGGTGGAAGTGATGATGGTAAATGAGCTTGATGAATTATTCGAGTTTATAGTTTGAAAACCAATCAAATTTAAGTTTTGAGATTCTTAAACTAGATATAAAAAATTATTTTCTAGTATATTAAAATAACAAATATATGGTAATCTATTTATTTTATTCTATAGTCTGGAATTGCCAAGAGTGCAAAGGGTGGAAAAGGTGGAAAAGGAGGAAAAGGAGGAAAGTTTGGATCTGGTAAGAATAAGAAGACTCCTCAATCTAGGTCTTTGAAGGCTGGACTCTAAGTATATATTTTTGTAATTTTTAGTTCCCTGTTGGTCGTATTCATCGATATCTTAAGCAAAGAGTATCTGCTAAAAACAGAGTAGGAACCACATCAGCAGTTTATACATCAGCAATTTTGGAATATTTAACAGCAGAGGTGCTTGAGTTAGCAGGAAATGCATCAAAAGACTTTAAAGGTGAGAAAAAATCAATATAATTTTTTAGTCAGAAGAATAACTCCAAGACATTTACAATTAGCTATTAGAGGAGATGAAGAGCTTGATATTCTTATCAGAGCAACAATAGCTGGTGGTGGTGTTATTCCTCATATTCACAAAGCCTTATTAGGAAAATAAACACCTGAAGGTGGTTAACCAAAAGAATGAAATATATATATATAATAATATTAATTCATTTGGCAATATAATTATGATACAACATATTAATAGATATAGATAATAAATCAAATTATATATAATGATTTATTAGTTTCATGCTGAAATAAAAATCAATCATAATATTTATCGTTAAAAAAACAATTAATTTAATAATATAAATGGATTTTAAAGTATATCAATTTTAAATCCAATTGAAATTTAACTATCAAAAATCAAATGATTAAGAATAAGTATGACTTAATACAGGTGGTTTTTATAATAAGTTGATGATTAATATAAAGTTTCGCTTATAAAATCATTCTTATTTTAATTTTAATATTCATCAGGTCTGATTTAGTTGAAGATTTAAATGACTATTTATCAATTATCTTATCCTTATTCATATTATTACTCTTAAAATCTTGAGTTTAATTATTATTATTTCATATTTATCATAAGATCCATTTGGAGAAGTAGAAAACACTATAAACTACTCAATTTCTTAAAAAATCTAGAATTCATGTAGAAATTATATTATATTTTAAATTCCCATTTAATTTCTGAAATCTTTATAATAATATAATTTCTTGACTGATGAATTTATATAAGAATAAATAAAGTTGATTTCATCATAAGTATAAATTTTAAATACGATTTGCCAACTTTAATAGAATTCAACCAGTGGCATCATTATTTATCTAATCAAAATTAAAGGGTTGGGTAATTAAGCCTTAAATTTAGATTCAAATTTTATGTTTTAAACAATCAAATAAACATCTTTTAAAACCTTCATAATTTATTGATGTGATTGTATTTAATTTAGCTATTATTTTATTAGGCTAATAATCCTCCATAAGGATGTAGTAACTTCATTTCTAAATTATTGGATTAAAATTCCTTTTTATTAATATAAATGAGATTAAATCTGAAAAACTTGTTTTTTATATTAGAGAATGTTTTTCCTGATAAGAAAATTATCTGTTATAATTTTAATGACCTTTTTTCATCTGATTAAAGTCCATAATGACCTTATAAAAATAATCGATTTCTTAAGTAGTAGTTTGTTTGAGCCATCTTTTTTATTGATTTTACATAGATATGAAAGCGATGGCTTAAGTTTAAGAAATGTTCATTTAAGTTGAGAGGTTATTAAATTTTTGATTTGAATGAAATAGTTCTTATCTGATACAAATAGAAAATTATATTGAATCCAAGTTGATTTCTTTTATTATTATTACAAAATGATATTAATCACATCTTTAATAACATTAATATATGCAGCCTATGATGGAACAGATTATTTAAAAGGTGAAGGGAGTTTTAATATTGAATAAAATTGGATAATGAATTAGACAGAAGAATATATGGAAACATAATTTGTTACTTAAGGGAATGATAAAGTAAATTAATTTATGTATTAGTAAAAGTTCTTGAAATTATATAAAAAGGCAGAATCAGAATTAAGTTTCAAAGATGGATTCTATCATCTATTTGAAGAATCATAACCTTAACATATTAGATTTTGGTTTGCATCTGGAAATAAAGAAATTGAGGATACAAATTTAAGATTAAAGGATACAGGCACAGATAAAACTGCAATTTCATTTAGATGTGGATATGCTGGATTTGTGAGAGTAAATGATAATTAGATGATCACATTTTATAATAGTTCAGTTTCAACAGATTCTAAAATAATTTGGACATAAGCAGATATCTTATTGAATTGGGATACATAAGAAGTTTTAGTTTTTATGAATGAATCATATATGGGATCTACTAGTTTCTATCATTAAGAAGTATTTAAATTATATATATATATTTAAATAGGTGACAAAAGTAAATGAAGTAATGCTTTATAATTTAAAACCAAATACTACTAGTTGGTGGAAGAATATTAAAATATGCAAAGAAAGATGCGATAATTTTGAATTTACTCAAATTGTTGTGATATGCTTTACATTATTCATATTATTATTGTGAATAACTGATGATACTTTGTTAATTTTAAATAATCAGCATTTGCAATCATCCTCTTATTTTTTTGTATTTTATTATTTATAGTAATTACCTAATTTAATGCCACTATCCTATTTAATATTTAAATAATAATTTATACTTCTGAAGTAAATTCAATTTATTTCTTTTCTATTTTATCAACTATTTCCATGGCTGTATTCTCAAATAATTAATCTATATTATAATTCGTTTTTGCAGAAGTTTCAATGTATTACATTTTGTGTTAATCAGCAAATGCTTTTGCTTAGAGAGTTGATATTTTACGACTTTAATATATAATGTATAATATATACTGGGATTCCAAATCAACTTTATTGCCTACCAATACTATTTAGCAATTTTAAGCAGCTTAATCATTGACTTCATTATACCACTTTAATACATTGTGGAATGATTCCTCATTTGTGATATCAAATACAAGTAACACTCCTATCGATCTAAACTTGATTCTCAATTATATACCCTTTATAATAAGATCTTGTAATTGATTTGAAAGAATCTTATCCTGCTGTATCCCAAATTTATATTTTTATTGTTTTTTCATTCTTTACAAATACTTATGATCCAAATTCAACTCCTATTGTAGTGTCATGTTCATCTCGAAATTATTTCTCTGTGTATCTCAACAATATACAAGACTTTCCTACACTTCCATCTCCTACTATAATAAATTTGAATAAATAGTGGTATTATGACATCTAAATAATTATTATTTATTTTAAGTATTCCCAAATTATCACATTTCTATATTTAATATATCTATAAAAATTATGGAAAACTCTGAAACTCTTAAAATACTTAAGGAAACAATAGACAAATTAAAAATTACCAAAGAGAACCTAAGAGAAATGAGGAAAACTAATAAAACCTTTCCTCGTCAAACTAATACTAGAATATTAGATGCGTTTTAATCTTTTGCTTAATTTGATCGTGCTCCAATCTGGATGATGAGGTATTAAATTCATTTAATTCAGATAAGCAGGAAGATATCTTCCTGAATTCAAAGAAATCATGAAAAATAGAGATTTCTTTGATGCATGTTAAGATCCATTTATTGCAGCTGAAATCACTTTATAACCAATAAAACAATTTGAAATAGATGCTGCTATTATATTCTCAGATATACTAACACTTCCAAAAGCTATGGGAATGGAAGTATTATAATATTAATAACATTTCTTAGATTATAATGGATAAAGAAAAAGGTCCTGTAATCAAAAATAAATTAGAAACTATTGATGATATTAATAGAATTAAATCTCCAGATCCTGAAAGTCTAGAACATGTTTATGATGCATTATATTTAACAAGATAAGCATTATAAGGAAAATAAACTCTAATTGGTTTCTGTGGTGCTCCATTCACAGTTTTTTCTTATATGGTTGAAGGTGAAACATCCAAAATGTTTTTAAAAACTAAAAAATGGTTATATTAATACACTTAAGAAACCAGAAAAGTCTTAGATTTAATTGCTAAAGAAAGTGCTTAATATTTAATTAATTAAGTCAAAGAAGGAGGAGCTTAAGTTATATAGATTTTTGATTCCTTTGCTGGGTATTAATTATCATTATATATTAGATAAATTCCATCTATTGATTATAAAGAATTTGTAATTCCATCATTAAGAATATTATTAGAAGAATTTAAATAAGAGTGTCCAACAACTCCATTAATAATGTTTGCTAAAGATTAAAATGGAGTTGAAGTTATCTTGACTTTTCTAAAAATGTACTTAGGTGAAACTCCTTTGGTTGATGGATTTTAGTTGGATTCTAATGTAAGTGATGAAGTCTTGATCAAAATTATTGAAAGTGATAGAACTATTCAAGGAAATCTTGAACCTGGAGTATTTTTTATTATATTTTCTAGGTATTGTATGGTACTTAACAGATCTTAAAAAAAAGAGTATCTTAAATGATTGAAAAATTACAAACAACTAGAAGATATATTATCAATTTATCACATGGATTGACTCCTGATCATGAAGTTGAAAAAGTCAGATTATTTATATAAGAGTCTATTCGATAATCAAAGTTATTTAAAGTAAGAGAGGTATTAGAATGATTATAATATCAAAATTAAATTTAATATAATATTATATACTTAAGATTAACCCTCCTAATTTTTACTTTAAATGTTTTTTTTTTAACATACATCATTTTTATAATTAAAAATTACTTAAAAAATAAATGAGCACATACTTGTTTCCATTTAAATCAAAGAACTTAGAGCAGCTGAAATGAATTAGAAATTTGACTTAAAAATAAAGAAAAAAATTAAAAAATTATTCACATCATAGTAGTTGAAGAACATTAACTCAATTCTCCTTATAATACTAACTAGTATTTGTCTACTAACCATGTATATTAGAAGATAAACTAAGATATGGATTGTCAACCTCCAGGAAGTATGTTACAATTCCTTGAAATCTGACTAGTTTGTATAATCATCTACTATCATTTATGAATAAATCAAAAAATATTGTAAAGAAATTGATATCCATAAAAATATTTTTGAGGTAAAAATAATTATCAATAATTATATATATAAATAATTTATAAAATTAATATAATAGAGAAATAAAATATTTAATATATTATAACTTAAAAACCACACAAATTTGAAGATATAAATAACAGATTTGATTATGTTACTATTACATATATTTCTATGAAGAAAAAGGCAGAAAATATTTATTTTATCAAAAAAATTTTTTTTTAATATGAGATTTTCGTTTATTTGTGATTAATATATTATAAAACACCATGGTTCATAATAAAATAGAATTTGTTTGCGAAGTATATTTTGATATATTTTTGATTTTCTTTTGTTTTTATTATGCAATAAAGAAATTTGAGTTAAGGACTGTGAATCATAATTGCAAATCTAATAACAAGAAGTGATTATTTTATTTATCGTTTTTGAAATTATGGACAACGAATAATTGGAAAATCTCAACCAAATCATTAATATAGAAAACAATAGGTTATCCCCTTTAATTATTATACTATTAGGTTGTAAAAGTAATAGAACTCTACTGTTTGGACTTCATAAATATGTACCATCATTTTCTAAGCAATATACGGATTATTATTTTATTTGTTTTCAACCACTCCTGGATATTATGGTAATAATTATTTGATTTTTAGGTGATGAGAATAGTTGCATTTAGTTGAAAAAATTTTCTTATATTTTAGGTGTTGCTACTTTGTTACTTGTTTTAATTCATACGTATAAGAATATATATATTATAGTCTATTGTTAATTTATTCTTGCAGCACTAATAGCACTAGTTTTCTTTTGTCAGCAGAGGGAGTAATGAACACAGTTTATGGAATATTTTCTTTTGTAATTTGGATAATGTTATGGGTAAAGGATTAATAATAAAAAAGATTGCTTTGGCACAAAAAGAGGAATGTGGAAGTTTGAATACATTGGTGTGGGTTTTCACAATTTTAATAATTCTTGGATTTTTATTGAGTTGCTGTTTAGTATGCCTTGCAGCAGTAGCATCAAGCCAAAAATGATGAGAAAACATTTGTACAATCAATAAAATATCAAGATTTTGGTTTGGTCTTCTCTTTATTAGAAGAACTTTTATATATAATATATCTTGCTTATCGTTTTTAATTAAATATTATTTAAAATGGATTCTAAAACAAGATAATAAGCTGCCTGGTTAACTCTAATATCATCTGCAATTATTGGAGGATCATTTTATTATTTTTCATCTCAAGAAGAATTATATGGTAAAATAAATTATATGAAAATATTAAATAGAAAGTGAAGATTGTTTTAAATTGAGAAATTATACACATAACTATTCGATTTTTTGCATTACTTTTGCTATATTTATAATGTTAATTTTCAAATGAATTTTTTTATAGTTTAATATGGATGATATCAAGATTGATAAAAGATGAAGGATGTAATTCAGGTATTGATTGCATATAGCTACTCTCTGGAATAGTTGGAGTTATTTTTATTATATTGTTTGCGGTAATTATTTTATTATTTAAATTTAAAGTATGCTCTTTACTTATAAGAACCATGTGGAAACTTAAGAACATTCACAGTTATATATCTAATAATTATATCAATTTTATTTTGTTGTGGATGTTGTGGAATGTGTTGTGCTTTGAGTACATTAAAATAATGAAAATCATTATATAATTATTAAATTATATTATTAATCATTCAAATAAATGAGTTTTAAAAAAGGAGACTTTCGTCATGATTTTGAAGTTATTTGTCCATATAATAAGAAACATTAAATGCCATTTAGTAAATTATGGTTTCATATAACTAAAGGTTGTAAAGATAAAAGAGAAAAAGGTATTATTTTACAATATAAATTAGGACATAAATATGATACTTGTCCATATAATTGTTTGCATATTGTTCTTAAATCTAAAATGGAGAATCATATTGCTTAATGTAGATATAATTAATTGGATTCAAAAAAAGCAGAAGATGCTGATTTATTTAAAGAAATGTAACTCATTGCTGCTCAATAATTTGGAAACAATATTCCTTAAAGAAATAATAATTAAATCTAATAATAATAATAAAATAAGTAAAATAATAATCCTCAACATGAAATCCCAGAATGGAGAAAGATTTTTGATGGATAAAGTGAAATAGATGAAGATGATATTAAAGAAATTAATGAAATAAGCTATTAAAATTATGATGATGAATCTGAGAATTCTTTTAAAATAAATTAAGGATTATCTAGTTCTTCTAAAAGTTTTTAGTCTTCTGCCGCAAAAGAAAAGTCATAAAATGATGATCATGATAGTTATTATTATTGAAAATTTTATAACTATTATATAAATATATCAATATATATATTAAATCAAAAATCATCTTATATTTAGTTTACTATATTATTAAAGTTTACTTCTTCTTTGTTTGTTATTTCTTTATAAGATTGATAACGAAATAATTAAATTAAATTTGTATTTTATGGATTTTTCATTATTCCTAATTATTTAGATACTTTAATAGCTCCATCACTTTAAGTTATTCTTTCTAATAAATAGATAATCTATTGATCAGATTAATATTACTTTTTATTCATTATCATTAACATTATTGTAAATTAAAATAGCGATTACACTTATGGCTTCAACAAACTAATGTCTATCTATAGTATCAGTATTATTTAAAGATGCAATTGCTTTAAAAACATGCATAAGTTATCCTTTTGATACCATTGAATTTGCCAATTCAAAATCTTAACAAAATTTCATAAAGCCTGATAAAGTCATTAAATCTTTTGTATAATGATTATAATATGGTTCAAAATGTTCTTACATAATTTCATATAATTTAATCTAAATATAATTATAAATTCACTTACTATTTTTGGATCATCTAAAATCAACATTAAAATCTATAATATATGTTCTTATTTTTCTATTCTTAACTAATTTTCATGTGGTATCAAATATTATTCAATCAATCCTGTAATATCATTGCCATTAAATTTCTCTGCTATTAACTATAAAGAATTATAAAAGTTTGTAAAATCCATTTTACCATTTTAATTATCATTATCATATAATTTATTTACTTTAAATTTTGGACTTTTGGTTGAATCCAATCTCTTTTTAGGTGTTGATTAAATATAAAACATATCTGCATCAACTTAAGTTATTAAAGTCCCTATTATACCACAATTTTATAGAAGTTTTTTATATTTTATACTTTTTAAATTTACTAAGTTTAAAGGTTCTCCTATTTATGAATAATATTCGAATACATTTCTTAACTCTTTTTCATAAGGTATTTATGAATTATATTATAATTATTTACTATCTTCAACTATTTATTATGATTATTTTAAATTTGAATTTGATTATTATTATTAATAAACTGTTGAAATTCTACTCTATTTTGCAGAATTAACTCTACTTAATGCCATTACTAATTATGTTTATTCATTTTTTGTTTAATTATTTTATTTTGAAAAACTTTAAAATCCTGGAGAATTCTCCAATTTTTCAAGTAATTAAAAAAACAAATCTAATCCATTTTAATTGTCTTCTTAAACTTAATGAAATGATATAATCAATAAACTTTCTACAAATTTTGAAAAATTAAATATAAATTTTCCATCATTCTTTAAATTTAAAATTGAATCCCTATGAAATAAATCAAAAAATATCATTTAACCTTTTGTCTAAGTAATAATTAATGGAATTATTTCAAATTATTATAAAAAATGCATGTATTAACTTTAAATTTAAGAAATCTTTTAACTTTAATCTTAAAATATAAATCCATGTATTTTACACAATAATCCTTATACCTAAGATATTATTTCCAAAAATTATTCATCTATTAAACTACGACATGCTTCAATTCTCTTTAAATCTTAACCAAAATCTGTTTAATCATTTATTTTTTCAAATAACTTTGATAAATGATTTTTATAAAGTAAAACAAAAGACTTTGATTGTTCAGGAATTTTATATAATTTAGTTGCTATTTTTAAAAGTAAATCTTTAAATTAATCTAATGTTAGAGTTTCTGTATTTTTTGTTATTTAGTAATACAAAATATCAAGATCTTTGCTAGTTATTTCTAATTATAATTATATAAAATTACCCTATGTAATTATTTCAGCATCTGCCATTGCTTTTATGAATTTACTTGATTTTAAATATTAAATGTTTGTTTTATTGCCAAATTACACATAAAACATAAAAATAATTCGTATATGCTAAACAATTACTGATTCTTGCTATCCTTTTTATCTATGAACTTAGGATTGACTTAACTTTTTATCTTGTTGCTAAAAGTAAGGTTTGTCTTTAATTTATTAAGGATTGGAACGTACAATAGGAGGACCTATACGGATGTCTTCATATTTTGGAAATGGATTATTGCCTTTCTGATTAATAGTAGCTAAAGGTGCAGATTATTTTAGAGAATTCGACATTGTTATTAACTGCAATAAAAATAATATTTAAATATTTTATATAAATAAAATTATTGCTGTTTTTAAAGTATCCTTAATAAATAAGGATTAACTTGATTTCTATTTCAATTTAGAATTTTTTATTTAAGTGATAATTTATTTCAGACTATTTTTAAAAGTGAATTAAAAAAATTATTGGTTTTTGAATGATAATTGTACTCTATGATTAAATTAAAATTTTTTGATCTTATTTTCACAACATAACATATCTAATCAATAAAATAGATGGATTCTAACTAAATATTTATGTGAATTTATTGGTTTGATAAATTATCAAAATTTCTATATATTTCTTCGCAGTATAATAATCATCTTGTAAAAAATAAAATACTTTATTTATTTTTTAGGAAGATAAAATAAATTATTTTTATTTATATTTGATATAGATTTCTTAATTGAATAGATGTTTATTTTTACTTATATATTTGATATATATTCAATTAAATAGCAATTTTGTGGAAAAATATTATATTATTATTTTTATATATTAGATGTTGTTTGAACTAAACCAAAATGAATTACGTTCTTATTAAGAAAAGTATGATAAAGTGATGAAGGCAAAAGTCAATTTAGATTTTAAAAAAACTAAAAAAATAATAATAGGTTAATTTTCTATTACAGAAGCTCAGGCTGATTTAATATTAAAAAAAGTATTCTCTCAGTAAAAATCTGATGAATTGAATAGAGAAGGATTCTTTACAACTCTCAGGTATATATAATGTTTGCAAAATCAAGTGGACATTGAAACTTGTAATATTAATACAATAAAATTGCAATTTCCACTTAGAGTCAACAGCAAATAGAACTTGAAAAAGTCATTTTAACCTCCAAATCCAGAAGATCTTTTAGACAAGTCAATGATTGCTCTTAAAAATTTATAAAATTTAGTAAAAGAACCACCACCTTTAGAAAGATAGAAAAGTTCAACTCCTTCAGAGATAAAATGTAATCCAAATTAATAAATTTAAAAAGAAAAAGTAGAAAACACTGAAAATAAGGAGAAAATATCAACAGAAATTATAAATGAAATTGAATAATGTAATGAGATTATAAATTAAGTCTAAACATAAAATAATATTAATGAATAATCTGAATAAGATTAAAAAATAATTGAAAATAATATTGAAGATAATACTTAATTCAAAGAAGATAAATAACCTATAATAAATGAGATTGATGACATATATATAAATGAAAATAAAACTGTTTAATAAAGTAATATTACCTTTACATTTGGGAATAATAATTCTAATACTTAATATTTAGATAATAATTAAGTTATTATAACAGAATCTAATGTAATACCTCCTAAAATCTAGGAAAAAAAACCTGATTTTATTGAAATTAGTGAAGATGAAGATGACCTTTTGAAGAGAGATGAGTCTAAAGATATATTTGTTTGGATTTCAGGTTATTAATCATTTAAAGATGGACCATTTTCATAAACTTATTACACATACACAGTATGTTCAGAAATCCGTACTGACCCTCATTAAGGAACATATACTAAATATTAAGTTCATAGAAGATATACTGATTTTACTATGCTTCAATAATATTTTACAAAGTCCAAATTAGGAGATATAATTCCTAGTTTACCAGAGAGAGAAGGTGTTATTGCTAGTATAAAGAATCTGGTAGTTGAAAATGCAGAGTTTATATCCTAAAGGTAAGAATAATTGTAGTTATTTTTATAATATTTAACTAAGTATAGGGAAGATTAGATATTGCTGTCTTTTTTAAGTAATGATAAGAAATTTGATTTAATTTTAAAAGAACTTAGATATTGCAAAGGAGATAATTAAGATGAGGATACCTTTTTACCAGATCCTGATGAATTTACTAGAAAATAAAAATTAAAGGAAATGATTGTAGGTAAATCTATAATGGATATTGTTGATTATTTTAAAGGGGAAAAAGAAATAGAAGCTAAATTTTAAGAAGAATATAGATAGGTTTAATAGCATTATAAGAACCTTGAAAATAAGAAGCTTGAATTAAACAAATTTAAATAGTGTTTAAACTAATTTTATGAACCAATTGATAAATTCAGTTAAATTTCTACATTATAATTATCATCAATCGTTACTGAAGAGAATATTAAGTATGTTTTAGAGACTTAGAAATTATTTTAATCAAATTGTAAATATTTATAATAGATATTTAGATTCTAAACATTAAAATTCTATAATGAATTAAGTTACATAAATTGAATTTTAATTAAATAGTTTGACATATAGTTTTGAATAAATATAGAAGTAAATCTACAAATGGTTTGCTGAAAAGAAAAGATTAAGAGAAGAAAAGATTTCTAATAAGTATTATATTTAATTTGATATTTATTAGAGTAGAAATATAAAAGAATGATACTGAAGAAGGAAGATTGTAATTTGTTATATCCAAAACTAATGAAACTTTAATTAAATTGGTTAGTTAAATTACTGAGGATTTGAAAGGTTTATTAAAAGATTTTGTAGAAGAATTAACCCAGAATTGAAATTAAACATTTTAATTTGGTTTTTATTATCTAACTATAAAATATCAAAATTACATAAATAAGAATTTCTTATAATATTTCTTATAATATTATAATCAATAAGGATTATGAAAAATATTATTTTAAAATGACAAAATCATCAATTATATTATTATATAATTGATGATTATATTTATTAATTAACACAATGTAAGAATATTTAATAATCCAAAGTGTAGACAAAATAATTATTAATTATTCTATTTCATATTTTGATATAATCAATAATAATGATATTGATTATTAAAATCTAAAAAATATAAAGCTTTTTTTATTATATATTGTAAAAATATAAAATAATCATTCAAGAATTTCTTAAAAATTAAGAATTATTAATGACAGAATGATTATGTGATCATATTTAAATATTTACAGGTATTAATGATAAACTGAATAAATAAAAAATAATTTTAAAATTAATATTAATGTTACTTCTTTTTACTATTACCCTAATTTAGTTTGTGCCAACTATAAGAAACCAGATAATCTTGTAAAATATAATACATATTCTTAGATAACAAATAGAAATGGGGTGTAAAACATCTGAAAATGGAGTTTGTTAGGAATTATGCTCATTAGGATAATTTAATTGTGAAAACTAATAGATTTAATGTGAATATGGATACTTCCTTTAATTCGGAAATGTCTGTGTATAATGGTAAGAAAAGATAGCTATGTAGTCCTTATTAAAAAGTGATTGATAGCTTTACTTTATATTGCATGGATTGTGTCGAACATCCTTATACCTGGTCAAGTAATAGAACTTGTTCTTATGAATATACAATTGAAAGCGGAGATTTTATAAAAGGAACATATGTTCGTAAATCAAAGGAATACACTGAATTATATTTTATTGGTCCATCAATTTCAAATGGAGTTAATTTGGATTCAATAACAAGAGATGTAAATACATTATATTATGTATATAGGTTCAATATATATATGAAACTTATATTTGTTCAGGTTGTAAGAGATTTTGTATACCAGAAACAACTGAAAATTGTAACAGTATTACATCACCTTATGCTGAGGATAGTAACATAATGGGTATAGAGTGTTTATTAACTTATGAATTTAAAAATCAAATGTGTATTAGTTGTCCACCAGATTGTTTGAAATGTTCAAATGGCTAATGCACTTAGTGTAATGATGGTTATATGATATAAAATGGGTTATGTCAAAAATGTGAAAATGGTTGTTTAAATTGCTTTATTGTTTAATTGTAGACAATATGTACAAAATGTAAAGAAGGCATGGTAGCCTCTTTGGATTAGAGAAAATGTGAAGAGTGTGGTAATGAATGTTAAAGATGTGAGTATGTAACCTATTCATTAAATGCTCAATATCGTTATCCAACTAGAACAATGGTAAAGATTCTTGATAGAATCTAATAAAATTAATATATTAAAAGATGTAGACAATGTTCCACTAAAAGTTTTGTAAGTCATAATGGAATAGACTGTGTAACATGTCAAATACCAAAATGTGATTTGTGTTATTTTAATATAAGAGGGGATGTTACAACAATGGATTATGATTTTGAACCTAGTAAAGTTGATGATCTTGTATCAAATTTATTATGTTTCAAATGTATTAGTGGTTATACTGTTAGTGCAGATAAATAAAGTTGTGTACATTCAGTTCCAGCTTTAGATTAATGTGATAGGAAATATGAAGATACAACTTTAAAATGTAGATAATGTGTGAATAATATTATACTGAATTAACAAAGTAATACTTGTTCTAGTTCATGTACTTCGTATATAAAGTATTGTTAAAGTTGCTTTTCTTATAAGAGTTTGGATCAAACATAATACATAGATGATTCAGGATAGATATTCACAAGAGCTGCTTAAACATTATATTAATGTATTTAGTGTAGTAATGGATATTATCCAAATATCTTTACTGGTTTTTGTGATGCCTGTCCAAATAATTGTTAATAATGTTGGCAATACTCTTAGACCTATAATTTTACAGATTATTTATATAAAATGGAACCTATTAGTAATTCATTAAAAGAAACTTTTTTAAATGATATTCCTATCAAAATTTAATGTACATCTTGTAATTTTGGTTATTAATTATATGGAAACGAATGTTTAGGTTGCAGTAGTAATTGTTAAGTTGAGAATTAAATTGTAAGTGATGATTCAATTAATAGTTGTGTTTTTAAATCAACTTATGCTTTTTGTGGAGAATGTTATGATACATTCAATGATAGATCTTTAGTTTAGGATAAATCTGAATGTATAGAATGTCCTTTGAATTGTTTAGCATGTAGAGAGAGATTACAATATGAGATAACAAATTTTTATTTTAATCCAGAAAATTCTAATTTACTTCAATATGGTAGATTATGTTATAAAGTTTAGACTATGACAATGTCTAGTCTTTAAAGTGTTTCATATAATTCTTATTTAAATTTACCTATTTTATGTATGTATTAACAAGCAGCTTCAACAAATACCAAAAAATGTCGTCATACAGCTTAAATTACTGTTCATGTGTATTGTAATGAAGAGGAATATTATAATATTTATGAAACTTTGAACGATAATTAAAAACTATATCATTATAATCTAAATGATTATTATTCAATAGATTTTGAAGATATAGCTTTCATAGAATTTTCATCTTTGGAGACTTTTCAATCATATTAAATTATGAATTAAGCACCATTATAAGAATTGACTTTGAACATATTATTTACTAATTCTAATGATTATACATGTATATTTGAAAAGTCAACATAATTAATAACAGAATTCCATAAGAATGTTTATGCATTGAGTAAATTCTAAGTTAATATTTAAAGTGCTCACATATAACCAATTACATTTAAAATAACTGATAATTTTTATTTATAAGATTTACCTTATGTGACAATCAAAAATATTAATATTTATTCTAATTTATACAATGATTTTGGATTAATAATAACTAATGATATTTCATCAACATATTTGTAAATATAGTAATGTAAACTTGGATATGAATCAATTAAATTTGAGGATTCATAAATATTTACATTAAGTTTAGAAAATATTAATTATTTAGAATTTAAGGATGTTTACATTTAAAATTTGTTATATGTAGATAAAATTAGTCTCAATCAACAAAAAATAAATAATTATATAATAGAATTGAATAATGTATATTTCTTTAATAATTAATTTAAAAGTAATACTATATTTCCATTAACACCTTATAGCATTGTAAATATTAATAATTTAGTTATTTAAGATTGTATATTCACTAGTACATCATTATTTATTAATCAAAATGAGTATTAAATATTTGTTTCGAAGTTTTCAATAAATTAATTGATTATAAAATAGACATAATTTTATGAATCATCAAGTATTATCAAATCTAGTTATCTTTCTACATTGTCTATTAATTAATTAGATATAATAGGAAATAGATTTAATGATACTGAATTATTTAAATGTAATACTTACACAATATAGAATGTTTACATTTATATGAATGTTTTTACTAACTATTCACTTATCTTTACAACAGCAGATTAAGTTCCAGATACATAATAATTTTATAATTAAATCAAAACTTAAGGATTTGAAATATCAAATCTTAAATTTGTGGAAAATACATGTTATAATATCAATTGTCTTATGCTTATATAAACTCCATATAATTCAGAAGAAATACATGCTAACTTAATAATATAACATTTGTATATATTTAATAACTATGTTGAATTATCATTAATCTAAAGATAATCAGTTTCTTCTGCTATATTCAGAGCAACTCAAATGAATTAAGTCAAATTAAATAATATTGTTATTGATACTTAATTATCAATATCTGTTATTTCCTTCTAACAAATAGCATCATTAGAAGTATCTAAATTCTTATGTGATTACTCAAATAAAATTATTGGAGAAAAAGATCTAAGTCCTCGTACTAAGATTGAAAACAACACTATTATACAATATCCTTTTAATAATAAATTACCTAGCAATACTACTTGTTCTTATTAGAAACAATTTTTTGGCAGTTATAATGGATATTGTTTGGATATTTAAGACTTCATATATGGAGTGAAAATATCTGATGCCTCTCTGAAAGGACTTCTAGGAATTGATAATGGATTCATTTATATTCAATCATATGAATCATTGATGAAATAAACAAGTAATTTCATTAGTTAAAGTGGAACTCAAAAAATAATAGATTTTTATTATGGTTACACAAATGAAGTTATAATCTTAGAAAATATCAATATATTTAATACATCTATTGCAATATCAAATCCAGTTACTATTATTGGTAGTATTATTATTGAATCTGATTAAATGTAGACTATTCTTATAGATAATGTACAATTAATTGGCAATCATTTACATTAATTAGTTGAGTCTATAACTATGGAAATATCAACTTGTTTTACAATCTTAAGTCCAAACAGTATGATAAGCATTAAACATTTAATTGCATAGAATAATAGAGCCACTTAATCACAATATGGAATAAATATCATAAAATGTCAATCATTAACAATATCTTAATCTTTGTTTAATTATACAAATATAATGGAATCTAATTGGCTTGATAGATTAGATGAATATCAAGTCAATAATTATTCTTAGTTATTAGCTTAATTTACTATAGAATCTGAGGGTTCAAATATACATATTTAATGTAGAAAATTAGATATTGACTAAACTAGCTTTATGAATGGAAAATCTCTTATAGGAACAGGCTTTTATTTTATAGGTTAAGACCTAGCAAATGTTATGATAAACAATACTGAGTTTACAAATCTATCAACGTCATTAGAATATGTTGATTAAGCATATGGAGGATCATTATATCTAAATTTATAGAAATCAAGTTATGATATTAAATTAAACAAGGTTATTATGAATCATAGTATATCACGAATAGCTGGTGGATGTATTTATGTGTAAACATCTATGTATGAATAATAAATC